ATGTAGATAGATAGAGCACACGACCGGAAATCAAGAGAGATAAGGGAGCCGCGGCGGACTTTTTTTTTTAAGAAAAAAAAGGTGGGGGGGAGGGGTGAAGAGAGAAAAAAGGTCCGAGGAGAGAAATTCAAGGAAACGCGAGAGAAGATGGAAGATGGAAGAGAGAGTAACAAAGAGCGCAGAGACATTCAACAGCAGTCCAGCATATCCTTTTGACGCCAGTCATGACAAAGGGAAACGGAACTGAGGGAGGGGGGTGGATGCTGGGCAATCATTCCTGGGGAAGCTGGCTCCGACGGGTCTTCTCCGCCTCGAGGTTCTCGTACAGGAGATACAGGGCCTTCTCGTTGGCCTGCGCGCTGCCCATGATGGTGAACATGCGCTCGCCCGTCTCGTCGTGAGGGGCCTTGGCGATGGAGATGCGAGCTCCAGAGCTCCGACGGATCTCGGTGATCTTGCTGCCTCCGCGACCAATGATACATCCGACCATGTCTGCAGGGATGCTGATGTTCTGGGTCTGAACCTCCTCACCATCCTCGGTGACCAGGGGATAACCCCGGTTTCCGGCATCCGAGTTCGACCGCCGGTTGGTGTAGGTCCCGGTCTGGTCGCTGAAATCGGCGCCGTTACCCGTACGGTTGTAGGGGCGACTGCCGTAGTTGCTGGCCGCAGGAGCCCCCGTAGTGCCAACCGGCGAGGCGCGGACCGCAGGATTGTAGAGGACTGTTCCAGTACCGCGCTGCCAATCGTCGATGAGACACTTGCCAATCTCCCAGATGGCCTTCTCCACACCTTCGGGAGTGCCCTGCACCTCGACGATCCGCTCGGTGGATTGCGGCAGCATGTCCTTCTGTGCGACCATCCGTACCCCGGACGCGTCCTGGATATGCTTGATCTTCAAGCCCGAGCGCCCGATGATGGTGCCCATCTGGTTGTGGGAGATGAGGAGACGGATAGCTACGAGAAGACAGGGATTAGCCAAAAAAAAAAAAAAAAGAAAAGGATCCAGTAAGCAAAAAAGTTTTCCAGGGGGACGTTTTTCCACTTACGGTGGGTTCCGTTGTTGGCAGCGATTCCACCCATTCCCAACTGCGGAGCACCCTCAAGCAGACTCTTAGCCACAATCGCGTAGGCTCTAGCAGTGCCTTGTAGAGGTCCGGTGACAGTCAGGACTCTGTCATGGACGCCTGGCACCACCTTGCTCACTCCGGCCTTGACGCCGGTCTCATCGCGCAGATCCGCAACGTTCTTCCCGGCCTTGCCGATGATGACGCCGGCTTCCTTGGACGAGACAATCGCCCGCAGAGTCAGCATCGACTGCGCATACTCCTCCTCTGTCTTGGGGATCATTTCCGCGTCGCCCACAGGGCTCAACGCATCGGTCATGGTCTCGTCGACACCGACGGAGGCTTCGTGAACTTCGGTGGCGTCCATTTTTTTTTCTTGTCAAAAATCTTCTCAGTCGTCACGAAATGAAGAGGAAGGATTGAAACGTCGAGTCGGGAGCTAATGCAGATACCGAGAAGGTAGTGTTGTGAGGATTAGGTCAGGAAGGTGGAAGGACCTGCTGCAGCCAATCAATGGATCAGCCTGCTGTGCACATAGCCATCAAAGTTGACGCGTGACGTGTCCGCTGCAACAAGCGAAAGCACCCATGCAAACCTGCAAGTGTCTTACCTGGTAGAGAGGAGGAGGGTGGCGGAGGCGATGGCGGACTGCGGATGAATGGTTCGTGGTGTGTGGAGAAGAGCGTGGTAGGTAGGGAGGGGGATGGGGGGGAAGGCGAGGGAGAATGGATGGAAAAAGAGGAGAGAGAAAAGAAGAGAAGAGGGTAGGGAAAGGGAAGGGTGGGAAGAGAGAGCCGGGGGGGGGAGAGGGAGGGGGGTGAAGCGACAGAGATGTGGAAGAGGGGGAGGTTTCACTGCAAGAGAGAGAGGAGGATTAGATGGGATGGCAGAGGGGAGCAGCAGGCGGGCGAGTCGGCAAAGAGAAGCGCGGGCGGGCGTGACTTGGTGGGTGGAGGAACTTCAGTTCTCTTTTTCTCTTTCGTCATCCGAACCATTAAATGAAATTATCCCGATGATAATAATCTGTTGTTTACGTGTATATTCTTTTTATTTATGATGAATTTTTACGATTCTATTTATAGGTAAATAGTGACTAGGACTCTACTACTGCTGATTCTTCAGTGAATAAATAGTTAATATCCGTCCTTCATTTATCGGCCTCAAAAATGATCTTTTGCACCTTCATGGCATTGAAGATCTCGTAGGCCTCGACGGCCTTGGACAGGGGCATGATGTTTTCTGTCATGAAGCTGTGGGTAAAAAAGGTTAACTAACGGGGATTCGAGAGGGGGGAGGGACGACTTGAGATTGCATACTTGAATAAGTGTTGAGTCTTGCGGAGGACCTCCAAAGCCTGTGGTGCGACTGAACGCACTGGACAGCGACCCATCTGGAGCCTTACATTCTTGTCATACGCCTCGCTGCCAGACCATGGGATCTGTACAGCGTACAGTTAGTTAAAGAAGATGGATGCTTCGGGGTTGATCGAAACCCACCTCTCCATTGTGTACACCGACGCTGCTGATCGTACCAAAGGGTCGGAGGAGATCAAAGGCGGTTCGGAGCGCAGGGCTCAGCCCGACGACCTCAATAACAGCGTCTGCGCCTCGGCCCTGGGTAAGCTCCTTGATACGTTTGTCGAGTCCTGGCCGATCTGTCTGGAAGTTCCAGGGTTCGGCGCCCAGCGACCTGGCGAGTTCCAGTCTCGATGGGACCGAATCGACAGCGAGGACGTGCTTAGGCCGGTATTCCAGGGCGTTGACCAGAGCACAGAGGCCGACTGGTCCGCAGCCAATAACCACGACTGTCTGCTCGGCGATCTGCTCCTTGGTGCACTCCTTGAAGGCGTTTCTGGCGGCAAAGTATCCCGTGGGGAAGATATCGCCCATCAACACTAGCAGCTGGTCAGGGATTCCGTCCGGTGCTTTCTGGACGGTACCATCTGCAAGAGGAATTCGGACCTGACGGTCAGTTCAACCATCTATACGGCGTACAAGGAAAGAAACTTGAGACTTTACATATTCCGCCTGTCCGCCGTCAAGATTGTCGCATCCAAAGAGGGCATTCTTCTCGCATCGCGACGAAAACCCTCCCTTGCAGTAGAAGCACTCTCCGCTAGATTTCATACCAAATTAGAAGGCCGGTTAAATCAGTCAGGCCGTGTACCTACCAAGACGTCGTGAACGCACTGACGATCTTGTCCCCCTTCTGCACACTTTTCACCGCAGTACCGGTCTCAACCACGATGCCCGTCAACTCATGGCCCATAATATAGCCGGTTCCACAGGGTTCAATGCCGCGGAATGCATGAAGGTCACTAGAAGATATATATGCATAAATATTATGTCAAAAAACAAAGAAGAAGAAGAAGAAAGGATATATGAATATGGCTAGAGGACCTTCCACAAAGAGCTGTAAAGGTGACCTTGACGATGATATCTGTAGAGTCCTGGATTTGAGGAATCGGCCGATCCTCGACGGCGACCTTGAAAGGGCCCTTGAAGACAACGGAGCGCATATCTACTACCTGGTTCATACAAATAAGCATGTTAATTAGTGATGTGGCAGGCATTATAAACAGTGCGGTATTCGGCTTTCATTGCTTTGGTCTGTGAAGAATTCTTAGCATTTCAAGACATACCTTGGTCTAGAGCTTAGACTATAGGAACAGGGGAATGGATGAGAGTTTGTAGCAGTATAGAAAGGGTTGGTAAGAAGTAAAACATCGTGGTGTGACTGTTGAATCTTATCAGGATTTTATATGGCGGGGCGGTTGTTCTCCACCGACTGGAGGACATTCGGACGTCACTCACGTACTTTATATAGAATTATAATGTAGTGAATAGTACAGTAAATGATGGCAAGATAGTAGTATAGAATGTAGTAGGTAGTATTTAGGTATCTCACTGAGTACCTAGGTATAAAAAGCAACTGAATGGAGGGACTCCGACAATCGTAAATGACAATGTAAATACCGACCAACGCCTATGCCCCAAGACCTATCATATTATGCGAACGCTCATAATAGCCAGCTAGTAAATTACTAGCCCTAGCTCGGATCAAAGACAAAATCTCAACCCCGGGAAGTTGTAACGCAGGGAGGGTCACTCCCCGGGCTGTTTCAGCAGACGACGCAAAGCATCTCCTCCTCAAGAATGAACTTGCCCTCTTTATACTTCTCGCTCGCCTCGTATGCCTCGTCGTACTTCCACCCGACGATCTCCTTGCACTGCCGGCAGGAGATGTCACGGACCACGTGGCGGCCGGTCGTCATACTCCGCTCGACGGCCTCAGAGTGGGTGACGTTGACGACGGTGTTGAACAGGTATGCTTTTCCGTGTTGGCCGCGGAAGTTCTATCCTCAAAACCGGCACGGATTAATGCAAGTCGTTCAAGCAAACCAGAAATAAAGAAGAGAGGGAGAGAGATCGTATGGAGGCTACCTACCCGACTGATAATGTCGTTGTAGTCTGCCAGGTGGGTTTTGCACTGCTTGCACCCGAAGATCTTGTTGGAGGTAAGATATATGTTGTATGCGAGACCCATATCGCAGTTTCGTAGAGGATATTAATGGTGAAAAGTCCACGGTAGAACTGATAGATGACGCCTGAGGGTCCTGCTAGCCGGCTGTTCTACCTGGGTAGACAAGTACTAGAAAGACCGAAAAATTAAGCGGTGGTAGACTCAGTCTGAGTCTCAAGTCTCGCAATCCACAGACACAGTAAAATAAAGGTGACCAGAGCCCAGAGTGAGATGCAGATGGAAGCATTAAATCATGAGGTGCAGCAACTGCCTCACTGTTGGAAGCTTAGACGCCCCCGCACCTGACCTGGAGCCTCAGGACCAGCACCCGAAATCAAAGAAAGACGCAGAGATATGGAAAGGACTCAAGCCCAGCCTATAGAAACAGAGCGATGCTGGAAATAAGAGAGGACCACTTTCCTCTGTGTCCTTTAAATATCTAAATCGTAGTAGTTAAGTCGACTGTCTGTCACTTAGTCTGTTGGTTCAACATCACTGAGGACTGTCAGGCAGCTTCTTATCTGTTATCACTACGTGTGGGGCATCTCCTCCGATATGTAGGGGCAAGTTTATGTACAATAGGTAATAATAGCTATGCAAGATGACTTGATTTATGTCATCGCTGGTCAAGACACTGCTTATACTCGTCCCAGAAGAGCTGGCAGTCTCTATGCCCCCAGTGTTCCGTCCACCACTCGCCAAAGCTATCCTCAACCTGCTCGTCGGTCCTGGTCAGCCGTTCCTCGCGCTTTAGCCCGCACAGGGCACACGCATGCGCAGCCTTGAGGGCACCGGGGGCAATGATGGCACGGGCGTCGTCCGGCGGCGGAGGCACCGGCCGTTTCCCAGCCGAAAGAACCGCCGAGTTGAAGACCGCCGTCCTGTCCCGCCACAGCTGAAGCAGGTCGCCCGCCTCCTGCTGCTCCTTGACGCTCTCGCTCTTGTTGACACTGCTGAGCTTCATCCCCCCGGTCTTGCCCCCCGGCCGAGCGGGGCCGATCCGCATGCTCTGGCTTAGGAACGTGTCTCGTTTCCAGCGCGCGGTTCGGCCGGCCACCACGCGGGCTACCACCTTGAGTGTGCGCCGGATCGATTCGGCAACTTTCTCGACCTCTGCATGTGCTCCTGGGATGGCCTTGGCGCGTAATGCGGCCTGTTGGAGCTCGTCGAACACGCGTGGGAACAGCTGCAGCAGCACGGAGGGGGGTGGGATGTTGGTCGGGCGAACGGGCGGCGATGTCTTGTCTGGCGGATCGGAGAGATCGATCAGATCTCCCAGATCCATCCTGTCTCTCTATTTGAGACTTGACTGGGGGGTGACGAGCAGGTTGCCCTCAAGCGAACCGCCTGGTGTTTTTTCGAAACTTGTCAAATCCGCCGGGATGGAAAAATACTCGGGTTGCATCATAGCACGTGACCTAAACAAACGGCAGTTGGTAGTTATTCTGTAGGGAGATTAGATTTACCAACTAGGCATTGCGATGCCCTGAAAATCAGCTATCAATCGAGATACAGTAAGAATTTGAGATATTGTTTCTTTATAAAAAATATAAAAATAAAGAGCACCTCTGTACTTCTCGATATATTTTATCCACAGCGTACTCCAAACAGGCCAAGCGTGTCCCGCCTGGATCCGAATCCGAATCATCGCTTATCTACATTCCATTGTTAGTGAACAACCCGATACGCCCCTCATATGCATCCCTCTCAGACTATGGAGCTATGAGAACCATCGAGGATACGAGGTAGGTATCTGCCAGTAGCCTGGCGATCAAAGAAAGGCTAATTCTTTTTCGTTTGCTTGTGACACAGGACACGATGGGATTCCCTGTTCCGCAACGGCGAGAGCACTGCTGACCTCCGACGGGCACTGAAATCGGACCAAGAAGGCAGTCCGTGTATTGATGGATTGAGATCGATTTGCTGGAAGGTAAGAAGCTTCGATGCAATGTAGACATGGGGCTCTCTTTATATGCTGATTCTTTTCTAGGCGTTCCTGCTTTTCGGCGACCTTGACCGCACACAATGGCTTCAAACGATGGCCGACTCGCGCAGTGCGTACTCGGCGCTCCGGGAACACCTCCTCAAATACATCGACCATCCGGATGATCTGCAGTCGACGATAGATCCATTGGCGGATGATGAGGAGGTATGAATATGTCGTCTGGATTCCCCTATGTTAAGATAATTTGACAACTCGTCTGACGCGTTGTGCTGGTCTCTTTTCTTTCCAAAGTCTCCTTGGCAGACCTTACGACGTGACGAGAACATGCGAGCCGAGATCTCCCAGGATATCGAGCGGTGTCTGCAGGAGAACTCCTTCTTTCGCGAACCGACCACAAAGGCGAAGATGCTGAATGTTCTCTTCATCTACGCCAAACTGAATCCGGATCTGGGCTATCGGCAGGGGATGCATGAGATTCTTGCGCCGATTCTATGGGTTGTCGATAGGGATACGGTGGACAAATCCTCTCTTGGAGACGGCTTGGGTGAGCAAAATGGCGATGTGCTGCAGTTGCTGGACCCGGACTACATCGAGCATGATTCATTTACATTGTTCTGCACCGTCATGCAGACACTCCGTGTGTATTACGAGCACAAGGAGCAGCGGTCCATCAGCGGTCAGGTCGGCGTCTCGCCTATTGTAAGCCGTTGCCAGAATCTTCAAACGAGCATGCTGGCGGCTACCGACCCGGACCTATCTAATCATCTGCAAGCGGTGGACATCCTTCCTCAGATATTTCTAACGTAAGTACCAGGCTTTTTTTTAAATCTCGTATTGGGGTGTTTGGATTAATGGAGAAGCCGCTGGATTCGCCTGCTGTTCGGTCGGGAATTCCCCTTCGACGACGTCCTCGTGGTCTGGGACCATCTCTTCGCTGAGGGCCTGCGGACCGACCTCGTCGAGTTCTTCTGCGTAGCCATGCTCCTGCGAATCCGCTGGCAATTGCTGGAGGCGGACTACTCGACTGCCCTATCGACTTTGCTGCGGTACCCGTCCCCCGATCCAGAGCACCCGCAGACGTTTGTCTATGACGGTCTGTACCTGGAACAAAACCCCACGGTGGAAAGAGGCAGATTCATCATCTCTAAATACACTGGCAAGCCACCTGATTCTCCCAACAGCACCAAGTCCAGTCAAGGGAACACCACTAGACAGAAGCCCTCGAGAAGAGTCTCTCAGATCCGCAGCAGTGATCTCCGGGACTCAAGCGAGAACCGTTCACCCTCTTCTCGGTCCTCGGCGCGAAGCAGCCCTAAGAGTCTAGAAACTCTGTTTCAGGATGTCTCGGAAGGAATTCAACGGCGGACTGAGACTTGGGGGGTAGCCAAGGTCGTTCGGGGCGCCGTGAGCGAGGCCAGGCGGAACATCCAGACGATCCAGTCGGAAGCTAGACTGCCGCGAGGTATCATCGCTGTTGACCCCTTGGTAGGTTCGACATCCGTCCCGACACACAACTCGCCGGTGGTCCGCCGCGATCTGGCCCAGATCGCAGAGCTCCAGTTGAAACTGGACCGCCAAGAACAGAGGAGCAAGCAGTTGGCCGAGACCCTGGGCCATGCGTTGGATCAGTTGCGATCGCAATCGGACAAGATCGAAGAGCTTGACCCGGCCATCCACAGCGCTGTCACGGCTGCCTTGCGCACACTGAAATCGGTCAAAACCTGTCTTGAAACCGGCCGCGATGCCCCGGCGAACACCGAGGACGCGCCGCCGATAACGGTTGAATCACCCCGGAGCGAGGTGGAACAGCCGGACCAGACTGCCAATCGATCATCACCATCACCATCATCGCCGCCGCCGCCGCCGCCACCGTCATCGTCGTCGTCAACTGACTTGGAGGGAAACATTGCTCGCCCTAGACCTTCTCAATTGCCACCACCACCACCTTTACTGGGCGCTGGTCTCGTGAACCCGACACCCTCACGGCCTGGGTTGCGGCCCTCACTGGCCGACTCCGACTTCTCCTGGATGGTAGATAGCCGACGCAACATCTCCAGTTTTGTTAGCCCGGCGTCCGTCCTCCCCGAACAGACGCGACACGGTGACTCCCACAAAGCCAAGCAGAACCCTCTCTTTGGCGCCGGGGGGACACAGGAGGACCTGGATCAGGGCAGCGTGGATGACCTCCGGTTGTACAGCCTACAGAAATGATAGACTGTTTACTTTTAGTCAACTAGTAGTGAATATTATAGAATACAATTCTATTCTCTTTATTTGAGTATTGGTTGGTCAGTAGTTACTACATGACTCCTTCTATCAAATTAATCATACATATTACTTTATGCCCCGCTAGGAACAACTGCAACATCATCCACATCTTACTGGGTAACTAATTACAAGCGCACATGCAATTACATCACCAAAACTTCCCGACAGCATCCTCTCTTGCTGGACTGCGAATAACAAACTGTCTACGGTCCCTCCACTCGGTCCTATCACCACTAAATAATCAAATCCTCTCCTCTCTACCCGACCGGACCGCCCGAGGCAGAAAAAAAGCCCCTCCTAATATTGCTCTGGCTCTCCTCCTCGCTCCTCCTCCTATACGCTAGTTCACCCTCTCCTCCTCCTCCCTTTCCCTTTTCCTTGTCTTATTCTTTCACACTCTCCAGCGCCCGCCCACCGAGCGCTTCGGCTTTGTCAGCGCTCTGCTGTACCTCTTTTGCTGGCTGACGTATGGTGTGCCTGTGATCTCTGGCGTGGCAGCTGCCTTTGTGCCTGTCTGGCTAGAGAGTCTGCTGACGCTCCCAGTGACCTCTAGTCTTTTTGTCTCTCTGCCTTTGATTCCGGTCACTCTTCCTCTTCTACACCATCTCATTTCGTCTTGACTTGATATCGGAATTGGATTGCATCGGATTGCGCAGACTCGCCCATGTCGCTCTAGCGAGCATCGTCGAGAAAAAAAAACCCACCGATCCTCCTCCACTGAAAGATGCCGCCTGCCCCAAATGCCGACGGTCAGTAACACTTTACTATCTCATTTTTTCATTTTCTCTTTCTTCTTGTCTTTTTCCTACCCTCCCGTGCATATTTTCTCTATCAATCGGTGGCGGGGAAAGGTGAGTCTCTCCTCTGTGGAATGTCGGAATAGATAAGGGAGGGGGACGCGCGTTGGAGTGGGAATGGGAAAAGGGAAAGACATGGGGACATGCAAGACAGAGCAAGACAAGCGAGGGGAGAGTGGACACTGGACGTCAGCAATTTGGACATACTCTGGAATCTGATCCACATGCTTCTTGAGATGTAGGACAGCAGAGTTGACGGACTTCTTCGGACGCGTCTGCAGTTGCCCCGGTTTAGTGTGCACCATGGACTGTACACTGCACCACTGTACAGCCAGTGCTTCAACTCTTTCCCTCCTCTTGTCTTGTGATTTAGCTACCTAGTGTTGTCTTGTCATCACTTCTGACCGATGGTTTTGCAGAGCCAAGTCCTTTTTCCTCACCCCTGGGCCCATTGTCGGCATCGCCAGAGTCAGAGTCATGGATCGACCCTAGTGACGCAGGGGGGCTCTCAGTACGCACTGATGACTCGATGAGGAGGTCTGTCGATACAAACTCGTCGGAGTACGACCACATGGCAAGGTTAGCCAAACAAGTTTTTCTATTATTATTATTCTTCTTATTATTTTCTCTCAAGGGGAAAAAAGAAAAAAAAAAAAAAAAAAAACCTGTTCCCTCCCTCACTTGCCCTCTCCCAGCCTTTCTCATGAGGAACAGGAATTGAATATGTGCCTTCTCAAAACAGGTCGCCTCTGCTGGATCATGAACACGGGTTGAATCCCTCTGGTCTGGATCGAATTCGTCACCAACCCTCACGAGTCCTCACGTTGCCCAATCTTTCGAATCCGTCGCTCATCCCGTTCCCCGTGCAGCAACAACATTCCCCGCCGACCCGGTCGGTCTCCTCCTCCCGCACGGCCTCGACGCATGTGTCGGCAAATCCGAGCTTTGCGACGTTAGAAGACCTCCACCGGTTTCCCTCCGAATCTCTTCACTCCTTTTCCTTTGCCCAACAGTCCGACGAGCTGCTGCAGAACCGTCAGAACATCTTGAAACGGTCCATCGACTTCATGCGTGATCGGTTTGGATGGGCGGCAAGCAACCCGCATATCGTCAATGCGCAGGCTCGCATCAGTGGCGACTCCGACCTTCAGAGTATGGTCGATCTCTTGTCCCGGGCGCAGGTGCTGGATAAGGAAAACCAGACTCAACATGCGGGAGGATTTCATCCCCGAGGGCCTATTACCGGCCCTGCGGACGTCGAGGGCGGCAACGTCTTTGAAAAGGCCTTCTCCTCGTCCGAGGCGCTGAGCGAACAGCAGCAGAATTACTTCCTGGAACACGGTATGGTCTCTGAGCAATCCCGCCCTCTGGGCACTATCCCCAGTGGTCAGCAATACAACCACCACGAGCAGCAACAACAAAACCCCCCTACGCAGAAGAGAGAGTTAAAATCCGCTCCCTCCTCGCGGCGCGTAAGCTTAAAACGTACATACACGGATCTCAACACGATGACTCTCCAGGGCAAGCTGATGGAGACTCTAGCACAACAATCCTACTCCGCCACAGATGCGTATTCCCCCCTCGCCCTCTCCACCACCACCACCACCACCTCCTCCAGCCTTGGGTTCCCCATCCCGGCCTTGCACACCCACAGCAGCAAATGGACCCCAGTCTCGCAGGCTGTCTTTCGGACCGAAGCCAAAGCGCCCTGGACCATCTTCGCCGCCAACGACCTGTCCTGTCTGGTGTTTGGTGTCACCCAGTCCGAGGTTCGGAAGCTGAGTATCCTCGAGGTCGTCCAAGCGGAACAACGGCCCTGGCTGGAATCGAAACTCCGGGATCCCAGGACGGATGCCACGGCCAAGTACGAATACCAAACTGGCCGATCGTCCCGCGTCACCGCGGTGAACCCACAGCCCATGGGATTGGGCAACGGCGTCACCGCACAGCTGCTGAGTAAACCATCCTCACGCGAAAAGGCACGGCGCGCGCAGACGGACGACGGGTTTGGCTCGAGCACCCGCACCGCGCGGAATCCCAACCACGCAGCCAACAAGTCGCGCGGCGTGCTCCTCTGCGGCGACGTGGTGCCCATCCAAAAACGCAACGGATCCAAGGGTTCCGCCAGCGTCTGGGTGATGGAAAAACGAGGCGGGCTGATCTGGGTTCTCGAGGAAATCACCGAGAATGTCGCTCACATTCGCTATGACGTGACCGGCGCCATCGTACAGACCGACGGTGACGTCGACAAGATCTGGGGCCAGGCAACCGTAGGCACCGGCGAGCCCGTCACCAACCTCCTCCCGCGTGTCCCCAAGGAGGATCTTCTCGACTCCACCGACCAGGGACTTGCACGCATTGCAGAGACCAGATATTTCGCCGCCCGCACCTCGACCGGGGTCTGTATTCCAGCCACCGTTACCAAGGGCGAAGGCTCCCGCTGTCTACGGGTATCTAGTTTTCCGCACGTAGCGGGTATGATGGTCCTCTCCTCCTCGACGTTGAAAATCGTGAGCAGCAACTCCGTCTTCTCCGCCGCCCTGTTCGGCCAAGAGCGGCCAGAGGGTCTTCACATCTCTCAACTCATCCCGGGCTTTGACAATCTCCTCGACGTCCTCACCGAGGAAGACAAGGTCCCGCTGGTTGACGGCATTCTCATCCCGGAACACAGTTTCCGCCGCGCGCGGACCTTATCCATCTTGCGCGACGGCAAAGCCAACGCCGCCTCCATCTTCAACGAACCGACGGGCCTCCCTGCCAACCACCGGGACGGCTCGACCATCTCCGTTGACGTCCAACTCCGAGTTGTCAAGAGTGGGACATTTTTCTCCAAGACCACCACCAGCAACAACAACAACAACAATAATAATAACAACTTCGACACTGACACCAACACCGAGACCGAGATCAATAAGCCGCACAACGGATGGGATACCGATACCGTGGTCACTGAACTCGTTTACGCTTTGTGGATTACATATTCGCGACAAATCCACGCTGCCTGCCCTGCGACGGGTCACTTTCCACCTATTTTTGAAGACATCGCTCCGACCAAAGCGCTTTCTACTACAGCAACAGCGACAGAAGCAACAGCAGTGGCACCGCCCTCTAAACAAACCATGCCAGGGTCCTCATCACCAGCTATTTTCATGCCCGTCATTGAAAACTCGAGACATCCGTCAACTTTGTCTCAGCAGTTGAGCGAAGCGGCCTCGCAGCCGTTGACGGACAAGCCGGTGCAACCCGTGCCCGAGGTGGATCTGACGGCTTCGAAGAAGGATGGATCAGCGACCAAGAAACGCACAATCGCCGACTATGTGATTCTGGAAGAAATGGGTCAGGGGGCGTATGGACAGGTGAAACTGGCGCGGTTGAAGAAGAACCCCGCGAAGAAGATGGTGCTCAAGTACGTGACGAAGAAGCGGATCTTGGTCGATACATGGACGCGCGACCGGCGGCTGGGGACGGTGCCACTGGAGATCCATGTGCTGGACTTTTTACGGCGGGACGGGCTGCGGCATCCGAACATTGTGGAAATGGAAGGGTTCTTCGAGGACGACATCAACTACTACATCGAGATGGTGCCGCACGGACTGCCGGGGATGGATCTGTTCGATTACATCGAGCTGCGGGCCAACATGGACGAGTCGGAATGCCGCAGCATCTTCCGCCAGGTGGTGGACGCGATTCACCACCTGCACACCAAAGCATTGGTGGTGCACCGGGACATCAAGGACGAGAACGTTATCCTTGACGGGGAAGGGCGGATCAAGCTGATCGACTTTGGCAGTGCGGCCTATATCAAGAACGGGCCGTTTGACGTTTTTGTGGGGACGATTGGTAAGTTTTTTTATTCCTTCCTCTTTTTTTTCAGACAATTTGTTTTGTCTTTCTGTAATCAGGGTACTAATTTTCTAGATTATGCCGCCCCCGAAGTCCTCCAAGGCAAGTCGTATCGCGGCAAAGAACAAGATATCTGGGCGCTGGGGATTCTACTGTACACGATCGTGTACAAGGAGAACCCGTTCTACAACGTGGACGAGATCCTGGACCATCCGCTGCGGATCCCCTTCCTCCCCTTTTCGGAAGACTGCATCGATCTGATCCGCAAGATGCTGGACCGGGACGTCGACAACCGGCTGACGGTCAGCGAGGTCCTCGAGCACCCGTGGATGACTTAACCTCCCTTTTCACGAACGCACCGAATCACATCATGACATGAAGAACTACTTATACGATTCCATTCAACGAAATGAGTGATGAGGAGGATATCTCTATATAATGGACTTTTTCTAGAGAGGCGGGAAAAAAAGACACGATACCCTTGCTCTTTTTTTTTTTTTTTTGGCTAGAAGCTATACATGTGATGTACCATGTATTGTATACTGTATACCCTTTTTGTATTATGCTATTATGCTCATATAAACCATAGCCTCTTCCTTGATTAATTATTGTGTTGGTAGCGAACTTGTCTGAACCCATGGATTAGGTAGGTTCCACCAATACGTATGTCCCGTACGTATGTAGTAGTTAGTACTATGGAGGCGAGTCAAGTCCCGAGGCAAAAGCGACGCCAGTACCCCGAGGATACTCCGCATTCAACGGCTTTGGAGGATTCATTTGATAGTTCTGGAGGGTAAAGTTAGGTAGTAACTCGTGGGTTAACGAATTAGGGACTTCTTCTCCCTGTCTAGTCTCACTAGTCTATGGTTGCAGCTGTCACCTCATACGAGGTGGGCTAGATACGACTGTATGGACTCTTATGGAGTACTAGTGAGGGGTTACTGAGGTCAGTGCCATGGGAGTTCAGTAGTAAGATTCTGAATTGTTGATTCTGAATTTTGTCCGAGGGTTGTTGAGTGTTGAGGTTATCGACAGAACTGAGGAGGGACTATCACTGTCAGAGACAGCATGCTAGACTCAAATTATAATAATAATAGAACCAGCGGTATTATTATTTCCCCTGGATATCCATCCAAGTCTACCTACTACCCCCGCAGGTGGCGGAATGGGTCGAGGAGTGGCTGAGCGAACTCGGGCGTCGTGAACAATTCTGTATAGAGCGTATGTAGTATACTACCTAGGCAAGTACAGTGTACAGAGTACAGAGTACAAAATACAGAGTAAAGATAGTAGAGAGATCAGGATGAGAGTCCTTATGATTATCAGTAACTCCCATTTAACTAACTATTAGTACCAAGTAAATAACAGGTAACTAATACCAGGCACGTAAAACTCGTAATCGATAGATACGGCTCACTGTCGACTGTCGGCTGATCCCTTCTTATCGTCTATCTTCTCGACTCTATCTACTGTCTGGTCTATTCTTCTATTCTGCTACTCTTTTACTCTTCTCCTCTTCTATTCTTTGCCTTTTTTCCTGTTCAAGTCCTGTCTTTGTTTCCTGGTAAGTCCTTTCCCTGTCATAGCCTGGTATCTGGCCCGTTTTCCCTGGTTGCCCGCCGGGATCTCGTCCACGGTTGACTCCCCCCCCCTCTCTCCCACGACGACCTCCTTTTCTTTCATTCACCCTCTCGTTATTTCTGTTCTCTCTGGCTGACGAGTCGTGGGCGAGAAAAAAGGTCATGTCTGTCTACTGAAGTGTTGAACCTGTGCCGGTGCCGGTGCACACGACGACCCGTCGGTACCTTTTATGCGGCGATTGCTGCGGTTGTCGAGACACTAGAAAAGAAAACGGAAACGAGAAAGAAAGAAGGATAGAAAGACTCGAGATGGCCGCGATGGAACCCACAGCGATGCTGGCGGTCACAGCTACTGCCCAAGACTCTTCTCTGGAGTCGGGGTCCCCTAGTCCTGCCGGTTCGACTGGTCAGATCCCGCTGGCCCAGCAGGGGCAGGAACAGCAGCGGCAACAGCCTGCCCCAAAGCTCAAGGGCCGTCACAAGTTGCTGCAGAGTTTGCAGCGGATGTCCTCGACGCCTGCACTGACGCGTCGTAGCCGTTCCGCCTCTACGGGTTACCGTCGTGACGGCAAGGCTTCGTTGTCCTGCGTCTCGCTCACGTCGTCGTCTGCTGCCTACCAGCCCTGCTGGGGTAATGGGAGTTCCTCACAGCTGTACGGCGGGCTCGCAGGCCCGCACCTTTCGTCGGGTGCGGCGAGTCCTGCCGCCGACCTGTCGGATGGTATCAGTCCGCGGATTCGTCTTGTTCGTCCGGATACCCCCAATGCTGCATCTCTGGCAAGGACTGTACCCATGCCACTTGACCGGAGACCAGCCTCCAGGGGGGTCATGCAGGTGGAGGGGGTTGGAGGAAACGATGAAGGGAAGGCGATCGTCAACGAAGCAGTCGCCGTCGTCGTCGCCGCCGCAGCAGCAAGAACACCCAAGCCTCAACGGCGGATCGATTTCTGGGGGGAGATGCCCCACGAACTTCAGATGCGCATCCTATGTTACCTCCCCCCCCGGGAGATTGTCCGCTGCTCCGCGGTCTCGCACGCGTGGCGCAAGATGTGCTACGACGGCCAGTTGTGGGGTACAATCGACACTACCGACTACTACCGCGACATCTCTGGCGAGGCGCTGGTCAAGCTCATCACTGCAGGTGGGCCATTTGTCCGTGATCTCAACCTACGTGGCTGTGTGCAGCTGCAGGACTGGTGGCAGGCGGACGGCGAGCACATCTCGGACGTCTGTCGGAACGTGGTCAATTTCTCACTCGAAGGCTGCGCCATTGATAAGACCTCAATCCACTGCTTCCTTCTGCGCAACTCCCGGCTCAAGTCTGTCAACCTATCTGGCCTCCTCGGCGTGACCAATGCCGCCATGAAGATCCTCGCCCAGTCGTGCCCCCAGCTGGAGACGCTCAACGTCTCTTGGTGCGCCAAGGTGGACACTCGTGGCCTGCGGAAGATCGTCGAGGCTTGCCCGCGCCTGCAGGATCTGGGGGCCAGCGAGATCCGCGGCTTCGACGACGAGAAATTTATGATCGAACTGTTCGAGCGCAACACCCTCCAGCGCCTTGATCTCAGCCGCTCAGACGTCACAGACGACAGTCTGCGCGCTCTCGTCCTGGGCCTCGACCCGGAGATCGATCTCCTGACTGACCGTCCCATCGTGGCCCCGCGTCGGCTCACCCACCTCGACGTGCACCAGTGCCTTGACCTGACGGACCGCGGCCTCGCCACGCTCGCCTTTAATGTCCCCGAGATCGAGAGTCTGCAGCTCTCGCAGTGTCCCGGGCTGACAGACGACTCGATCATTGACGTCCTGCGCACTACCCCGCTCCTCACGCGCCTCGACCTCGAGGACCTCGACCGGCTCACCAACACAACACTCATAGAGCTGGCCCGCGCGCCCTGCGCCGCCACCCTGCAGCACCTCAACATCAGCTACTGCGAGAGCCTCAGCGACATCGGCATGCTCCCGGTCTTCAAAAGCTGCCCGCGCCTCCAGTACGTCGAGATGGACAACACGCGTGTCTCCGACCTGTCCCTCATGGAGGCTTGCTCGCGCGTCCGCAAGCGTGGCTACGGCGACGGCCTGCCACGCGTTGGGCTGCACCTCGTCATCTTTGACTGCGCCAACGTCACCTGGGCGGGTGTCAAGGGTGTTCTCTCCAGCAACGCTCTTATTCCTCGTTCCCGTCGGAATCTTTCGGTTGCTGCTGCGGCGGAGGAGACCACCGCCAGTGGCACTGCTACTTCTAGTAGTACCGCCACTCCACTCACCACCACACCCCCCACCCCCTCGTCGACCCCGCCCCTGCCAGCACCCACCTATCCAAACGAGATCATCCAGCTGAAATGCTTCTACGCTTGGCAGGTGACGGTAGACGAGCACACACGGCGCGTGCTGCGCGGGGACCTTCGTGCCGCGAGCCGACTGGACCGCAAATGGGCGGATCTTATGATGGCTACCGAAGAGGCCGGTACGGGAGGTGTCGGAGCACGGCGGCGGCGGCGACGTGCGCGTGAAGCGGAGCGGCTGTATAACGCCGACGACGACGATGGGGATGATGTCTATGCCGGGACTGTGTCGCCCGTGACGGGCAGACGGAGGGCGCAGTCGGGGGGATGTTCTATCATGTAGCCTTTGCTTGTGATTCTCTTCCATCTTTACTTTTGTCTTTTCACCTTTCCTTCTCCTCATCTCCTCTCCTTCTCTTCCCTTCTATCATTGGAGTTGATATAGCGGGTCTTATTATGCTGGTCATTCATCTATGCTGGTCATTCATCTATGCTGGTCATCTCAGTGATGACATGATATGTCTGCATCTGTTAGCTTGGAGTCAAGGCTGTTAGATGAATGAATGAATATGAACATGAATTAAAACAATCTTGCAGTACGAAGTACCCGGGTATCACTCAAAGAATCCATCTTCTTCTTCACTTGCAGCCTTCTCCTCCTCCTCCTCCTTCTTCTTCTTCTCCTTCCTCTTCTTCTCCGTCTTCTCTTCTATCGATGTGCTTCCAGAGACTCCATCTCGTAACGACTCGAGCGTGCCCTCCTCCATCGCCTTTTCCACAACAGCCCACATAGCCGGTTTTTGTTCCTTTTCAGTCTCCTCCTCTACCTCTTCCTCTTCCTCTCCCTCCTCTTCTTCGTCTTTCGTCTCAGATCCCTTCGGATAAAGCGACACATATTTCTCCTGTAAAGGGAAATAGATCGTATAATTCAAATCCACCCGCGCAGAATGTATTCTCCTCGCCAGCGTCTCCTTCATCTCTTCGCTCCTCGCCTCTTTTTCACGACGGAGGAGTCTATTCAGATGTTTCGTAGCGGTTTTGCGTTCTCCATTTATTAAAAACACATCACTTATATATTAAACGAGGCAATTAAATCCATACCTAAAAATCGTACAAAGTGATACTTGCGTATCATCTCGCTGCGGGCCCGACGAGCCATCTCCTGCTCCAGTTCGCGCTCGTGTCCCTTCAACACGCGCTCCTGGGTCACTCGTGCATCGGCAGGGAGGTCCCGGCGATTAAGGAGTCTCTTCACATCGCGGATGCGGCGTTTCAGGTCGTTGATCGAGACGGAGGTGTCCTTCTCTTGAGGTCTGGATTTGGGTTTCTTCTGTCCTGGTTTGCGGGGGTCATTGTATGGTTTCGAGCGGTGGTGGGCGGGGGGCCGGTCTCTTAGATCTCGCGGCATGATATACACTTGTAATACACACTTTTTATAATGTCTTGAGTAGTAGAAGAAGATGTAGTAGCAGCAGCAGGCAGTGGTGGTGCTGGTTTGGACTTTTTGGATATTGCTCTTTTTTCGATAAGCGGATCATTATCGGGCCGGACCCCGGATCGCCATCGGCCTTTCACACAGGCAAGTTCAAGCTGTACGTAGTACCTGCTTCCTACCGAGATAATAATCTAGTAATTACCTGGTTACCTGGTTACATGCTTCGCCATCTGGGATGCTGAGATGGAGAAAGCCATCCGCTGGTCGCCGTGGTCGACCACGACGGAGCAGCGCTTCCTCTCCGTCGACGTGACGGGCAAGACCTTCAAGCTGTGCCGCGTGACGGCCTGGGATGGGCGTGTTCTCGAGCATGAAGTCCTCGCAACGCATACGAGAGTCCCTGCCTTCAGGGCGTTTGACTGGTCGCCCGTAAATGAAGGGCTGATTGCCGTCGGGCAGTCTTCGGGAGAGGCAACTATCCTGCGCCTGCAGGGTGACACCACACCACAACAGCAGCAGCAGCAGCAGCAGCAGCAACAGCAGTCCGGGGATACCTTCTCCTTCCCTATCCGCAACCAGAGATACTGCAATGCCGTTGCCTTTAGCACGCATGGTCTTCTGGCGGCGGGGTTGGACCGTGTACGCAACGATTTCTGTCTCAATATCTGGGATGTCAACCAGCGGCTCTCTAATATGAAGCCCAGGGGTGGTGCTGGTGACAGGCAGACCACGGAGCCGCTGAGGAAACTTGCCAGCTCGGAGCCGATCACTAGTATCAAATTCTTTCGTGATAGGCCGGATACGCTGGTGACGGGGGTGAAGAACCACTTTGTGCGAATCTACGATTTACGAGGTATATTCTCCCCTCTCTAGTTTAAAAAAAGCTCCCCCTACGATTATAGCTGAACCTTACTGTAGAGGGATCTGGAAACCCGGCGCTGCAGTTCCCTACCCGTTGTGTCCATAATTTGGCCATTGACTGGCTCGACGAGAACTACTTTGCTTCGTGCTACACGACTGGCGATCCGACCGTCTGCATCTGGGACCGACGCGTCGGGCCCCGGTTCACCTCGACGGGCTCCGTTGGTCCCACTGCTGGTCTTGAGTCTGGCCAGAATGGACCTGCGCTGGAGTTCAAGAATGTTGTTGACCCCAAGACGACGATTTGGAGTTTGCGCTTCTCCAGAACGAAACGCGGCTCTCTGGGTGTCCTGTCGAGCATCGGTCACTTCAAGGCATACGATGTCGCCAAGGAGTATATTGTCGAGGAGTATCGCTCGTCCATGGATGATTCCCTGGGTCAGGGCTCAGTGAAAAACTATCCCGAGCCTATCTACACGAAACACATCCGCGATATACGCAGCCCCTTCAACCATCCCACCCGTGGCTGTCCCGAGTCCGAACGGGTCGTCTGCTTTGACTTCCTTAACATGAGCGCGTCGACCGAGCCCACGGCCATCACACTCGCCGGAAATGGGAAAATCCAGCTTGTGGCCCTTCGGCCTCCCTGTCCTCCGGTTCGTATCTCCTCGCAGAGCGTGCTCGTTCGTGGCGATGCGGCGACCGAGTCCGACTTCACCGTTCTGAACCCTTCATCCGTGGAGGGATCGAAGATATCCAAGGTGGTCGCCGATATCCGGGAACGGGAATTCCCAAGCTCGCCAGAGAACCACGCCAGCAACCCGATACTCGGCTCCTCGGCTCGGTCCAGCCGTGAGAGCAGAGAGCGCGGTTTCTTTCTCGGCACTTCGGGTAGGCCTCTGAAGGCGGAGGATGCACTGACTCTCATGGCGGTCAATCGACTCCGCTGCAAAGAGGGTTACTTGTTTGACGAGGCAAAAAACAGACAGATCCTCGTCGACGATCCTTATCTGCAGGGTTTCTGGCGTTGGGTGGAGCGTGGGTTGTCCTCATTGGATATCAATGTTGTATAAGTCTTGCTGACGTTATAGGTGCTCGGGCGGATTCGTCTGAGGACACGATGATTATGAGAGGGCTGGACCTAAACTACCTGGGCGTCTATGCAGTGTGGAACAATGATCTAGGTGAGCAGTGTCGCACAGATCGTCTGGACGCCTTTCCTAATATTCGTCCAGGGCCGAGTCTTGAGAGCCGAAAGATCAATGTCAATGAAGATTCGCCAGTCGATGTGGCCCAAACCATCAAGGATCTGGCGCGTGCGCTGGAATTGCCAAGCTTGAAGGGCTCAGAGACGGCCTATCCGGAACATCGGCGTCTGTGCTTGTACCTGTGCAACGCTGCCCAGTCTCAGGATGAGTTGGAAGAAGTGGTATCCACGCTTGTGGCGCGAAAGAAACATACCAAAGCTGCTGCGTTGGCTGTTTTCCAGAACGAAGCCCGACTCGCATACTCTGCACTGCGCAGCAACGAAGCGACGCAGGCTCACCGGCTCCTCGCCATGGCCATTGCCGGCGCCACGAAAGGTGAAACCGATTTGGACTGGGAGGAGACATGCGCGGAGATTGCCAAGGAACTTACCGACCCTTATGCACGAGCGATCCTGGCGCTGGTAAGCAAGGGCGACTGGAAGTCCGTCCTCCAGGAAGTCACTTTGCCGCTCAAGTACCGCGTCGAGGTCGCTTTGCGCTGGCTGCCAGACGAAGACCTCAGCGCCTACCTCCACGACACGACTTTCCGGGCCACCCGTGAGGGCAGTATCGAAGGCGTGGTCCTAACAGGACTTGGCCACTCCGCCATGGCGCTCTTCCAGTCGTATATCAAGAAATTCAACGATGTCCAAACCCCCGTCTTGGCCATGAGCCACACAGTCCCCCGGTTCATCAATGACGAGCCGAGCCGGGCACAATTCGAGGCCTGGCGCGAGACGTACCGCTGGCAGATCCACGCCTGGAAACTCCAGATGCAGCGTGCTCGCTTTGACGTCGGCTGCCGCAAGTTCGCTGTCACCTGGGACGGCCGCGAACTTGTCAGCCCGCCGCCGCAGCAGGTCAGCCTGACCTGCAGCTACTGCGCCAAACCCCTCAGCCAGCAGGACCCTACCGTTTCCCCCGCCTCGCTCGGCTCCAAGGCGGGTGCCGGTCCTGCCACGACTGAGACGGTTCACCACACAACAGGGAACCCTCTGGGTGCCGCAGGTGTGCAGGCCGGCACCATCTGCCCCAAGTGCTACCGCCACATGCCTCGCTGCGGAGTGTGCACCCTGTGGCTCGGGGCGCCTGACCCGTCAGCGCGTGCGAGCATCGCTGCTGACGCGGCCCAGGTGCAGGAGCATCGAAAGCCCAGCGAAGAGGACCTTCTGCGTCGGTTTATGGTCTTCTGCATCAATTGCAACCATGGCTTCCATGCCCATCATGCCCGCGAGTGGTTCCAGAAGCACAGAGTCTGCCCTGTGGCAGAATGCAACTGTATTTGTGATCGGTAGATCTATCCGTACGGGGGAGAAAAAAAAAGAAAAGAAAACACTCTTAGATAGTCCCGCTGTATAGTTATTATACCCATTTGTATAGATTAATTAATGATTAGTTATTATGTTGTTATAGTCAAGAATTGTCTTTACATAGTTTAAAGCTCCCTCCTCCGCCTTCATATAAACCAAAGAAAAACAAAAACTCTGCCAACCAATCCATTATTTTGATTTATTAAGTCTCTTACCATTTAACCATCAACTACTCTCACTCTGACTAGATTATTCTTTGAAGCTACTGACCAGCTCACCAGAGGAATCAGTCGGAGTCCACAATTGGCCCAATACGAGTCTAGTTGAGTCACTCAGTCAGAGCTTCAAAAAGACAAGACAACGACCACCTTCCGATCGGCTCTCAACACCCAGCACAGGCTTGCGAATTAACCGTGCCGTGGACTGTAAACTTCTCCGTTTCCCTCGATCTTTCTCTCGATAGAATTCCGTTTCGACACGACTTATTAGTACCCCGCACGATGCCTCCCCGCACACGAAACGGAAAGAGGCGCGAAGATAACCGCGAAGTGAGCATCTCCAAGGCACTGAGCAAGCTGCTCCGGCACTCGGCAGAGGAGGAGGGTCTCAAACTCGATACGCGGGGGTATGCAAATGTGACGGAGGTGGTAAGACACCCACTTTGATTTGGGAAAGGGAAGAAGGAGTGTAACAAGGATTCGTAACTGAAAAAAAGAACTACAGATGAAGTGCCAACGGCTGAAATCTCTCCAAGTGACATTTCCCGAGATCCTGACCGCGGTGTCATCATCGGATAAAAAGCGGTTCGCCCTTTTACACATTCCCTCTACGCCGGTTGAGTCCCCCGCTGCTGCTGCTGTAATAGACGAGGAGGAGACCGAGCGAGAGACGGCTACGCAAAACGCACTCTCGGCACAAGATCCCGATCCTTCGCATTTCTTGATCCGCGCTACCCAGGGCCACAGTATCAAGAGCGTGGACGCCGCGGCATTCCTGGAACGACTGTCGCTGGCCGACGAGGCGAGACTACCCACCACCGTCGTCCACGGGACATACCATGCCACCTGGGTAGCAATCATGCAGTCGGGGGGACTACGGTGTATGGGACGCAACCATGTTCACTTCGCCGTTGGCCCGTCACTGCAGTCTGTGCTTGCCAGCATATCATCAACACCGCAGGAGGAGGAAGAAGGAGGAGAAGAAGAAACCCCCACCGAGCCGCAGGTGATCTCGGGTATGCGGCGGGATGCTCCCGTGCTGGTATATATCAATCTCAAGAAAGCGCTGGCGGCGGGGTGTCCCTTCTGGCGGAGCGAGAATGACGTCATTCTCAGCGAGGGGATGCCGGCCAGCAACGCCGAGACGGGGAAACACGAATCCCAGCAGCGTAAATTTGTACCCCTGGAGTTTGTGGATGTCGTCGTGGAGAGGAGAAAAGGCCTGGGGATCCTATGGGAGAAGGGGCGGGAAGTGCAGCAGCTGCCGGAGTCGCTGACGAGCAGACCACCCCCGAAGAACAAACATCGGGGACACTGACTAGTTAGTTTAATTGTCCAGTCATGACTGGCTAATAGTAGTACCTTGCGCCTACTGTCTTTCTCCGTAACTACTGCGTGTAAGAAAGCAGTTGTCCGACCAATCCGACGACATCCGATGGCCTACCTTCCGCATCCGAAGCCCGTCCCTCATTAACGGAGTCCAGCTTCCGACGCGGTTTTGCGGGGTCTTTTTCTCTCCTCCGTCTGGGGTGCCGCATTAGCAATCGCCGACAGGCCCATGGCCAATATAAATCCCCCGTCGTATGACGCTGGCTGTCGCTCTTGATCTATAAAACTGTCTTTTTCTCTTTCTTCTTTTTCTTGTACAGATCACTATTCCTCCTCAATCAACATGGCGACTCATCGTTTCGATCCCAATTTCACCAACAATGTCATCAACGCAATGGGGCCCAAGACGGAGCCCCGGTTCCGCAAGCTCATGGCCGGCTTGATCCAGCATGTCCATGACTTTGCCCGGGAGAACGAGCTGACCGTCGACGAGTGGATGGCGGGCGTCAAACTCCTGAACTGGGCAGGGCAGATGAGCGACAACGTCCGCAACGAGGGCCAGCTTGTATGTGATGTGATTGGATTGGAATCGTACGTCACTTTCTTTTTTTTTTTTTTCAAAGACTTTGAAATGCTTCCAGATACTATTCGTACTTCTCATACTAATTCTGTCAGTCTCGTTGATGAAATCACTTTCAAGCTCGCCGAAGAAGCCGCAGACGCTCCCACCGCGACGGCAATCCTTGGCCCCTTCTTCCGCGCCGACACACCCTTCCGTAACAACGGGGACAGCATTGTCGTGACCAGCGCCAAGGGGGGTGAGATGGCGTTTATGCACGGCCAGGTGATGGACTTTGTCACCAAGAAGCCCCTTGTGGGAGCCACCGTCGAGGTGTGGCAGGCCTCCACCAACGGGCTATACGAGCAGCAGGACCCGGAACAGATCGAGTTCAACCTGCGTGGCAAGTTTCGCACGGACGAGGAGGGGCACTACTCATTCTACTGCTTACGGCCGACGCCTTATCCTGTTCCTTATGATGGTATGTCAATCAATTCTTTCGTTCCCTTTGATTTTGATCTATACTAACTGGTTAGGACCTGCTGGAAAGCTCCTTCAGCTCATGGACAGACACCCGTTCCGCCCTGCTCATATCCACATCATTGTAAGATTTGCGTCATATCCACTTTTTTATATTCTTGCTAATTGCATAGGCTACGTATGAAGGGTACAGGCCGCTCACGACGCAAATCTTCGACCGCAAAGACCCTTACCTGACCAACGACTCGGTCTTTGCCGTCAAGGACTCGTTGATTGTCGATTTTGTGCCGCGACAGGGTGATCCTCAAGCTGGCCTTGAGCTGACCTATGATGTGAGACTAGCCCGTGCATAGTTTTAGAATGTATATAAAATAAAAGTATCAAGATTTCATCCATACTCTCTATCTCCCAGTTAGATAGTAGTTCTATTCAATTATTCTAGTAGTGATATCCTTCTTCAGGCTAAATTATCAACAAAATCAGCAATAAACCCACCCACCTCCTCGTTGGCCTCAATACAATGCCAATGGCCCACCCCCTCCAGGACCACCATCTTCTTGTTCGCACTTCCCACCCGCTCAAACAGATACTCACATCCAGCCAGCGAGGCAGACTTGTCCTCCTCGCCCGCAATGAGCAGGAACGGCGCCCGGATGGCCGCGTACTCGCCCGGTGCGGCCGAGGCGATCAACCGGCACAGAGTCGCATACCCCTTTGGATTCTGGGAGAGGATCAGTTCGCGAATGAACGCTTTCTGGAGCGGTGTGGCTTTGGATCCTGTTGCCGCTTCGGGGATCGAATTGGCCATTGATTCCATGCCGTCTGAAAAAAAAATCAGCTCACTGGATTATCAAAAAGGTTATAATATTTTTATGGCAGAGAGAAGTACCTTCTGCCACTATTTCCGCCCGCTTCGTCATAACAGATACCAACGCATCAGATGGATGCGTCGGCCCGATAGCAACCACCCCCTTAATCAAATCCGCGTACAGAGACCCCAGATATGTAACCGCCAGTCCGCCCATCGAGTGGCCGACGACAATGGCGGCCGTGACGCCCAGCACGGAGAGCACGGCAGCCACGTCCGCGGCGAGGGCGGTCATGTCGAATTCGAGCCCCGTGTAGGCGGACCGGCCGGAGCCGTAGGTGTCTAGCGCGATGCAGCGGTGTTTGCTCGTCAGATACGGCAGGATAGGAAAGTAGTAGTTCTGCGAGGAGCCCAGCCCGTGGATGAGCAGCAGGGTCTGTCCGCCTGGGGGGGGGCCGGTGGGATGCGAGTCATGGTAGTGAAGACGGTGGTGGTTGACTTCAATGAACGGCATGTTGATTATTGTACGTACGTCTTGGATTCTATCTGTCTTCTTTATTTTTTATCAGAGAGAGAATTTCAAGTTAAATGGTTGGTTAAAACTAAGTACTCCCGTACCTACCAGAACTAATAGATAAGAAGCAGGTAAAGGTACATAATCAATTATCATACTGGAGCTTTATACTTCGTTCTAACCATTCACTGACGTCGTTCCGATAAAGTGCTTGGCAGAACCCCACCATTAGCTGTCATGATAGGAGTAGATGGTAGTTAAGATACCTGGAGATCTGCTGGGTTGTCAATCGGATGCTTCGTATCATTGAATCTTCCTTCAAAATAACCAATTGCTCTTCATTGGATCCTGGATCTTCCATTCTTTGCAAGAGTAATCAAACCCAGAAAAAAAAAAATACCACCAAGAGAAATAGTACCTCGACAAGCGTATCTTAGATCGGAAGAGGAACATATCCGAAATCACGGATCTATCGATAACAGCACCCGACGGGTCGGCTGCGGTGGATATGTAAGCACCAAAACACCAAATACTTAAATATTTACCCATCCATGACTTCGGAAATCTTCTGGGTCGTCCCATGACCACTGTGTAGTGTGCAGTGTGCACATTTCGTGCAGGAGATGAGGATGGGATTTGATCTTGGCACGGGAATCCGGCATTACGGCTCTTGAAGATGGCTTAATGGCGTTGGTCATTCGCCAATTCACGTCGATTGCTTTCACCGGAGATCCAATATGGATGCAGACATACCGGTGGGAGATGTGAGGCGAATCGAACCTGGATAGTGGACAGTAGACGCGGCCTTGGACCGCTATCAAATCTCTCGGTCAAGACAGAAACTGCCGTGGAGACTGCCGTTGAGATGCAGTCGAACGAACATCTTGTGGCCTTGTCTTTATGCAGTCACTGACACGTTAATCGACACTCTCTCGAACCCGACTGTTGGGGACTGTCGTTGAGGTAGGCGAAAGCAGAGGGGTCGAGCGGGCAGTATATACTAGGGCCCCCCAGGATTATGTATGGCTTAATTGTTCGCATCGCATCAAGTCGCCTGGGTCGAGATCTTCAGGAGCTCTTGCTCGAAGTCTTCCTCAACATCGAACTCTTCGTAGTCGTCCATTTGTTCGATCAAAAGGGCAGTATCGTCACGGAAAGAACTATTGAGCGCCGAGGCAGGTTTCCGTGCAGGATACTCTGGCAGCTTGACCGGTCTTGTACCCTTCGCGGTGTCTAGATCGCCCAGCACTGTAGCCTCATCGACAAGTAAAATTTCATTATCGAAGATTGAGCATTGTGAAAACTCAAGGTCGCTATTATCACCCTCGGCATCCTTCGCTGGATCGTTGGGTTCAAGACCAAAATATGCGGCAGGGCCTGCTTCTTTATCTGCTTCCCCTTCCCCTTCCTCCTCTGTACTGCAATAGTCCTCCTTTTCGGTCTCGGACCCTGAGTCCAAATCCACGGTTTCCTCGTTTGATTCATCTACCTGCGGCGATGCGGCTTTCGGTCGGGCGAGGAATTTCGAGAGCAGAGGCTGGCTGGATGGTACACGGAGGGCTTCGGGATCGGGCAGGCCCAGTTTCTTTCGCTCTTCGCGCGCTTTGGCATCCTTCTCGGCCCTTTTCTTCTTATTCTCTAACCGCCGATTTTCCTTCTCTCGCAGCTTCTTCGCTCGGTTCTCTAGCTCCTCTTCGCGCTCGATCCGTCTGAGCTGTGACGCAGTGAAGGTGAATCGCTTGTTGGACCGTTGGTACCGCCGACGGACAGTCCGTGACTTTTCTAGGATGATACGCCGCGGCTGGTCGGGCATGGTCCTTTTCGTTTCCCTCGAACAAAAGGATCTCAGGGGTGGATGGCTCCCAGAGCAGGGAGAGGGAAAGAAAGGAGTTCACGGTTGAGCCACACTTGTTTGTTCGATGGCCGGAATTATGTTGTTGCATAGCTGATAACGCGATAAACAAATAGAGGGGTATTTATTTATTTATACCTGTACAGAGTACCTGATATAGAGGTTAAAAAACAGCAATAATAAATATAAACATTAAATATTATTTAATATTTATTTATTATCAAAAAATATTCTTCTAGTCTAAGTCTATCTATCTATTACAAATGATCACTACAGCCATCTATAGTAGTAGATATTATAGACCTTTTCACGGTGCTAGTTATGCTATAATCCAGACTCCAGAGCAAAAAGAAAGTGCATCAGCCAGGAATTGAACCAGGATCTATTGCTTGGAAGGCAACAATGCTAACCATTACACCACTGATGCTACAGCCATTTTTGCTTTCGAATAGTACTCTCTCTATCCAATATTTCCAGTGGATCATCCTTATCAATGCATCTTCGGTATCTTTAAGCATCCATTTCGAGCTCAGCCAGATATATATTGTCCTCAACCTCTGTTGAAAGAGCCGCCTCAGTATGTCCTAGTTTTGTCGCGATAGACACGGTAGAGCGCTAGTTTTGATCACTAAATAATAGATATCAGATTAGAACGTTGAATAGTAACATGGAAAAAGAAAAAAAGAGAAAATACCGACGCGCGATGACCTTAAGAGAGTCTCTAGTCATCTGGACTTTTGGCCTGGAATTCATGAGCCCATGAAACTACATAACAATCAGCATGTTTTACATTCTTAATCTTTTATTTATAGTTAGGCATTATATTAAGTCTATTATAAGCCTTTAAAGTGCTGATGTTCTGCAAGGGCAGATCTTCAGGCTTATGCTTCTTCCCTGCCCCTATACCAGGTTTCGCGCCTTAAAACTGCGTGGTCATGATAGAAATAGATTAAATAGTTAATATAAATCCCCTAATATATGTATCATAATGTATGCCATAGCATTAATAGAAATAAGGGATATAATTGATGGGATGTGTAACTTAGGGATGGCAATAAAGCAATATATCAAATTAAACAAAGAAAATCTCAGTATTTATTTTTGTGGACTACAATATATTGGTAAATTAATTTTCTTTATTGATAAGAGAATGTTATATCTTATAAGTGCGTGAAACTGCCTTGAAAGTACTGAGCTTTTTGTAGCATCGAGGTTGGAATTACGAAACGCCCATCTAAATCTTCACCTCCCTGACCGGATCCCAACAGACGGGTGCGTACACGCCGGTATTCAGACTGGCCATATCCTCCTCTGAAATTTCAAAGTCGAAGACTTGCGAGTTCTCAACTATGCGGGATTCCGTCACAGATTTGGGGAGAGGCACGTATCCCTTCAGAGTGTGTTAGTTTTGTCCAATGCCGGGAATCCAAAAACCTGGACCATTCAGACATACCTTTTGCAAACTCCATCTGATCAAAATCTGGGCTGGGGTCTTTTTGTAACGCTGCGCCAGAGTTTGAAGGACAGGCTCCTTCATACGCTCCGCCTGGACCAGAGGCGAGTATGCTTCGACAACGACGTTTCGCTGCTTGAGCCACTCGGCAATATCCTCTCTGGCACACCAGGGGTGGATCTCATACTGGCCGACAGAGATCTCACCGCCACCGCCGCTTTTGATGTACTCTTCCAGCTCCTCTAGATGTTGGATGCCGTAGTTGGAAACTCCGATTGAACGGACTTTGCCGGCCTTTTGGGCCTCGACAAGAGCGCGCCAGGTGCCCAGTCGAGCCTCCTTGCCACCGTGAGGTGCATGAATCAGAATCCTAGAATCCCATCAGATATCGCTTTATGCTGGGGCTGATGCACAGCCATTGTATTATCACGTACAGGTCGATATAACCAACATTCGCCGCCGCAATGCTTTGTTCAATGGCCGCCTTGGCTGTCTCATAACCCTGGGATTGCCGAGGAACCTTGGTCGTATAAAAGATCTGAGACCGGTCCAGTCCTGATTTACGGATAGCTTCACCACATTCGGTTTCATTGTCGTAGACCTTGGCGCAATCGACCTGTAAAAATTCATTAGCCAACGTTGAGGCAAGGCCCAGACAAAGACCTACATGACGATATCCGACTTCAAAGGCTTTCAAAGTCACCTTCTCGGCAACATCAGTAGGCCTATATACAAATCAGCCACTGAATAAACACACAAGCAGGACAGCTGACAGACGTTTGATAAACCTGCGGTCAGAAAACACCACGTTAGCCAAGATCAGACGATAGGTGCAACGACCCCTCTCCAAGCAAAGCAAAGCGAAAACTACCTACTCCAAAGCCAACAACTGGGATCTCGTATCCCGAGTTTAGCTTGTACGTGGTCTGAATCGAAACAGGGGCCATGGCTATATCGTGGTAGTCGAAAAGCAGTAGAAACGATATGATGCGAGAAAGAGAAGAAGTACGGGTCTCGTTAAAAAGGCTTCCCTTTTATCTCCCCACCCCTCTCCGCATATAACCAGTCAATGCCAACTTCCGACTGCCTGCAACACATAATTTCGCCGATAGCTTAATAATAATATGGTCAAGAAGTGGAGACAAATGTGCCTGGGCTGTCGTTATTGTGGATCATATTTGGATCAATAGAGTCCAAAATGACGCTGGAATAGTCTCGACTCTCAACAACACTGCGAAGAGTCGACCGATCGCCCCCAGCAGTTCTGATAATATCAATTACATTGATCAAAACATATAATGAGGACTTTTCGAGGGAAAACCTCATGAGAATTTGATTTGAACTGATTTCTTCATAGTAGAAAGAGTTACCCCTCACAAGGCAAAGGTGCTGTCGATAAGACAAGCCGCTAGTCCCAATCAAGACGAAGTCCCGCCGTCAAGTTTGACCGCATACAAGAATTATTGAACCCCTCCTTTTATGCTTCACGACGAGACTGAGAGAAGGAAAGATGCGTCTGGTCAAGAATCGGATCGAGCCGACCGGCTCGGGAACCGTCACGTTATGTCCCGAAGAGCCAGAAGACATGGTAGGTAGTTAGTTATCCTACTGTTAGGTAAATAGACGCATGCTGAACCGTCTCGCAAAACAACAGTGGCATGCATACAACTTAATCCGGCCGGGAGATCTTTTAAAGGCGAGTGCAGTCAGGCGTGTGACGACAACCCAGGACACAGGGTCAACAAGCTCGTTGCGGGTTCATCTGATGCTGGAGATCCGGGTCAAGAACCTTGACTTTGACGCGCAGAGCTCGCAGCTGCATGTAGCGGGACAGATTATGAACGAGACACAACACACCAAGATCGGGCAGTTTCACACACTCGATCTCGAACTTAACCGGAATTTCACGCTCGAGAAGGAAGTCGGTGCGAATGGAGAGGGTGTCGGCTGGGACAGCATCGCGGTCGAGATGCTCAAGGATGCCGTCGATGAAGGCGGGAAGAGGCGTGCAGAGGCAGTTGCGGTGGTGATGCAGGAAGGATTAGCCCATATCTGCTTCATCGGACAATTCCAGACCATCTTGAAGCAAAAAGTAGAGATGTCGGTCCCTCGGAAGCGATCCGGAGGGAGTGATCATGATAAGGTTGTTACCTCCCTTTTTTTTTTTTTTTAAAAAAAAAAAAAAGAAAAACCACACAGGGGAAAACTAATCGAAACTAAATAGGGGATGACCAAATTTTACCAAGTAACGCTCGATACGCTGCTACGCCAACTCGAGTTCAACACGAGTACCACCTCGCTCACGGGCAACGACCCCGTCAAGCCAATCCTTCTGGCCTCGCCCGGCTTCGTGGCCACGGGCTTCCAGAAACACATCCAGGGCGTGGCGTCAACGACAATGCCGGCGCTCAAGCGGCTTCTCCCCAGCATCGTGGTCGTCCACTCTGCATCGGGCTACCTCCACTCCCTCTCGGAAGTGCTGCAGTCCCCCTCCGTGAAGACCATCCTAGCCGACACCAAGTACGCGCGCGAAACGCGGCTCATGGACGACTTTCTCGAGCAGCTTCGCAAGGAGACCAACCGGGCGACGTACGGCATGCGCGAAGTGGAGTCGGCCGTCGACCAGGGCGCTGTCGGCCGCGGCGGCGGCATCCTCATCATCTCCAACAGGCTGTTCCGCTCCCAGGAAGTTGCCCAGCGTAAACGTTGGGTCTCCCTCGTCGACCGCGTGCGCGACATCGAGGGCGGAGAGGTCCGCATCCTCAGCTCAGACCACGAGAGCGGCAAGCGCCTCGACGGCCTCGGCGGTATCGCCGCCCTCACCACTTTCCCCTTACCAGACGATGAGGACTTTGATTCCGACGAAGATAACACCGACAGCCCGCCCGTTGTCACTGCAGGGATGGTCGTTTCCAATGGCCAATCCTCGGCTGTTTACTAGTCTTTTTCTTTTGTTGGCTTTAGCCTTGTTTTTCTTGGAGCAAACTTTGTGATAGGCACCCTGATGATATACGGAGTAATAGATTGGGAAAAAATAATTAAAAGCAAGATATATTGAATTAAACTAGTCCAAGTCCCTCTTTCGTGTATTGGATATCCTTACTCCTCGGGTTTCCGCATCATGCATGTCTTAGAACAGACACGAGTCAGTTCAACAGACCGGGATCACATCTTGATAGAACCTCCCCTCAATAGATGACGGAATCTCTACCCGCATTTCTCTAGTCCTACCTCGTACCTGCACCTAAGACCAAGTGAGAGAGCTAGGGTTGCATCGGATGATTGGTTATCGTTGCTGCTAGGATTTAGCTGGCGGCTATCTGCATACTACCTAGGTACCTAGATAGTAAAGTATGTAGTAAGGTATACCAGGTTTAATACCTATCTGTGGTACCTGAGTAAAGGACTCTACGAATCAGATTAGCAGGCTAAGCGACGAGTCTAAGTCTAATGTCCGCTGCTTTCTGGGAGATGTGCATTTGAAGTGAAGATAACCTAGTTAAATCCTGCCTAGTAGATAGTAATAAGGGTCCATCAAGGACCATCGTTGATAGATAACCCCACCCCCCAGAAGTGAATAAAATAGATAAGCAAAATCTGCTCTTGAAATCCTGATATAAAATAGAAATCATTACCGTGGGTCGTCAATAAAAGGGTAGCTAGATTTCCGCTCTGCCTGTTGGGCTTCGGATGATTGGGGGGAGGAGAACTCGCTTTCTTCGACGTGGAGAATCGTGTATCTGAGGCAGCGATACATCTAAACGCTCGTGGTTTTGTCTAGCATCCAGATGCCGGAGTTTGGCTTCACATTGTTGCGCAGTATAGGGTTGCCTAGCACCCAAGTTTCTCATCTATAGTCACTGTCTTTAGTATTTAATCATACTCTGGGTGTATCACAGAAAAGGATAAACCTACCTTCTGCGCAATAAACTCGTACTTCTCGCTTTCCCAATAATCACGGGCTTCCATGAGCACCCGGGTCTAACATGAGGGGTCAACAATTGGGTTTGACATCCGGCGATATGGCGATAAACGTACTCACATCATGCTCATCCCACCGGGCTTCACGGTCCTTCCTTCTGCGAAGCATACGCATTTGCAACCGGGCCTCAGTCGCATCCTTCTTGAACTTCTCGCAGAACATCTCCCGGATGACTTTCCAGGCCTTGTTCTGCTCACGTAGGTTCTCAACAAAGGCATCTTCTTCTTCCGCCTGGGGGTCTCTGCGGTTTCGCCCTGGGGCCCGCGGACGTGGCGTTTGCTGCTTTCGTGTCTGGATTTGTCGCCGTTGTTGTTCTAGACGCTGGAGTCCTTCCGGATGTGGAAGGATTGAGATCGGTGCCTCTCTCGCTGTGGTTCTTTTGACTCGCTTGGCCGGAGGCGATTGGGCATATTCAGGCGCAATTTCATTTGATGCGAACTCGATACGTTCCTGTGAGAAGCTCAAGCCAGCGGTCACGGTCCTGGGGAAATCACTGGGGAGCGGAGCGGTGATGCCCAGCCCGAGGGGCGCTGCCGGTTCATTGATATGTTGGAATTGGTAGTCCTGAGAGTGGTGACTTAAAACAGGACTGGGCCGGGCATTGACAAAGGAACTATCTGGAAGACTGATCGGCGTCAAGACAGAGGTAGAAGGAAATGCACCCGTGCAGTACGGAAGGCTGACGCCCACGTAAGAAGACTATAGATGCAAAAAAGGACTCAATCAGCGGGTAGCGTCTCCGAGGGAAGCAAACGGCCATACTGCTGGAACACCACCCCAGGATGTTTGCAGATCCCTCAAGAACTCGTCCATTCCATCGCCAGGCGCAGAAGCACCTCCATGACCAAATGACATTGTACCCACGAATGAAGACGGGGCTCGAGAGAACATGAAGCAAGCTAATAGGAGCACGCAGAGCACGCTTTGATTGGAAGGACTCTCCGATTGCCTGAAAGGGGACGAAGATGAAACACTCTCTCGTAACACAGGTAGGTAATTGTTCAATAGAAATGCACGATGGCGACACCCGGAAAGCTTTGGGTTTACAAGTTCGTATGGAAGGAGGGGAGACCAAAAGATGGGTATATCCGAAGTTTATGTATCTATAAGAAAGAGGGAACACAGCGTACTCCGCCTGAAGGATCAATAGCCCGCATGCAGATGGACAAGAGAGAAGAGCAACGAGATGCACTTGCTGTGGAGCACCAATTCGAACAACTGCCAAGTAAATGTCAATAAAGAGACAGAGTGCCTTGCAAGGCAGGCCCGGTAGCATGAAGCTTTTTGCGACAGGCTCCGAGAGCTCGGTAGAAGGGGGGGATACTGCCAGCCATTACTGTGCCGCGCCGACATGCTGAAAACCACAGGTTCAGACTTGAAGATAGAATGTATTTAAGCGCTTGCCCATCGTTCGCAGATGAGCTATAACTCCGGAGTGAGCCGCTTTAGCAAAGGCTTGGAGGGGGCGTGTGGAGGGGAGGGACCTCAGTCCATTCTAGCCCCCAAATCATTGGGGGCTCAGCCTGTCCGGTTCCCAGGCCCACAAAGATAGTGCCATGAGTAGGGAAATGACGATGGTCCCGACGATCTGGGAGTGCAGGGGAGACTAGAGAGTCTGTACCAAATGATGGCCATTGGGTTAGCGCTTGAGGTTGACTGACAGCTTGTCGGGCAGCTCCAAGGTCCATTGACTCGTTTCCTTCCTCCTTTCCTGTATCGGGAAGAGGAGCCAAGAACGCGGAGTCGGTAAATTAGCCATCAATAGGCCCTTTTCTATATGCATCGGGCTGTAAACAAAGGATATTTTCTCCCTCCAACCCACCAGCGCCTTTTTTTCTTTTTTTCTTTTGATTACTTCCCGTACAAACGCTCGAGATTCTTCGACCTGTAATGCAGTGACCCATCGAGTCCATCAGGTAAAGACCACCTAGGTACTGTACTCCGTAGTTAGTTAACTAGTTAGTTACTGTCGGACAACCTACTACCTCGGTGAACCGCCAGAAACAACGTACAATAGAAAACAGAAAAGATACACTACCACCGCCACGTGTCTCGCTGCAGCGCTGCAATTTAAGCGCTTCGGTCCAGAGCCACTGCACGGTGGAGCAGGAAAACGGCGCTTAATGCTGGTCGGTGGAAGGAGTCTTGTTGGTCTTTCTGGCTGCCAGATTAATAAGGCTTAACGAGGCTAGGCCCAAAGTGGAATCAAATTGACAAAAGGTCACGTGGTAATGGCTAACTAGAAGCGGTTAGTTATCTAGGTAGTCCTCCATACTCTGAATAGGTACTCTGTATAGTCAGCTCGTCTATGTAGCACAGGTCTTGAGAAGTGATGAAAACACTCACGGATCTCACATTCCGATGCCCAATAGCTGTTTCCAGCTCAATAGTGTCGATTGAGTGCTGACTGCCGACAGCGAGGCGAGGTTATGGCGCAGCAAGGCTTAGAGCCTCTTTTGAAACGGTAGACTTCCAAATATAAATGAAGGCGGCCGGTACCCTGACTTCAGACCAGGCCAGGGACAATTTATTCCACTTCTACAATTAATGCGACACCGGATGTTTGGTATTCATTTCCTTCTTGCTTCCAAAGATAGAACTGTTTGGATCAGTTGAGCAAACTGCGCCTTCATCGCAATCGTCGACCCAAGGTATCATAGAGTACAATGCCCCCCACCCGAGAACCAAAAAGGGACACCAGGTTGCACTGCCAAAACCAAAAAAAGAAAAAAGAAAAAAAGAGTCGCAATAGATAAATATCGCAAAAAAAACCAAGAAAAAAAAAGACAAAGCCGCCAGCTCGGGGTTCTCCAGGTGTGGTGTGTTACCCGAGGTGCCTGGCGGTCTTGTCGCGATCATGGCCCTGCCACAATCGAGTGACCGGGTTCATCGGACCCGGAATCTTCGTCTTCGAAGATGTCTTGTAGAGTATCATTTCGAGGAGCTGCCTTGTTCCGATCATGGTCGGTGAGGGTATCATCGGCTGCGATCGAGACGCCTCTTGCGCCCCAGCGGTTGTTCCGGGAATGGCTGTCAGCTTCGTCTCCTTGATGATCGGTATGGAGTTGTTCTTCTTCGTCGGTGCTGCGTCGAGCTCGGAAGCTGAACACCTTATTTACTAGCCAGCTGTTGCGCAAATCCTCGGAATCGACGATTCCGCCGTTGCGGAGCTTCACGCGCTGCCGGGAATAATAGACCCAGGCAAAGTCGACGTAGAACGCGGTCTGCACCACCCCGAAGATATCGGCAACGGGGTCCCAGAAATGTTCGGGACCGAATCCTCGCACCAGCCAGTTCAGGATGTACAGCGCCCGATACGAACCTAGTGTTACGAGATAGTAGGAGTCGATCACTGTCGGGACGGTTGTCTGGCGCAGAAGAAGGAGCTGCGGCAACACGCAGACGGATTCCAGGATGATCGAAAATGACCAGGTTGTCTGTAGTAGTTTCCCCCATTCATTCAGCGAGCCGTTTCTAGAGTTCTGGGGCAGGATCCCGATGAAGTCACTCACCTCAGTAAACCAGTGTCGGGGATATTCTGAAGAAAAGATCCAGAGTACAATGGGAGCCAGCACTATCGACCCACCCACAGACCAGATGGCCAGTTTCCACGCCTTCTCCCTCTCCCTTGTTCGCGGATAGACCTTCATCATCAAGGCGATGATGTAGATCGACGAGAGAATGTAGAAGATTTTGAAGAAGATGTTCCAGGTGCTGTCATGCCATCTAAACAAAAACAACTCGATGTACCGATTCAAAAACACAAGGGCATAGAGGAGTTGGGTGAGGAGCGAAACGCCTAGCCAAGGGAAAACGCACATTGTTAGCAAATGCCCCCGAGATCAAAAACAACAAAACACACGAACAACTCACCCTCTGCGCTCTTGTTTCGGTGGATAGCCAGTATAAGAATGCATTTCGACGAGATATGGGCCAGATCGCCCAGGATGCGAAAGATGTTCATGGTTGTAGGGTTAGAAGAGAGTATGAAGAGAAGCTGTTGTGTTGACAAGGCTTTAGGCTACCGCCATGGACGCAGAGTGGATCTCAGCCCTTGGTATCGAGTGTAGACCCCCTGTTGCTTTGACAGGATAAAGCAGACGTCTTCAAGATATTTTCTTTCAATGATAGAAGCGTCTTCCTAGTCATCAAATAGAACGAGAAACGTGGCTGGGGTATTGAAAGGTCCAGCTGCGTAAGCCGAGAGCCTCCTGGATCCATTATCTCGATAACGACAGTCATGTGATGTCACTCTTTTCCAGAACGAGTCACTTAAAATCACTAAATACGACTTGAGTGAAGTGCGAGGAAATAAATTATTTATTTCACAGTGTTGGGTATATTTTGGGAAGAGTAGCTAGTATATATACAGATTTTCTAGCTTAAACTGCATATAGGAAACGTGTTGGTCTACAAACGGACTCGGAATTATATACTTCGGCATTCCTCCGGGCTGTTTATTATAATTAACTACAGTAGCTGTATGTCCTTCTTTTGATCCTATACTTTCCTCTCAGCCTATAATTTATCTTGTTTAATTATCCTGCTAGTCATAAAGCATTCAAGGAACACAAAATGCAGTCATTTAATAGGTAATCCGGACTGTTAAGTGGGATTTATCAGAAAACTTCCAGTACCTAGTAGACAGAAGGGCCGCTCTCTGCAGCTAGCAAGGATATACGGTTGGATCTCGGCAATCTTGAACCAGTGCTTGAAATGGGAGTGCGAATTTACCTCGGACGAGGCAATATGAGTGGCCAGAGTCTCGCCAGCCTTTTCATTTCATGGAAAACCACACCCTGGCCATGTTTGCATGCGCAGGTCGGAACCGAAGGAGCGCGACAGTATGGCCAGACCGTAGGGCGATCCTAATAGGCAGATCCCCAGTCCCCATTTCTCATGTTTACTATAAGCCAAGTGATGTACAGAGGAGGGCTTGACGATGATGCGATTTTGGTGACGTTATACTCATATCGGCGGGGTAATAAAAGCTAGTAATAATGTCAGGAATAAAGTAGTAGCAGCAGAACTGAACAATACTCACCCATCACCGATTGAATCCCCATGGGTCCATCCATGTTTGAAACCGGACCCTGAGAGGATTCGATATATATATGCAGTATACGTAGTAGGTACCTCCTGGTAACTACCTTAGTTACGGAGTATACCTAACTACCTGTCAGCCTGATGGGTAAATACGAGCGTCCTGTGGACAGCTTGGAAACCATGAGCTATTGTTATCCCATCACGGTTGTCGCGTAGAATATTCCTAGAAGAGAATAACCACAATAGCAGTATCCACCGGGAAACGACGACGTCGAACACTTCGGAGACAAGATCGTGCGACGAGGGTTGAGGGAGCAACGGCCGAGGTTTTGTGCTGTTGTTTGGTGGTGAGATTGGAGGCGTCGGATAAGCAGGCACAATACGAAAAAGAGCCCTTTTTATCTCTGCGAAAGAGTAAAAACGAAAAGCGACAGGGATCCCGACCTAATCAACCGCGTCTCTGTGGCCAGACGAGGCGCCCAGTACCGAAGCAAGCATGGAAACAATCCGTCCAGACCCGGTTTGTGGTGTTTTCTATTCGGCCCTGTTCCCTGGACACTGGCCGCTTGCTTCCCCGCTCTCAGCCCAGTACAGAAGTCGTCTTTCCCTCGATACACGCACCTCTCTTATCGAGTCCTCTCTGCTTCTGAATCTCAGTCAAAGGCAAGCAGCTTCTGGGAGTGCTCCTGTACGCTAGACGTTGGATCTTCTCTGGCCAGTTTCAAGTCACCCTTCCCCCGCACTGAACGCTGGCTTTCTATGTTCTGTTTACCTCTGCGATAGCAGTCCTTCGAGTACCAGTACATCGCCGTATCTCGCCCACCCCCCAGAAATCAGGTACGCGCTCCATATATTATATATATATATATATATAAATATATATAATATAGATATACAAGTACCTAGAGGTCGAGGTTCCTCCGAATTCACATCTCGTCTTTTTCATCCCTGTGATCTCATTTACCTTTCACCCTCCGTGAAGAGGTCCTCCACCCCCCGGTCATCAGTTCTAGTGTAACAGGGGAAAGTCATCTTCTTACTCGACCCTGGAGCCCTTTGACAAAGTGTCTCGAGCAGCAGGTTATCAGCAGCGCGGTTCTTGTGCAGATGAATCGGGAGGGACTGGTTGGGGAGCCCACACGTCTTTCACCATGTCGTAAGTACTCCTAGCCGTCCACCAAACACACCGTGGCCCTCTGTATCTTCAAGAAAAGTGTTACCTAATGCGGAGGCACCTTACCCTGATTTAGTCATGTGCTTCTGCCATTCACTTTCGAAACGTGAGGCAACACATAACTTCTTTTTGCTTCCTTGCCACTGACATTCCTCCTTCCCGTTGCTGGACCAGGGCACCTCCAAACTCGAAGCGCATGAAGCCCTCTCTGCCCACTACAGCCGCACCAGCTCATCTCATGGCGCAGCAGCAGTTACGCGCGTTTCCAGGAGCCGTTCCGTTCGACGGGCTTGCGATGCCTCCAAATCAGATGTCAGTTCCAAATCCACGGAAACGCCGGGCCTCGCCGCCGCCTGGAGTACCTTCGACAATGGTCATGCCCATGGGTACAGCGGCTGAAGTGATGGGCGGCGTGACGATGGCCATCCCAGAGCCGGCGCCCAAGAAAAAGTCCAGGACCAACACCCCGTGGACTGCAGAGGAGGAACAGAGATTGAAGACCATGCGGGATACTGGACTCAGCTGGAGTGAGATAGCAAAGGTTCGTGGAGTAAACCATACATATATATATATATATATATACATCACCCTGTTGTGTTATCAGATGCTTACCGCCCCAATATAGACCTTCCCTGCCAGAACCGAAGGGAGCGTGAAGAAACATTGGTATAAGGTGAGTCAAAGCTAGAGACATATAGACCAGTACTGACAGAGGGCCACAGGATATGCACTACGCCGAGTTTGCAGAGGACGAGGTAAGATGAACGCTTGCAGCGGCTTTATATCGAGGCGATGTCTCAACCTGTTACTGAGAAGTTCGGGCAGTCTACCGCATTGCGCGAGGCAATCAAAGAATATGAGGCCAACAAGTGGAAAATCATCGGGCAGAAAGTTGGCAAGCCTGCAAAAGTAAGAATGGCCGATTCTCTATTTCCATGATGCTGACAGCTTCCCAAGGCATGCGAGCAGTATGCAAGGGAACATTTCAAAAATGTTTGAGAGAGCACAAGGAAGAGCCTTGACGATTCATGAGCCTGATGCACGTTATGACACTTTTTCTTTCCTTTCTTCTTTCTGAGACCGTTTTCAGCCACTGGATGGAGTTGGGAGTGGTTTCGCCTGGTCGTTCTCCCAAGGTCTCACCCTGTTCTATTTATTTATTCTCTATTTCTTATTTCCTATCTGCCTTGGCCTCCTATGGACCTTATGTGATTTGACCGTGGACTTCTGGCACAGCAGGCCGAACAATCGAGTGATCAATTTCTCTCTCTCCCTCTCCCTGACCTTGTATTCCAGTAGTCGGCGTATCAACAGACCAGTGCACGATCTCTTCTTCTTCCTCTTCTTCACTTCAAGTCGCTCTCTCAGCTTATCTCGGGAAAATATGGGGCGACGGGAAGAGCGCACGGGCTAGAGTCGATCGAACATCTTCCCCGCGGTCAAGGATGCAGGGAAGAAAGAAACTTTCCTTCTTCTTACCCGACATTGGCTACGATTTTCTTCGGCCGCGAATTTTTCCTGAGACATCGTCAGGCGACCAAAAAACTTGCAAAAATCAAACTGGGCAACTGGTCTGTTTGAAAGGTCTGTGTTCTACGAAAGTCTTGCCCATCGCTTTTGTCGAGGGGCAGGAAACGCCTCTTCCGGATCTTGACTCATTGATAAGAAGAAGCTGACAAGACTGTACCCGCTAGCCAGATCGGATATTATCCTGCCTGTATTTCTCTCTCCCACGCGTTATCCTGTCGAGGACCACTATGAAGACAAGTAGTTTGGTTTTGTCAAGAGATCAAGGCTATCTAGGTACTATCGCGCCTTGCATGAAGACCGGTGTTCGGCAGTCGCTGCGCCCCGCCACCAGCAACAGGCACCTAGCTGGTGGTACAAAAGGGACAGACAGGACGCATATGTATGGTTAGATGTCTATCCCTTGGGCCAGTCAGGTTGCTTGAGTGTGTTTGGAGGGGGGTGCGTTCGCTGCGGCTGCTGTTCTGAGATCATACGGTTGAACTTGATCTGGATAATTCCAGCGAAAGAATTCATGCGTGGTTTTCTTTTTTCCTCCCCCTCTCTTAGTCATTTCTTGCAATTTCCAACTTTGCTTGGTATCGAAGTCGCTGACTCCTCTGCTACAGAATGTCGTTAGAAAACGAAATCTCTACCCTAGAGGTGGATGACCCCTCCCCCGCTCACCACAAGGAACAACCGGTCGTTCTCACTCACGATGACGAGTTCCCCTCCAGTGGAGGGCGTAGCCGTCCCGCTACCTCTCGCCTCGGTTCCTACATCAAAGTCTTCGAGCAGCAGCTTGTTGAGTATAACCTGGAGGCCAGAGGGATTGAGCGGGTGAGCGAGAGGGAGAGGATGACCCTCACATGGGTCGCGTACCTGCAGTCGTTCCTGCTCTGGGTCTCGATCAATCTGGCCGCGAACAATCTTACTCTTGGCATGCTCGGTCCTGTCGTCTACGGATTGAGCTTCCTGGACTCTTCGCTGTGCGCGGTGTGCGGTTGCGTGGTAGGCTCCATGGTTGCTTCGTGGATGGCCACCTGGGGTCCCGTGTCCGGTGTCCGAACTATGGTATGAGACTACTTCAGCTGCTTCAGCTGATTCCTTTTATGCATCTATTTCGTATAGAGCTGATAGACTCACCGTGCAATAGGCTGTTGGGCGCTATTCTATGGGCTGGTGGCCCAGCAAGATCATTGTGCTTCTTAATCTCATTCAAATGCTCGGCTACTGCTTGATTGACTGTGTTGTTGGAGGTCAGATCCTCTCGGCAGTCTCTCCGAGTGGAAGCATGTCCGTTGCTGTCGGTCAGTAAACCTTCTGGTCCTGCCAGCCTTTTTATCAACTTTGTCCATAACACACCCACTCTCAGGGATTGTAATCATCGCCGTTATCAGCTGGGCCGTGGCCACATTTGGTATCCAAATTTTCCATTATTATGAACGGTGAGTGTTCTCGGAACTCTCTTCTTGGTCATGGCTTTTTTTTTTTTACTAAACATGGAAATAGCTTTGCCTTCCTCCCTCAACTGATTGTTGTTTGTATTCTTTTTGGCGTTTCTGCGTCCAAGTTCGATTTGGCGGCCCCATCGCAGGGTGATGCGCGCACACTTGTAGGAAACCGGCTCTCCTTCTTCTCCCTCTGCGTGAGCGCTGCCATCACCTACGCGCCCCTGGCGGCCGATTTCTTCGTCTACTACCCCGAAAACACATCCAAGTCCGCCCTCTTCGGCCTGACCTTCTTTGGTCTTATGGTTTCCTTCACCATGGCCCTTGTCTGTGGAATCGGGCTTGCATCCGGGATCGGCGCTCATGCAGAGTACGCAGCTGCGTATGACCGGGGCGCTGGGGCCCTGATTGTCGAGGGATTCGGGCCCCTGCACGGCTTCGGCAAGTTCTGCTCGGTGGTAGTTGCGCTGGGCTTGATTGCCAACACCATCCCGCCGACGTACTCGTCAAGCGTGGATTTCCAGATTCTCGGCCGCTACGCCGAGTTCATCCCGCGCGTGATCTGGAACACGATCGGCGTGATCATTTACACGGTGTGTGCGCTAGCCGGCCGCGGCAGTCTTTCGGAGATCTTCACCAATTTCCTCGCCCTGATGGGCTACTGGGTGGCCATCTGGTTCGCCATCCTCCTCGAGGAACACTGCTTCTTCCGCCTCCGCAGCGGCTACAACTGGGGCGCATGGAACGATCCGTCCAAGCTGCCCGTCGGCATCGCAGCCTTTGTCGCCTTCCTGGTCGGCTGGGCCGGCGCCATCCTCTGCATGGCCCAGGTGTGGTATATCGGCCCTCTGGCTAGCTTAGTGGGTGACTACGGCGCGGATGTAAGCCTTTTTCTTTCTTTCTCTCTCTCTTTTCTCGTTTCTTTCGACTGACAATTACAGATGGGTAACTACGTCGGTTTCACTTGGGCAGCTCTCGTCTACCCGCCGCTGCGTTACTTGGAACGTCGTCGATTCGGAAGGTAACACAAGTATACACACACACACACACGAGAAATTCATCTTGTAGATACACTTAGGGAAGGGCTGTCGCCCTTCTCCCACTTGCCCTTTACCTGTACATATCATTTTGTATGATGAGGTTTTTAAGGTCATGATGTCCTAAAAACAGCAGGATGATGTATATTCATGACAGTGAATGTATTACTTTACAATGTAAGCGCTGGACGGACGGAATATACCTAGGTATATACAGACTCTGTTAATAAAATGTTAAGACTGCCGACCACCTCGTAACTAGTTACACTTCTCGTCAGGCATCTATCTGAATGATAGTTAGGTAGGTACCTAGGTAGTAGCTACCTTTTACTAAATACGCACTAATGTAAGCAGATTTCATCCCGAGTTTCCCCGGAGGCATGTCATGCCATACGATGAGACCACAACAAACCAACACAGTTACTGCCACAACTTTCATTCGTCTTCGACTATTCTACAAAGGAGACAGGGACTTTAGCGAGTATCGGGGGGTGGGGGGCAAAACAAATACAGCTGCTAACACAAAAATATACCGAGGCAATACAGGAAAAGGGTTCAGGAAAGAGGTCAGGTTGTAAATGAGTAGTAGAAGAAGGAAGCAAAGACGGGGGGGAGGAAGATGAGCTCTCTCCTCCCATCTACTCCTTCTTGGCGGGTGCACTGGACCGTCTTCTGTCGCCTTGTCTGCTTGGAAAGCGTAACCATTTGAGGAGGAGAACAGCTGCGTGCTTCTTGGGGTTCACCTCGAGTATTTACCGGTACCAGTACTCGGGCTTGACGAAGTCGGCAAAGGTCTTGGGCTCCTCGTGAGCGGGGTGGCCGTGGCCGTGACCGTGGTCGTCTAGAAAAGAAAGCTAGATTAGCGAGATGCTCGGTTCACTTCACGCTGAAGCCACAAGGGTTTGGTTAGAACATACGTGCATGGGGGTCCTCCTCGGGGCCGATGTAGTTCAGCTTGACAACGTTGCCGCACTCGCCGCAGCGCTCAATGGGGCGGTCACGAGAGACCTGAGAAAGTGGCGCATTAGAATACCGTAAAAGAGACATCTGAGGTTCAGATGGCGGGATGACTCACAGTCAGCCAGTTAACCTGGTGGGAATCTGCGGGGTAGCCAGTGCAACCGGCGTACTGTTCATCACCGGCACCGTTGACAATGATGGGGTTCTCAATCGTTCCTGCACATCCAAGTTAGCCTTGAAACAACAATAATAGAAAAGCCAAACCGGCACAGTGATATAGCGTAAGGCATACCCTTCCTGGAAGCATCAAGGGGTCTCATGTCGAAGATATCGATGCCCTGCATCTTTCCGATGAGTTCGAGACGCTCGAGACCGGTGGCCTGCTCGAGGTCGCTAGGGATGGTACCGGGCTTACCACCCGGGGGAAGAAGGTCCTTCTCATTCTTGATCTCTGTGGAAAAGAATTGTCAGCATAGAATCACAGATTGCGGTGTTCGGGAAATGACGCATCACAATTCTGACACGGACGAACGGGACGATGCAACAATTGCAACAGCAAAACACATCAAACGCCGTCTCAAAAGTCCCAGAAAATATAACAATCACACGAGAAGAAGACGTAGGGGGAGGGGGAAGGAATCGCTGCACACTAACCCTCGAAAGAGAGGATTTTGCCCTCAGGCGAGGCCTCCCATTTCTTGTTGTCTATTAACGAAAGCAAACGTTAGCTCAAGACCCCATTGAACATTTGTGAGCCCCTCAATCGACAAACAACCACTCCCTGACCAAATTGAGGCCAGTTGAGGAGCCATTGCTGTTGGAGACAGAAGCGAAAAAGCGCGACGTTGGGCAGGATGGGGGGGTTCACGAACTGCGGACGATGGAGGACGAGAAAGGGCGGGCGGCGATGGCTCTAGCCGGGGCGCGCCGGGCAAGGGCGACAGCTGTGCGCTGGAGGAACATTGTCCTTGGTGAAATTATTAGGAGGGGGGAAGGACCAGCTGGTGGTGGTGGACTCGTGGGGGTGAGAACGTTTGGAGAGGAGGGAGGTTTGGAGGTGAGGTGAGTTTGAAGCCGCTCCAGCCCGTGCTTGGCGCTCCCAGCTTTCCCGAGTCGTGCGCTGGCTCTTAGTCAGCAGCGTTGATTGGCTGCGCAGCTGGTACGGCGGACTGCAGGCGCCGTTCTGGGTGCATTGCCTGATCCAGCGCCCAGGCAGGGTTGAGCCCTGTCTCATACGATCCTCGATCACTCCATATTTTCGGAATCCGTACTTGGTCACTACCTACGGTACGGTAGGTACCTGTCAAAAGTGGAGATCTCCAAGTATGTAGTAAGTCAAGGGTGAGATGGATTACAATTAGAATTACTATATACACTGTACAAATATCCAAGCTGATCTGTATCCACAGAGGCAGAAGATTCACCGGGGCCGATCCAACCAAAATCCAAGGCCAAGTCCCAAATATACTAAACCGACAAGAAATCCAAATGGGTTTTTTCCAAAAAGAAAAAGAAGGGGAGGAGAAGAAGAAGAAGAAATAATAAAAAATTGCCGTAAGATAAAAATCAAATTTTTCGTCATCAAAGATCCGCCGCTTTTGCGCGGCAGGCTGCAGGCGTGAATCCGTGGCCAACCTTGGTCGCGATGATACGCCAACGGTCATTTTCATAGTCTTCGATCGCGTGCCGTAGCCGTTCGACCTGATCAACAGTTAGTCAGAGAGAGATAGAGAGAGAGAGAGAGAGAGAGAGAGAACGCACCATTTCGTCCGACCAGACTGTATCTTTCACTTTCAACTTGGTGCAATAGCGGACTTGAAGAGTGCCGCTGGTTCGACCGGGGAAGAAATCAGAAATTTGCCTCCATGTGAGATTTTTATTCTCCTTCAGCTCGACTAGCAGGGCGTCTTCCTCCGCAGTGAACTTGAGCTTCGGTCCCGGTGGCCTGGGAGCGGGCTCGGGCATGCCTGGCTGGCCTACCACGCTTGGCGGACCGGGAACTGCCGGTGGTGACGATGTGTCCGAACCATACTGTTGATCTGGTTGCAATGAAGCCTGGGGAGGGAGGCGATGGTGATGGTGCCGTGGTAGCGTCGCAGAAGATTGCGGGGTCGAGTATCTATGACTCGAGCCAGGGGGCAGGTGTGGAGAGGAATCACCGGGCACCGTAAAAAGAAACTCGGGAGAATGTGTCGCTTCGGGGGACACCTCACTGGCGGGCAGGCCAGACAGCTGTGGTCCAACGGTGGGATCCAACTGACCGGGCTCACCTTCGCTCTCTGCATGAGACCGTTTCCTGCCACGCGGAGCGGAGAAGACCTGCAGAGCAGTGGGCGTATAATGCAGCGGATCTTGAGGCTGCAGCTGCGATGTGAGGAGAACAGACTGCGAATAATCATGAGTCATGGGCTGAGGCGTGCCCGATGACAAGATTGCGGTACCTGCATGCCGCTGATCCGGCGGGGGATGTTGGTCAAAGAGTGATTGATGAGGCGTGTCTGGGGTAAAAGACGGATGAGTATGATCCAAGTCGGTCTGGCTGGCATCAAATATCAACAGGTTTCCCTGTTCTTCCGTCGTGCAATTGGCATGGTGAGAGTAGCTGGGCGTATAGTCTGGATATGGATCCGCCAGGGTCGCGGACATACATCTGGCGCTGCTAGAGCTGTGAAGCCCTGGCAAGCGGCCTATCTGGGGGTTGAAGATCTGGAAAAGGAGCAAGGACCCAAAAAGAGATGATTGGTTTGGGTTTGCGTCTTGGTCAATCCCAGGGAATGGAGAGTTCAATTTAATTTCCCGTTGGACCTCCAGGCCGGCGGTTTTAGCTGACAAGGTACATAGGTTGCGCAGAAAATGTCTGCACAGCCAGGTGACAAGGACCGCGTAGAAAGAGGGTTTTCGTAATAAAAAAAAGAATGAAGGAAAGAAGAAAGAAGCAAAGCAAGAAGAAGAAGAACAAGAACAAAAAACGAGTGACAGAGAAAGGATGAAAATGCCTGCGTAGAATCTATCCAAAGGGCAGCCATGCAGCTACTTTAAGAAGACACCAGGGACAGCATGACAAGGCCAGTTAGACCAGGACGTTCCCCACTTCGGTGGCATAGGTCCACGCAGATGTGGCTAACGTTATTCAATAGATCCAAGAAAGCGGGAAGCGTCATCTCTAGACCGAGGCTTCCAACCTTTCATCGATGCGTCTTCGGACCCGCCGCCGCCGTCTTCTGCCTACACGGAGTAGGGGGAGTTTGTTCAAGGCAGAGGAGGGGTAGAAAGCGACGCTCCAACGAATCAATGTCAAAGACAAGAACGACAGATAGGTATGGAAGTGCATCCAAGAGACCGACTGCGGAAATACGCCTCCACAGCAACCCGAAAGCTGTTCCCCTTTTTTAAAAAAAAAAAAATCTTATTTTTTCGGGGCGCAAGACATTGAAGAAGGAAATGGCTTGAGCCAAGGCACTCCCGCCGGGTCAATAAACTTGATGGCACTCAACGATAGCAGGAGACTCGTCATCCAGCACGAGTCAATTTGCACCAGCAGAAGGGTTCTGGAAAGCATTCGGACAGAGGCTAGGCAGGGTCGAGAGGGCCCGGGCCCAGTTTTGCGCGTTAGCCAGGGTCTATTCCCATTCGACAGAGGCTTGCGAGCAAGATCCCCCTTGTTCCACTCGCACCCACAATCCGCAGGGGCAACGTCAAGCAAGGCCTAACGGGCCGGCAGGGCACAGTAGACGGACAACATCCGCTCCTTATTGGATCTGGATGAACCAGCAAAGCCCGAGGATTCGAGTCTAAGCCTTTTGGTTACTTTCTTTTTCTTTTTGATGACATCCTTGGGGACCTTCCTTTTCACGGCGGCTTCCCTTCTCCCCCCCCGCCCCCTTCTTCTTCTCCTTCTTCAAAGATTCGGCCGTAGCACCATCTTAGATCCGACCGTGACTGACTCAGCGAGTGTTTGATTTTACGGTGCTGGAGGAATCGAGTCTGGTAGTCTGGTAAAGCTGGTGAACCTCAGACGCTGGGCCGTTTTGCTGTCTGTTTCACCATTGTGTTAGCATGCGAGGTGTTCACGAGCAACAGCAGCCACATTTCCGACCAGCAAGCATTCGGTGAAGTAGTAGTCGTACTTGGGAACTCATCACCATAGTCCAGGAAACGCACCGAAAACCGCAGAGGCCACGAGGCTCTTCCTGGGAAGCCAGACACGGCTGGAAGGTACCGTGAGCCGCCTGGGTACGGGCTACGGAGTAGGGAGTTAGGAAGGCTCCTCTTTGTGGAGTGGTCCTAGTAGCTTAATGGTAAGCTTTACTGGGTGAACCCACAGGGGTGGCTAAGCCGAATCGGAAGGCGCTGAGTCAGCACGTATTGCAGACAAGGTACGGAGTACGGAGTAACTACCTAAACTTAGGTGCCTACCAGGTAAGGTAACTACGGGACACTCCGTACTTCCTGGCATCTCCACCAAGAAAATTCTCCGAGCGATCCTCCTTTCCCCCCTTCCCCTCTATCTACGCGTGGTCGGTAGACTTGATGATCCATCACAAAAAGACGCCGGCGAAAGGAGCTGCGTCGCCATGATGGAAAACGTCGCTCCTGAAAGGCACGGACGTCGAAAAAGGAAATGTCTCCGATCCGCAGATACTGGCGTCCTCCGTACAAACCGAGTGCTATTTTTGTGACCCTACCAATCCAATCAGAAACCCCACGATCACGGCTCTATCGTGCTAGTGAGGAGAAACAACTGCAGCTAAGATGTCAGATGGAGGCTGAGTGGTCCCCCTCCTCCAGCGGCATGCAAGCCCCCACTAACTATCGGTATCTTACTATCTGCTAGTCTCCCGATCCCTTCAGACCACCCAAGGTCGCTAGACCGGATAGTTGAGTAGCTGTTAGTCAATAGTTTAGTTGACTAACACTATACTACGGAGCACATATCGCTGGAACCGAAAAGTACGGGAAAATATACGAAGTACGGAGTACCTACGGATCTACGGAGTAACTACTAGGTATGGAGTACTACTACAAATTGCCCTTCCTTTTCCTTGGCTACGGAGTATTATTTTTTTTCTCCCGCTCTGCACAGGCCTACTCCGTACTCCATAACTATCTACTACGGTGTGGTATCTGACAGCCACTTTCCAAGAGCCAAGGCGCCGCTACTACCTAGGTACGTATGCAGTGATGCACTACGGACGAAGTAGTCCTAGAAGGAGGTGGAGAATCGGAGATCCGACACCTTCGGTCCTCTCAAAGTCCTGGCCAGGGTTTCCTTTCCGTCCGCTAGACCATACCACTCCGTCGTATACCATCGGAATATCAGCTGTGGCTTTTCTTTTTATTTATTATTATTATTATTATTATTATTATTATTATTATTAATTTTTCCCTCCTCCTTCTCGACGATGACGATGACGATGACGATGACGATGACGGATGGCGATCAAAAAATTGTTATACTCCGTCGTCTTAAGGCTCTGGCTAAGTGTTACTAAGTGCTACTAGTTAAATCTACCCGCAGGGTTCCGGCCGGCTTAGTCACCCGTTAGTCAGCATGTGCACACAGGAATAGCTTCGGATGGCCTACAAAATCAGAAGTTGATGTGCAAGTTCCCACAGGAAGCAGGCTAAATCACATACGCCACACAGTCTACCAGGTCTTATTTTTTTTTCAATTCTCTCTTTTTCAACTTTGAAGAATAGAATGGGGCTTGCATGTGAGTAGGTCCGGATACCACTTTATCCAACGAGCCTAACGGGTATGCCTCCACATAGGAATCCATAATATACCGTCATATTGGACGTCAAGGCGGTTGGCATTATTAGCGACTATTCCTTTGTTACAGTACTACTACTTGTACACATCCGGATAGCCCCTGGATTAGTGTACGTTACTAATGTGCGTAATACTGGCCTGCTAACTAATAGGTACTACGTACCTAGTACATAGCTGACAGCCTGGGATTGATTAAGCTTATAATATACTCCGTACTCCAGACTCCAGTTTGACAGAGAGAAGGCAAGAGGATGTTGTCGATACAATTGATTTCCCTACTAACAACTAACGTGACTTAGAAGATGGCCACAAATTGTCAACCAAGAGATCTGGCTGGAAAAATAGAGATGAAAGCGCCATAAACACCATGCTATAATATAACGTGTTATAATAATGCCTCTTATAATCTGAACAGCCATATCAGCCTAAAGACGTACAGGACAGGCCTAGAGTCTGTTGCCTCTTCCTCCGTATCTCTTTCGTACTCCTTTCCTTCATCGAGAAAGGAGTACTATCAAAACCTGCCTTCTATACGAAGCAGAGATGGAGTTCCTTTACGTCTACGTCTACGTCTACGTCTGCCTTGAGGATTTCCCAGTCTACAATCCCTGCTCTTACCAGGGCTGTCTCTTCTTCCACAAAATCTCGGCAAAACTATACAACCATCACACCCACTAACTACAAGAATCTGGAGCCTTTTTCGCTCTTTTCCAATGAACCATAATACAGGCCCTGCAAAAATTCCACCCACACAGCGCCAATTCCAAGAACAAGCGCAACTAAATTAACCCCCCCCCCCCCTCGTTATCATCCTGCCTCATTCGATAGACAAGAGATCTCTAAGAAATTTTTCTTCCTGTGATGACACCACCATGATACAATACGTTAACCGATCACATTCCCCCTCCCGCCCCCCCACACACAGGTGACAAGGTGATGAGCTCAAACATGAAGCATGAGTAGTTGCTTTCAGTCCAAGCCACAAAAGCGCTCGAGCCCAAGTTATCCCGGCAATAGACTCGGCCCTCTGGTCGACTTTCAAGGGTGGGATCGTCTTGTTGCATGAGTTCGAACAAGACTACATGTAACTACGTAGTATTCGTGATATGAAATCAAAGCTTGTCTATTTAGATATAACTATAGTATAAACTAAGAGTAGTCTCCTATCTCTTAGCTACTTCACGCTCTACCTCGGTTCTAGATTGATAAAGATTGCATTAGAATTATTGGTATACTACGATGGACATTCAATTCAATAGCACAGCTCTGATCTGTGGATACTAGATACACATAAGTTTTTTTAAAAAACAAAAAAAAAAAATGTCGATGACCGCTGAAATCCTTGTCTGACGGGTTTTTGGAGTTTCATGATTAGCATACAGGAAATAGGTTAAAACGACAAAAGTCTCGCAACGCCGGGATCAGGATGATTAAAGGGAAAAGGACGATGAAATAAGACAGGTAAAAGAATACAATTCGCCGCGGAAAACAACCCGCTCAGGCAAAATTATCGGACCGGTCAACCCAAATATCCTCCAACTCGGCAAAGTTCTGGAAATGCAACGGACGATGCTGTGCGTCGTAGAAACGTAGCGGCGTGTCGATCTTGACGTAGACGGGCCGTTTCTCGACCCCGCCAAACGAGCTGCCCATGAAGCTGTAGTTCCAGACATTGTCCTCTGGCACCAAGAAATAGCCTCTGATCTTGTCACTGAGCAGCAGCTGACACTTTTCACCCATACTGGTCGAGAATCCCTGCGGCTGGTCCGAGGTTGTGTCTTTGTTTTCGGCCCCCCATTTGTAGCCCTCGGGGGTAAGCGCCCAGGCAGCCAGAGACACGGATCCGGGCGTGAACGAAACCGTCATCGTCACTGTCTTCTTGTCCCAGGACGAATGGGCATTCATCAGGCGGGCATGCTGAGTGACATCCATGGCAGTCATGTACGGAGGCTCATTGCCCGAGACAGTATGGATGACACCCAAGGGCTCCAGACTGTTCAGGTAGTCGTGCTGCGGCAGCTCATGTGGCAGCTGGACATCGCGAGTGTTTCCGACTTGCGGGACCATGACAATGGTGCGCACCTCCTTGACTTGATCGTTATCCGGGGGTGAGCTGCCGTAGAGGTAGCCTGAAACCTGCACACGAAGATCCGCGATAGTGATGAAGCGTCGCAGGATGTTCTTGGGCATGACGTACGTGTACCCTTCCTCTTGGATGTCGTCGGACGAGATGTAGATGTTGTTCGACCGGGTGCGAAGGTTCGACGTCGCAATGGCCCGGGTGCGCCATTCAGTCTTCGACGCGAACGACTGCTGCTCGTACTGCGACGTCGTGGTGACGATGATCTCCTCACCACGAACGTTCTGAGTCTTGGTGGTGACGGCGGTAAGCTGCTTCTGTTCTTCCTGTTGCTTCTCGATTTCGGCTGCCTGCTGTCTCTGCAAGGATGGTGCACTGATCTCCATACCCAGAATGATGTCACGGACTTCGCTACTGGTCAAACTTTGTACGTTGACATTGTTCTTCTTTCCATAATCGTTCAAGATAAGGTCACGCAGCTGCACTTCAACCTTAATCCAGTCCTCGTCGGAGAGTGAAGGCCAGATGTGATGTTCCTGAGTGATCACTGTCTTATCAGGCCGCAAGATGATCTTTGTCTTATCAGGATTGACATGGAGGGCTCGAAGAATGAGGATCAACCTAGAGAAGGCCGTGTACGGAGAGATCGAACGTAACCATTCATCGTAAAGATTGAACAGCACCATCTGCGGCTCAGTGGCACGGAGAATCATATCAGCCAGCTTCTCAACCTTCATAGCGGCTTGGAATGGAAGCTGGAGCTCAGAAGCGCGAATAGAAATGTTGGGGAAGTCAAGCAGATGGACCTCAAGCGGATCAAGGAGACCCTTGCGAGTAACAATAAGCTGCTTAGGCTGCTCTTCCACCGGCAGAGAGCGGATGAGGGCCGCCACTTCTTCTGCAGTCTTCCATTTGGCCAGCTGACCAAGACGCTTCTGTCCAGCCCAGACACTCGTGTGAATGATCTTCAAGAAGAGTTGACCAGTTCGAGGGTTGAAAATAAAGATGGCACCGTTGATCGGCTTGGTGGTAAGGTTACCTTCGAAGGTCTTATGGATCGTCACACGGTACACGTTGGTGTCGTCAATGAACAGTTGGATCTGAGGACTGAAGAGTTCCGAGTAGTTCTGCGAATTGAGAAATTCCTGGTTGCTCTCTGAGGCATATAGCTGCAAGCCCTTTCGGATACGCTCTCTCAACACATACAAGGCAGGGTTTGCCTTCATGATCTTCGCCATCGCTTGCTGAATCAGCGTCTTCAATCCAGGGAAGTACTGGCCATAAGCCGAGTGTAGGTTGTATGCAAGGTCGATGCCGATCATGAGACCGGTGGCAGAGGGGTAGATGCTCATGCTATCCGTGGTGTAGTCGAGGTATTTGGCACGAACATATCTCTCGATATCGTGAGAATCATAATCACCATATCTCAGTTGCACATCAAGCCAGAACTTGTTGGTGGTCGTGGGCTCGTAAACATCCTTCGTATCAAACAGAAGGGATGGCCGCGTCACATTCCATTTGTTGGTCGCGAACAGAAGAATATCGGCACAGGAGCTGTTCATCTTGTATGATTTACGAGGATGGATAGTCTCCTTCTGAACTGCCTCGATACCCAACTGCTCCAATTCCTGGTCAAAGACCTGGCACAAATCCATGACAACGGACTCGTGAATCTTTTGCCACAAATGGGCACGGAAGATCTGGATTAAGGAGATCTTCAAGGTAGGAATCTTGCCGTGCAAGAAGATACCGGTAAGATCCAGTTGAACCTGGAAACCAACGTACACGTTGGCGCGGTTAATGGTCGGGGACCACCAAAGCGTGAATCGACGGTTCGGGATCTGGTTCAAACCCGATCGCTGGGCGTTTGTGAGCTTCTTGAACTTCATCGACCTGCCGACAAGTTAGTTTAACATTCCGCAACGTTCTAAAAGGGAAAAAAGGGATTACTAACTCTTCGAAGCCGCTGGCTCTTTCCCAAAAGAGACCCTCCCATGATGGAAAAGCGGTAGCCTTGAACAGGGTGTGTTCCAGGATGGTTTCGACACCACCCAGAGCCTGAATGACGTCGGTTCGGTAGGCATTCAGGTTCCACAGCTTGCCGTCGTGCCGCTGACTTGTCCACCAGAACGGATTGCTCTTCATCAACTGGTACTGCTTAAATTCGGCGCGGAGACGGAAACCCTTGTCGAAGCTGAGGGTGCTGCGATCCTTTTGGAACAGTGTGTTGATACGCGGCAGACCACGGTCCCAGCTATCCTCAAGATCCTCCAAGGTCAGGCGCCGATTCTGTTGCTGTGCTTCCTGTCGCTTTTGGGAATACTCCATCCAAACACGCTGAGAGTCGATGAACTCGGCCTCCCAAGGAATGATGTAGCGGAAAATGTTCGGAATCAAGGTTTCTTCGTCATGTGACATACCAGCACGGAAATGGGTGATTCCAGTATCCGTCTGCTTGGACCATCGCTTGTCACTAGCTGGAATGAGGATGTGAGATCCAGAGATCATTCCCAGACCACCAAGCTCCTTAGGGGTATAAAAGACAGCGGGAGGGAAGCGCGACGGCATCTTGGAGTTCAAACCAATCTTGACACGAGTCTGAATCTTGGTCTCGCATTTGACGATCGTATCCAAAAGGTTGACAGTCGAAACGGCAGCCTCACGGTAGTAAGTGAACAAGGCAATCAAAGCGGTGTTCCATTTGTTCGCGATCTTGGTGAAGGTGGTGGATCCAGACGACATGAGGATCTGTCGAATCCTGTTGTTGAACTTTTGGATGTCCTCCTCTGTGACTTGGAGGAAGGCATGAGCCGTTCGCTCCTTGGACGAGTTATCGACCAAGGACCAGACGCTGTCCTTCACCGAAAACTCCTCATTTTGATTGCGAATCTTCGGCAGGATGCGAACTTCAAACCCGCTCATTGAGAACAAGAGGTTAGGGTTGTCCTTGCTGTAGACGCTGGAAAACGTATCGTCCCATTCGACTGTTGTGATGGATCGGGGCAGGCGGTTTTTCAAATCCCAGAACACGGCACGGCCGAGGTTCACATCGTGGCGCATCAAGCGCATTCTGCAGTCGCGAGGCCAGCACTTCTTGTTTCTGTACCCGATGACGTTTTCGAAGTTGGGATCAGGATTTTCCGTCAGGAACCGTTGGATCAGGTCTCTGGACTCATCGGCCGAGAACCGGAAAAAAACCCAGATCTTGTCAACATAGCGGGTGTAGAGACGGATCGGGTGGCGAGTTTCAGTTGCACGGTCCCTGAATTGCAGGAAGTCGTTCGGACTCTGAGGCGGGCCTGCCATCTCGCTTGCACGTTGCAGACCAAGGAGGAGCAGATCGATCATGAGACCGTAGTACTGGAAGACGAATCCAGAGAACTGAAGGCCTCGAATCAAACCGTAGCTGTTGGTGTGGTTCATGTCCTTGTAGCTGAGCTGCACGTTGTTCTTTGACGTGATGTAATCAGCCAAGTTGTGATCCATGATGAGACGGAGCAAGCGGTTGAGCAATGTAAGATCGATTTTTTCATAGACCTTGGAAAGTTCAGTTTCAATCATCACATTGGTCTCTCCGTCTGCAGTCTCCCAGACGTTTGACAGGTTGTTGATTCCCTGAGCCCACTTGTATGTCAGCAAGGGAGGGACCTCTGAATCCGAGGGTTTGATCCACGCCGGGAACAGGTGACGCTGCTCGGCTTGGTACCAGAGGTATTGGTCGAGATAGGCATCAGTGATCTTTTCGATGGGCTCGACGTCATAGACGGGGTTGATATTGTTATAGTTGTCATTCATGTCGATGCCAACCTCCTTGAATGCTCTCTGGGTTAGGAGAAAGCGTTTGATTCTTGCCAAGGTGGTTCCCGGAGAGTCGTAGGCCTGTTCGATGAGCGCAAGCTCTTCACGCTGACTCTGATTAAGTCGACCCTTGACAGAGTACGATTCACGCAGGCGTTCAAGGGCCAGAATCAAGATCTTGGTATCGTGTTTGTAGGAGACACTGGGGAAAGGGATAGGAGAGAACTTGCGTGACTCAAGCCAGTGCACCATGGTGGTATAGATGGCAACGGCTTCTTCGGATGATACATAAGGACCATCCTTGAGGTAATTATGCTGCCTTTCTTGTTCGGCCTTGAGCCAAAGCCGTGTGAGACGACCGAGGTTCTTTTTCGCGACAGTCTTATCAACCGTGGCGCCGCGGCGAATTCTTTCCCGATTGTAATGTGCGACTGAAATCCACCAATCGGCCTTGCTCTTGACGTAACGAAGGATGATGTTCTCAATAGGAGCGGGCAATCCGGGCACCTTCCAGGGGATGTTACTCTTCCAGCATCTCCATGCTTCCGAAAGATGCTGAAGAACAGTGTTGACCTTGTTCTGTTTGATACCTTCGGGCATCATGTCCATCAGGTCTGCCATGACGGAAGCACGAAGCTCGAGATCAAAGTGGGATTCGACACGTTGCTTCGTCACGGTCTTGGCGACGCCCTTGCTGTGACGACCCTCGAATTGGCGCGAAAGCAAGTTTCCAAGCCATCTCTCCAGGAGGGGGATGATACCACGCATGAAGAACAACCAGACACGCCAGGCGGGGGCCCAGAACCCGCAGCCGGGACCCTTGCCGACAGGGCCCGAATTGAAACGGTAGTAGATCAAGTGCTTCAAGTCCTTGCATGACCGAATCTGATGCATGAGCTTGTACTTGTAACGGTACATGCCGGTCAACTGTCCAACATGGTTGAACGCATAGAGGATGCCATCAGCGAGCTGGAAGGCATCAATGTTGCCCAGGCGGTACTGAACCTGGGCGTCAACAATCAACTTGGTGAGACGCAAGATTTCTCTCATCAAATGGAAGGCGTTTCCGAATCGAGATTTCTTCCGCTCCTTGGTTGTCAAGGTCTTGACAGGCTTCAGGTTGAAGTTGTAATCCAGATGCAAGTAGGTCAGATTCTTGCGATGGATCAGGAGGTTGAGCATGTTGAAGCCTTGCCGGCACACTTGCAGACCTGCTTCAACCCAGTCAATGGTGGTCTGCTGGAAGAATTTGGTAGACTTCAATGTCTTCAGAAGGTTCTGCTTGCTCTGAGCCTTGGGCTTCTTTTTGTGAAGCTCGTTGAGCACGTAGGTCTTGAGCATTTTCTGGTAAGACACGCGCACTTTGACAGGCTGGCCCTGGGGGCAATGCTCGAGATACCACTGCTTCACCAGGGGTACATCCTGCGCGCGGACCATTTTTCCAGAGCGTTTGTTGAACGGATGCGGGGCCCACCACAGGGCAATAGCTGAGGCAGTCTCGGAGTTGTACAGTTCCTCGTCCGCGAAGAACGGCTCCACTTCACCAGGAAGCTCGAACTCATCGTCCTCCATGTTTCCCGGCCCAAAAACGGAATCTTCGTGGCTCACGGTGACGTTCTTGGGAGCGACGGATCGAGAAGAAATCGGGTTGATCACGGGGTCGAAGTAGAAGGCGGGGAGGTTAGGGTCCTCGGTTCGGACATAGACAACCTGAGGATGAGAGTACCACGAGATCTTGACGCTCCGGGGCAAGGTGTTGTACAGATGGGGGAAGGCCACCCGGTATTCCGTCCGAATGGGAGCACGGAAGATGATACGGTCGATGGCGTTGAACTCACTAAAGTCCTCGTCGTTGGGGTCGATATCCTTGTAGAGAGGTTCAAAGCGAGGGCCGCCGGGGATGGCAACGTTTAAAGCCTTGGCCGTCTTGAAGCTGCTGAGATCGAACATGTGAAAATAGTTCTGATCCACCACGTCACTCAGCAGCTGGTGGCTCAAGCGGTAGAGAGTCGCCATCTGCGGTAACGTCAAGTTCCATTCCCTGTAGCTGGGCCCGTTCACGTGGGGGGTATCGAGGAGCGGGCGGTGATCGTAGAACCATTCGTAGACGGCGGTGTCTTCGTTCTCGTCCAGTTCCATCTGGATGGGCTCGAGGGGCTCGACATCTTCGATGTTTTCCGACCACGACAGCGGCGGTTCCTCGTCATCAAAGGGGGGGAAACGCATCCGCTTGAAGTGTCTGCGGTCGCTCTTCTCGCGTCGCATGCACATCCACATAGTCGCCCACTGGGCGTGGAAGACGGGCTCGATGACCCGCGGCGTCTCGTTCACGAGGGTCAGGCAGCCGTTGACGTGGTACAAGACTTTAACTTCTCTGGCCGACTCCCAGGGCATTGGCATGTTTTCCAAGAGCTTCAGGACGGCGTGGGGCATGAACTTCAGCGCACCCAGATAGCTTCGCTTCTCTGTGCTGAACTTCTTTTGCGACACATCGCCGATATCCTTGACGATCTTGCGCAGATGCTCTGGCGGCATGTCGGCCTTCTGCGTCTCTACAAACCCCCCCTTCCTCTTCTCTCCGAACCGGTTACGCTGCGTCCGCAGCCATTCGTTCTTCTTCAACGCAAACTTAGCGACCGTCGGATCAGCCGGCGGCTGGTACCCAGGAGGCGGCGGAGCGAGCGGCATAGATGGAGGCGCCGATGCACCCCATCCTGGAGGTGGGGGAGGAGGAGGCAGCGATGCCATGATGACTTATTTGGCCGTCACAGCCCGGTTGATGATAGCTGTTTCTTCACCACCGCGTCGCGTGTTAAGTCGAAGGCAGGCGAGGAAGAAAAAAAAAAGCACCGCAACACGCAGTAGTCGCGGAGTGACACGTAGCAAAAGTGATGAAAAGGCCGTCAGAGGGACCAGAATCGATTCTCAACTGAAGAAACCCGACTCCTGGACGACCCCTGCGCGAGACAGGCTGATGCAAATCTGCTTCGTCAGTCCCAATCTGCCTTCTTGGCCAGGACAAGTCTGAAAAGAGGAGGCGGCTCCGGGCTGGTCCGCACTAGGCCCTGTATGGACTAGCGCGAGCTCGCCAAAAAATCGGCGCTAGCACGTGACCATCCCAGGGCTCGGGACGAAACCCACACAAATCCGTGACAATTCTACGACGACCACGACGACCACCGACAACGCCGCCAATTCTTTGAATCCCGAGTCACCGTAGGTTCAAGGACAATCAAAATGGCGAACAACAGAGTTCAATACGTGAGTCAACTTTTGCGATAATTCTAATCTTCCCCCCCCCCCCCATGTCGGCGTGCCTTTTACTGACCGGTGGTTTTTTTTCTCTCTTATAGCGCAGACGGAACCCGTATGTTGAAACCCTCTTGAATTTTTTCTCGTCGCCCGATCCAGCAGCAGCGCATATTCAACAGCGCTTTTTTGCTCGAATATGATTTTTGTGGCAGGATTGTCGTCTTCGCGAATGAATATTGACAAAGAATTTCGGTGTGCAGGTACAACTCGCGGTCCAACAAGGTCCGCGTCATCCGCACCCCCGGCGGCGACCTTCGTTACCTCCACATCAAGAAGAAGGGCACTGCTCCCAAGTGCGGTGACTGCGGCATCAAGCTCCCTGGCGTGAGTTCCCTGCGCAAATATGATCCATGATACATGATACCTTTCTGTTTTTGCTGGTTGGGTGTGAGGGGCAAGAAGCGGGCTTCGAGGGAACATGACAATGACGGAGACGACTCTTGCGTTGAAATACCCCCATCGAAGACCCTGCGAAAAGGAAAAAAAAAGAACCCGCAAACTGGATAGACATCTTTTATCTACAGTCGAGAAATACCTGGGTTGTGGACGATTTTACTGAGACATCTATTTCTGTACTGCAGGTCCCTGCCCTCCGCCCCCGCGAGTACTCCCAGATCTCCCGCCCCAAGAAGTCCGTCAGCCGTGCCTACGGTGGCTCTCGCTGCGCTGGCTGCGTCAAGGACCGCATTGTCCGCGCCTTCCTGATCGAGGAGCAGAAGATCGTCAAGAAGGTCCTCAAGGAGTCCGAGAAGGCTGGCAAGCGCTAAATCAACCCCGTCTGTCTTCCTACTGCTCGGTGTTGTGTTATTTTTGTTCTCGTGGGAGCGCAATGATTACGGAAAAGGAAATTCCGGCTGGGAATAGTTCACTTTAGAAAAAAAAAACCCCTCCATCATTCAAAAAGATGACCAGAAACGGGCGACCAATGAATCCAGTCTTCATTGTCGCTCAATGAATTTTCCTTTTTTGTCCATACCTTATCCCCTCCTCCTCCCCCGGTCGATACTCCCTGCGTATAGTTCCCATGTCTACGTGGTTTGGTCGAAGCCTGAACCCAAAGAAAGATGCCCATCAATGAACTTCAGCCACGACTGACGCCGCCGAACGGTCGAGATCTCCCTCTCTCCTTCCCGGATCATTCGGTATCTCTGAATCGATATCATTCGATTTCTTGTAGACCCTGACCATATGTAAGACCTAACTAGAATAACCCATGGCAGAACTCATCTCATGTTTTCGGCGCCTGTATTTTCTCCCGCCCCGGAATCTTCCTCCCCTCCCTTCCCCCATTGTCGCATCCCAAACCTACTGCCTATCTCCAATTTCTCTGTCCGTCACAACGGATTCTAATCCTCCTCCTACTCTACGTAAGTGTTTAGTATTATTGTAGGACCACTTATGATGATACTCCCTACTGCACTTCTCTTTCGTGGATTCAGTATCCGTCAATAGTAACCGAACGTTGAAACCGGCACATGCTGGACGATGGGATCCCTGTCTGCAAGAATGTACTAACTATAGACTGACTACCTATGTAGTAACTATGTAGGTAGTATGGCTACCTACATCGGTACTTTGTACTGAGCTCCGTCTAGGCACGGCACAAAGGTACCTACTAGGCACCCAGTATCTGCTACCTAGTACCTCGTACGGAGTACTCCGTACTTTGCACATTTCTACGACTCGCCTCGGCAAGTATGTACAATTGCATTATCATCCGATATTTCCATTCCCCCTTCATCCGACATCCGACCCCCCCCTTCCCGTCTTTAACCAGCAAGACATCCGAACCCTGTCTACAGCCCGCCCATACTACATAATGTAGTTGGTACCTTTACCCAGTAATTAGACGATCGACCCTTGATTCGTTAATAAACATTGAAACCAATATACGAGAATAACTACCTAGTATGCTTCTTTCTTTCAGTATCCGTGTAGCCAGGATGTAGTGCAAACAGATGACCACAAAGATTGAATAGGATGAATATTCTACCTTCTCATATGAGCTGACAGGGGCGTTCGTTCCGAGTAGAAAGGTAGACTCGAACGGCATTGATTGCGTGCATGCATCGACCTACATAGCGCCCGAGGAGTTTCCATGAATCGGCCAGAGGATGTAGGCAGTATGCAGACAGTAAGTATGCGTCCTCCTTCAGCCTCCTAGGATGAACCCCCCCCCGGGCTAGACTCTCTTGTCTTTTGTCTAGACCCGGGCCTGTGTTGTCAGAAGAGGCGTCTGCAGAGACCTGACAGCTGTGGGCAAAACACGAGTCCTCTTTTTTTTTTTTTTTTTCCCCTATCATTGTTATTATTATTATTATTATTTTTAATGTGCCTGCAATGCTTGGTGCTGCATGAAATGAGGAATTAAATGTCCACAACTGGTTCGTAGATAGTTATCTAATCCAATACTAATCTGTCAGTCCAAGGGTATGAGTATGTAGTAGGTGAATATTTTGTCCGTAGGGGTTAAGAAGACTCAGAGCATCAGCAAGAGTACTTCTCTTGCATCGACAGGGTACACTCCTCATAGCCCTCGTTCAACTCTTCGGCCGAAGAGTGCAGAACCTGAGTCACGGAAAGAAATTGACACATCTAAAAAGAAGAAAGCTGTTGGGCATGTCACATCCCTCACATCCCGTCCTGCGAGTCGGTTCTGAGAGATCTCCCGTGCAGACATTTGGGAAAGGTAAGTTAGGTACGGGCCGCGCAAGCCAGGGGAAGCATGACAGATCAAAAGTAGGCATCGATTATTGAAGAGTAGCTGGAGATAGAGAAAAGAGAGAGGGAGAGAGAGAGAGAAAGAGAGAGAGAACAAAGAAAGGACTCGCTTCGCGGCTGCATGTGGTGCTTGTTTGGGGGTCCTTTACGACGAGGCCGACCTGTCAGGAAACAAAGCTGTAAAAGGGAAGACGGGACAAAAAAAAGAAAAGAAACAAATAACTTCCTGGGTTTTCGGGCAGCAAAAGGACACTGCCTTAGCTCCTGATGATCGCAGCGAAGTCATCAGAGATTGTGGTGAAATGAATCAAGGTATCGTTACTCTTCCTCTCCCCTCTCCATTCCGTCTTATCGGTTTTGATGGGGATGGTTACACAGCCAGGTTGGAAGACGGTCGGAGAGCCGCCAGCAAAGAGAAAGCCCTCTCATTAGATAAAACAGCTGTCAAGTAGATCGAATCATAGCTACAAAAAGTACTTCTATGTACCTATTGACTCTGACCGTATACCTGTCGCGCAATAAAGCCCCGCCCGGTGTGTGTGTGTGTGTGTGCACATCACGTCATAAGAGCAGAATGGCTCCAACACGGCAGATTGCCCTGCGCAGCTTGCCATCACGAGGACTGGCCGTGAAATAGCCTGGCGTCACATACGGCTTACGATCAGTCCCCCCTTTGAGCGTCTAGCGTGCTCCAGGAGGTACGATTCATTGGTGGCGATGACACACTGCACTGAGGCACGTCGGAAGAGCACATGGAGCAAGTGGAGAGGGAAACAGAGGGGAAGAGTCGTATCTTGTCGTCCCCCGGGGGAGGGCAGTACTGAAACAAATTCACTCTTTTCTTCAAGACAGTTATCCAGATACCTAGGTTAGGTAGGTTGTGAGAACTGGTGGAATGCAATGTTCTTATTGGCAGGAAGTGTCCCATTTTCACAGAAACGGTCGAAAGTCATTGACAGTACTTGTCATGGAGGAAATGAAAACGAAATGCCAGAATTAAATAGTAATCATAGAAGGGGGGGGGGAAGACAAGGGGAGGAGGGCTGGCTGCTAAGGATCACTGAACCCATTCACTCCAACGCCACATCTTTTGCGCATATGCTTACAGAATCACAGTAAAAAAAATGAGTGTGCAGTATGCTCATGGTTTCTAAAAAAGTTCGAAGAGAACAAGGAAGGGGGGGATTGGGTTGGCTACCGAAACGACGACGACGGTGGATAAGAGAATGAAGGTGGGGAGGGGAGGGGAAGGGGGGAAGGGAAGAACAGAAAAGAAAAGAGAAAAAGAAAAAGAGACCCCTCTCGAAAACAGAACAAGGAAAAAAAAAAAAAAAAAATACCCTGTAGCGCTAGACAGTTCCCCGAGCCTCCAAGGGCCAGCTGTTTTTCCTATACACCGAGCTGGAGATCGGTCGGGAGTTCATTGTTGGCGCCGTACCCATTGGAGTTGATCCCAAAGACTGCTGCCGCCCCCAACCCAAAATTGAGATTGAGGTGACTATAGTCCGGACCTGAGCCGGGCATATCGCAGAACAGAGAGGGCGGCAAATGATGGGTGCAGCCAACGACGGTTTCCAGGCCGGCGGCCAGCGAGTCTGCCGTATGGGGGGGATTCGGAGGATGAGGTACCGGGGTGTGGAATTGCCACATCATATGGGCCGGCGGCGGATGAACGGGCGTCTGTCGTGGGCGGTCGAATGCAGGGTACTGCTGACGGCTCTTTTCTTTGCGCGCCTTGTCCTCCTGGCCACGAAGTCTGGCCGAATTGCGAGCCGCTTTCCCACCTTTGGCCCCCGACTGCTGTCGCTGCGGAGCAGGACTGTCCGAGCTCATGGTTCTCTTGTAGGTCGCCTGCTTTCGAAACCTTGTAGTCGACATCACCCCGTTCTGGATGGCCTCTTCCGTCAATCTCCAAAGATTACCCCCTTTTTTCCCGTTGCTGGGCTCTCCTTTGACCGCCTCGAATGCCTGGAGAGGAATCAGTCAGTTCGGAAAGAACACGAGAAGAAAGAGCAAACACTTGATCGAAACAAAACGTACCGCGTTCATAGACAAATTGTGACGGACGCTGTTCTGCCATCCCTTGGACTTGTCTTTTCCTTTCGAAGTGTTCTCTTCAAACCATTTGTAGATTTCCTGCAAGGAGAGCATGTTTCCAGACGTATTGATCAGAGCCTGGTAGATAAGAGTCGAATACGGAAGCTCGACGTTCTTATCTTCGTTGGCGTCCTTGGAGCTCGTTCGAATGCCATCTGTGTCGTTGGACTGAAACGAAGCTGTCTTGTCGCTAGGTCCTGGAGTTTGATATGATGCTGAACTGATGGAGGGTGACCGCGTTGAATGAGTGAGATCAATTACATCGCCAGCAGAGTGTTGGTGTTGGTATGACAGGTGCGACACTGTAGACTAGAAGAGAGAGAGAAAAAACAAATAAGTAAAGTGTAAGCTCAGAGATTTGGTCCAGGACAAAAGACATAGTAATAATAGAAGAATAACTAGAAGTCAGGGGGGTATGTAACCTCTGCTACTTACCCAGTCTGTTGCACACTTATTTTCATATGACGGGTGGGCCATAGGAACTGGGTGAGAAGCCACTCGATGGTGGTTACCGCGAGAAAAGGGCTGGATACCGTCCTGGTGGACCAGTAGCGCTCGAGGAATCTGGGACTGGTTGAGAACAGAGCCATAGGCGGTCCCTTTGATCCAGGATTCCTCATGGCTGGTTTGGGGGAAAGGCATCATCTCCGCCGGGGCTGGTGCAAAGGCGTAGTTCAAACCGGGTACGACAGAGGGGCAGGGGTCGCCTGTGGTGAGAGGAGTCGTGTTGGGAACAATTTGATCCGCTACCCTCTTTGCCTGTTGGTAGCAGGTCGAGGGGCTGTCACTGGAGAGTTTATTATTGCCCGGCGGCAGCCTGCTGTTGGCTGCGTGGGAATAATGATAACAGTGGAAAGAAGGCAAAGAAGAGGAAGCAGTAGGATTAGAAGAAGCCACGGAAGTGGGAGAAGAAGAAGAAGAAGAAGAAGAAGGCATGTTCTCTCTGAAGTGAGAAGCAGAGGTCTTCAATGAGTTCCCTACTGGGCCCCGATACATCTAGACAGTTGATGTTTGTCCTGTGGGCGGCAGGAAGTAAGAAGTAGATGGGCAGAGAAGGCTACCGAAGAGGGAGAGGAACAAGACTGGAGCAAGATATGGAGGAAAGCTCTGGCCATTCACAACCAGAAAGCAAGTCAAGGGCCAGAGGGAGTCAGAGTCGTGACGCTTTGCCAGCTCATTAGGCACATGCTCTGGCAAACCCACTGCCTGTCACTGGCGGTCGTCGAAACTGCTGCAGCTGCTGGATCGAAACAAGCAAATGGACCTCCAGTAAAAACCCCCTTCATCGAGAGCCGACACTATTGTTGTGTCATGCTTGGATCTACTGCGGGAGGCGGTTCCCTCGACCTCTCATTGTACCGTATCGACAGGGCCAATAATCACCCAGGCCCAGTTCTACAGGCCGCTTGCCTGGGGCGGGACTTAGTTACCTCCCAGCAAGCAGCAGCAGCAGCCGGGGGGGACGAGGCAGAGAGAGAGAAAGAGAGGCTAGAAGGAGGGAAGTGCGTCTTACTGGGTGCGTGCGGAAAGCTGCAGGGGCTTCCCATCACTTTGTCCGCATTCTATTTTTCCCTTTTTTTCTTTTTCCCTTTTTTTTATTTTTCCTTCGCGGAATGATCCGTCAAAGGGAGGCGGTTTGTTCTGGAAGACCTTTCTCGCGCCTATTGTCCGCCCTACAAACGCTCGCTCTTATGCCCGACCAGGAGTTTGTCCCCAGGCAATAATAAAGCATGGCGACACATAGAAAAAAACTGTTCCGATATCTGACAGTTGGGTTGGAGGCACGTGATCGCCAACTGGCCAGTCCTCAGGCCCGGGGAGGGGAGGAGAAAATTGTCCGCAAGCCATCGAGACACCCGCGAGACGATGGGGGAGAATGTCAGAAGAGAGTGCGACGAGGTGGAATTAAAGATTTGACAGTTCCCCACGCGAGGGAAGCCGTGCATCTGCTAGATCACATCGTTATGCTCCTAGAAAAGTGAAGTGGGCAGGGTGGGTGAAATATCCAGCCCAATCATATTGCCAGCTCTCATGTTGAACGAACTGCCCTGAAAATACCCAGTTTCCCGTGGCCACAAGATTGGGTGAGAGTCTCAAGCAACGGAGCAGGAGCACGATACAGCCCAGTGCTCGTGGGGGTTCTCTGCGGAGATGAGCGGACATCGATGCTACCATTGCTCCATCACATCTCCACCTATTAACCTAGTGGGATGCCACAGAAATATGATGTGGATTATAGCGTATCAGATCAACCCTTTCTAGCTGAAGAATTAACGTAGACTACTGTCATTTTTCCAAGGCAAAAAAAAAAGAGAAGTGGATCTGTTTATAGCGCTGGTATCCAGAGAGAAGCGAGTCAGATATATATAATTACCTTACTTCATGACAGATAGTATACTACATGGGTAACTAGTGGTCACTCACGAAAACAGCTTAGATAGGCCCGTATTCTATAATGCCTCTCAATTCACCAAGGCAATGGCCTGGTGATGCCTCCTATATCCATAAATAGGACAGACCAGCCTGGCAAGGCCTAGATAGCAGGGGAACCGCTATCGACACTGCAAAAGAGATGAAATCAGCACATTGCCTCTTCGAACCCACTGAGGAAGGCCATAATTATGACTATAAAGGACATACATATGGTATATGCTCCCTGAATCGCTGGAGCACTCGGGGGTTTTATGATATTCTTGGTTATAGAGGTGTTTTTACCCGTCTCCTTGATGACCCTCATGGAACCAAGGTAGGGCGAAGAATGCAGCCTAAAGAGATCAAAGATACCAATCAGTCCTCCGACACGGCTATGGCTTGACTAGAATTCAATAAACCCCACCGAGTAATCTTAGTGCACCGTCTGTCTTTGCAGCTGGGATATCCATGGTCAACAGATCTGCCTCAAGTAAGCATATCGAAGAGCTTTAGGTCAATGCCAGTTGCAATTGTTGTTTCAACCCAGAGGTCCATTTTCTGATTCGAAAGTACAATGCTTCGTCATGCTAGTAGCCGCTTGTACCGTATACCGAACCCTCTGTACAGTCTCCTAAGGAATCCCGAGAGGGGAGAGAGTTGAAGATCATCTTCTTGGTGGTGTCAGTGATACCACAGGCCAAAGCTTCCACTTGAGCAGCAATGCTAAAGGTAGGGGCGTAAGAAAGGGGCATACGAGTGGTTAGAGACGGTAAGTGAGGCATGATGGGCTGTCTTTGGCAAGAGCCCGAAGTCCACGTGAGAGAATATGGGCATACTACATAGGTTTGTATGAAAGTCCGATTTGGGAAGGCGGTATCTGTGGACCCCCACCGACTTGGAGCTCAGCCCTACAACACTAAGCCAGATCTGGCCCATCAGCTTGTACTATATATATAACTAATATAGGAGAGTAATAGCCATTGATTCTGCTAAGCACTGAATAACTTGGAAGAAATATTCTACAAAAATGAGTATAAACTACATGCACTTTTGCTACTTGTACTTATTAAAAAAAGATTTGCCCTCGCTGAAGCTTTTAGAAATAACATTTAATTAAATCTTAGTTCGCTATGCAAATATAAAAACAAATAATGGACTGTTGTTTTCTCGGTTGGCCGAATAGTACTACTTGCGGTAGTATATCTGGAGAAATAAAATCAATATGATACTTTTGACACGAGAAAATCCGAGTAGACGTACCCTTTTGAATTGGAAATGGAGTTGCAGGATACCCTAAATGATCACTGTTAGCCTTTGTTTTGTGGACAAGGTCTGTCTGACTATACCTTTTCAAAGGTGCTCTTGAATCCTCTCTCCCTCTTGGCGCTGTAATCCCATTCCTTGTCGACAATTCGAAACGCAATGTCCTCATAAGGCGGTCCGGCCATGAATCGGATAAGACAGGTATCCTCCTCACCGGCAGGGGTGAAAGACTGCCCGCGCTTCCTCCCGTGTTCGCGTTCAATGCGATAGGTGGGGGCCTTTGCCTTGTCGATCAGATCAGGGTAGAAGATATTAAACTTGTAGCCCTGGACAACCTTGGGCGGCGGATTGTCGTGGTCGTAATGGGTCTGGTTGTACTTGTTCCATTCGTAGCCCATCTGCACACGATTGAAATACCGCGGCTTGCGAGGACGGTATTTGTTAGCCCACTGCGGGCGTGAGGCTGTGCTGACGGTCTCTTCGCCCGTAAATATCTCCTCATTTTCGCTGACACCTTTCGCCAGTTCGCGTTCGTAAAGAGCCTTCGTCGCCAGGGAGAAGTCGTCGTTTGGAAGAGAGGAAAACCGGGTCGAAGCCGCGGCAACCGGGAGGTTAGAAGTCCGACTCGTGAGCGCGGTTGATGTCTTTTCCAGTTGGCGATGTCGTAGCGGCACAAAGCCCATTTTTAAGATCTTCTGGCGTTCACGAGCCTAGCCAGTCCATCAGCTAGATGTATATATAAAAAAACGAACATGAACGGTCAAACCTACCACCTGCTGAAGGAATTCAGATTCATCAACAATTTCTAATCCCTTATCCTCTGGTGGAACCTGCAGGAGCGGCTCCGGGTCGAGAGCTTCGTCCTCTTTATCCAAACCCTTTTCTACACCGTCGGAAACGGCTGGTGCGAGGGGTGCGAGTTTCATTCGGACGGCCTCGGCCTCATCGGCCTGCTGCTTGCGCAAGCCGCGAACGCGTTCTTCGATAACATCCTGGTAGACCTTCTTCAATTTGGCCCGAGCCTTCCATACTGTAAGACTGCGCAGGAGCTCCTCCCAGTAATCCGTATCGATCGGCTCGTTGGAATCGAGTTTCCTCCTCACTTGAGTCTCTAAACCCTGGAGCTGTTCATATGTCTTCGGGCTAAGGAGGCGGTTGATATCGGCAGCAACGGAATTGAGCACCCGGCCTTCGGGGGCGGCGGTCTTCTGGCGGTCCCGGCAGATAATTCGCATGGTCTAAATTAATTATCCGAAGTCAGTTCACTGTTCCCACACGAATAAATATGCCCACCACTCACCTTCCAGAAATCCCTATTCTGCGAGTTGGTCTCTAGGCCGAGGAAAGTATCGATATCCTTCTCCAGATCCTGCAGTTCGGTCGGAGAGAGCCCTTCAAACACACCGTCCGGATCCACTAGATCGAGCTCCGAGTCCGCAATCTCATCATCCAGCGGATTTCTCGTCGGGTCGATCACGCGCAGTGTAACTGTCAGCCAGTCGATCGGCTTTGCGCGGCCCTCCTTGACCCGTATCTCCGCCTTCTTCTTCGCCTGCTTGAGGACGAAAACGTCCTCCTGCGCCACCCACTCCCGCACCTGTTCGTCCTCCTGGAGCTGATTGAGGCGCACTTGCTCTCTCATATTCCGAACCGGCTGCGAGTGCCGGCCATGACCACTTTCCTGTCGGGTTGAATTGTCTCGGTCTCGCTGGTCCCGTCCATCGTATCTGCGGGGGAGCTTCTGAGGCTGGCGCCAGGACGACGGCGACGGCGACCGACTTCTCTTCGTGGACGATCTGTCGGGAAACCCTGCAGACATTTTTTGGAACTTGCCTTTCTTTTTGTTCTTTGTAGGAGCAGAAAGTCTGCGGTTAGAACTGATTTCGTAGAAAGTTGAGATAAGACGGGGTTAGGTGGTCTGTGCTCGGGTTCCATGGTTGCCTGCCTACCTAAATGAGTACACAGTGAGCAGTGCCTGTCACAACAACACGTTGGCAACATTCTTTAACTACTTTGACAGCGAAGCCTTACTGCCTATTCTCGCCATGTCTGGAGCATGGAAGAGGCTCCGACTGACTGGCGATGAGAAACTGCCGCGATTGCTGGTTAGATATGTCTCCACGGCCAAAGGTTACGACATCTATGCCACGGACCTGGTCTACGTCTGGTCGGAACGGCTGGGTTTCAAGGAGATTCTACAGCGAGCAGAGGAAGAAGAGACAACGATTGATCCCAATGAAGACCCAGAGCAATTTGATGTTCTCCTGCAGAAGATCGGAGAGGCATTGGACGGGCGTTCAGGAAGCAGTGTGAGACTTGGTAAGGGGCTAGAAGGAGCAGACGCTCTGACTGCACACATCTCGGTCAGGCTGCCTGCTCCATTACAGCCGCTACAGTGGACTACTCATCTGTCTAGGCAGCCCCCGGAGTCGACCGTAAACCATCTGCTTCTCCCGCTGTTGAGGGAAGAATCCGATCGAGAGTCGCAGCAGCAATTTCTTCTTGATCAGATCAAACACAAGGACTGGGCTCTTGGCAAGCTACTTGGCAAGATCGATTCCATGGGAGTGGATCTTGCCACTGTTTTCCCCAATATCGCAGGGTTGCGAGCTGTCCGGAAGGATGGTGACGGCAATACCCTAGCTCATGCGGCTAAGTTTATCAAGGGAGCTGCGCCATTTGACGAGAAAAAATGGCTGGATGAGGCTGGAGCCCGATCATCGGAGGCCGAGTTGGCTACTACTCTACGGGCAGAGCTATACAATAGTGCAAAAGGGATTGAAACATCGGTGTCTGTACCGGATAGGTGGTGGGAAAGTCTGACCACAGAAAGCTTAGCCCCCCCAGCCCTTCCAGCGGTTCAGTCTCCGACAATCCAGCATCAGCAGAAGCGCTTTGACCAGGCTGAAGAGGAAACGGCCAGTGAATCAGAAAATGAGACCGGTGAATTTGAGGTAAGCCTTTCCCTACAGCCCGGTGCTGATAGTATTTATCTTATACCCTCAGCGACAAGAAATGCCACCAGAATCGAAACAAAGGGAGGGCATCGAAGAGGATGCCCCCAAGCCACAACGCAAGATTGGCGTTATTGGCGGCAAAAAACCGGTTCAAAGCGTTTCTGCCAAGCCGTCCCCTCAAGAGGAGATGGATAAAGAGACCGAATCCGAATCCGACCAGGGACAGGCGAAGAAGGTTCCCACAGGTACCTCTCCTGCAGCAGCGCCAAAAGCCCGCGTTCTGGGCGCCATTGGTGGCAAGACAAGGACAAGGACCATCAAGAAGCCATCACCTCTAGATACACCGGAGACCGCACCAGAACACACTGCCGTACCAGCGCAAGCAGAGAGAAAGGCGGAGAAGAGCACGGGGAAGAAACTAGGTGTCATCGGTGGGAAGAAGCAGGCTCCGTCGGATTTCACAGCGCAAGACCATCATCAACCAGTCACATCGAAGCAGGAAACCGCAGTACAAGAACCTGCAGTACCAGAAGAGACGGAGGAGACGGAGGAAGCCAGGGCAGAAAGAAGACGCGAAGAGCTTAAGCGACGACTCGAAGCGAAGAGCAAAGCACCGACGAAGAAGAAGCGAAGATTCTAGCTTCTTCTACAGTACATACAACTGGGCATATATATAGATTATCTAGGCAGCAAAGTAAATAATAATTTCCATAGTGACCACTTTAAAAATACAATTGGGTATCATGATTAGAATTTTTCAACAAGCCAGTGATTTTAACGAGCGGTACTGCTGCGCCTCTTACTCTGCTCACTCGGCGTGACCAGCCTCACTTTCTTGGGCGACATCATTCCCGACGGCACCGCTCCCTTATTAGTAGTATTAGTAGCGCTAGTAGATGCAGCAGCAGCAGCATGAGAAGTAGAAGCATTAGAAGTAGAAGCGGCAGGAGTGGAAGCAGCAGGAGTGGAAGTAGTGGTAGAAGTAGTGGTAGAAGTAGTGGTAGCAGTCGTGGGAATAGTAGTCATGGTATTGGCCGTGCTGGCGGGTGTGGTTGTCGTGGTGGTGGTGGTGGTTACAGCGGTGGAGGAAGCACCGCTTGAGGCCGAAGGAGGAGCAGCGGCGGCGACGACGCCAAGCATGCCGCGGACCTTTTCGACAGCCTTGCTCTCGCCTTTACTCCAGGGGTCGCGTTTGACAAAGTCCCGTCCTGCGCGGCGGCTCGCCGAGTCGCGCCGTCGCGACTCCTCACGCTGGGTAGCGCGGTGTTCGTCCCGGCGCGGACCTGGCCCGCAGTCGTGTAGGCATCCGGGCGTCGCGCAGCCGCCATCGCTCATCGCGATGTCGTGCAACCATGTTCGCATGCAGGCGAGGTGGCCGCCGTGGCCGCAGCCCTGGCACCACGTCCAGAGACTGGAGCCTCGGGTGCGCGGGGCGCTGAAGGAATCGTCGTCGTTGTTGTTATTGTTGTCATCTTCGAGACCGAGGCGATGAAATTCGGATGACGTGATAGCTTCCGTCTGCACGGTGAACGGAGACGAGAGACAGGAGGTCCCATCACTATTGGACTCTAGGGTGTCTGTGAGCTCATTCCTACTATCTGCAGCGGTGGAACTAGCAGCGGTCGCAGCGGTCGTTGCTGCCACCCATTCTTCCGGGGGGTCGATGCTTAGACAGATCGAACAGGGCTCCTGGGGCACCTCACAGCGGTGGCAGCGGGTGTTGTCCCGGTGCGGGTTCTCGTAAGGTCGTTTACAAGTGAAGCAGAAGACGCTGATGGCCGAATCGGCCTGTGCGTATTCGTAGACGGCCGGGTACGAGGGGACACAGAGAAGCCGCAGCTCGGCAGCCTCGACGTACATCGATTGCCGGAGAAGATGTTCATTATAGGTCTTGAGTAGGAGTTCGCTTTCCGGGTACGGAAGCACGACCTCCGGGTTGTGGAAGAGGATGTGTAGCTTGTGTAGCAGATGGACAGCGGACTGCACGTCCACGGGCGTGCTGCTATGGTAGTGTCGGATGGCTTCGCGGAGGATGACTTCAATGCTCCAAGGCCTGTTCTGAGCCAAGTCCGGAGTGATGGGGAGGTTGACCCCCGAGAGATCTACGGTCACACCAGGGAGGACGGGAATGGCCGACTTTTGCGGTCCGGCCGGGGCCACATGGGTGGTGGTGGTATGAGGATCAATTCCATTGATCGGACTCGATTCCTTCAAGAGCTGGGGCGGGGTGGAAGGTCGCTGTAAGTGCACTTGATCCTGTATGGTAATGAGGTCACCTTCTGCTTCGGCTTCATCTTCATCTTCGTCTTCTTCAACCAATATCTCTTTCGGATACCCATCTCTACCACCGGCAGGATTGGAGATCAGCGAGCCTGTCAGGTCAGACGTGGTCTTGTTCCTTGTCATGGCGTTTGCCTCTTCCGGTTGGATGCTGTTGCTATTATTATCATTAGTATTATGGGTGGTTTTATAATTATTGTTATCATGGCTAAGTCCATGCGCATTGATATGTCCGGCAGCAGCGACATCAAGATGCCGTGTGCTTGAAGCAAAGGAGGCCGGGATGGACTTGGCTGGATGGGAGCTGTCTGTGGAGGCGGAAAACATGGCGAAACTCTCCGCAGATTCGCGGCGAGGGTAGATACTTGAGAGCGGATTATGACGGGTTTCGACAGGGGATTCCAGGTCCAGGACCTTCTTGGGGAAGAGCTTGTAATCGCGGATTGCGGCTTTTCGATCCTCCATCTTCTGATCATAGTCGTCCTCCGACGTTCCCTTGTTATACTCGGGATAATCATGGATATGCCAGTCGGACCGACCGGTGATCGCACGAGGGGCTGATCTCTGGTCCTCGAGCTGTGCTTCCGGAGGAGCATGAGCAAACTCGCGGATTCGTTCAAAGGGGGAGGAGATGTCCGGCGGGAGCAAGATATCTTCACTCATATCGGACTCTCGACGGTCCAATTGCGCACTCGAAGCGGTATCTAAATCCGACAGAGCGATATCATTGGATATAAGAGTCCCGTAGTTGGAGCTCAACACGGACGGTGGCAGAGGCTGCAGACTAGAGAGGCCGTCGTTCGATGACGTGGGGGATCGCGGACTACTCTGTGAGCCAATTGGCGAGTCCGGCAATGGCTGCGCGAGCGGGGTGGTCATATTGGAGGTGCTCTCGGGGTCTGGCAAGAGACCGTGACCGTGACTCTTGTGTCCCTCGGTCTCTATCACGCCTTTGAACAGGCGGTTTTTCATCTTGCTGTGCCTCCCATCTTCCGGGGATCGATGCCTCTCGAGCACTTCGAGCGAAGGCTTCCGGCGCACACCGTGGGATCCTTTCTCCGAGGCTCGGGGCCGTTCCTTTGCCTTGAGCTGCAATTCCTGGAGAACTGCAAACCGGACGATCCTCCACGTCTGTGCGAGCTTGAAGAAAGACGCCTCCTCGGTCCGCTCCGCGTTGCGATCAAAAGACTCGATCAGGGAGAGCAAGGGATCTTCATAGGCGGGCCTGAAGTCGGCAGGTTCAATCAAGGGGGAATACTGGCGAGCAAGGTACTTGGAGATCGCTGGGTCCATGGTTGCTCCGGAAATGCTGCCAATGGCACCCATTTGCGACGGTTCCGAGGCTTTGCTCTTGGACAGGGATGTTTCCAAAGGAAGGATTGAAACCATATCCTCTGCACTTGGGGGTGTGTTGCCCACAGACTTGGAGGATCGGAGCGCGGGAGGTGTTGTCGTCGCTGCCGGTGTCGAGGTGGGCTTTTGGTGTCGATTGCGGAGGGAAGAGGTCAGCAGGGCCTCTTCCAACATGTCGTCGGCGGGACTCTGGCTTAGAGATTTCTCGGCACTAGTATTGGACTCATCTTTCTGCTGACCGATAAACTCGGTCGTACTGCTGAACCCCAGGACGCGGCGTTTCGGGCGCTTTTCGACAAAGGACAGCACCTCGCCGGTGGGACTCCATGCGACCGAGCACATGGGCCGTTGGTTAATGACTTGCGGCGCATATCGGATATCGGTCTGCGTGAAGGCGCCCGTGTCGCCCACTGTCCAGAGCAGATCCTTGGAGTGCCAGAGCAGGTCGTTCGGGGAGGTATCGTACCGGTCAAACTCGCGGAAGGGAATGTGCGGGCGGCGGAGATCCCAGAGGTGAATGCGGGGATCCTCCTTGTCGTACGAGGTGACAACCTGGGTCGACTGCCAGTCGCCTGCGCCCGCGGCAGAGCCCGAGGCGTTCCACCACGGTGGGCGCCAGCGGACATTCAAGACGGGCTGCGGGGTGCGGAGTTGAATCGTGGGCTTCTGTCGACGCTCAGCGGACGCGGAAAAGTCCCACACCTTGACCTGCTTGTCGGTGCCTCCGCTGAGAAGGTGCTTGCCGTCCGGATGCCAGTCGACAGAGTAGCAGGGCTTATCATGAGCAGCGATACGCATGAGAGGGGCGGTGGCCCGGCGAAAATCCCACAGCTGAATCGCCCCACTGTCCGTAGCGGTGGCGAACAGGACGCCGTCGCTGGGTGACCACCGGATGTCGCGGATGGCGTCGCTGTTGCCCATGAACTGTTCCTTACTGCCGCAGGTAGTGACTGCCCGCTCGGGAGAGGCCATCCGCAGATCCCAGGCGCGGATGGTGGCATCCTGGCTGCCGGACAACAGCCAGCCGGGGCGATGTGGGTTGAAGGCCAGCCGATGGACCTGGCGGTTGTGGCCCTGGAACCGCGCCAGCTCCAGGCCGGGGTGGTGCAAGTCGTAGACAACGATGCGACCGTGCGCGACGGCGGTAGCGATGACCGTCTCGTAGATTCCATGCGACCACTTGACATCCCGTACGTTGAGCTGGTCCTTCAAGCGGGCGGACGCCTGCGGGCCGCTGCTATGGCTTGACGCGTAGCCGATGATCGCATTCCGGAGGTTGAACTCTTCCGCCGTCTGGTCCGGCAAGACTCGCACTGTCTTGAGAATCTCCCTGCCACCGATGACCGCGTGGGTTCGCTGCGGAGAGATATCGAGCGTAGCGATGGGGATCCCCGTCCTGTGGGTGACCGTCTGCGATTCTCCGGGACTGCCCACCGTTAGCTGCGGGTCCATGATGGGAACGGTGAGCGCAAAATCCAACTCACAGCGAGGCTGAGCGGGTGGACCGAGGGCCCCCAAAGTCAGTCCGGCTGGCGGTATGCGGACTGGGAGGTCGCGAGCCAGACAGGAAAGGCTGGGCGAAGCGGGCTAAGGCACTGGCGGCGCGATTCGAGTATCTCTGAGGAGGCGCTGGGGGAGGAGCAGGCGGCGGTAGCGCGGGGGAAGAGCCCTGTCGCGAGGAGAGACGCGAGGAATCCGACATAATAGGCTCAGATAGAGGCCGAGAGAGAGCTGGTCAACCGGAGACAGATCGCGTGCTCCATCTCTTCCAAGCTTGGAGGCGTGCGGCGCGGGGGGTCGACCGGCGTGGTGGACAGCCAGGGAGGTCTGAAACCGCGCGCAGGAGCTCCGTACCGACGAATTCTGGCCGTAGAAGGGTGCAGAAGAGGGACCAAGGGCCTTCGGTCTCGGTTAGCAAGCAGTGGAAGCAGCTGGGACACGCGAGTGTTCCGGAGCGATGCCGATGAGGTTTGTTGGAGAGTTGAAGTTATTATCTCAGGTCGGAAAGCTCGCGAGTATTGTCACGATGTGTATTAATACGGACATATCCACCTAGTAACTATGGCATGTATTTTACACACTATACAGACATTATTTTCATACACCCACACACTGTAGAGCAAGGGACTCCGTACTGTTGAATATTCTAATATTGAGAAATCCAGGTTAGATAAAGTAAGCGATTTCTTCATCTTTGGTAGTTATTCGCCTCGTTGCCATGAGTTTGACTGTACACTATAAAGTGAGACTCTTGAGGTTTTCCACCCAACAGCTCGAAACTTCTAACATATTCTCAATATCTCTCAGATATTTTTTTTTTCAACTCCTCAGAAGACCCTCCTGTTACTTTGTCTTCACATATATTATATGTCTCCCTCTGTCGTGGCAGGGCTCGTCGGACCGAGCGAGCGAGGGAGGAAACCGACAGCAGCATCTCTCCCTGTGAACTTACAGAAGGTCTCTCACATTGACGGAAGGAAGGAATCGATACTGCCTCATATCTGACTCTAGTTAAGCGACATGCCGAAGAACTGATGGACATGATAGTGTTGTGTCGACAGAGATGGAAGCTTTGATTCCGCCCGATGAAGCCTCCTTCCCCTTTGAATCCTCGCTATTCAAGAAAGCATCACAGTCCACAAGGCGGCCGCTACGAGTGACCGAAATATATTATGAGATGAGCGCTGTTGGACTCCGGGGAAATCCGTAGGCAGGGCCTTGGATAGGCATACACTGTGATGGGCGAGACAGGGACTCACTCACCCACTCACTCGCTTATCTGACAAGTTCTCTATACGAACAAGACGAATGGCTGTGATTATGTGAGTCCAGCAACCGATGACAAGGACGTACTCCCGAAAACCCATGGTGGGAGGAGGGGAGGGAGGACCGTCCTCTGCCCGCTGGCTTGATGCCTGATCATTGACTAATAACTCGTGTCAGCGATTCCCCCGATCGAAGGAAGGTGACCTCGCTCACATATACGAAGTCCTCCGCTGGAAGCCCCGAAGGCCCTTTTGACAAAGATGAAACCTGCGCGTTTGATATCTAGGTATGGGTCGATCACAGGAAGGCAAGACAAAGCGAAGCTTACGGAGTACAGTTAACTAACTAGTTGATGTGCTGACACTGCAGAATTCAGGGTTCTGAATCCATAGCACCTGCTGCTGCAAAAGAAAATTCGCTCGGAGCATACGAATACATCATCACTAGTGCCATGCCCCCTACTCAGACCATAATTCGGACAAAGGTTCGATCCGATACTTGCAGGCCTTCTGCCTTCCGATGGCGGATAACGGTGCCCTGGATGCCAACCAACAAGCGTCTGGGCTTGAACAGACGGACCATTTGGTCGGACACGGAACCCCGGAATCTGATGTCGTGTTCTTCCTCCGTATATAAGTATGCCAGCCAGAAAGAGGTACTGCGTACGGAGAACCTTCACCTCTCCTCCATACGGAGGACTACGGAGCACCTCGTACCTGGGTACTCGGTACTCTGTACTCGTCCTGGCGATTAGCATGCAGGATGATCGACGATTGGTTGTATCTGATCAATACATTATTAGAGATTTGATAGGTTTGGTGGTTGATTGCTGGAAGACAGAGACGAATCTGACCACTGTTTGCTGTTTCGTGCCTGACCGGCAGGCAAACATTCAATTCAGGCAGACAGGATCTGCCCTGTCCAGGAGGTTCTTCTTCCTTCACAGCTCTCTACTCCACGTCCCTGGAGAGTTCTATTGCTACCTGTGGTCTACATATGATCCTACCTCTTCTCTTCATTCTCATACGCACCCATTATCCCGTGTTTTCGCCTCGTACTCGCCTGCATATTCCAAACCCCCGCCCCTCGACTGGATCGCTTCCCCTGGCAGCCACCAACGCAGCGCTAACAAGCGATTCAAGTAGCTACGGAGTAGCCCACCGGGGCCTTCTAGACCACAGGCCATCCCATATAATTTCCGATCCGATCGTACTCGCGTGGCTGCTGGTTGTTGGTGATGCATCTAGGAGCTTGGGTGCGCCTATAATTCGACGGGTTCGGGATCGGGCACAAATTGGCCCTGTACGGGAGTAAAAAACTACCTCTACACCGTACTTTTGCATTTCGATCTATATAAATTCATCCAAATACTCGTCCCTGGTATGCGTTGGCGTCGTAGACCCTCTCTCTTCTCTCTCCACCACCGGGACCAGGCGGCGAGCCACTTGAGCTTCATCCTCCACACCGTCATTCCTCGACAACTCACGCCGACCGTCCAAGAACCCTGACCGTTTCCCTCCCATCCCCCCCCTCCCTCCTCTTTCCCTCTCCCCCCCAAGAGAGTCCAGCCTGCACAGTCTCTTCAAGCCATCGTCCTTGGGATTTATTATTTTTTCCCTGATCTTTCCGGTTTATTTTCTTTCCTCCCCTTCATCGTCCTTTTTCTCACTTGTCAGCGTGCCTTGCACTCCCTGTCTTTTCATGCACGAGACTCGTCACACATTCTTGCCCCGGGGCTCGTCAAATCCCCGCCTCTGAAAATCCGTCGTTCCCTCCGGTCGGGTCGTCTCTGTCGCTAGCCGAGTCTCCTCGTCTGACCGTTTCTCGTGATAATAATCGTTCGTCCGTGTTCGATCGGAGTAGTTCGGTGTTGCGTCCCTCCTCCTCCTCCTCCTCCTCCTCCCTCCCCCCCCCCCCCCCCCCCCCCCCCCCCCCCCCCCCCCCCCCCCTGTGTTGGTTGGGTGGTCAACTCTTCCGTCGACAGTCGTTTCCGGTCGAAAACTGTGCGCAATCCACTTGGGGAGTTAATATAAGCCTTGAATCGGTCTTCGTCGTCGACTGTCGAGTGCTCTGGATAAGAAGTGACATGGAAACATAAGAGAGCCAGCGACGGTGCGTGGATAATTCAAAAAATAATCATGGCGGGATCGGCCGGGGTACGCCTGCACCCGGCGACGCTGGAGCTGCTCCAGACGCTCCGCACGGGGTATCCGATTCTTCTGCTGGTCGTCTTCTTGCTGGCCTTTTTGACCAATTCCGTCCTGGCGGCTCGAAGAACCGCCAGCACCCGCCAGGGCGCGGCTGCTCGGACGGGACCTGGGGGTAGACCGCTGCCGCGACGCTCGCGGAGCTCAATGGCCGTCGTCAGGGAGGCTCATCGATTCTCGGAGGCGACCAAGCTCGGCTTCAAATGGCTGTCGGTCGGCGTGCTGGTGACCTTTGTCGCCGATGCGGTCATCAACATCCTGCACGTCATGACCAGTCGCGCGGAGCACTGGTGGCGTGGCCAGGCTATGGTGGTAAGTTGTGCTCCTCTGTGAGTGGGGGAAGGAGGAACGGAATTGCACATTTCGAAGCCCAGGGCTGATTCTTGGTTAGATCTATATTGTCGGCTCCTTCTTTGTCTATGCGGTCATTCTCGTGTCATTGCTCGACACCAACCCCTCGCCGACCTTTGCCCAATTCGTCCCATGGTTGCTGGCCCTACCCCTCGAACTGGCCATCGACGGGGCTTCTGTCTCGCTCTACATCTCGGCTCATCATGAGCCCACCGTGGGGGATCCAGAAGGCGGCCGGCTTCGTACGGGCATCACTCCCTGGGAGGTCATGGAGGTCATCTCCAACAGCGTACGCGCCCTGATCCTCTTCATCCTCGTCCTGCTCTACACCGTCAACACGCTGCCCCGAAGCAACCCGCTGCAGGCCTTGCCCAAGCAGGCCGCGCGATACCAGTCGAACGGCCCCACGGAATCGACCGGTCTGCTCGATGGTCACCACCCCGAGACAACGGGCGATCATTCAGGGTACGGTAGTGCGGCGGCTCAGGGTCAAGCTGCGCCCAAACCCGCCGCTGATCCATGGGTCCGCCCGACTACCATACCCTCCACTAGCTGGTGGGAATACCTCAGCGGCTACTCGCTCTTCTTCCCCTATCTGTGGCCATCCAAGTCGCGCCGCTTGCAGATCATCGTGGTCATCTGTTTTATCTTGATCGTCCTGCAGCGCATCGTCAACGTCTTGGTACCCTACCAGGTCGGAGAGATCACCAATATCCTCGCTGCAGATGACGGCCAAGAGTTCCGTGTCCCTTGGACGGAGATCTGTCTCTACATCCTCTACCGCTGGCTGCAGGGGAATCAGGGCCTCATCGGCTCGCTCCGGTCCAGTCTGTGGATCCCAGTGAGTCAATACTCATACATGGAGCTCTCAACCGCCGCCTTCGAACATGTTCACAGCCTGAGCCTGGATTTCCACCTCGGTAAAAAGACCGGCGAAGTCCTCTCAGCCCTCAGCAAGGGCAGTTCCATCAACACCTTCCTCGAGCAGGTCACCTTCCAGGTCGTGCCCATGTTAGTCGATCTGTGTGTCGCCATTGGATATTTTCTCATCTGGTTTGATGCATACTACGCCCTGGTGGTCACTATTGTCACCTTTTGCTATCTGTACGTCACAATCCGCATGGCGCAATGGCGCGCCGAGATCAGACGGCAAATGGTGAACGCGTCGCGACAGGAAGACGCTGTGAAGTAGGTCTTTTTTTGTTTTTTTTTTTTTTTCTATGCTAATATTCATAGGAATGATTCCATGGTGTCTTACGAAACGGTCAAGTACTTTAATGCCGAACAATACGAGTTTGGCAGATACAGAGGATCCGTGACCGACTTTCAAAGCGCAGAATACCATGTCCTGCTCTCGCTGACATTGATGAACACCTGTCAGAACACAGTATTCATGCTCGGCCTGTTGATTACGTGCTTCATCGCGGCGTACCAGGTCTCTATCGGGCAGCGCCCCGTGGGCAAATTCGTTTCGCTGCTGACGTACATGGCCCAGCTGCAAGGCCCGTTGAACTTTTTCGGCACCTTCTACCGATCGATTCAATCGGCGCTGATCAACTCGGAGCGTATGCTGGAGCTGTTCCGGGAGCAGCCCACGGTGGTGGACAGTCCGAGTGCGGCGCCTCTGGCGCACTGCAAGGGAGACATTGTCTTCCAGAACGTCGAGTTCTCATACGATGCGCGCAAGCCGGCGCTGAACGGGCTGACCTTCCGCTGTGAGCCAGGCACGACGACCGCGCTGGTCGGCGAGTCTGGCGGCGGCAAATCGACCGTCTTCCGGCTGCTATTCCGGTTCTATAATGCGGAGCGGGGCAGCATCTGCGTGGACGGGCAGAACGTGCAGGACGTGACGATCGACTCGCTGCGGAAGCACATTGGCGTTGTGCCACAGGACACGGTGCTTTTCAACGAGACTCTGATGTACAATCTGAAATATGCCAACCAGGATGCCACGGATGAGGATGTGTACGAGGCGTGTCGAGCCGCCAGCATCCACGACAAGATCATGACCTTCCCGGATGGGTACCAGACAAAGGTCGGCGAGCGGGGTCTGCGGCTGAGCGGCGGTGAGAAGCAGCGGGTGGCGATCGCGCGGACGATCCTCAAAAACCCGCGGATCATCCTGCTGGACGAGGCGACCGCGGCGCTGGACACGGAGACCGAAGAGCACATCCAGGAGGCGCTGGCGACGCTGTCGCGCGGGCGCACGATGCTGGTGATCGCACACCGCCTCAGCACCATCACCACGGCGGACCGCATCCTCGTCCTGCACGACGGGCAGGTCGCCGAGAACGGCACGCACGACCAGCTGCTCGCCATGCGCGGGCGGTACGCCAGCATGTGGCGCAAGCAGATCCGCGCCCAGAAGGCCGCCGCCGAGGCCCAGGTGCTGCAAGACCGCGCCGACCGTCTTCGCAGCGCTTCCACCAGCGGGGGAACCGCCGACGACAGCTCCAGCCAGTCCGACGAGGACCAGCGCGGAGCCGCCGCCCCGTCGGCGACCGGTCGCCAACCGCAGCCGTCGGGAGACCCTGCACGACGTATATCCGGACAGTCGACATAGTCTCTCTCTCTCTCTCTCTCTCTCTCTCTCTTTGTCTGTTATAAATTAGAATCTTATTGGATACCTCTCTGGATAGTGAGCTCGACTGGATAGTGGCGATACAGCTTTGGATTGTTTTCGGTCTTTGGATGACCTGGCGCACACCGTTTGAATTCCTGTTTGATAATCTGATGGATCCATCCATCTGATGTCTAATACTAATCGTAGACTAATCAATTGTTGAATTTCTCCTTCGGTTGGACGTAATCCTTGGACCGTAAGTCTGTCTGTATGTCGATGCCTGAGGTGTAAATACGGCATTACTTTTGAGACACTCTGATTGGCTGTTGCTCCCACCGACAAGCCGAATCCCCGAAAGCTTCAATCAACCAAGATAAAATAATACCAAGTCTTCAGCGAAACCTCAACTCTTGTCTCTCTCTTTGTGTACCATCCAGTGAACTATCTAGTGTACTCCGTACCATCTAGTGTACTATCTCGTGTACTATCATATTTCAGTAGAATGCATACGCCCTCCCCCCAGCTCCTCCGCGCCCTGCGCGTCTTCCTCACACCGCGACCCGTCCAGCGCGGCCCATCGATATACCATCCCTTCCAACGAGTCTACAGCTCCAGTTCCGGCTCCAAGTCGATATCCATCTCCCGGTCCATCACCCCGCGCCGCATGATCCCCCGTGCCCACGCCTCCAAGCCAGGGAGCAGAGACCGCGGCCCCGTCTCGCCAGAAGACACCCAGACGGACCTGGCTGCGCTGAACGTGCTGGGTAGTATCCCCACGCCTGCGACGGCCGTGGACGCCTGTCTGGATAATGGCTTCCATCTGGATAACGGGGTGAAGGTCACTGGCGGGGATGGCGTGTTGCTTGTCAACGGGGAGGCTTTTGCCTGGCGGCCATGGAACACCGCTTCCTCTGCTTCTCTAGATGCAAGGGCGAAACGTGCGGTCTGTGTGAATTCCAAAGGCCAGTTCGACGTCGACGAACAGGTTTGGGGATTATTGAGTCTTGTGTGGCCGAGACCAGGTTTGTCTCTCTCTCTCTCTGTGTGTGTCTCTGTGTGTGTGTCTCTGTTTATTAATCTTCAGACCTCCTTATTGTCGGCCTGGGAGCTTCCGTCTTCCCCCTCTCCCCCGAAACGAAACGACAGATCAATTCGCTGGGTATCCGGGTCGAAGTCCAAGATACTAGAAACGCAGCGGCGCAGTTCAACCTGCTGGCCACGGAGAGAGGGGTTGGGGAGGTTGCAGCAGCGTTGATACCCATCGGATGGAAGGGGCAGTAGCTATCCAGTGATTCTGTATATGTAACACCATCTAGATGTATATAATTTAAATAAATATCTCTACTATTCTTGTTCGAGATATCAAGTTCTCTACTAGTCGGTATACGAGATAATGCGGAGTATCTTATCGCCAAGCCCCTTGCAGCCTGCATCATAGCTTCAGCCTTCAGCCTTCAAGCCTTCAGCCATTCTCATCTCCTCCTCATCTGTTCTTTCCATTCACCTGCCCCTTCTTTCGTCGATATTCCACCATGCCGCAACAAGAGCCTCTTTTGGCTCGCCCCTCGTCCGACCGTGATTCCCTCCGCAACGCAGAGGAGGAAGACGCCCTGTTGACCGGTGAGCGTTCCTCGCGGTACGACGGATCCCGCCAGCAGACTCGCTGGACTCGCTGGCGTGAGGTCGGCCTGTTGACCTGGGCGGTGCTGGCCACCGCCGCGGTGATTATCGTGACGGTCGTGTTCCATCAGCACGAGAGGGCGAACCATCACCACCACCACCAAGACGATGACTCCCCCACCTGGGGCCCCGGCGGTAAGCCCACGGGCAAGCGAAACCTGATCTTCATGGTCTCGGACGGGATGGGCCCCGCCAGCTTGGCGATGACGCGTGGGTTTCGCCAATTGACGGAGGGTCTGCCGATGGACGACACGCTGGTGCTGGACCAGCATTTCATCGGGACGTCGCGCACCCGCTCGAGCTCCAGCCTCGTCACCGACTCGGCCGCGGGCGCGACCGCCTTCTCCTGCGGCTTCAAGAGCTACAACGGAGCCATCTCGGTGCTGCCCGACGAGACCCCCTGCGGGACGGTGCTGGAGGCCGCCGCGCTGGCGGGGTACCGGACGGGCCTGGTGGTGACGACGCGCATCACGGACGCGACCCCGGCGTGCTTCGCCTCGCACGTCACCCTGCGCTCGTACGAGGACCGCATCGCCGAACAGGAAATCGGCGAGCACCCGCTCGGCCGCGTCGTCGACCTGATGCTCGGCGGCGGGCGGTGCCATTTCCTCCCCAACACGACCGAGGAGAGCTGCCGCGCCGACGACCGCGACCTGATCGCCGCCGCCGAGGCCAACGGGTTCAACTACATTTCCGACCGGGCCGGGTTTGACGCCCTGAACGACGGCACCGAGGTCCAGCTGCCGCTGTTGGGCCTGTTCGCCGGCCACGACATCCCCTTCGAGATCGACCGCCGCAGCCAGGCAGACACCTACCCGTCGCTCGAGGAGATGGCGCGCACGGCCCTGACGGCGCTCAGCCAAGCAACCGCCGACAGCGAGCAGGGATTCTTCCTCATGATCGAGGGCTCACGCATCGACCATGCAGGCCACGGCAATGACCCCGCCGCCCAGGTCCACGAGGTGCTCGCCTACGACCGCGCCTTTGCCGCCGTGCTCGACTTCCTCGACAAGGACTCCACCCCGGGCGTCCTAGTCAGCACCTCCGACCATGAGACCGGCGGCTTAGCCGTCGCCCGCCAGCTGCAGGCAGACTACCCGGAGTACAAATGGTACCCGGGCGTTCTGGCCAACGCAAGCCACTCGGCGGAACACCTTGCCGCACAGCTCAAGACTTATCTCGGAACCAATTCCAAGGACGGTCAAAAGCATCAACGCAAGTACGTCTACGCCCTGCTCGAGAAGGGACTCGGCGTCACCGACGCCACAGAGGATGAGGTCGACCTCCTCCTCGACCCGGAGCTCTCGCCCAGCTACGTTTTTGCCGATATCATCAGCCGGAGGGCCCAGATCGGCTGGTCCACTCACGGACACTCAGGTGCTTCCCCCCTTCCCCTTATACCGAATAATAAACTATCAAGTATATAAAGTGTATGCTAAATCTCTGCTAGCCGTCGATGTCAACATCTACGCCTCTTCAAGCAAAACAGCCTGGCCACTCCTCGGCAACCACGAGAACACAGAAGTCGGCTCCTTTCTAGCCGATTACCTCGATCTCAACCTGGAGAATATCACGAGCCAGCTCCAAGCCGGAAGTTGGATGGGAGGTGTCCAGGCCATCCACGTTGATGATAAGTACCATGGCGAATTCAAGCATTAACGATTTCTTAGAACCTAGCTAGCATGCATATTTACATTTATTCTATTTCATCTACTCTGTCCTACAAGCAGGACAGACGATATCTGCAAAACTCCACGAAACAATATTCTTAGGCGACGGGCCACAGTCAGGTGGGTTGAAGGGTATATCGAACATGGCGCGCTGGTACGGGTCGTTGATGCGGTGCAGCTCGGCCAGAACGGCACGGCAGAAGGTGTACAGCTCTGCCCGGGTATGGTTGCATGTATAGCTTGTGCGGATGTAGAGGCACATAGAAGTGAGTATGTAGAGTATGTAGAGTAGAGTAGAGTATGTAGAGAGTATGTTGAAGAGGATATTTCCTCCCTTTTATAGCTATCTCATCTTATGTCTTCTGTCTGTCTTTATATACTGATAAAGATCATCGATGCAATGCATCTAGTACTACACCTAGGTAATGCTTTGCTTTGTGTAGTATTGTATATGCAATAGATTAGGGTATGCAAACGCCAAAGGCTCACTATAGACAGACACCAAAGAATAAAGAGTAACCAAGAAGCATTAACCACAAAATGGCATCATTAAGAGAGAAGAAGAAGAAGAAGAAAAAAAAAAGAAAAGGACCAGAGGGAAGTATAAAGAATCACTGGAAAGACAGATCAGATCCCAAAAAAGCTAAATCACAACCAAAGCGACAACGGCAACCACCACGGCAAACAGAGACCCCTGGCGTATCCTCGTGTTCTGCGAGGTTGCGCCACTCTTGTCGGTGGTGGTGCCGCCCTGAACGAAGCCCGTGGTCGAGCTGGACGAGCTATCTGTGCCCGAGCCCGAGTCGCTGCTCCCCGGCACGGTGCCCGCACCGTTGCTGGTGGGGACCGAGTCTCCTGAACTGGCCGTTGCCGAGGCCCCCGCGGTAGTGCCGGCGGTCATATTCAGGCCGGTGTCGTCGAAGTTGTTGAGGGTGGTGTTCCGGTCGGTGATCTCCACCGTGTTGTTGGTGACCGCGCTGTCGCTGGTGTAGACGTAGGACTTGTCACCCTGGATGTTGGCGCCCGAGGGCGGGTTGTAGCATTCGACGGTGATCTCTCCGAACGTGGCGTAGTAGTAGCCGTGCTCCTCCATGTCGGTGCTGCTCCAGTTGACCAGACCGCCGGCCCACTCGATGGTTCCCTCGGCCTCAGTGGAGAGACCGGCGGGCCAGAGCGACATTTCCACGCGCGACGGCGTCTGGGGGAACTGGTAGCGGTTCGAAGTCGCGTTGAACGTAGCGGAACGGTTCAGGGTCCGGGCCGCCGTGCCGTCCACGTACCATGTGATGGCGTCGGGGGTCCAGTCGATGGTGTACTCGTGGAAGTTTTCGAACGTGTTACTCGAGACGGTAGCATTGATCTCGTTGTCATCTGGTCGGTTAGCTTTTTTTCTTTCTTTTTTTACATTTGATGGCAGAAGTGGAAAGGATTGACCTACAATCCAGAATGCCTTCAAAGTAGTAGTTGGTCTGACCGTGGTACAGGTCCACGCCGACAAACTCCAGATCGATCTCATCCTTGACGTCGGACATCAAAATGAAGGCAGTGACGACACCGGCGCCACGGCTGGTCTTGAGCTTAGCTGAGATCCGGCCGTACCAGACGTAGTGGTTGTTGGAGAACAGCGTGCCCACGGAGTTGTTGGGCATGGTCAGCAGCAGGTTACCGTTGTCCAACAGCGGGGTGCCGCTGTAGACCCAGTCGTACTCAGTAGCATTGCCTAGATACACTTCGTTGCTAGCTGCTTTGTCGAGATTGTCCCAGGTGTACGTCTTGTTCACACAGACGGGCGCAGGCGTGCACGAGTCGATCGAATATGAAGCGAGGGGATAGCACCCGCCCAGGCAGTACGCTCCGACACCACACTCGCCGTATGCTGGAAATCCCGATTAGTTGAGGCAGTTATTACCACCCGTCTAGTAAAGAAAGGGCTCACCAGAACAGCAGGGCGAGTCTTCGGGGCACGGGCTATCGACACTGCAGGTCGTAGTCGCCCAGACGGTTGAAAGGGAGGCAGAGACCGCCAATAAGGCAGTGATAAAGCGAACCATGTTTGTTTTTTTACCCAAAAGGAGGTATATATATATACACTATACAGAACGTCTGCTAGATCAAAAACTAAAGCAACAGATTCGATGGCTGCCGTGATAACCGGGAGCAAAAGCACAGCAGCTATTAGTATTAGTTAGTATCAAAAGGGGGGGGGGGGCAGTCAAAAAGAGTGTCGATGATCCCCAGTCGCAGTAGATCGTCAAGCGAGTGTGTATTAAACAATAACCAAGGCTCGAAAGAGGAGGCGAAAGATGAAAATCCCAGACTCAATCTCCAAAGGGGGAGGGGGAAGTGATTAAAAGAGGAGAAAGGGAGAGGAGAAGCTGATGGGGTTGGCGAATTATTATGGCTGTTATTATTAGACCCTTTTTTTCTAGGATGGCACGAGGGGGTCGCCGTTTTGTCTTACCTGAATAATTACAGGGACCAGCGCATTTCAGGGCCCTGAAGGGCTCTGGGGTAAGACAGACTAACTGAGGGGGGTTAGTCTGTTACAGGGTCTTGGGCACAGATGTAGTACTACATATTGAAGGAGTACATGATAATTACAGAACCAATCATAGAAATTGATAAGAAAAGAAACCCCTATTTTATTTACTATACATTGTATAAGAAATATCTTCTAGAAATTCTTCTACACAGTAGACAGAACAGATGGACTACTTAATTGCCGAGAACTCATTTGTCTTGACTAGCGGTAAGGAATACAGTAAGTTACTAGCCTCTGATTAGCTCGGGACTATTGAATCGAGAGCTATAGTGGTATCACATGACTTTTTTGTCACCTGTCACGGCGTCACCTGACCACACATTCCGATCCGGCGATCGGATCCAGAGATCGACCATGCTACAATGCAAGGGATACTCTGATCCAACTTCACTCATTTGACGACGGAGATGATGATGACGTAATTCCAGTGAGTTTTTTTAAAAAACTAAAAAATTCAATTGACAGATTATCATTCAGGATTCTAGTTGCAGTCCTAGAACATGAGATACGGAGTACAGCAACTCCAATAGTATTGTCAGGCAACACCCTTCCCCCAGTGATCCAATAGATTGCCAGGTTAAAACAAAAACAAAAACTTCAGGATACCGAAAAACAAAGGAAAGCTCCTTAAGAACAAATTCAACCCGCAGGTTCGTTCGAAACAGAAGCAACGCCTCAGTGAGCGTTGCGACGATTGTAGCGGTTGTACGATAACCGCGGTGCCTCGCGAACGAGGATCAGCTCCTTCTCGCAGGGGTCGGAGGAGTACGACACCAAGACCCCATGGTAGGCGCCGGGGACGTCCTTCCACCGTTGAAACGCGTCATGGACAACGCGAGCGGCAGCGGTGCTGTTGAAAACAACAGTGGCTAGAGAGACATAGATCAGCACTTCGTTTTTTTTCCAAATACTTCAATAGCGAAGTATCTATCACAACCCTTACCATTACCTGAATTAAATACGAAGAGAAAGTCGATGTTCATGGAGCCAACGAGGCGGTGGATGTCGTGTTCCCATCTGGTAGGGTTCATGCCCTCGGAGAACATCTTCTTGCGCGCAAAGGAAAGGCGACGGCGCTCACGTAGAGGCTGGTTCATGCGCAGATGTTCTTCCTTCCAATCCGCGGTCTCGACCATCTCGATCTTGTACCCGTGTCCAATGCGGGAGGAGCCACAGGTCTTCTCCATTTCATCGGACGAATGGAGGAAGGCCATCGCGTGGGTGGCATGAAGAAAAGTGACCAGAACGGACTCCCGTGACTCCTGGCGAATTTCCAGAAGGGGGCCCTCATGGATCCGCCGGGTAATGTGCTTGAGCAGATCCCTGACAACGGGTCCAATGATGCGGATCATGCCAGCCTTGGGCTCGACATAAACCTCGGGGAGCACAGTGCTGGCAAAGCAGGCCGTGGCAGGCATGCCGGCGACAGGAGTACCCGTAACGGGAGTACTGACGGGGGTATTGGTGAGAAGTCTACCGCTGAGAGGCATACCGGTGAGGGGCATTCCGGCGAGAGGCATGCCAGCAAAACCGTACATCTGCACAGGCTGCTGGCTGAGACCAGCCTTGTGGGCCGCAATGGAGGCTTCTGTCTCCCTTCTGAGTGCTTGGAGCCCGGAAGTGAGGGACTTGATCATCTCGTCGGCATCTTCGACGCTCTCGTTGTCCTCGATCTGCTGACCAGCAATGGCAGCTCCGTTCTTTACTTTGCCGTTCTCCACGACGGGAAGCAGGACGCCGGCAGAAGAGGCGTTTTCGCTTTCAGAATCGACCTCCTCGGCGTCGTCTTCACCAGAGGACTTTGGTTCGTCAGCACCGGCCTCAACGGTTTTGGGGTTGGTGGAAATTGCAAACTTACTTCCTCCTGAGAGCTGTCGTACTCGGGCTCGATCTGTTCGAATCCCTTCTTGAAGGCATTAAGCATCTGCACGCTGAGCTTTCCCAGCTCATTGGCTGCCTGGTTTTCATTGTGCGCACGAAACTGTTGACATTTAGTACGCTTCAAATTCTGGATGGAGGGAAAGAAAAAGAAAAGAAAAGAAAAAAACTCACATAATGCTCAATGGTCTGCAAGTGACGCAGAGTCTCCTGAATTGCCTTGTCAATGCGGTCAGGCATTTTGTCTTATTGGGACTGGTCGGTTGAGGTAGATATTTGTCTACGAGTCGATTCTTGTCAGCGAGACGCTACCAATCATTGGCTTCACAGTCTGTCCTCATACCTTCTTGTGCTCAGACGAGCAACTACTTGAAACAGGACTTTTCCACGATAAGTTGATCAAATGAAAAATGAGGCAAACGAGGCAAACGCTGGCCGACAAAGAGCTGAACCAGTGGATGTCTAGAGCAGGCTATATGAGTGTTAGGACTACATCTTCTCCAGCATTCTCCTAAGTCAATACTCACCAGTGAATCAAGAGGCTGATAGTTCTATCTAGCCTATAGAGCTGAAAGAAACTTGCTAGTGCAATAAGGAAATCAAAAAGATGAGAGAGGATAGAGATAGATTAGGATGAAAGGAGAGGTGAGTAGAGAAGAGAAAGAGAAAGAGAGAGAGAGAGAGAGAGAGAGAGAGAGAGAGAGCTGGAGAGATGAAGAGAAATATCGACTCTAGTTCTAATTCCTCTACTTAATCAGTTAAATATTCTCTTCTTACTCTCACTTTCACTTTCGATGCGCGGTAAACTATACTTTATGGGTCTGGTCGTCACAGCAAACAATCCATTGTCCAGCTTATACCTGGAGGGTATTCACTTGAGCTACTTTACTTCAAAACTAAGAAACAAAATATATCTCAATATACTTGAGTATATAGCTCATCTTGATATAATCATTTGATATGTCTATGTGTATGCTACTGTGTATACTACTGCCTCGACATGGCGATGCTGGTGGGTTGCCTATTTGGGCCAAATATCAAGTGAGAGCAATGTGAAGTGAACTCGAGTCTAGAAACCAGCCCTCCAACCAGCCACCGAGTTTCAAATCCTATTGTCTTTAAAACACGGTGGCTGGCGTCAAATTGATGTTCCTCAGTATGGATGCTAGTAGTGAATACCTTCGCCAGACCCTGAGCGAGACATGTAAGACTACAATAACATAGTAGGCTATTCATCGGCTACGTTGCAGTTGCAGAATTGAACCTCAATCCGATTGTAATTATTACACTATATCAGCTAGCATACACCAACCGAGTCAATGCCTGCCAATTGCCAACAGTCAAAGCTAAGACAGGGGGGGGAACGTCCTCACAAAACTAGACAGTTAGCAAAAGTCCATGAAATGGGAGTTTAGAAAGATAATAGAAAAAAGAGGAATAACATACTGAGCCGGACACTCGTATCCCGCCGGATTCTTCGCCAGGTATAACTGATGATAATCCTCCGCGTTCCACCACTGTCCTGCCGCGATGATCGCCGTGGTGACAGGTTTCCCAGCATACCACTCCCTACCAATTTTATCGGTCACCTCGCGCGCGATACCTTCCTGCTCCGCGCCATGCGTGAAGATCGCACTGCGATACTGCGTGCCCACGTCGGGACCCTGTCTGTTTGCTGTCGTGGGGTCGTGCATCCGGTAGAAGAATTCGAGCAGCGCGCGGTAACTGACCACATCCGGATCATATTTTATCTGCAACGCTTCGGCATCTAAAAGAATCAGCAAATGATTATATATATATATTTATAGACTTACGTCCTGTCTCCCCCGAACAAACAGCCCGGTATGTCGGTTCAGCTGTCTTCCCACCACAATACCCCACCTTGGCATCGAGCAGGCCCTTGCCCTCCCCGAACTGCTTGCGGAACAGATGCTCGACGCCCCAGAAGCAGCCGGCAGCGACGGTGGCGATCTGCGTTTGCGAAGTCGTCATGATGGTTCGAACGAAGGTGCGAGAGAGGCGGGGGAAGACTGTTGGAATGGCGTGTGTGATGAGGGGCATAGAAGGGGGAATATAGTGATAGATCAAGAATGATAATTAAAGAAAAAATAGAAATGGAGAAACAGTCTAGATAGACTTATGGATGGTTAATACTAAGTGGTGATAGATTCTTAGTAATTATTGCGTTCCTCAGTTAAAATATTTGGATAAAATTAGCTTGCAGATAAGTTGATTGCGTCATCCGACGGCATATTTACTGACTTTATAAAATAGCTATGATTGCATTATCAACTTCTGTATAGTACATCCTGGAATAATATATTTACTAGAGAAATCAGTATAAAAGAATAGAAGTATTCGTTTAGCTAGCTTGAAGATGTAAATCGAAAGATACGCTCCGTAGAGACTGCAGGTACGTCAAGGAAGATTTCGCCCTGTCAATTACCATGTCCATTACATTATCACAGCATGAACATTGAACAACTGTCTATAATCAATCAAATTCAGTCCTCAACTATGAGAAGATCAATAAGTCTTGCCTACTGTTTTCCAGCAGCTGCTAGAATTCAAGCTGGCTATTCACTCCTTCACCTCCCAGGAAACAAAATGCCCCCTGTGTGGAAGACAGGGGCTACTTCACCAAAACAGTTCTCAACCAAACGGACGGATAACGCAGCAGACACAGTAGAAACGCCTCGGACATTGCCTACGGGTGGTTTTCCAATTATCCAGTCTAATCAACTCCTTGAGGAAGAAGAGCTGCCTGATTACAGGCCTGATCGATTCTACCCTGTTCGACTAGGAGAAATCTTTCGAGGACGCTATCAAGTGATTGCGAAGCTTGGTTTTGGTACTTCGTCGACGACCTGGCTTGCTCGAGATCTCAAGTAAGCACGTTCTACGTGTTATATATACAATTGATCTAAGATTTGCAGGGACTGCCAATATGTAGCGCTGAAGGTTTATGTCCATACCTCACTGGTCCACCGCGAACTTCCTTTTCACCATCATATCGCACCCCGAATGGAGGAGAACAGCTCACCTGAAAGGCGAGTCAATATTCGGAAACTGCTGGACTCGTTTCAACTTGCTGGGCCATGTGGGACTCACATCGTCCTCGTTTTCGAAGCCGCGCAGATGAGCTTGCGAGATATGAAATCCGTCTTTCGGCCGGATGGGTTTGACGAAGACTTTGTCAGGGGCGCCATCTTCGAGCTCCTCAAGATTTTGGATTTCTTGCATACTCGTGGAGATACTGTGCACACCGGTATTTATCCTTGGATTCTATATACTCGTTTTCTGTTGGGAACTTCCTCTGACAGTTCGCAGACGTGCATCCAGGAAATATGCTGCTGGGAGCATACGACAACAGTATATTCAGAAAGCTCGAGGAAAAGGAACTCGCTTCTCCCGTCCCTCGGAAGCAGGACTCATCCGGGAGAACTATCTACCTCTCACGACTCATGCTCCCTACTGAAGGCCCCATGCTACTCTCTGACTTTGGTGAGGCAAGAATTGGGCAAGGGCCTCATGGCGGCGACATAATGCCTTTGGAATATCGGGCCCCTGAAACATTATTATACGTGGGCTGGAGCTTCCCTGTTGATATATGGAGCGTCGGTCTTACGGTAGGCGTCGTATCCTTTTTTTTTTTCTTCTTAAATTCAATTAGCCTGCTGCTAACAGAATTTTGGGCAAAAAAAGGCCTGGGACCTTCTAGAGCCGAAAAAACTCTTTACTGCCCGGGACGAGGATGGGGATCTTTATGATGCTGCGCATCTAGCGCAATTTATTGCAGCATTGGGACCACCACCAGCTGAGTTTCTAGCCAGAAACCCGGAAAGGAAAGCCGATTTCTGGAACGAGAAAGGTATGTATATCTGACCTGACATATATTGGGGTTTCTAATAAACATTTTCATAAGGTGAATGGCTGGGTCTTGCCCCGATCCCATACGCCCGGACCATGGAAGCCCTCGAGACTCGACTAGATAATAAATCGGGCTTCCTGCGATTTATTCGAAGAACCTTGACCTGGCTGCCTGAAAAGAGAGCAACCGCTAAGGAGCTCTTACAGGATCCTTGGTTGACGGGCGGAAAGGCGTGAATCAACCATCTCACAAAGAAGAAAGGTTTAGAGTTGGAAAGAAGCTTGATAGAGATAGAAAACTAGGTCCTTTTCTATGCGGCTACTTTTTCGGGCGCTGGCAGAGCCCATCTCACCATCCATTCAGACTCGAGGATTTCTGTAGCAGTGAGTCTTTCATTCGGCCTAAATGCCAGCATCCCCCTGAACATGGTCAACAGGGCACTCTTCTCAGCGTCTCCAACCTCTTCCATTGCGCTTCCCCGCCGCGGTTTTTGTATAGAACTAACGAAGCGGTTCTCTAATGATCTGCCTGCTCCTTCAGCCGTTCTCTTCGCCTCCTCTGTAAACCATCTCTTTCGCGCATCCCATTTCTGCCACCAGTCGCACGGCAGCTTACCCATGGCATCCACATGCTCTTTGATCATCCAGTCGCTGGACGGATTGAACCCCTCAAACAGAGGCTTCTGTCCGATGATATACCAGAGAGTACATGCAAGAGTCCAGACGTCGGAGGGAAATGACAAAGGTTCATGCTGCAAAAAGTAGGTCTCCGGGGGAGCAAGGACACCGGGCGTATTAGAATAGTGACGTGGAGTAACCGATGGCCGAAATGCCTCTCCAAGGTCGGTGACAAAAACTTCAGCTTCAGAGATGGTCACAAGTTCGCTTCCTTTCCCTAGCCAAATGGGCACAACCCCGTGGGTAGGAACCCCGTTGGGAAGTGCATTGCCATCAAGGCGCTCGAATGGCTCGACATTAGGCTGGCCGTATTTTTGATATAATTCTTCGAGGGAAAGCTCGTCTATGCTGTTCGGCAAACGAAACATGATGTTTCCTGCATGGAGGTCTACAACGGATTCCGTTAACAAGGAACGCATGTAAAACGTGTCAGATAAATATAAACATACCAGCATGAACTACTCCTCGGTGATGGAGAAAAGCGACAGCTTGTATGACTTGGGCCGCAATGGCCCTGGCCACAGGCATTTCGAACAGTCTGGAAGAGGACGCGTCCTTTGCCTCCTCCAGGGTCATCATCCCAGGCTCCGTAACCAGACATCTGTGCCTCCCGTTAGGCCCCTCGAGGGAAAACGTATCCAATATTCGAGGGATCAAGGCCTTTCGAGAATATCCGCCCTTGTTGCTGGGTTCCGAAAGCGCAAGGGTGTCGAGGATGTCACTCTCCGGCACATCTGCTTCGGCGATGGCAATCTTGATAGCTACGTACTTTTTTGTATTCTTATCTCTTGCCAACCAAGTGGTCGAGTACGTCCCAAAGCCAAGCTTATGGACGACATCGTACCGGTCCGTAAGACGGTCCCCAATATTCACGGGGTGATATCCTCCAGGGCAATAACGCTCAGGCCTTTCTATATCCTCAAGTGGCATATATTCAACTGGAGCATATTTTGGGGGAGATGCGTCGGGAGCGATAGAGTCCATTCTCAAATGAGTAGTAGCAATGTTTCTCCCAAGGCTTGGGAAACCGGTCAGATGCGGCGCAGTGGCAAATAGAGGCCATGAATGAGATAGTATTAGCTGTCTTTGAATATTGAATAAAGGTTGTAAGCGCCTCGTCATGGTAAATAATAGAAAGAAGATAAGAGGTCCGGGAGATCTTCCCAGGTCGCTCCACAGCTCCTTCTGCTCACCTTGTTTTGGGAGAGTTGGACCACGGAAAAATGAAGCCGCCGCGGGTTCCACGTGCTCGTGGGGGGGGGTTCAAAATTTACGAAAATACAAATGAGAAAGTTAATTCTGGAAAAATGTGACTAGGTATGGTAATTTAGATTAATTCATATCACTGCATTGCTTTCAACAGTCTCCTGGGGAGGGAATATGGCCGTAACCAATTTCAGGAGCAACTTCCAGCTCGTCTTCAGATGGCCACACTGGCTTGCCGTTCATCTTCAACACAGAATCAGGCTTGGTCCCCGCGTGGGTAGATTTTACCAACTGCCAGACGTCTTTTCCTGGAGTATAGCCATGGCAAGCCGTGTGTACGTTGCTCTTGAGCTGCTCCTGATCCTTGTAGCAGAAGGTCAGATGCCAGCCATTAGGATCTTCCTGATGCCTTCCATTAATCGAGGTAGACCTATCAAGGGGTATTGTGATTAGCAACCTTCCGGGGGCGTATTGTTCTCAGAGGGATATATTCAACGCACCTAATGAGAATAGCCTTGGGATAAAGCTTTCTGTCTCTGGCAGTTTGGTAGGCGAGCGAAACCATATTTTTCAGAAGCTCCTTGTCTTCGGGCATCATTCCCCTATAGAAATAGTATTTGACGATGTTGATTGTGGACATGATGACTGCCAGACAACGATGGTAACTTGCAAATGAACGTTCTCCAGTTATAAAATCTAGAATTCAATTTATGGGGAAAGATTCCATGTCATATTCACTGATGAACTGACCACTGACCAACGACAGTCTGTCAAGTAGATTATGCATTCTGAATCGCATCTCCTTGGATGCTGTAGCTCCTGAGCTTGCCAGCCGCGCGGCATGCGGAACGAGGGCGATTTATAGCAGTAGAAACCAATGAATGAGGAAAAGAGCGGCGTCGATGAGACTCCTTCCTGCAGCTACTGAGGCAGGAAGATGAGCCGAGAACTGTAAGATTGGTTCAAAACTACGCGCCGGCACAAAATCAATCGCAGCCTTACCTTCTCTGACATCTTCGGCGGCAAAGTTGGGAGCCTCTCAATCCTTTTGCAATTAATTTCCTCTATGGAGGGCTTATGGCCACCAGGTATCTGTGGGAAGAGATTTCAAATCCTTTATAGAAAATAGCTACGCTTGCCATAAAACCACAAAACTTCGTGCCAGAAGGCTGATTGTCATGATTTCTGTATTGTACATTCTTAAATAATATGTTTACCGGAAAAATCAACATGTCCAGAGCGGACCAGCCAGAAGTATCTCTAAAAATGTCAAGAGAAGAAGAAAAAGTATTGCCAGAACGCCCCATTCCCATCCTGTCGCAAAAGTACCCGAAATAGAATGAATGAGGAAGGAAAGGGATAAATGTATGAAGGAGAAGAAGGGGAAGAAGGAGAAGGAGAAGGAGAAGTATCGACTACCTGTCGACGCTCGGAGCGGCAACGGCACTGAGTCGGATGGCATCGCGACCGGTGAAGCTGACGTCGCGCTGGCGGATCTCACCCCCCAGCGTCGTGCGGCGTTGACCCGTGTTCTTCATGACAGGCAGGTTCTGCGCGCTCAACACGCTGTGTCGGCCATCGCTACTGTCCTTCTCGCCCTTGACCATCCGGCGCGCCTGGGATGCCGTGAACATGGTGTTTTCGCTGGGTGAGGTGCCGTACGCGTTCGCCGTCGGGCTGCGTCGGCGGTGCGCGCGCATCGCGCTGGATGCCGTCTGTCCAGGTTGCACGCCTGAAATCCGCCGCATCGCCGAGGTGATCTTGATCGCGTCGTCCTTGTTGGCCATCCAGCTGGTGTCCTTGCTGTCGGCAACGGGACTGCTCGTGTAGCTCCCGCTGCTGGCGGTGCGGACGGCGATTCGTGACGGGCGATCAAACGGGGAGCGGTTCAAGAAGCTACTCCCTTCAATGTCACGAAGCGGGGAGCCGCCATGGTCGGACAGCGGAATGCTGGTCGAAGGGGGCGGCGCTAGCGGCGAACTGCTGGTTTTCTTGCTCAAAAACCCAGCCTTGAACCGGCTCCCGTTCTTGGCGACATGCAGCATCGGCTCGGCAGGTGGTGCCGGGATAGGAGACGAATCTAGTGAAGGGCTCGCGTTCCGTGTAGGGAGGGGGATTGATCGTGGGATGGGCGAGGCTCGCGGCAAGGGTAGCTCGCTGGGGCTCTCTTCCCGAATGCTGCGCTCGGCCGGTCTCTCCTTTTGAGGCGTCTTTTGGAATTCGGCCAATGATCCATCCTGCTCGTCGTCCTTCCAACGCACAGATCTCTTGCTGGATTTGGCTTGACTCTTCTTCGGTGTGAAGCTGACGCTCTTCCGCGCTGACGAACCGAATTTACGGCGCCGGGGGGACCCCTTGACGGGAGACACCGACCCACTGGGGTTCAGCGTCACGGGGGGGCTGAATCCCTTCGCGGAGGGGATAGCAATGAGACTGACCCTCTTTTTGGGCCTAGGATGTGAGGGTTTGACGGGGCTGAAGGTTGGAACTGGCGGGAGATTGCCATCGGGCTTGACCACATTGGTGACGGCACTGGAGCAAGACTCGAGCATCTTGACCAGAATCTTCTTGCCTTGATTGATGGCCTCGTCTTCGGTCAAATCCATGATGTTTTCAATCGCAGCGATCGTCTCGAATTGAGCCTGAAGGAGCAGCTGGATGGTAGCCGCATCGCCGGCCTTGTCCTGATCCGCGACGGCCGTAAGTGCTTCACGCTCGGCGTTTGATTTCAAGAGCTCTGCCTCCCGGTTCAGATTGGCAAAATCACTCTTGTCGTTCATGTCGAACTCCTGCAGCTGGCGAACGGTATTATCCACGGCCGAAATAATCCCCCGGTCCCAGTTGCTTCTCGACAGCTTCTGGTGATAGTGCTGTCTACTACCCTCCAGCTCCAGAAGGATACCCTGGGCAGACTTGCGAATCGCTTGCAGGTTCACCAGTGACTCTTGGCTCTCGCAGCTGGCGCACACACCGTCAAAAGCCGCAATCCAAGATGAGAGCATGCCAATGCGGCGGCTGATCTGTCGTAATTTAAGCATGTTGGCGGTCTTCTCCTGCCGTTCAGGCAACGAGTGGTCGTATGCGCTGCGAATGCGAGAGATGCCCTCCCGGACAACTTGTTCTTTCTTTTCGTTCTGCTTCCTAAATTTAGCAAAGGCGATCTTTTCAGACTCCTTCTGCTGGGCCTTGAGTTCGTTGATCAAGGCCATCTGTTCATCGATCTTCTTCAAGAAGTCCTTGACATGTCGGTTCACGTTGAACACGTTCCGGGTGACCTTGGTCTGGATGTTCTTGGCACGGTTCGCATAACGCAGCGTATTCTGCGTTTCGTCAAAATGCTGACTCGAAGGGCTGACACAGACGATCATGACTGTCCTGCAGTTGCCGCCGAGCGAGAATTTGAGCAGGCGGGTCAGCTTGGAGTTGCGGTAAGGGACATGATTGCGCTTCCTGGGATCACACAACGCATTGATACAGCTGCCCAGGGCCAGCAGGGACTTGTTGATGTTGGCACCTTCCAGCAATCTCTCGCCTCTATTCTTCGTTGCGCTGGCCCGCTCACTGCCGGCCAAGTCAATGATACTCAAGGTAGCCATGGTGTGAGGCTCATTGACATCCGCGTTACGGTCCTTCTGAGCGACATTGATCTGCAACACGGCGTGAGATCGGGAGGATGTCGCGTTGGCTTCCGTGGGAGACATTGTCCGGCATTCATTTCCCCGCATGATCATGTCCATCACCTCCTGCACGTTTTGTGGATGATGGCTCGACAGTCCCGACACTGACACCGACTGGTTCGAGTCCTCCCGCAGCATCAAGCCTCCCTTGTTATTACTTCCACCCACAACAAGCAGGTCACGGATGGTTTCATTGTAAATTTCCAGGTAGGACAGCGATATCTCGGTCGTTTTCTCTCCGGCCCGTTCGTCGATACGCTCGAATAACTCCTGCATCGTCATGAAAATAATACCCGGCTGCTGAGCAGTTCCGGTGATTGTATGGGTCTTTCCGCACCCAGTCGCACCGTACGCAAAAACCGTTGCATTGTACCCGTCAAGCACGCTGTCGAGGAGAGTCCGCGTCGTAGACTCGTACACCTCTCCCTGCGAGGCATTCTGGTCGAAAATACGGTCGAAGCAAAACGTCTGATCCTTGACGCGCTTCCCCTTTGGAACCACGCTTCGGGAGAATTTCTGCACGGGATTGTCTTCGGGGGGGTCGAAAACCCTGCCCAAATGTCAGACGAAAGCTGCCGGGGGGAAAAAAAGAAAGAAAGATGCCTCAACTCACAGGCACCTGTCATCAATCACCTTGATGACTGATCTTAGGCCCTTCTGGTTCAGCTTCGGCGTCGGCACACCCGCCAGCGACCCGTCGCCGAGGAATAAAGGGCCATCATCGCATTTGGACAACTGGGCGGCCTCTCGAATGGTGAACGGTCGCACCCGGACCGATACCGTGATTGACGATGCGTCGCTGGGAGTAGTCATTTTGTGATTCTAGACGTGTCCGTCCATACACAAAACCCCTTTCGCGTAACGGGCAATGCAGCAACACCGATGCCACGGGGGAAAGGGGGGGGGCAGAGCGCGGATCCCAGAGCTCGCAGCTTGCACCGTGGACAAGACGGGGAACGAAGGACGCGGTAGACTCGACTTCAGGAGAGAGATAAGAATCAATCAGGATAACACAGTAGGTGCAAAGGATAGGAATGTGGATGCGGGCCTATTATTCCGATCGCTGGCAACGCCCGTGGACAGGCTTCAGCCTTGTTTGAGTGGGTGTTGTGTTTGGTGTGTTGGCCACGGCCGTTGCTACGAGCAACCGGGTGGAAGTATTATTACCTCGTGGAAATAGCAGTCACAGCATATGTTTCTATCCTGTTTCCTTACTAAACGGTATGTACATCTATTAGTTGTTAAACACACAGTCTCGGGTCGCTACTAAATACGAATGCCTGGATAAGATTACGTATTGCGGAGTAGCTGTTGCACAGGATAGATATTCGCCTGGTTCACCAAACTACGAGTCAAGGCTCCATCACTAAATTCTGTACTCTAGTTTAGACCCGGTACTCCCAAGAATACATCAGAACACCACGGAACGCCTCGTAATATTGTACATAGATCACATCGTAAGGGGGCGGGCAGAGAGACACCCATCAACTCAAGAAGCATCACATGGGTTGATCTTCCTCGTCGTCAAAGTTCGGCGTCACGACATCCCAGCCAGGGTCTCCCAGGTCAATGTCGAGCTCATCTGTCTTCTCGGACGTCGCAGTGGGCTTGCGGAAGCGGAAGGCGACAGCTTGTCCATTGCGAAGATCTGCGTTCTGGAGACTGACAGCATTGCCGCTTCTCTTTCCCGATGCTCTCTTCGAGTTTCCCTCGTCCTCGAGATCGAGGTCATCCGTCTCCAACGAGGTCCATCCTTTCTCCAGATCGTTCCTGTCGACCGGCACGCCAAACTCGACCTCGGCCGCGTCTTGCGGGATGACGTCCCCGTTGAGTTCCTTCAGGCCGCGAGATTGAAGGGCATTCAGCAGGGCGCTCTTTGCGTTTTGTAAGGTCTCGTGGGGCGGCAGCATGAGAAGCACGGTAGTCTTATGTTTTTTGAAAAAGAGCGTCCAGCTCAGCGGATCCGGATTCGACTGTCATTTGTGATTTATAACCAGTTAGATAGGAATTTCTTTTTTTCTTTCTCATATATCAGACGAGGCTGTATTGACTCACCATATTCGCTGGAAGCTGCAGGTTCTTGTGGGAGAGAGCTCCAGGCTTCGGGCGGTGCGGGACAAGCTCGAGACACTCGACGGTTTCTGGCCGGAGGTCGGAGAATTGTTTGTGGCATGGCATCTCTCTTCCCCTACACGTTATCCAGCATTTGCAACCGTTCCCCAACCCCTTTGACTTGGTTTCAAGAGACTTTGAAGGTGGACATTACTGAGGTGGTGATAGTTTCCCAACAAATCTTGAATGAAAATCAAATACCTTCGGTGAATCTACGCTGTATGAGCTCGAAAATGTCGGCGCAGGAAAACACGTCTTTGGCAGACTTGACCTTGGTGGACAGCATCCTTCACTGGCACAAACTGTTCGAATCAGACACTCCTCCACGACTCGGTCTCGAAGTCCATCAACGCCTGCCGTCCACGGCGTTGGCGGCTTTTTCGGTCGGGATGGGCATCGGGTATTCTCACGGCAGCAAAATCGCAGCGTACAGATTTCGCGCCGAGAACGCACACCGTCTTCCCGCTAACTCCGCCCTCTGGTTCCAGTACCATAAATCAAAGAGTTATGCGTCGGTCATTGGGGGGACTATAGAAGGCTTAAAGCTAGGGCTGAGGCTTGGGGGCGCTGCCTTTGCGTTCTGCTTATTCGAGGAGACAGTGGACTACGCTCGACACGACCGGAGAGACTTTCTGTCCACCGTTATCGCAGGGCTGTCATTTTCTGGAATATACAGTCTTCTAGGTATATATGGTTTTTACTATCTGTTATCTCACAGGTTGTGCCTGTGCTAACTGTCGCTTGGATTTTAGCCCGTCATGATATCTACACGGCCGCACGCACAACGAAACTTGGTTTGAAGCTGGGTCTGGTGTATGGTCTATCGCAGGATGCTCTTGGGACACTCAGGGGCACGCCTCCTGCATATATGGACTTTTTCTTGGGTAAAAACTCCTCGAAATCCTCCAGCGAAGGGTCCATCTGAACGTGCACCCTTCAATGACGGCGGGTTTTACTACATATCCCCTCGTCTAGTCATCTCTGTGGCTCCCCTAGTCCAAGGAACTCGGTTCGGCAATACGGTATTTCCGTGACTTGATTGCACCGAATCAATGCAGAATCGCCGAGTTTCCCCCTGGCCTATCGGCCTGTGCAGAAAGTCCGAGACTCTGTCGCCGAACATTATCCTTCCCCCAACTATTTGCAAGGAAACCACCTCGACCAGCGCCAAGACCGAGCGAACGTGCAGGGGAGGCAAGGGATCGAAAACAGCCGGACGATATGATTTGCCAGTCGTCTGCTGTGATCCGGCCATGCACGACGCGCCGGTTAGCCTTGAGGGGGGGGGCTTGTCTGCTGCATGCGGTGCAGGGAAAACCCGAGCTACATTCTCTGCGGAATGAAGGAGGCACCTTCGCTCTACTTCATAGCCTCCAATATCCAAAACGTATACTCCCAACTCACTCAACCCGAGTTTCCCTACAACCTACCCTCTGTAAACCTGCTTTGTAAACTTGCTCTGTAACCTGCTCCCAAAATTCCTGTCACTGTATAACTAATATCTAATACTGGACTCTGACCGCCTTCCAGAAGACTTCTTGGAACGGCATCGTCGTCATGTGCCTGCTGACCTAATCGTCCCGGCCTGGCCCGTGCACTGCCCCGCGGCAATGACGCCGACGAGACAGACAGAGAGACAGAGAGACAGACTGGTGGGGAGGAAAGCAAAGCACCCAGTGTGCGTCTGCATAGGGATCGCCAGGGTCTGTCTCTGTCACAAGAAGAGGGGCTCGCACGGCAAGCTTGAGTGAGCACAGCAGCGCTTCTCACGAGGTCGCAGAGGGAGCTACCGTCTACGGAGTAGAGATCGTCTGCGGCGATTGCTCTTCCAGACCTTCCAGTGATGAACAAAAGCGGTCCACTCCTTGTTAGTGGCCCCCGTCCCAACCAAACTTCCAGCTTCTCCGTCAGTGCTGCGAGCTAACTTAGTAGTGTGCACTGTGAGCACTTGGCTGCGACGCTCGTTCCGACTAAACAGACAGGCTGACTCTCAACTAGGTTTTCGGTTAACTAGCTGAGTAGTGAGGTAAGTCTGGTAGCTCCAGACCCTGCCGAGCTTGCCTCCTCCTCCTCCTCCTTCCCTTAAGGGTGCCGAAAGAGAACGAGAGAGAAAGAGAAAAAAAAATAAGAAGAGAGGAAAGGTCTCATCCCGGATGGAGCTCTGTCGCTTTGACAATAATCCCCCCGAAAGAGAGCCTTTCATCCTGCGCAACCTGGGCAAGTGGCCATTGCTTTCGTCTCTCTGCGTCTGCTCGCAGACCGGCGTTTCGCTGCACCAATCCGTTTCCACCCACCCATAGCTGGAGGGTCGCTGAGACTGGTTACAGCTTTCCTATCTCAACGTGGTCCTTGCCTGCTGGAGGATATTGAGATTTTATTTTTCTAAAATTTCAGGCATATCTTCAGAGTTCTTGGAAACGTGATATAGTCTCTCTGGGTAGTCACTCACTACTATATCAAGTGAGTGAGTAACCAATTGTGGGGTATTGGTTGAACGTTTATGAGGCACCCCTCGCCTGGAGGAGGGGGGGGAATAATAATATTTCATGAAAACTGGGCTGACCATCTGATCTCTATAGATTTCTTCTCTCGTCTAGCCGCTCAAACCATATTGCTTCTTCTTCTGCGGGGTACAAGGGGTTCAAGGATTCTCGTTCGGGGCGCCAGTCCCCTAAAGCCTCGATCTGTGTGGGTGGATTTGATTAGAATCGAGCCGTCTTATACACCGTATACTTCGTGACGAGGGGACCTTGAATCACACAAAACATCATGCGGCGCCATGGAAGGGCCGGCGGGGGGACAAAAGTGGCACCCATCTCCGACACGGTGTCGCTCATACACTCCTTCGATTCGATAGCGAACCCGAATCGCCCGGTACGCCCGTCACCGCTTGCTTCGTCGCACATACAGGCACTTCCACTGGATCTGGTCGACCGACTCCGATCCTTCCCTCTCTTCCAGGCTACCCCGGAATCCTTCCTGATCGAGGTCGGGCAGCACCTCCGCCCGCAGCTCCATGCGGTGAATGACTATATTCTGACAGAGGGGGACGATGCGAAAGCCATCTACTGGCTAGTCCGGGGCGCCGTGGCCGTGACGTCCCGCGACGGGGAGAGTATCTATGCCGAGCTCCAGGCGGGTGCGTTTTTCGGTGAAATCGGTGTCTTGATGGACCGGCCACGCACGGCCACGATCATCGCTCGCACGCGATGCCTCCTGGTAGTCTTGACCAAAGAAGACTTCCGCAACATTCTTCCGCGATTCCCGGAGGTGGAGCGAGCAATCCGGGACGAAGCCCAGGAAAGGTTGATGATTCTGGAGAAGAAGAAAAAGGAGACCTCTGTTCCCGCACTGGATGTCCAGCCTCTCAGCCGGAGAGGTTCCAAACGAGTGAGAGAGAGCTTTTCCAAGGACCTGACCATCGCTGACGGGGATCTGACCTTCAAAACCGTGAACAAGAAGCGCAAGTCACCCAGTCCCGGCCTGACAGATGGATCATCATCCAGTGCTTTGGCCAATGGCCTGGTTAACGTACGGCGATTACTCACGGAGCTACCTTTGTTCTCAGGCCTGCCACCGGACATCCTCCATTTCCTGGGACTGAACGCTCAGCCGCGAACTTATCCCCCCTTCACCGATATTATTAAACAGGATTGCGCAGGGCGCGAGATCTACTTCATTGTTCGAGGAGAAGTAGAGGTCCTGGCAGACAGGTCGGAAGGGCAGCCGCCATCCAGGAGATTGGCCGCGCTTGACAAACCGCAATTGGATGTCAAAGCCCGCTTGCACCAAGGACAATACTTTGGCGAAGTCGTGAGTCTCTCGCTGGCACCACGCCGCACAGCAACCGTTCGATCGGTCTCTTCGGTCGAGTGTCTGATGATCAGCGGTGAGGTGCTATCGGAATTCTGGGAGAAATGCCCCCAGGATGTTCGCGAGCAGATTGAACGGACTGCAAAGGAGCGGCTGCAGATGGCCGCGGATGGCGATGTGATCATGACGGATGAAGGAACCCCATCCATCAGTGACCTCGCCATTGACGACAGATTCAAAATCACCGCGTCCAGACGGAAGTCCATGCCGCTTCTAACGCTCACCGAAACAGAATTGGATGGTTCGCACAAACCCGCTCAGCCAGATGATCGGCCGGTACTGCAGCCTCTGGATCCCGATCCATTCCTGAATATCGGACTGGATAACGTTCGACTACGCAGTCGTCGGGGGTCGGTCGCGCCACTTACCCCAGAAGAGGCTTCAGGAGAGCAGCAACGGCAGTCGCCTCCGTCCGAGCCTCGCTCGTCTGCGTCGTCTCTTCTCGCTCTCCCAGACACTCCTATCCTATCAAAGGCACAGAAGATCCAACGTCCATCTCGAGAAGACAATTGCGGGACCCTACCAGACAATATCCTGATCAAAGTCTTCCAGTACCTCGAACTACATCACCTGCTACGTTTACGAGCAGTATCGCTCCACTGGTCTGATATTCTTACCAAATCCAGTGAAATACTCCAGCACTTGGATCTCGGCATGTACAATCGAACTATCACGGATGATGTTCTCACAAAGTTGATTTGTCCCTTTGTTGGTGACCGGCCTCGTTATATTGATATCAGCAATTGCTTCCACATCACTGATGAAGGATTCACTGCACTAGCAAATGCCTGTGGCCCAAATCTTGCAGCGTGGAAGATGAAGAGTGTGTGGGATGTCACAGCCTCGGCCATCCTCGAGATGACTGGCCATGCCCCTGAGCTTGAAGAGGTGGACCTGAGCAACTGCCGCAAGGTCGGAGACACGCTCCTAGCTCGTATTGTTGGCTGGGTCGTTCCCAACACCGGTATGGGCTTGCAAAAGTCCAGTGATAGTAAGATGAAAGCCACGATACAAACAGCTGCAGGGACGGTATTTGGTTGTCCCAAGCTGAAACGTCTGACGCTCTCATATTGCAAACATGTGACGGACCGCTCCATGCATCACATAGCCTCGCATGCTGCGTCTCGGATTGAAGAAATTGATTTGACCCGCTGCACTACCATCACCGATCAAGGATTCCAATATTGGGGCAATGCGCAATTCAGTCGGCTTCGAAAATTGTGTTTGGCGGATTGCACATACTTGACGGACAATGCGATAGTTTATCTGACCAATGCTGCCAAAGGTCTCGAAGAACTGGATCTGGTAAGATAACAAGAGGTTATCCCATTTGACCTTTCCCTCCCTACTGACTTATGGCTCTTTCTCTCTCAAGTCCTTCTGCTGCGCCCTTTCCGATACGGCAACTGAAGTCTTGGCCCTTCAATGCTCTCAACTGACGTACCTAAACATGTCCTTTTGCGGCTCTGCGATATCCGATCCATCCCTGCGCAGCATCGGTCTTCACCTCCTTTCACTACAAAGGCTTTCTGTCCGTGGCTGCGTTCGTGTCACAGGAGTTGGCGTGGAAGCTGTCACGGAAGGCTGCAACCAGCTACAGTTCTTCGACGTCAGCCAGTGCAAAAATCTTGCGCCCTGGCTTGAAACCGGTGGTATTATGAAATATCAACACCGAGTACAGTTCGACACTGTCGCTCAAAATAAGAGACTTTTCCGCTAAGCGCTCTCGACAGCGCCAAGGGAAACCCATCTTAGTATCCATCCATCTATCTGGTTTCCATCTATTCACCAACTACTTCTTCACGTTCACGTGTATATTGTCTAATCTAGTCCGAGTTGACCTGGACCCCTGATCTTATTTCCATCGGACCTTTATCTTCTATTTTCACATGACCTCAGTCTCTCTCTCTCTCTCCGTTTAAATTCTAATTGACCATACCATCTCTTGTTACGCCATCCCTCATCCTTCGAATAACGGCTCTATATGTTTCCCTATCCATGGACCTATCCTCACGATCACACGGCACATCATGATTCACGACCGTCACGGATATGGCTCTTCTTTCGTTTCTTGGGAGACTCGCAAACTGGCGTGGTTCATCTTCTGCTTCGGGCCTCTTCGAAATGCTGTCTGTTTTTGTTCCGCTGGGCGTTGGCGCCTCTATTGTGCATTTCTGGTTTTCAATTTTTCATTGTGTCATCAACTTCATTTAGGCATGGATGGGAGTTTTCAAGAGGATAATGAGCCCGACATGGCCTGTGCGATATGTCTTTTTTCTTCGCTTTTTTTCTGTTTCAAAAGAGTTGGGGGCCCTTTTGTCATATGCACCACTCTTTGAATCCTGTATTTGGACCCGTGTAGCTTACGATTTTTGGTTCCCTAGGGAGCAATTGACGTCTTACATAGAAGCGGTGTCTTTTGAATACGCCACGAGGCACTAATTCAGATATCTGGTCAAAAAGGATCGCTTTGTCATTCTGCCAAATCAATCCAGACAAGTCTCAGACCTCGTGGAACAAAACTCCTCCCTAGTCAACGCTGATATATAAGAATTCTTTGATAAACAACACCTCAGGCGACAACTAGACTCATGTCCCAGGATGAGTCTTCAGTCTGTAACAATCCTTTCAATGGAAGCCTTGTCCGGCATCTTTATTGTCTTGCCTATTCTTGGCGCCTCTATGGATTCCAAATTGACCATCGCCCTGCTGGAGGCATCAGTAACTTGTTAGATCAACAAGAGTACTTCTTCTGCTTGAGACTCGGTGAACCAAAATGCAGGGCTACACGGATCCTGACGTTGGTAAATCACGGGCATATAAAATCTGTCTCGCTAGCAAGTATACATACAGCTAACAGCACAATTTCCACCCCCCCCCCCACAGACACACAGAACCATCCCCGTCCCGATCCAAGCAAGGGGAACAACCGAGCAGCACGAAAGACAGACTTTTCTGAAATCGTGCGCAATCAGATCCTCTGCGCGAAACGAACAGCTCAAGCATGTGATCGATGCAAGGTATACACCACCTCTCTTCCAAGCCCTCTATGGCATTTCTAACATCTAGATAATAACCCTCCCAAAAAAAGGTCAACAAGTTGAAATGCGACACCAACCCGGACGGCTGCACCAATTGCACCCGGATGAACCAGCAGTGCTTCGTCACCGACCGCATCACCGGCGAGACGGCCGTCCGCGGCGCCCTCCGCCAGGTCCAGGCCTGCAACGATCGTCTCCAGGCCGAGAACCAGCGCTTGACGCTGTTAAACCGTCCGGCTGGAGGAGGAGAATTCCCAACTACGGCATGATCTGGGTCTGTATCAGGTTCGGATGCCGTCTGTGTCGCTTCAAACAGCCCCGGTGGTGAGTTTATGGTTCAAAAAGAAGACTACTTCATTGCGTCAAGTGTTGATTTCCATTTTTAACGATGTTGAGTTTTTAGAATCGGACGAACAGCTCGGCGGTAATGGGTGCCCATACCAGTTCTAACTCTAATGCAGTATCTAAGTTCTGAGCGAAACTGACTCGCTAAATAGCACTACTACACTGATATGACGCCCATCTGTCCCCTGTGCATGCTGGAGATGCCCTGTCAGGCTCACTGCTGGGGACCGACGGAAACGCCCCGTCGGTCCCGTAACAATAACGGCACGATGGTGGAGATTAGGGCTGTTTCGTCTGTCAAGTCAGAGAAGGCGTGATGGAGGGAAGAGAGCTTTGCTTGGGTTTGTGTTGGGTTTGATATTGGCCCTCTCACCTTGTCAAACATGACTGGCTTTGTCTTAAGTTGAAGTAGTTTGTTACAACACTGTTGTATTCCAAAGAATGTTATCAACTGCTCCAGGGGTATCTCTAATATAAAATAAACCAAACGCCCAAGTACTCTAAATACTATATCATATTTATTCAGACACCACTTTCCTCCAGCAGCAACAGATGCCCTGGTTCTCACACCATTCCCGCACAAAGCCGGCGCTGACCTCCCGGTCTTCTCCGACAAGGGCTAGCCCTTCGGTATTGAGCCACGTAGCAAAATCCTCGAGCACAATAGGGACAAACAACAGGATCTTCTCATGCCAGCTAGGTCTATTCCTGCTGTTGCTGCGTGGTATTTGGGACTGCGCACGCACTGCGCTGGTGATCTGTAGGGCTAGGCCCGGAGAATCGGGGTTTTGTGAGGTAGTGCTCTTCTTTGGAGAACAAGGCTCTGTACTCAGCGTTAGGCTTGCTTCAGTGGCTATGCTTTGGATCGTGTTGTATCGGTTTTGTAACCGGCTCGGAGACGGGAATGCCTCGTCTTCTGAATCTTCAATTTCTTCAATATCCAAGAAACATTTCGGCGCGGTCTTTTGCTTCTTCTTTCCTTGGCTCTCTTGCTTGGATTGACTGCGACTCGGTTTTTTGGTGGTCGCCGGGTTGGGCTGCGCGTTCCCTGCTCTTCTGGTCACACTAGCAGATACCGTGGCCGAAAGTTCCGTAGCAAGAGTAGAAGATTTTGATTCCGGTACTTCCTTATCGTTGGGATCGGACGGATCGATCACACGTTGAACGCAAGGCTGCTCAGGCGCCATATTTTTGCCGTGTTTAGATATCCAGCACTTTTGAAGCAATTCGATCATCTTTTTTCGGTTCCTGACTGCCTTGAAACCGTAACAACTGATCTGCTGTGAAAGTTCCGCTGTCGTAAAGCCTTCATATCGTGGAATCTCCAGTGAAGCACTGGTTGATTTATCGGTGGAGTTTTTTACCTGACTAGCCTGGCTATCTGGATCCTCGGTATCTAGGTTCTTCATACTGTCAGATGCAGAAGCCGGTTGCAAAGGCAAATCTTTTGTGAAGATAGCAGCCTGTTGGCTAGGTTCTTCCTTTTTTTTTTCTCGGCGATCTTTATCGCGATTCAAAGTAGAGACGAGCGGAGATTCAGTCAAGTCAACTGTATCAATTACTTGAGCTGGAGCAAAAGATCCATCAGAATCTCGGGAAGCAACATGCCATAAATTCCTCGGGGTCGCAAAGCGGGTCAACGTTGAAGGTTGTGCATCCGGCTTGGGCGTTCGAGTTTCGGATATGCAGACCTCAGATGCTGTGATTACCTGTTGGATTTCTCTGAGTGTAGTTGGAGACTCTTCCATTGCCAGCTGACTGCAGGTGCCAAAGACGAGATCTTGTTCTTCAAGGAATTTAACAGCAGCCTCGGGGGGTAAGATAAGGGATTCAATATCATTAGCAGTGCTTCTTGAACGACTTTTGTGCAAAATATCCACGCATTTATTGTCATTCGGATCACTGTATTTCTCGATATCTGGCACCGAGATATTATCGTCAGTTTGGTCGCCTGGAGTATAATTTGCTGTGACACGGGCAGTTAATGTTGTAAACTTCTTTCTTCCTCTCGATTTCTGCCCAGTATTCGATGCTGCCGAATCTTGATCCTTTGCCTTCTTTGATCTCTTAGATTTGGGCTTAACAAGTTCGGCATTTTGCTTCAGGACTGTAGATTGCACGAGCTATCCGATATCAGCAATAATAATACGAAAAAAAAGGAACATCATTTGCGCGTACCTCTATCCGTCTTCTCTTTGTTGGCCCGGACTCAGTTGAGGTACGCCCTTTGGCTTTCTGAAATTCTCCGCTAAAACCATATTCAGAGACCAAATTTCCAAAACCAGGCCGACCAGGAGAAAGCGGGATACGTTCTATATCTCCCTCGCCACCCAGGTCAATTACCCTCTGCGCAGTGTCTTTGGTCGGTGTCCAGTCTAACCGCCTTTTCACTGCTTCTTCCAACCGCGGTCCATCTTCTGCATTGTTCGATATCATTGAAGGCTCCTGGCGGTTCAAAGATTTCGCAGGTTCTCGTGCCAATTCGCTTTTCCCAGCCAAGTCGGTGCTTGTAGCTATAGCCTTTCCAACTTTACCCACCAGGGTTTTATTGCCATTCTCGCCACTCTTTGCTTTCGTGGTTTTCCGATCTTTTGTCCCATTCCTTGTCTTTTTGAGTCCACCTTTCGAAGACTCTTTCCCCTGTAGCTGGTCCATAGTCCTTTTTCTTCTGTTCTGTTCACCGTCCGCAACGGCATCATGACAATCATCGAAGAAGGGAGATTTTTTCTGTGTCTTTCCTCTCTCTTTCGAAACTTTCTTGGCCTTGTTGGACGCATTATCCGTGAGCAGACAAGTATCTGTCGAGACGGCGGGACCGGAAAGGTTTCGAAGGAGCTCGGACGGAGACATAATTGGAGAATGAGGAGAGACGCATCCTGGCGATATCTCAGTGAGCTTTGTCGAGCTTGCTGCGAGTCTTGACGGTGTATGTGAGATGATATTACCCGGGGATGATGACAGGACGATAACGTCCTCGGAGACGCGCATGGTGAACACGACACTATTTTGACGCGTTGATTCGTTTGAATTTGAATTCAAATCTGGAAAGTCATCTCTGCATCGACAGACAAAAAACTATCGTATTTATTGTAGCTTCGTTCTGCATCATAGCCCAGCAAGGAGGAAATATGGAAACAGAGGGAGGTGATATCAAGTTCTGGAGATTGTCTTGGCAAGGTTGCAGAATTACCCTTTCAGGATGAACAACATGGTGGGCAGGGCAACCGCCAAGAACGCATGAATAACTAAATAAATAGAACGTTACTGGTAAAACCAGATCATATTCTAGATTCAAGGGCGTGGTCTACTTGTAAGATTTATTGTTTTTTGTTCCGGAGTAGGTTCTAGGTAGTATAATTGATCTAGTGTCTACCAAGGCAGTAGTAGTAGTATCTATTCGTCTAATACATGGTACTTCCAACTTCAAATTCTAGGCTTGGCATGCATACCTATCAAGGTACACCGTACTGCCTTCTCTCACTGTCATAAAGTGGTTTTTGCCCCTGTAGCGGGAAAGTGTGTATGAGACTTGTCGCATCTCATTGGGAGGAAACGCCGCCAATTGTTTCTTGGCATTAGGTGATTGAGAGATTAAGGAACTGGCCAACGGATATTATTTGAATTCAGGTCGCTCCGCGCAAGGCAATTGCGCCTAGTAGGCATTTCTCTAGTTGTCGATCTCCGTCGGAGAGGGTTCCGTTTGCTTCTTTCGTAGTTGACGAAGGTAATGACCCTAACTTGTAAACCTTCTTGATTTTCGCAACATCACGAATCGTCGATAATATTTCATCGTCAAAGGGCACTGGTGTTCCTTGAATATGTTCCTGCAGATGGGCTTCAACGGACTCGTGAGTGATATCCGGAGTCAGGGAAACTTTGATAATTAAAAGGTCCTTCGTCGAGTCCGTCAGACCAAATTTCCGGAACGAATCGGCGATCTAATATTCCAAGTCAGCATCAGGAGAGAGAAAGAAAAGGCAGGTTCGTTTTAAAACCAAATGCACGAACATTGTTCGCCGGGCTCAGAGAGAAGACGATCTCCGAGTGCACATTGCGCGACTTCAGGCGGTTGTTCAGGTAATCATTGACTGCTCTGAAAACTGCAACCAGAGCGTGAGTCCTCGAGAAAACCTACATTAAAAGTCAGGATCGTGTTTGGCAGGAACAAGCAGTCAGCCACATACCACGCTCGCGTCAATAAGAGCATATTCGAAGTCTTTATTTCCAGAAAGGAGCTGTTGTCTGAGGAACGGCGCATTCTGTACGTCACGATACAGAGCGACATGGACTGGCAGCGAAGCCGGTAGATGAGAGATATGAAGAGTCTCCAGACTTGCCATGATGTAGCTATAAAAAGAAAATCAAACTGCCAAACACAAAGCACAGATTGTACGAGTATCAGTTACCTCTTGCTGTCCCTCCCTGCAGATAACACAAAATCCTCCTTATCGATTGTCTTCCCCCGCCATCGCCCGATTTAGTCATCACGTGGCGCAGCACTTCTCGAACGTTCCCGCAACCGTAGAGCAGAGGTTGAGTAAGCTGCCTAAGCTGCCTAAGCGGACGTCACTCTCTTCGGACTTAGGAAATTGCGGATCCTTCTTCTATCGTCCGCGACAACCTATATAAGCCTATAAGGCAAGAGCCCTTGTTGCTGACGAACTACTTCTCACTCATCCAGACATCCTACAACACTCCCCTACAATTGAAAGCCATGGCGTTCGTGCTCCGACGCCCGTTCGCCGTCTCATCGGCGCTGCGTCAAATTCCCAAGGCTGCCAACAACGCTCGTTTCATCCACAACGCTCCGTTCAAGCCGTCGTCCTCTGCATCAACAAAGCCCCTAGGATCCGCCGGTCCATCATCGATCTTCGCGAAGTCGCGCCAGACGTTCCAGAATGCCTTCCGCCGGACATACATGCAGCCCAGCTATGGTGTTGCGCAGGGTGGCAACACGACGCAGCGGCTACTGTACGGCGCTGCCATCGTGGGAGGAACCGTCCTCGCCACGAACTTCATCTTCAACCGGGAGACCCGTGAAGATGGCGGCATGCCTGCGTATGAGCGCAGCTATCTCAATGAAACGTTCATGCACACTGGTCTTGGTATTGGTATCATCGGTATTGCTGCTCGGGCGCTGCATATGAATGGCTGGTCCTACCGTCTGATGGCCTCGAACCCTTGGCTAGTCGCTGGTCTTGGTTTGGTCGCTAGCATCGGTACCATGTACGGCACACTTTACACTTCGCCCGACAAGTAAGTAAATACTTTTTCTTGATTCGCTGTTTTCAATGCGTATGTCGAGCTAACATGGCGACTAGCTACGTCCTCAAGTACGGCCTGTGGGCTGGTTTCAACCTGACTCAAGCTGCGCTGCTCTCCCCGCTGATGTTCATGCACCCTGCGCTGCTTGCCCGTGCTGGCCTCTACACTGTCGGAATGATGGGTTCGATTGCCTTTGTGGGCGCCACCGCCAAGCAGGAGAAGTACCTGTATCTGGGCGGTCCCCTCCTCGCTGGTGTCACCATTGTCGCGCTCTCCGGCCTCGCACCCCTCGTGGTCCCCGCCACCGCTGCCCGCACCTTGATGTGGTCTGAGCGCATCTGGCTGTACGGCGGTCTCGCCGTGTTCGGCGGCTTCACCCTCTATGACGTGCAGAAGGTCCTGTACCACGCCCGCATGTCGCAGCGGGGGCTGATGAGACGTGACCCGGTCAACGAAAGTATCAGCCTGGAGTTGGACTTCATCAACATCTTCATTCGCATGGTACAGATCCTGGGCATGCGTAGCCAGAACCGCAAGTAAGATGGCTTCTTATTTTGGGAATCGGTGGATCAAATGCTTTCCAGACACTAGAAGGAAGATGATATCCAGAGGAGGAACAAAATAAGTGCTTCTTCTTCTTCTTATAATATGGGCTGCGCGGTGCACACTACTGTCATGTACACTACTGCTTTTTTTTTCTGGCCCTGCCGACTGCACCGACACGGGGAGGATACATATCCTTCCGTCGACTCGGCACGGGCAGACAAGACATCTCCACTCCAATAATCTCCAGACACTTGGGTACAAGCCAGGAGAAAGTCAAGCAGCAGTTTAGTCTGTATGCTCAAATATCTAGTCTAGATATGAATAACATCTAGTTAATATCAACATTGGACTCGGTAGTATTTTGATAGGGTATACAAAGAAAGATTCTTTGTTGTATTCAGACAATGGGTCATGGGTATTGGGAAAGTATGGAATTATTACATATATTGATATGGCAAATATTATTTCAAAACATAATATGATACAAGAATTTTTCGTAGCCTAAATCTACAACCCAACTACACCAAGACAGCTAACAAGCAGCGAGAGTACAACAGCCCATAAACCTGCACCCCGCGCGCCTATCGTACTGGCCGCAGAAGGATAGTAGTAGGAAACGAGACTGCTCGAGTGGTTGGCGTCGTAGCCGCACAACCCGCTGCCCGGCATGAATTGGACGGGATACAAGACGCGCGGCTCGCCCTTGTCCATGAACATGTCGAGGTTGCCGTTGACGTCGACGGTGTAGTTGACGCAGTTCAGGATATCCATTGCGACAACGCCTGGCGCGTAGGTGACGGGAATATTGAAGGTGTAGGCGGTACTGGCTGTGCCTTGGGTAGAGAGAATCATAATCACCTGGCGGCCGTCGATGCCCTTATGGATGCCGATCTCGCTGCCGCCCGTGAAGATCGGATAGGACTGCTCAGCAATGTATTCGGGGTCTATCGCGAAGATGTGTTGGCGGAGTCGGTTCAGCTTCGCGATGAGCTGATACAGCGGTGCGGTGGTGTTGTACCCGGAGAGCCAGAGTGCTTCTCGGTTTTCCGGGGTGGCAGAGCCTTTGAAGTGCTGTTCCTGGCCCTGGTAGATTAGGGGAACTCCGTCGAATAGGAGAGTAAAAGTCACGACATTTTTGGCTAGCTGGTCGAGATGTCAGATTTGGGAGCCATAACCCAATTTGTTTTTGCTAGGGTCTTACCGCAAGGTCATCAGTCAAGGAGGCAAACCGAGTGACGTCGTGGTTCTCAGAAAAAGACGCCAGAGCAGTCACATCGTTGCAGGCTCTCTTCATGACCGTGATCTCGTTAGTCAGAGCACTCGTATTTCCCTGGGTGAACGCCTTCAACAGTGCGAAATAGATGGGGTAGTTGGGCACGCTAGGAAGGTAGTTGTTCTGGTAATTGCAGATCACATCAACAGAGCTGTCGTAGACCTCACCAGTCATGAAGGTGTTGTTTGTCGCACTGTGGAATCGGGGCAGGAAGTCTGGAGTGACATGTTTCGCAGCGTCTAGGCGGATACCATCGATGGAATAGGTCGACATGACCTCCTCTACCCACGATTCGAGTAAGCTCTGCACAGTGCTGTCCTCGGTTTTAAGATCTGGAAGAGGAACGATATCGTCGCCCGTCCAGCATCTTTGGGCAAGAGAATAATTGTTATAATCTGTGATCTCACAGTATGGATGGAAATAGCCGGAGCTGTTGAAAGGAGTGAAGACGGAGTAGTTGACATCCGTGGCAGGATCACTGCCGTTGGTGATATAGGCCATGTTATTAATTACTGTATCCATCATGAGATACATGCTGCGGTTATGGAGAGCACTGCTGAGATCCAACAGGTCCTGGTGAGTGCCGAAATGCGAATTGAGCGAGTATAGATCAAGGGGCCAGTAGCCATGGTATGCTTCACCGTATGAGACTTCTCCTACGATGTTTTCAATGATCGGGGAAATCATGACGGCATCGAAACCCATGCCTTGGATGTAGTCGAGCTGGTTGATCAGGCCTCTCCAGGTGCCACCGCAGTACAGGCCTGCCGTGGTGTTGCAGGGAGAGGTGGTCGAACCATCGGAGCGAGCAAAGCGATCAGTCATTGTCTGATATATCGACCTTGTTTTCCAACTGTCAGTCCCCGCGGCTGACGCAGATCCCAGGAGGTCTGCTATCGAGATGGCAAATGCCCATTGCAGATAGGATGTCGACAACATGGTGAGAATATATCAGTGCGGTGGTTTCTTTTCCAATAGTATATGTTATCTTTTCGCAGTATGGTTCAACGGCTCATTATGGAATCTTCAATGGTAAAGAATGTATGAGAAATAATTATGAATAAATATAAACAACAAGAGTCTGACTGTCGCGTAAAGAGTGACCGAGATAGAGTTCAAGGAGTGAGTGTGCAAGAGCAGATAGAAACAGAAGAACAATATAAGAAAAAGTAAAGGAATGATTGACACTCGACTTGGAGCTAAATATCGAGCTAAAGAGAATGAACCACGGGAAATAATAATCCCAATGAGTGTGATGAAGAAGAAAAGAAGAGAGACGGTGGATAACGCGGAGGCCGAGGGAACGAAGGCGAGAGAGAATTGGATAGGAGCCCCTCAAGGGGGAGCACATGACAGTCCTTGGAAGATTAGCAGTAATTCGGGTTACAGCCATTTCTCTACCTAACCTTAGGTAACTACAGATCGTCTGGCAGTAAATAGCCATCAGATAATACTACCACCACAGCTCACGTTGGAGGTTCTCCTGCCTGAGACAGCCAGAAACCTGATATTACCCCAAGGAATCTGCATAGAAGACATCCTGTGTCCTGCAAAGTCAACTCACTGACACCAATTGCCACAGATCCCCATTGAGCAGCATGTCTCGGTCCGACTGAGACAAGCATGCAAGGAAGGCTTTTCCTTCGTTGTCTCAACCGTCCAAGAGAGCGGAGTGGACCTCCGCTGCCTTGGCAGGCCCTTGCATCCACTTAGAAACGGGTGATAGTCTAACTTACCTTGGCGCACTATATCTAAAATTGGGTATTGAAAGCCATGGACAGAGGCCCAATAGTACCTACCTGTAGGTACTAGTAGGTAATGCTGATCGAACACGGGTGGGAAAATTGGTTAGCATCGTGGGAGTTCTCAAGGACAGTGGGACCCCCGGCAGATCTTAGATCAAAATGAAACGAGCCATAGTCAATTCTCCAGATCAAGATGAGCAAAAGAGACCCTGCCTGAAGCTTTTCTGGGTACGAGTACGAAATCTGGTACGTACCTAAGTTATATTAACCTACTAACCTTAGGTAATGTACTGCCTTAGGGTACTAGTAGACCTCGACGCTCGTGAGTTGTGAGTCGTGACTTATCAAGTCACATGCAATCAAGACTAACCTGCTTGAAAAGGAAGGCACGACTTGGCAAGTTGGCAGGCCTCCGTCTAGGAAGGCACAACCCCTCCTCTTCTGATACAACATAGATTCAACACTGCCAGCAATAGCTATCACCTGAGGTAGTTGTTACCTAGGTACTAGTTAACTAACTAACTTGTTACCTGTTGACCTGCTACTCAAAGCTTGGATTCATCCCTTGCAGATCGCCGGAACTCTCGATCAAGAACCTCTGCCAGGGCAAGCACCTGTTCCTCTCGCAACCGTCTCCCGACAATCTGGATACCGACAGAGGATCCGTGTGCAAGCTCTGCATTATCTATTGGAGACACCATTATGTTAAAAGTCGTATAAGTATTAGAAACAGCAGGAAATAACATACAATCATCGTGGACTAATTGATCGAGTTTGTTCAGCGGTTCGTACTGCTGACAGGGAAAGACGTCGATCTCCTTCCTGACTTCAGTCACCGGGATGGCACAGGCAGTATAGTCGAGGACGTTGATGACCGTCGTGTACCCTTTTTTGCTCGTCAGAACGCACACCCAGAACAATAAATCTCCCTCAACTCACCAAAGTATCGTACCTTCCCTCGCTCGGGTGCAGGGGTTGGCGCGACCGGCATGATGAACACATCTACAGGTCGTCCCGTGTCCGTCAAGCCAGCTGTCTGTTGCCAACACTGCAGGTAGGCCGTTCGATATTTCTGGATGGCGGTATTGATCTCCATAATTTCCCCCGCGTTTGCCTGTCGGGACGGCCCCAGCCCAAAGACGGTACTCGGCCGGTCTTTCACTGCAAAGAATTCGTCCAGATCAACCCGGTAGGCAGGCTCACCCGTCAGGCGGAGCGAGCCGTGAAAGTTCTTTCCGCCATCTATTGTTGTGGCTTTCAGCTTGGACCTGTCAGTATATTCCAGTCATTTGGGAAATAGCAGACTTGACTTGCCCACAACTTGAAGGCTTCAGCGTGTGATGGGGGCTTCCATTCGATGACCTGACAGTTCGACCAATTAGCAAGAGAAAGAACTCTTTTTTTTTTCGAGCGTACAACTTACAGAATGCCCAAGAGACTTGATAGCAGCGACTGTCATATCAATCGCCCGCAAAACAGGTGGCTGTGGATGGACATGACCGTCAGTTCTCATAATGCCGAATGAGAGTTGGCTACCTTGTCTGTCGGCTCGCCGAATTGTTTCTCTGAAAATCTCATCCCGCCATGGGATCTCATGCACCAGGGGATCTCTCATCCATGGTTGCAAACTTAGAAGGCTCCTAGTCACGAGCGTCAGCGCTTCCACTGATGGTGCCATGAAGCCCACGACGAAGGGAACCGTGGTCTGTCCCTCAACGATCGACTCAACTCCATGGAACGGGAAACGGCATGTTGCAGGCTTTAGACCACAACATCCATTCCATACGGCTGGCACACGGACAGATCCTCCAATATCAGTCCCTATCCCCAGCGGACTTCCTTTCAGAGCCAGGAGGCCGCCTTCGCCCCCAGAGCTTCCCCCAACCGTGAGTAACCTGTTTTTCGGGTTCGGGGTGTATTGGATGATGTTGTTGAATGTCTCCCCCGTGAAGGAACCGGTCGGAACGCTGGTTTTGACATATAAGACTGCCCCAAGCGAGCGAAGCATGGTCACAATCTCGCTTTCGAATCGTCCATCGCCGGCGGTTCCCAATCGGCCAACAAACCCCACACTGATGCCAATCCCTTTGACGTGCATCACGTCTTTCAGGCTGACCGGCAGACCATGAAGTGGGCCGGTAGGCTTGTGGTCCTGATCCCAGTAAGCGTCGAGATCCTCCGCATCCTTGATCGCAGTTTCAAAGAAGATCTCATGGAGACAGGAGATCTGTATGCATCAGCCTAATAAAAGATAAAAAGAGCCTCCTCGTCCATCTCCTACCATCTGGTGTGCTACGGCAGCCCGATGGCAGAAAGCCAGAGTTACCTCTCGACTACGCCATTCTCCCATCGCCAACTTCCGCACCAAGGTCGCCGCATCCGTCTCAGTGATTTGTACCTCGCGAGGAGATAGATACTGTTGAATAGCTTTGCCTGTCACATCAGGCAGCTCGCTTGGCGATGGAAGAGGGTGTGGTAAGCGCCATTCTGGGGGTATCAAGGCCTGCAGCGCAGCACGCTTTTGTGCACCAATCTTCTTCCAATTCGGTATCCCCTCCATCGGCATAGAAACCATTAATTCCATTACTTTCATGGGTTCATCTTGAGATCACCATCCTCTCAGTATTTATGTAAAGTTCCTGGCTTTCTACGGTACGCCCAGCCAATAATCGTCAAGATTCCTTCTTCGCAATAATCTCCTGTTGCGGTTAGCCCGTCATCCATAGTAGTACCTTATTCATATGCCTGGCCTCGGTTGAGAGATTCGGATACCTACTTGTCAATAAACCATAGCATCTGTTGGACACACCTTAAGGTCTTTGTAGTAATCAGGTGCCAACAATACTATAAGTAGTAGTTGATACTTAGTACCTTGGCAAGTACCTGAGGATCTCGGCTACGCAAGAACAGCGCGCCACTTTAGTGGAAATCTTTCATCTTGAGTACTAAGGGGAGCTCGAGTCACTCACCCTAGTAATTGACTCCAGGGATAGTGATGTACTCCGTATATATTTATTCTTCTACTTGCTATTATTACTGGTTCGGACTCGCAGCCCCGACGTTTCGGTATTCTCGGCCCCGAGAGCCCAGATATGGCGATGAGCGTCGATCATCGGGGATAGCTTGATACCCAATATCTGCATAGCTCTGATATGATCCTGGTTTACTAACGTAGGCAGACTATTTTTGCAGTACTCTATTGGAGAGGCTTTGGCTTATAAATCTTAGTGTGCCAGTCATGTCGAACATCCGGAGATAGGGCACCCGAGGCACGCAGCAGGCCAATTTTAAATACTGAAACAAACGTCCCATTTCTTAACTCCTACTATCTCGTTAAACCCCCCCCCCCTCTCTGTTCACCTTCACCATGGTCCGTTGCGGTGGCCGAAGTCGCGGGTGTATGGCCTGCCGCAAACGCAAGATCAAGGCATGAATGAAGTTGCGAGAATTGTTGATTCCTACTACTATTGAACTGTGAGAGCTAACCTCCCCCTCCCCCCCTCTACCAGTGCGACGAGAGCCAACCGGTATGCTCACAGTGTCGACGAACCCGACGAGAATGCTCTGGTGCGATAGTCGGTCCTGTCTTCTTGAAGGTTGATCCACGCGGCTCTCCCAGGAAACAACGGCGGAGTGAACCGCAGACGCAGAAGAGACTGTGCCAGTTGGTTCTGGGACCTTCCGGCGGCGGCGGCGGAGGTGGCAGCGACAGCAGCATAGCGGGACACCCTAATAGCGGTTCTGTTCTCTGTGAAGAGCAGCTGGTAGCGTCCCTGGCAGGTTTCTTCGGCAGATGTGCTGCGAACAAGACTCGAGACACCTCGTGGTTAACGCTGTGCTGTCGCGAGGCTCTCACCCAGTCGCCCGTCAATAATGAGCACATGCACACCTCGGTTCTCGCAGCGGCCCTGGCGCTGCACGGCATCAAGGCAAACAACCCTGCTGCGCTGGCCGAGTCACGCCGGTGGTACCTGCGTGGAATCCAGCATCAGCGGTCAAAAGTGCAGGTCTGGAGCAGCGAACCACGGCCCACGGTGACTGTTCATGATGTCGCATTGCCTATCATTCTCGGTTACTACGAGGCGCTGTTGCCGACGTCAAGCAAGGCCTGGGACCAGCATATCACTGCAGCCGCTACCCTGTTACAACTTGCTGGTCCAGAGGCGTGTCAGAAAGGGTGGTTCAGGCAACTCTTCCTCTCTGTCCGGATTCATATGGTAAGATCTTGTTTCTTTCTTTTTTTTTTGGTGTCAAAGTTCATTCTATCGAAATGACATGGGACTGTCTCTCAAATTGCAGATAGGTTTCTGTATCTCTGAGGCAATGGACGCCGTCTATCATTGCAACCGATGAATGGATCAATGTGCCATACCGTCAGATCCCCAAGGGTCCTCTAGATCGTGTTGTCGACCTCCTTTTGAAGCTTCCGTGCATTCTCGGCCCTTCAGCAACGGATTCGGCGCAGGACCAAACCTCCCTTTTATGGATTATACGCAATCTCTCTGATTTGTGGGACACGATCCTTCAGTTCTATCCTCATCTTCGCGCGGGGGATTGTCCAGACACAATCCAACCTGCTGGTATGGCTGCGTATGTTATTGGAACGACGGAGTTTCTAGAACCTCCAGCAGCCATCACTATTGCCTTTTACAGCCTTGCCTGGATTACGGTTCTTGCACGACTCCCTCAGGGGTTGTCGTATGAGCAGCTGATCACGGCGCATTGCAATGCCATCCTGACGGCTGCTGCATATATCGGTAGCATCAAAGATGGATGTAGCTGCATCCGACTGATCTACTCTCTACAGAAAGTCATTTCTTGCAGTCCCAGTGAGCGCCAGGCTCGTGAGGCGGAGTCGTATATACACAACTGGGGGTTGCTTCAGACATTTCAAACTCATGGCGGTTGACTTGGGAGAAGATGGGGATTCCTTTGGGTGCCTTTTAGATTGTTATCTTTTGTGGGAGAATTAGAAGTGCTAGTATTAGGCCTGCTACAATGTACAATCAGATTTCAGCTATACTAGTTCAAGACCTTGCTATGGATTATCACTGTTCAAGTTGTGTTGCCTATATCCAGCTCTGCTAAATACGGTATCTACTGATCAATAAATCGACTTGAAGAGTTCCTTCATTTTCATTTTCAGCTTCATCTCCTCTTCCTTCTTGTTTTCCTCCTTTCTGTCCTTTTCTCTGTCCTCTTCCTGCATCTCCTCCTCTTCCTCTTGCTCCTCCTCCTCTTCTTCTTCCTCCCCGTTTACCTCTTTTTCCATTGCCAGCTGCTGTTCGATCTCCGCCCAGTCCAAGCCCGGGACAGGAATAGGCTGGTCAGCCATGATGAGTTTCTCCCAGTCCTTGTAGGAGATGACGTCAAAAGTCAAGAGGATGAGAGCGACGGTCTTCCAGCCCCTGGTGCGCTGAACGGGAATATACAGCTGGAATTGCTTGTTGGCCCACCCACACTTCGCCAGACGGGTGTACAGACGACTCTTCGGGGTCTCGGCGTCAAACCCTAGACATTTGTGCTTGACGTGCAGTCCGTTTCCGAAACGGGGGTGCGCCTTGCCCGGCATCTCGAAGGAAAACAGCAGAGACCCGTCCTCGAGCCCCCGCAGGTTCTTGAAGCGGGTAAGTCTCGTGTCGAAGTGGACGGAGACCATGCTCTCCGAGTGTTTTGTGCGTCCGCCGCCAGGCACGGGGATCTGTTCTCTGATGATCATGAGATGGGTCCAGAAGTCGAAGATGACTTCGAGGTCGGCCTTGGAGCTGTGGAGGGCGACGCGCTGATCGGGCTTCGCGCCTTCGAGAAACAACTTGAGCTGGTTGTCGCTTATCCTTTGTGAGTTGAAGACTACCAGGTAGGACTTGGGCTGTGAGAACTCACCGACCCATTCTCTTGACAGTAGAGAGAGGGAAAGATGTGAATATGCTTATACTGTAGTGTTTAATGCTATGTGCATCCCATGCATCTCATGTAAACAGGTAGTATTTAGGAATATATTCAGAATAAGATAGTGGGAGACCTCAGGTTCATCGAACCCTAATGCTCGTTCACTTCTCTTCACTTCATGTTGGCCTTGCTCTCACTTGAGGCTCCCAGACCAACAAGGAGCCCACCTAGGATCCACATTGATTGGTTCATCAGTAGTTTCTGGATTTGAAATATCCATGGTAATTAGAATCTCTAGGTATTGCCGGAAGACTCTGTTTATTGTAGAAGCTCTTGAATAGCCAGAGGGTATCGTCTTTGCGAGTAGAACCATCCTCAACACAATACTGTTGATTCTATCGAACAGAACTATCTGCAACAGAGTGATATCTATTAAAAAAAAGTATTATTAACATCACCTTCAAAAATTAGTTCTATAAAGTACTATAGTATATTTATCCTCAGATATCTAGATATACACTTACAAGGCCAAGCAACAGCTTGAGACAGAGAAATCTTCATATATCTTCATATATCTTCATAAAGGAATTCTTTAATATCAATTGCCTATTCACATAGTGAGATTGATTGACAGACCAAGGCTTATTAGGTCAGTAAGTGCCACTACTATACTTTCCTATGTTTGTCTTCTTAGATTGACAAGTAAAGCAATTGATAATCGAACCAGGTTTATTCAAAGACATGAAGTATAACATCATGGAGAAACTGGAGGAATTTATAGTATTGAAAGCCAAAGATACCAGCAATCACTGTAATTGCAAGTCTAGCTGTTGTTGTCTGTCGTCTGTCGTCTGTCGTCTGTCTCAAAACTCGAATCACGTGATCCTATCTCATTGAGCCCGCAACGAGCCAAATCGACTTGCCATAAAACATCTGCCACCAGCTCGCGGCGAGACAACTCCACTTCTCCAGCCTGTTCCTGTTGTAGGCTCTCATATAGCCACTTTCTATTCTATATCATCTATCCGTTAGCGATCTACACCCCCCCAACCCCACGGCGTCATGTCGAATGAAATGGACGTCGACGTCCCCGCCGCAGACGCTCCGTCAGGCAACGGTGGCTTTGAACCTCGCACGGAGAGCGGCGCCGTTGCAGTCCGCAGTATCGAAGGATGGATTGTGATCGTGACCAACATCCACGAAGAGGCATCTGAGGAAGACGTGACCGATCTGTTTGCAGAGCATGGAGAGATCAAGAACTTCAATCTGAACCTTGATCGTCGGACGGGTTATGTCAAGGTAAGAAAGAAAGAACGAAAGAAGAAAGAAGAAAGGAACAAAAAAAACAGAAGAAAAGAGGAGAAGAAAGTTTTGCTGCTCGGTTTTTACGGTTCAATACTTACTGATTTTTCTAAAGGGCTACGCTCTGATTGAATATTCCACCCTTCCTGAAGCTACGGCGGCCATCAAGGCGCTCGACGGAACCAAGCTACTCGACCAGACGATCCATGTCGACTACGCGTTTGTCCGTCCCCCGCCATCGAACAAGGGAAAAGCCGGTGGTGCAGCCAAGGGTGGTCGTAGTGGGGGAAGAGCGCGCAGCCGGAGCCGTGATCGAAGCCGCAGTCCGGGAGCTGATAATGGGAGAGACTGAGCGGGCAGTCGAGTTCTTCCTCCCTCATTAATCGGAAGAAATCACTACGCTGTTCCTCCTGTACCGGAGGAAAGCACGATCGAGGTCCTCTCACCTCGAAGTTGAATGTCGGCATTGTCCTACGATATGGAGATGACAGGGCATAGATCCAAAGCAAGGAAATGGACAATGTCGACGCCGTAATCTCCCTGTCAAATGGTGAGTTTTGAGATTCTTGTCTTTGTAACTTCTTCAGCTGACGTTCTCTAGGAAGTTTGAACCCGTTTAATACTATTATTCTACATGAACCAGATATCTTATGACTTGTCATGCTTCTTGATTAGTTCAGGGAATGCTATGATTTTTTTACTGATAAAATCTGTATGAATTTTACTAAATGAAGCCAATTCAATCTAATTTATATCACCTATAATAATACTGGACTGATTGTAGCATGTAGTACTTCGTACAGCACTTCCGCAGCAGTAGTGAGTCATGACCCTTGCCAGTAGCAACCTATAGGCTCAGATATTATCATTCCATCCCCTCTATTTGTCTGGACAACACTCTAACTTTTCCAGGTCAACTGACTCTTTTTTTTTCTCTCTTTCTCATTCATTGTTCTGCTGACCGATGACCGCCAAGCTGCGAGCCTGAGACTTCCCCGCAACTTAATTCTGTGGGAAGGAATAAGAAGATGCCCCCCAGAGATGGGAGGGGATCACCATCTCTTCAGAACTTTACCTCACTGCCTCTCGTTGAATCCTATCCTATCCAGGCTCCGTCTCTCGCCCCTTACATCCTATCCTAGGGCGAGGTAGATGGCCTCTGGTTTTGACTTTTCTGACTCCTACATTCTTTCGTGATCAGGTCATCGCCTGATAACAGTCGCCCTTATCGACGTCTCCCCTTGGAGCGAGCGTGGTGGATACACTCACATACATACATACAAGAGGGAGGTTTGTGTGTGTGTGTGTGTGTGTGTGTGTGTGTGTGTGTGTGTGAGAGAGAGAGAGAGAGAGAGGCTGCATATAGGATTGGGTACTGGAGGAATTCTCTCTCGAAAAAAGAAAAATGAGACCTGCAATATCGGGTTTTTACCTTCTGTGCTACCTCCTACCTCTCTTCACCAGGACTCTTGCGCTGGCGCATCGTGGTCCTCCGTCTCCGCAACGACCCTTCCTAGAGCCATTGGCTGACACCGTGCCAGACGAACAGAGTTCGACTTTGTTCGCACACCAATCATCCTTCGATGGTGATGATGATGATACATCAAGATCGCTTGGTAGCGCGCTGGTGGACTTGGTGGGCGCCTTGGATGTGATGCAAGATGAATACTTTGTGCTGTGGCAGGGGAGCTGGCCGACCAGCATTGACTGGACGGCTGCCGTGCTGGGGACTCATGTCTCTGCCACGCTCGCCTCGTTGACGGCTCTGTCGGGCCAGCTGGGCGGGGAGCAGACTCTCGGGAAGCTCGGTCTGGTGGCGTGGATGGACCAACACAACCTGGTGTTTGAAAACTTGGTCAACCACTTCTTCGACCAGACCACGGCCTTTTATTTTGGCGAAAACGCCTTCAGCCTTCGGAACCAGGCCTTTGATGATATGCTCTGGGTGGTGCTGGGTTGGCTGGAGAACATCAAATTTCAGGATCTACACTCGGAGCTGCGCTATTCAAGACAACAAAATAACGGCACCGTTGGAAGTGAAGGTCGCGGGGGACACTGGCACGGGACTCAGTTCCGCGTGCCTGCCGCCCACCGAGCGCGAGTGTTCTACGAGTTGGCGTCGCAGGGCTGGGACTCGACCCTCTGTGAGGGCGGGATGATCTGGAGCCCGTACCTGACTCCGTACAAGAACGCGATCACCAACGAACTCTTCATCTCGGCCAGTATCGGCATGTACCTCTACTTCCCCGGGGATCACATTGACTCTCCATTCATGGCGTCGGTCGAGTCGCCGCCGCGGGTTCTGCACGATCCCGCTCATCTGGAGGCCGCGGTGGAAGGATACCGGTGGCTGAAACACTCCAACATGACCGGTATCTGGGGTCTGTATGCGGACGGGTTCCACATCAGCGGGTGGCGCAGTGACTCGCAGCCTGGGTCGCGCAAATGCGATGTTCTAAACCGCATGGTCTACACGTACAACCAGGGTGTTCTTCTCAGCGGGCTGAGGGGACTGTGGCTGGCCACGGGGGATGAGGACTATCTGCACGATGGCCACGCCCTGGTGGCTAGCGTCATCGGGGCGTCAGGGTGGCCGGAGACGTCCAGCACGGCATGGGCGGGCCTCGGCCGGGGCGGGATCCTGGAGGAGGTCTGCGATTCCCACGGCGCGTGTTCCCAGAACGGCCAGACATTCAAGGGTATCTTCTTCCACCATCTGACGGAATTCTGTCGACCGATACGCCTCCACGAAGAACGGTCGGTGATCATGTCGGCGACGACTGGCAAGAACGGTCACCACGACGATGACGACTGGCAAGAGACCTTTGCATGGCACCAGACCCAATGTCGGACGTACGGGGCTTGGATCGAACACAATGCACGCGCGGCCTTGATGACAAGAGATGAGGGCGGGCGGTTTGGAACCTGGTGGGGCCGCAAATACCGCGTCTTCGACCCTTCGTCGGCCGCAATGGTGGACAGCAGCGTCCTTCCTGACGGGGCGATCGACTACCAGAACTATGGGAAGCGGTCTGCAGAGCGTAGCGGCAGTGATGGTGGTGGTGGTGGTGGTGGTGGTCCCCTTGCGGATACACTCCGGAATCGAGCATCCGGGCAAGTTGAAAGCGATAATGAATGGGAATGGGAGCGGCGGATCCGACGATCGAAGCTAGAGGTTGCGCCGCCCCGGCATCCTGCAGGTAACAGCATGGAAGGGGTCCGGCCGAAAGACTACAATGATCGTGGACGCGGGCGCACAGTCGAGACGCAGTCCGGGGGGGTAGCGGTGATGAGGGCATTGCTGGAGTGGAAGCACTACGAACAGATGTAGTACTCCGTACGTATGGTATATATATATCTATATTTTTTTTATTGTTATTGATTGCATGAATATAGTATAACTAAACTACCTACTACCTAACTGTCCTCTGCATATGCAGACCTATTACTCCGGCTGTACTCTGTAATTCCGCACTGGATACTCCAAAGTACGTCTAAAAGACGGTGAGGACAGCAGACGAGTCGGAAATATATCCGTTAGTAGATACTAGATATTCCTGAACCTTGTCCTAGGTACATTCTCAATGAATAATAGGTGTATAGTAGATAGCGTATTTACTATTATACTATATAGAAGCAGTATTAATCATGAAGCTCATATTAGACTAGTCAATTCCATAGTGAGTCAGTGATTATTGCCACTGGTTAGTTTACTTACTACATCATCTGATGTCAGCTACTAGGTTAGTTGAATTTAATTGATACTAGCGAACTACCTAGTGAGCTGATAGCTAATTATAAGGTTACAGAGGTAGATGGATTATTGACTTCAGTTCCAAGGTCGAGAAGCCTATAGTTCAAGTCTGAGCGAGGGAATTCTAAGCGCCAGGACATCGTAGTCAACAACACCAAACAGCCAGACTGCCCCTGTAGATGTGATTCATTCTAGTCTTTTACCTTAGTAGGTATGTGATTCTTATGCAGGACATGCCTTAATTAGATAGATATCTGATAACAAGTACAAGTACAAGTACTCAGGTAACTACCTAGGTACCTACCTACTTACCTAGGTACCTAGTTAACACTGTTTGCGTCAACCCCGCCATCTACTCAACTTATAAATAGCTAAAACTATATTATGGTTATTGAACCAGCTGACATATTATTGCCTGTCTGCAAGCGACTACAGCTGGTACTGTATACTTGCGGAGTATTAGGTAGTAAGATACCTAGGTCATACCTACCTAGGTAGGTACCTACCTAAGGTACTAGGTAGGCAGTCGCCATACCCCTATCAGAACTTCATCCGAGATGTCACAGCAGGAGCCAATCAGAGTGATCTTTTCAACCACGGATCAGGGTGGAGCTGAAGGTTCGGTCATGTGGTACTTTTGTCATTCCTGCACCGTACGGAGCACCGTACCTGGTATGTACTGGTACCTAGGTACCTGTTATCTACATAGTTAGTCTAGGTACCTACCTAAGTACCTAAGGTATGTAGGTACTAACTACCTAGTAACTACCTAGGTAGATAGTTAGTAGGTAGTTAACTACAGGTACAGGTACAGGTACAGGTAGGTACCTAAGGTACTCTGTACTAGGAGGTAGGTACGGAGCAATGCTGACTCGCCAAGACTGGAGATAGCCAACAAGTGATATCAACAAATAAACCATGACAATTGTGCGGGGAGAAAGGAATGCTTACAACTGGTTCATCATCAATCTATTAATTAATAAATCCTAGTAGTGCTTATAGTGATGTAGTATGTAGTATGTAGTATGGTACCTTACTTACTCTGTAAATTACTTAAGATAGTACCCGGATCCAGATAGGCACCCCAACCTCCTAATTATGTAGTAACAATGGGATGAAGATCAAATAGCTAGCTATAAATGATAGATAGAATATCCAGGTAGGTATAGAAATAAAATATAGAATATAGAATATTGAAAAGATGAATTCTCTGTTCTATGTAGAGTCTCTACGGAGTACCTGTATGTAGGACAGGATTGTTTTCATTACGTATTAATGACACGCGGCGACTTGGTCGTGCGCGTGCTGGACCCGTGCTCCAATCACGCCCGACACGGTTGGGCAGCATGGTTCATCAGGGCGAATATTCTTCCAATCCAGTAGTAGCTGACCTACTCCTTATTCTTTAAAAAAATAATTAATTAATTAATGGGTTAATCAATAAATAGATAAATAATAGATATGATATATTATTCAGGTCAGCTGCAGATTTGATAATGTGATCGAGATATGAGGTGGGCTGCCCAGTGGCCACAGACAGATGGAACTACCTGGTAATATCATGGCTACCTGGTAGGTACTCCGTTACTACTGTGGAACTGGAAAACAATAATAATTGGATAGTATCCAGGAAGATACTGCTCAGATACAGTGGAAACATGGCAAGGATTTACCGCGCGAGTCAAGCTGACCTACTTTTACTACCGAGAGGGATTATTCCTTGCAAATTATTTAATAAGGAACGTCCGAAATTCTTCTCGTAACATTGCACGGACCGTGGGAACAGCAGGAGTAGTTTGATCAGCGTCATTATTATTCAATGCTGGGAGGGTTTCGTCATAGGCGCTACGGGAGTACCGAAAGGTTCGGCGCCGATACTTGCCCTCGTGGTCTCTTTGCTCGGGAGATTCAGATGCTCCGTAGTTGTGTGAACTAACAGTAGGTGGATATTATTATCATTCTCATTATCATTCTTATTATCATTCTTATTACTCTAGTCTATTTAGTCTATACTCATACACTCTACAGAGTAGTTATGCCTGTTCATCTATTCTATACTACAGAACTATCTCTATACTATATAGTATACTCTGTATATAGTAAGTAGTATTTCTCTAGTTTGTTGTATTGACCGTTGGTCGATCTTCACCCAGGATGGTGGACTGACGCTTTTGATGCTGATCGTCGACCCCTCACCCCTGCTTGGGATATCCATCATTTGAACCCACGGAAATGGATCGTCCGCTCAGCTGTGGTTACTAGTTGGTAAGTTTACTTTAGCCTCCCCGCTTACTATGTAGTATCATGAGATACAGAGTAGTTAGTTACCTAGTAGGATTTACTCCGTAGGTACAGTTATACAGTACAGAGTACAGAGTACGGAGTACCAAGATATTCAGGGTAATTTCCAAAGTATCTACCTACGGTACTCCATAATAAAATAAAATATTATTGGTGTGTAGAGGCCAAGGAAGCTTCTCTTTCGGCGTACCATCTGTTGTCATAATAATCAAAATAAATAGTATTTATAAAGGAATTTATTATACCTAGGTAACTATAGACATGACAATAATATTATTTAAAATAGGTTGCAATTGCTACTAATGTAACGATCTCTTCTAGAAGATGGAAGAATTCCTATACAACACTACTCCGGTTTCGACGGCGGTAAAAAAAAAAAGAGGAAGAAAAACCGGACCAGTACAGGTATTACTTCCTCCTCCCTACCTAGGTAAAATCCCTACAACAGGTCATTGACTAAAACTCCGTACCTCGACCTACTATTCCGTACCTACCGAAGGTACGGAGTAGTACCTGTTAGTAGTACCTCCCTAGTACCTCCCTAGTAACTACCACTAACTGCGTTGGCGGTGGATGATGAGGATCTTCAACAACTTCTTTTCCTTTGCCGCCCGCTCGTTGGGTGGCTTCCCCCACCCTCGCCCCCCCTGTCCAGAGTCCACAGCCTGTAGGATCATAAATCTGCCACTCCGACGGTAGTCGCTGGCTGTTATTCCCCGCCAGAGGAACCACTCATGCCCTCATACCACCCAAAAAAAAAACCCACCAACACTCGACTCCTGTCAATGTCCACTGCCCTCTGTCCTCTCGCTGTCCACTCCACTGGCCGCTCGCCGTTCACCGAAACAAATCTATCCCCCACCACCTCCTCATTCTTCCGTTCTCCAGCGACAAACTCTCCTAGTGCCGCAAGCCCAACCGTAGTGGCTGCCACGAGTTCTGAGCTAACCTCGTACTTTTTCAGGGCCACCTCTCCCTCCCAGGCAGGTCCACTGACCACCGCTAGTTAACTAGCAGCCTACCTACCTGCTAACTAACTCCTAGTTGCTACTACTAACTACCTAACTAACAAACAACTAACCACCACCACCACCACCACCACCACCACTCTTCCTACTACTACTACTACTACTACTACTACTACTACTACTACCATTACTACCATTACTACCACTACCACTACTACCACTACTACTACTTACTCCTCCTCAACCACCTCACATCCACCTCCTCCTCCTCCCTCCCTCCTTCTTTCCTCCCCCCCCCAAGTCGACGTCTCTCGCAACGCCCTCAGTTTCACACCCGTTATTGCACCCTTTTGAAGCGGCCTGTCGTCGTCAATATTTCTGGTTTCGTCAGGCCGTCCATTCCGGTAATAACCTGTTTTTTTTTCCCCTTCCATCTTTCCATCTGAGGGTTACCTTCTCCCTCCCTCTCTCGCTTGTTTTATTTGATTATTCCATTTGATTTTCCTTATTTTTTTTTCCTCCCCCCTCCACTGACTCGGTTGCGGCGTTCTCAAGCTTCAACGCCAACCCCTGCGTATTACTCGGGTCACTCCTTTTTTTTTTTTCCCCGGGACCTTTTCGATTCGAATCCCACATCCTTCTTCTCAACGTCGTGTCCTACGCCCACCCCTCTCTCCCCCCTCCCTCTCCCGTTCGACGACCCCGGTAACTACCTCCAGCGGACTCAGATTTCCTTCATTGGAAACAGCAGGGCTAGGGGTAGTATCGTGGTCGCTCCTCGCCTCGCACCCCTCGCCCTCCCCCCCTCCTCTCCTCGACGACGTGCTCGTGTTGAGTGTGTGTTTGTGAAAGAGTCGAAGATTTTGGCATGGCCTCACCTCGGGATATGCATCAGCCGTCGTCTCCTGTTCCCGTCATGCCACAGCCCACCGACGCTGGTCGCATGCATATGTCTTCATTGTCTTCGTCGTCCTCGATATCTGACGCCGAAACCGAGCGCAGAACCCGTGCCGATCGCCCGCGCATCGCCAGCCGCAAACCTTCCGCTTCCATTCTTGTCCCGCGCGACCACCCAGAGATTGAAATCGAAGAAGAGGAGTTTCCCCCAGACGACGCCCGTGCCATGAGTCCCAGACGTAACTCGGCCGACCTTGAGCGGCTGGGCAAGGAGGCCCGCCAGACATTGCAGGAGTAAGTGCTCTTTTGAATAATACAGATTGTTTTAAGCGTTCGTCGTCTCATCGTCTTTTAGACAAGCAAAAGCTCTGCAGTCATCCCTCCAAGCCCTCGCCGAACGCATCGAGGCCGTCAAATCGGATCACGATAAACTTGAGAGCGAGAACAAGATGCTTCAGGACTACATTGGCGGTCTAACCCGCAACATGACCAAGACCGAATTGACTCGCGCCGGTACCAAGGGGAGAAAGTCCCAGAAATAGCCGCTACGCATCCTGGTCGCAGGGCGATCAGTACCCTCAACAACCTCCTTCACTTACATCGACACTGATATCGTATCAACTTTATTCCTCAACACCTTTTCAACAACAACAACAACAACAGCGGCAGCAGCAGCAGCAGAAACAACTACACACACACATTCGCCTTCAACCTTGGAAATCGAAACCTACACAATACATCAACATGCAGAACAGCACTTCCAGCGGTCTGGTCGTTGTCGCATGCCACCCACCACCTTGCAGTAGATCTTGTTCTGCAGCCAAATAGGCCGAAGATCTACTTAGCAGTAGTCTGCCTTACAGATCTCTGCTATGTGGAGCTTCCAAGGGGGCAAGATTCGTGACATCATTGCATTTATGGAATGTGCGCTCACCGCCACCTGGCCTTGGCAACTCACGGACCCGGTGATGCCACTACGTCTCCTCGTCCTTTTTTTTTATTTCTTTTGACTCTACCGCACTTGCGTACAACGGCTTGGTGGCATTCTGATTTCCGGCGTCCGTTCTGCATCTCTTTTTTTTGTTTTTTCTGTCTTGATTCTGTTTCTGTTTGTCCCCCCTTTTCTTTCTATGTACTCTTGTGGCATAGCGCGCTCGGCGTTGGGTACCTGGGAATTCTTTTATCATTAGATTTCAATGACTTTGGAGCCGCACTTGGGATGCATATACTCATCATGGCCAGCAAAAAGGCGGGAAGCATTTCACGGAGCCGATCTGTCTTATTCCATCTTCTTCGACTCTTCTCTTCGATTCTACTATTCCCTTTTTTTTTCCCCCTTCTTTCATCCTACTTTTCCTGTTGATACCTTCGCCTGTACATTGCTACTCATGGCCTGCAGCTTCCATAGCCAAGCATGAATCTGAATCTGAATTGAACCTAAATAGTGTAGTATACTAGTGTAGGTTCCCCAACTCCCTAGCTGGAAACGTATGTAGGAGACATGGTCTGTACGAGGCTGTGTTTACTCTACTTTCTGCTGGTCTCGTGTGTCGAGTGACACAACTCCAACAACCTGTCATCTGACAGGCGGGGAGGGGGGGGATCAATAAGAAATCAACAATAAAGAAATCAGAAATGTCAGCTTAAACCTAGAATATGACTGGGTACCTGGTACCTGTAGTAAATACTCCGGGGAAACTAACTACCTAGTACCTACCTAGGTAGTATCTACCTAAGGTATCGACTACTTACATGCAATACTGACATCCAGTAACTAGTCACCTAAGTAGAGTAGCTGGTTAACTGCCTGTTTCCGATGAGCTGTCGTCTCTTTCCCATCCAATGTAGACCTACAAGAATAGAACTGGTATACAAAATACAAAACAATGGATAGATAATAAAAAAAGTATGTGACAACTGTCAGACATCTGCAGATGCAGATCTCAATCATTTAATATCCCTGGAACAAATTCAGTTGGAACTTGGCGCCGTTGACGTCATTTCAAGTATTACCGAGTTGGTCCACCTGCTTCAGTCTATGTAGAGTACCTGTAGAAAGTAGCTCACCAAGGGTAGATAGAGTACAAAATATTCCTTAGAATAGGATGACAATTTCTTACCTACTAACTATCTAGTTACTAGCTGGAAGCTTATCCATGTCTATCTCGGTTAATAGGACTTCTCATCTTCCATTACTATCATGGAATAACTAGTTGAAGCTGTTCATGCATGCACGCACTTGATAATTGGGTAGTACTAAGATCATAGTGGCTAACTATCACTGACTTATAAGAAGCAAGTCAAGACTTATATAGCTTACCTTTTACTGACTCTATAGCTTACCAGACAGGAACTGGTAATATATGCAGACCCTCACATCTACTGATATCTTGTAGTCTAGACTACTCTTGTATGCATGGTGTTGGCATCTATCCTAGATATACTACAAAGTAATCTATTCTGTTTGATTGATCGTATTGGCCAGCTAGCTGCCTAACGTCTAAAATCGATGGACAAACATGGCACAACCAAGACAGGTCGAAACGGAGTCGGCATCCAGGACAACTCATTTCATTGCGTGTAAAGCGCGAGCAGGGGACGGGTAATTTAATAAAATCTCTTGGGGGAATTTAGGCTGTAGACAAAAAAAAAGAGCACAACACACGGCACGGATCAAGATCGAGCAAACAGGTGCCATCGGGTAAGAAGAGCAGACGAGATCCTCTCAAGTTTTCCGCCACAAGGGCAGATGAAACAGACCAAGTCTACCACTTCCCGTTCCAAGACCCTCGCTTCAATCTGTCAACCCGCCATGGGCGTGATTCCACCATGATCTCTTTACTCAGCGGGCTTCTCCTCGGCGGCGGCGGGTTCCTCCTCCTTCTTCTCGACCGGGGCGGCGCTCGACTCGGTGGCAGGCTCGGCCTCAGACGAGGTCCAGAGAGTCTAATTTGTTAGTCAAATTGAAGCAAAGTGAAAAGAAAAGGTTGGGAATGAATCTTTACCAGGTTGTCTCGGAGGAGCTGCATGATGAGGGTGGAGTCCTTGTAGCTCTCCTCGCTCAGGGTATCGAGTTCTAGATGAAATTAGATTAGCCAGTCAGAAGAGCCGGTGGATGAGGGGATGGCATACCAGCAATAGCATCATCGAAAGCCAGCTTGGCGAGGTGGCAGGCCTGGTCGGGAGAGTTGAGGATCTCGTAGTAGAAGACAGAGAAGTTCAGGGCCAGGCCGAGACGGATGGGGTGAGTCGGGGCCAGATCGGTCGAGGCGACCTCAGTGGCGCTCTTGTAGGCCTCCAGGGAGGAGTCGGCGGCGGTCTTGCGGCGGTCGCCCACGGCAAACTCGGCAAGATAACGGTGGTAGTCGCCCTTCCTGTTTGAAACAGAAGAAAGTCAGATCGTGGTTCTACAAGAAGGGAGGGGACAAAAGGAGTGCACCACGCACATCTTGTGGTAGAAGACCTTGGACTCGCCGCTCTGGGCAGAGGGGATGAGGTGCTTGTCCAGAACCTCGAGGATATCGTCGCAGATCTTGGCAAGCTCGGCCTCGATCTTCTGGCGGTACTCCTTGATCAAGGTGACCTGAGACTCGTTGCCTTTCGACTCCTCCTTCTGCTCGATCGAGGTGACGATTCTCCACGACGCACGTCTCGCGCCAATGACGTTCTTGTAGGCGACAGAGAGAAGGTTGCGCTCCTCAACAGTAAGTTCTACGTTGGAGGAAGCAACAACCTTCATGTTCTCAACCATCTCTACAGGCAAACAGTCAGTCAACCGGCGGGGTAGAACAGCGCCAGAGGTATTTAAGGTAGACGTGACGAACCTTCATAGCGCTCGGCCTGCTCAGCCAACTTGGCCAGGTAAACAGCGTCTTCGTGGCCCATTTTGAAATCTGTCAAACCACAAAAATTCATCAGCTTTTTTTTTTCTTGCTTCTTCTTTTGTTTCGTCTTTATCCAAATATGCCAACTCTTCTGCGGTGACCAGTACAATGACGAAGTCTCCAGTGGTCCCCTCGACAGATACGTCACTCGGCGTCTCGTTCAGCCGTATGGCCGCAGAACACGGCTGACCAAGGTGTTCTCGCGCAGGTTGCAACGACCAAACCGGAGAATCCCAGGGTGCGATCCATACTAGAACGCCACCGAAGTTGTGTGGGCAGCGGGTGATAAGTGATTCGGGACCGGTTGTTGTGGGCGACGACAGTGACAGGGTAAGGGGAGGGGTGTGTGGTTGCTATCTCACCTGACTAAACACAATAAAACGACGGGTGGGAAAAAAGAGCGGGAGGGGGAGGAAAACAAGAAGAGAATTCTTTGCAGGAGAGAGAAAAAATTGGCAGGGAGGAAATCTCTGATGGTCAATAGAGACAAACAGAGATCGAACGCGGTGTGGTGGAGTGGTATTTATTTTTTTGCTTCAGGCGTGGAGATGGGAAGGAGAGGGAAAGGGAAGTGGGAGGGGAAGAGGTCAGAAGGGAGAGCGGCGGTGGTGGTGGTGGAGGAGGCCAATGCCTGCCTTGGGTTGGGACGAGGCGGAGCCGCTCAAAACATCCATATATTTCCGCCGCGGGGTCAATAATGGGTGTTTGTGTGTCTGTTTCGATGGCTATGCATGGAGAAGAAGTCATTATTTTCTAATTTATTACTTTGTAGACCGCGTTGCTAAGTATATCTACCGGATTGTTTTTCTGCTGGCTGTGTTTGAGTCGCGGTGCGTTGAACTGCCTCCTTCTGTGTGGTTCGGTGGGCCTCCTATCGTCATCCCTATTTCACCGCCGCCAACCAGCATCAACAATCCTGGCACTCAGCATGAGCCTCGAGGCATGCACATATAAGGTCGAGTTGGATTATAGCAATCAAATCGAGAGTCTAATAACAGAGTCTCGACGGAGTCTCGACGGAGTACTCCGTAATAGGGATATTACGAACGACCTATAATCTCTCTCTCCTATTGCTCGTCTTACCTAGTCACTACTCCGTACTGCCTTGATTATTGCAGAATAGGATCGATTTTCTCCTGCAGTGAGGTATCATGGAACTAGTTAACTACAGAACACCTTGTACCACGAACTCGGCCTTCTCAAAATCGATAGTCCCTTGTCGATCGCAATGACTTTTCGAGCGACTCCTGAGATGGTCCAGACAACCCGCGGTGGCTGCCAAAATAACTACGGAGTACGGAGTATCTAACCTAAGTCGGTGCTAGGCGGGAACTGGGACAGACAGTCGACTTACATAAGCATGGCACGACTGCCCGGTCACCTGATGTGCCCTCGGGGTATGCTCGGGTCCGTGTCGTCATTCCGGCTCGAGCACGCTATGCCTGGTTTAAACTGCATCTCACTCGCCTGAGACTCGTGTACACTTTTCCTAATCTCCCCGCCAAAAAAAGAGTATTCCTCCTTCTTTTCGATCTTCATCCCCTCAAATCCTCAGATCCCAATATGCTTCGCCAAGCTGCTCGACCTCTCGCCTCTGCGAACCGTGCCCTTCTCAGCCGGTCCTTTGCCGTCGCTACTCCCCGGATGGGTGCTGGCGATACTGGCGCCCCCAAGCCGGGTGGTGCTGCTGCCGAGTAAGTCTTGCATTTCTTTCTTTCTTTCCCATCAATTATCCCAATTGACCTTGTCTCAATCTATCTTTCATTTCTTTGACATGACATCTTCTTTGATATGACATCATACTAATCGCTCTATCCCGCCAGGGACACATTCTCTCGTCGCGAGGCTGCCCAGGAAAACCTCTATATCTACGAGCAAGAAAAGGCAAAGTACGTTCCCATGTTATACTTTTATGGAAGTATTGTGAGATAGTGAATAAATCTGCTAACTACCCAGGCTCCTCGCCCTCAAGGCCAAGTTGCAGGAACAGCGCAAGCACCTCGACGAGCTCGACAAGCACATGTACGTCTTTTCTTTTCTTTTTTCCCCCCCAGATGCAATATATACTAACAGATTAGTGATGACTTGACCAAGAGCCAAGGTGGCGAGAAGAATTAAACGTGGGTTGTGTTGGTTACTACAAACTGTGTGATATGTGAAGTACATTATTAGCCAGAATCAACCCTTATACTCGTCTCTCCTCTCCAATATTGTATTCCTTTTAACGCCGATCACGGCCGAGGTTTCCAGCCTGTCTTTCACTTGGTTTGGGAGCTATTAATGAACGAATGATATATCTTGTCCGAATTCAATTATCTCATAGATATAAATGCCGATGTACAACAGGGAGCAATCATATCAAGTACCACGAAACCAGCACCTACTGAAGTAAAAAAAAAAAAACAAAACAAGAAGAGGAAAAAGAACCGTTGAACCCCAAATCCCTGACATCGCCCGTCTTAACTACCGAGGCAGGATCTAATGCTTTAGCGCCGCCCCATGTACGAGCGGTAAAAATCGTCGGCGGCACTTCCGCCAGCTCCAGCACCGCTAAACCCATGGCCAAGTCGCGAAGACAGGTTTTGGCTGGACTTTTGAGCAGCGCTGACCTTGGCCTGAAGTTCGGCGGTGCCCTGGTCGATGAGCTGGAGCTGGGAAAGGTGCGAGTTCAGAATGCGCACAATCTGGGAGATCTAATCACAGTCAGTGTATACATCTCTTAAAAAAGATAGGGAGAAAACATACGGGTTCGTCGGCTTTGTTGGTCTTGCTCAGTGTGGACGAAGCACTGTTGACTTCTTCGATCATACTGGTCAGATCCTTGCCCATCTCGTCCAGGCGTTCGGAGAGTCTCTCGGCTGTTTTGTATCTGCAAGTTGGTCAGCATGGGGTCTCATGTGGACGCCGCCCGATAGAGGGTAAAAAAAAGGTTATTGAGAATACGCACGTTCTTTCACGTTCCTGGTCGGGTCCTTGCAGTGCATCACCAAGTCCCACCTGCTTAGACATCATCTCGTCGATCTCCCGTTCGTACCGATCCAGCCACGAGGCCAGCTCATCTTGTTGTCCCTCTACTGAGGCGAGCTGGCGTTCAACCTCCTGGGTGGCCCGTTCCGCGTCGACAGTGCTGCTGAAGATCTTTTGCACCTTGGTTCCGTTCTCAATGAGCATGCGATCCCATTCGGCAACCTTCTCCGCCTGCTGGCGAAAGTCCTTCTGGTACTTGGTCAAGTCAGTGGCCCACCGAGTGATGATTTCATCCATCGTCTTGTTCTTCAACCGTGACTGTGCTGGAGGCGTGGGTCCCGCTGTAGAGGCACCCAGGGCAGCACCGCCCGTCGCTGCGGAGGCGGCACCAGTTGCGCCTGTAGCAGCGGCGGCAGCAGGGGTAGCCGCTGTCGGCGTGGCGGCAGTAGCAGCAGTAGTGGGGGGCTGCGCTGCTGCTGCCGGCTTCTCAGCAGGCTTGGCCCCAAACAAGCCACCACCTGCCGCGGCAGGAGGTTGGGTAGCAGGGGTGGTAGTGGTTGGAGTGCCCGGAGCAGCTGAGGTGGTTGCAGGCTTAGCAGCACCAAGGCCCGAGAAGAGGCCACCACCGCCCAGAGGAGCCGCCGCAGGTGTGGAAGATGGGGTAGCCGAGGTCGTGGTACCACCCAGACTGGGGAAGAGGGACTTCTGCGGGGTAGCGGTCGAAGTGGCCGGGGTAGCAGAGGGTTGGCCAGCAGTAGCGGTGGTTGTAGGGGTGAAAGCAGATTTTGGTGTCGAGTCGGTTCCTGCAGAAGGCAGCTTAAAGAGCGATGGTGCGCCTTGGGTAGCCGCGGTCGCCGGGGCTCCGAACAGCGAAGGAGCACCGCCTGCTGTTCCAGAGGGAGTTGTGGATTCAGCGGGTTTGGAAGTATTTAGGTTCCCAAAAAGACCACCTGCAGGGGCGGCAGAGGGTGTGGAGCCAAACATTGGCTGTTTTGGGGTGTTTGATGTGAAGAGCCCCCCGGAGGACTGCGGTTGAGAGGTTCCGCCCAGGGTTGTGGTTGAGGTCACCGCAGTCAAAGACGGGGTTGCTGTGGTTGTTGAAGGTGCACTCGTAGTCATTCCACCAAAAAGATTCCCGGCTGGCTTTTGTGCTGCCTGTCCAAATAGTGACTGGCCCTGACCTGCGGTGGTGGTGGCTTGTGGAGGAGGACCGGCCGGTGTGGTAGATGTGGTATTGAACAACCCACCACCTCCCGAAGGGGCAGGCGTCGCTTTCGCGCCGCCAAAGAGCCCCAGAGGTGTGGTAGTCGTTGCGCCACCGATCGTGCTGGTTTGGCCTGGTGTGGCCGCCTCCGTGGTCTTGTTTGCCGTGGAGGGCGTTGCCCCGAATGGGGATGGTTGAGCTGGCGTGGAGGATTGATTCTGGGCACCAAAGCTGAAGGCAGATGCTCCAGTGGCACCAGCTGTGTTACTACCAAACAGCGAAGGAGCCTGTCCGGGAGTCGAGCCACTGCCAAAGAGAGGTGACGGGGCACCTGTCGTCGCAGCACCCACATTGCCGAACAGGCCCTTTGCCGCAGGAGCGGATGAGGTATTCTGACTGTTGGTGCCAAACGGACTCGACGTGTTGGCAGAGCCAAACAGATTACCGCCAGAGGGGGCGCCAGTGGCAGGCGTGCCGAAGCTGAAGGAGGGAGTTTTCGACATCTTCGCGACTTTCAACACACGCAAGGGAATCAATCAGCAGAGCTTGTCCTAGACGAGGCTACAGTCAGCTGGTAAGTAGTTTTCGGTCTCCGCGCTGCATATACGAACTGCGATCAAAGTCCAGAGCCTCCAAATTTCAAAAGACCGGCTTGGTGGAAGCTTGCTTGGGCCTGCGTCCTTCACCTGGAGCCGAGTGTAGAATTATGAACGGAGCTTGGAAGACGCGCATTCTCGGCGGTTGACGCCCGCCTGATGCCTAAGGTGTCTATTGTGGCCTGAGGCATCAAGGCAGCGATGCGTTACTAACCAACACGGCTCGACCGCTGAATATCGCTATCACCCACCTATCCTCACTGGTCTATCCACATTGTCTACTCCTCCACTACATGCATTTGAGATCGACATTTGGCACGCTACATTGATGTCGGACCGGCCCTCGCGTCCGTCCAGTTCCTACCTGGAGCCCCCGAAGAAGAGCGTGGAGTTTGAAGACGTAGGGGCGCAGGAAACTGGTACGGTTGACCCCACCTAATAGAGAGAGAGAGAGAGAGAGAGAGAGAGATCACATTGCTAACAGGGATGGTATAGCCTCCAATAGCGACGATGACCACTTTTCCGATGCCAGCGAAGGTCGTGATTTCGCTCACTCGCACCCGCCGTCCGGTCGCGCGTCACCCGTTCCACGCACGCGAGTAGAGAAAGTGGACGATGAGCCCCGGTATGGCGAGGTACCAGGCACTACTGCTTACGAAAAACGAGGGCATGATGCAGTGCCCGATGAAATTGAGGTCATTCCTGAGGGGACACGCAGCCGAAGCCATTCGGCCGTGAGGGATTTGGATCGCCCTGTGACGCCAGGAGGCACGCCGATTCCCCGAACACTCGTTGAAAAGGTGGACCCGACGTCACCTAGCCTTGGTGAAATTCCGGGGACGGCAGCGTACAAGCAGCGGAAGGCAGATGCGGTGCCGGACCTTGTTGTTCGTGCTGGGGATTTCTCTGCTGCCCAGTCTCCATTGCTTGAGCCTCAGAGAAGCGGAACAGCGACTCCTGTGCCAGAGACGCGTCTGTCTCGGGTTGATTCGATTCCGACCGATGAACTGTCGTCGCGTCTCCACGCACACCAAAGACAGCCCAGTGATGCAATGCCCGACTCGGAAGAGACGATCGGGGATGTATCCAGTAAGCATCTCTACCTCTTTTCTACTTCTTCTATCAACAATGGTTCAGGGACGGTTGACCAATTCAGATTCACCAACTAGCTCCACACATCCAGATCACGTCCGATCACAACCTTGCATAGAAGAGAGTGGCACTGAGGATGCTGATGGTTTGAATGATGTTCAAGATAATGACGACGACTTCGATGAGTTTGCTGAAGAACAAGATCAGCCCATGGATGATGATTTCGGAGACTTTGACGATGGGTTTCAGGAACCTGGCGAGGATGTGGTCGAGGAATCACCCAGGACACCACCAGCGCCCAGTCTTCCGCCGGTTGTAAGTAGATCAACAGCTATGGAACTGCTGCTTTGCCTTGCCCCCCCCCCTCGCCAATCAGATTCCTAGCCTCCTTCCTTCCATTTGTTCGTAAAAAAATACTGATGATAAAAAAAAATTAAATCCGGCAGCCCCAACTTGTAGACTTTGACACCTTTACCTCGCAGTCCGACCTCTTCGCCGCGCTGGACGACCACCTGGATCTGCTTTACCCTTCCTCCCAGGATCTCAGCAGCCTGCCAGCCATCGAGCCCATCCCCGACCAAACCGCAATCTTCACGACGGACCGGTCCCTGTCGCTGTGGTCACAGCTCGTGGCGCCGCCGCCCCTCCAGCCGCAGAACTGGGTCAAGTCGCGCATCCGCCGGCTCTTCCTCGTCTCGCTGGGCGTACCCGTCGACCTGGACGAGATCCTCCCGGCCTCGAAACAGAAGAAACTCGTCCTCCCCTCGATCAAGCTTGATGAAAACGACGGCGTGGCTGCGTCTCCCGCCGGCGCCAGCGGGCCCGGCCCTCACCCGCGGCCTTCCTCCTCCAGCCAGGCGAAGAAAGACGGCGGGCCGGCGGCCGCCCTCGCCGGAGAATCAGACACCCCGCGCAGCTCAGGCCAACTCAGCAGACAACACCACCCCCACCATAGGTCGACAACATCGTCTTCGAGGCGGCGCGCGGCCTCCCCCGCGCCAGATCTGGATCTCTCGGCTGTACGCCGGCTGTGCGCGACCACCGACGCCGCCCTCGACGGCTTCACGGACTCGGAGCTCCGCGACCATCTCCAGGAGCTGGAGCGGACAACCCTTCGCGCAAGCACGGTGCTGGAGTACTGGTTGAAGCTGCGGGATGGGTTGCTCGGGGAGAAGGAGGCGTTTGAAGGCGTGATTGAGAATCTGGTCAGTCATGCACGGAGAGTGAGAAAGTAAACAGACTCTCTCTCTCTCTCTCTCTTAAAAAAGTATTCTTGGTTCAGGTTCTGGCTTAGTATAACTAGTCGGTCTCTGGTAGGGCTGGCCTCTACTATTTTAGAGAAAAGAGTCGAATACATTAATAAAGAATCATATCTTATTTACTTTCTTTCTGTAATTCAAGAATTGCCTGTAGCATAAGCATTACTGTTCTAATAAATCCCGAATGTACTCAACCATACCCTTACACTAGTTAGATAAGGTACATACACAGAAAGCTCTAACACTAGAACCAGCCGTCAAGAGGTTGCAAAGGAGTAAATTGCCTGGTGTGGGTATCATGTGCAAAAAACAGAGGGGGTACATCAAGTACCTGGATGAAAGACGCTGGGAAGAAATGTAACGGGCAAGAAGTAGAAAGGATGTTTATGGAATGATTGCAGCCATCATTCTAATTCAATGATCACCGCTGTTTCCAAAGAGTTCCCTCTTGTAGAATTGTTGGTGGAGGAGCTCTCTGTTTTATATGTCGTCGGGGAAGCCATGCGTTTGCGTTTCGCGCCGGCGGAAGAAGAAGAGGAAGAAGAGGAAGAAGAAGCCGGATGTTCTGATGAAAGTTGCCGTGGCTGCTGCAACTCCCAAGACCCGTCGGCCTTGATTTTGATGGCCTTGGCCTCGCCTAGGCGGTTGGTACGCTGTAGCTCAGCGTGCACGGCGGCCAGGAAGCCGTCGATGATCAGGTTCTGCGGGCGGGCGTCCAGGTTGCAGATGGGACATTTCCAGTTTTCCTTTAACCCATCCTTGCCGGATTTCGACATTCGAGTCATAAGGTAGGTGTCGAGATCGAAGCATTCGCGATGCGTGCAAGCGCTGCCGCGCGCGGGGACATTGAAGATCCGAGCCATGAAGGGGTCCAGCAGGTCGATGCTGAGATGATCGTTGACGACGGCTAGGTCGTCGTCACCATCGGTAACGCTGGATGAGAGGCGCCTCCGGATCTCCTCGCAAGACTGTGCAGCCGGGATGGTGCGCACCAGCTGCTTCACGAAGGCCAGGCTGGCGACGTCCAACACCTCCACTCCGGCAGCGTAGAACACGTCCTGCTGCTCAGCGGGACTCCGCAGAAGGTGAATCGAGACCTGGTTCATCCCTTGGCGCAGGCCGTCCGTGATGTCCAGTGCAAGGTCCTTACCGTTGTGGACTTTGCGCCGCACATAGTGCTCGACCCCGTTGATGAAGACGTAGATGGCACTGGGCCAAGTAGTTTCGGCGACACTCCAAGCAAGGTGATCGAACTGGATCATCGCAGGCGACACCTTGATGCACCGCAGCCGGTAGAGTAGGCATCCTTCTAGTAGAAGCCGCACTGGCCGATGACCTCCTTCGTTCGGCAGATAGTTGGGAAACCGCATCCGCTCTTCGCTCGAGACGGAAACGGTCCACTCAAAAGAACACGCCTCCTGTCCGAGATGGCAGGGTGGTACTGCGAATCCCCGCACATACTGGAAAAGTCCCGTCTCCTCATCGCCAGTCGGGCCCCGTTGGACCAACTTGCATAGCGGGTCTCGGAGGTGGGCCTGGTGCAGCCCCGCATGAAGTGAACTACGCGGAGGGTTGTGTTGGACGAAGCCAGGCTGAGGGAGGAGGGGGGGGTGTAATGGAGGATGGTTCCTTGCTTGTTGCGGCTGGGAGGAGGTAGGTGTGTGAGGGACGATCGCAACTGGCGGGGCCTGTCCCCTACCTCTTCGTGTGCCTCTTCTAGGGGCCGCACTCGTTCTTGATTCCCGCGTGGAATTCTGGACGGCAACGTCAGCCCGAATGGGTTGATGGCCGCCACGAAGAGATGGACGCCCGCGTCCGCGTGGCCTTGCCCTCGGGGCGGCGGCCGGGGAACTCAAGGACACCCGAGCCGTGACCTGCGGAACTTCGGCTCGAACGGTGGGACTATTGTGGGTTTGGGGAGACTGGAGCTGATTAAAGGCCACGGGGATTGGGTGTTGCAAGGGACGAGGAGCGCCTTGGGGTGGAAATGCAATAGGCGAGGGCCGAGCAGACGAGGTAGAAACGGCGGTTGCCGGAGACTGTGCCTGGGCCACGATCGGAGTCTGAGCTGCCGGTTGCACAGGCCGAATAATGTTCGTCGTTTGAAGGTCTGGTAGAGAGATAGGCATCACTTGTTGAGGTGACTGCTGAGGAAGCTGTCGGGGGATGCTCGACGGCGGCAGTTCTCGGGACATGGCAAGATACGTGCGGATGAGAGAATCATAGTCCCTGGGCGGTTGTGCGTCGGCCCCTTTATTGAGAGAAGAAATATAGGCGCGCCAGTCGTGATCAAACAGATTGCGCAGGCGTGCTGCGAGGGATTCGTAACCTCGGCCGTATACCACGCGACACTTGGCTCGGAACACGATCGACATGAGCACGAGAGACGACATCTGGAAACTGACGGCCAGCTCTTCCACAATGGGCGGGTATCCCCGCCGCTTGACCAACTGGTCGTAGGGGCCCCATCGTTCGGCCATCATGGCGAAGATGGTCGAGACGGTCTGCATGACGGTTGCGTACGGTTCCGGGTGTAGCTGCTGCAGAAGCGGCAGAGGATAGGGAAAAGAGATACACCACTTCAGGAAATCCCCCGTGAGGCACCGATTATCGAGCAACAGCAATTTGAATATACCTAGGCCTTGGGCCTGCTTGGGGCCGATGCCCGGCAGTGAGAAGCACTGCGAAGGAGCAAAGGTGTAGAAGCAAAACACTTGGTGGAGAACGACGTAGACCAGATCTTCCGCCTCACACGCCTCTTCCAGCAACCGGACGCGAGGCAGCTCCACCGACTCTGACAACTCCATGGATCCTGGCCCCTGGGCACGTAGAACACCCAGCTTGGCTCTGCAGTCCGCCCAGAAGCTCTTATCCATCCTGACACCAAGCGAACCGACAGAACTTGCCGTCTCGTTAACCGGCACTGCCGGCGGCATTACCATTGACGCCACTGCTGGCTGAGACTGCACTGGAGGAAGGGAAGCGTTGGTGTTGTTGGTGTTGGTGTTATTCTGAGTGCATGCTGCAGCATCGTCCACCCCGTCAAGCAGCCCGGCCGGACTGGTGCGAGAGCCGCTGCTCGGGCCTGGCGAGGGTAAAGCCTGATCATTGGGTAACGGAGGAGCATGAATCAGATGAATCGGATTGGTAGAGATAGGAGGAGGATTGTTGGGTGAGCCTGCGGTTGCACTGTGCTGCGGCGGCGTTTCGACAGGAGAGATCAAGCCTCCTCCTCCTCCTCCTCCTCCTCCTCCCCCTCTAGTCTCTCCCGAGGTCACATTTGGCTGCGTAGATGGTATTGGGGCAAGTGCTCGAAGAGACTCGCCGTTCTGACGATTCGCAGGGTGAGGGTCCTGCGAAAGATTCGTCGTCGTGTTTGGATTGTTCACCAGCGCGAGCCGCGTCGGGTCGGTAGGCACGCCCCCAGACGACTGCATCCACGAGGGCTGCCTCCCCCCTAGAAACAGCTGGACGGTCGAGTTTGCAGTCTCAAAGGCCGGTCCCACACGAAGATTACTCGAGACCGGAGGGATTCGAGGATCTGCAGACGTCATGGTGAGGCGAACGCATGGTCGGGTCGGTATCGCGGTCGCGGTGGGAGGGAGCAGCAGCACAGGACGTAAGGGTGAAGCAGGGCAGGCTAACAAGTCAGCAAGAAGAGACAACAAAGAGAAGCTTTGAGAAAGCCGAGACACAGTCTACCAGAAAACTCCTTTGACCGCTTCTGACGCCACAGAGGCAGGCGCTTGTATTGGCCTCCGACCGAGGTTTTAACGCCGTGAAAGAAAGGACGCACTCCAATCCCGCCCGGCCGGCGGTGGCAGGAGATGGGGATAAAAGGATGACGACGAGGACGAATGCAGGCCTCTGTCGTTTCCACCGCTGCGACGAGAGAGCCAATTTCGAGAATCAGGGTCAAGATTAGGTTAGGATGGAGCAGCTCTGTCGATCACGATCTCGATTGGTGTCCAATGCTATTAAGTACGAGTACTCCCTGGTAAGTCACTTCTACTACTACTGCTACTGCTGCTGCTGCTGCTGCTGCTGCTGCTGCTGCTCTCGCCGAGTTTTGGACTGAATACGGTGGTTACAAGGTCGTGAAGAGAGAGAGCAAAAGACACATCATGATTTTATTGACGAGAGTGTGATAGATCAATTAACTGTCTTGATGCCCTGAGACCTGGCAACTCCTGCAAAAGTACCCACGACAGGGGCTCGACAGCGCAGAAAACCCGTATATATTCGTCAGATATCTCTCTCCACCCGCTCTGAAACGTGAGAACTGTGCTGTATCGCCCTTAACCCATCCTCTTGTCGTGTTGTCACCCGGCGATCAAATGCCTGGCAGTGGCTGTCGCCGCACGCGGAACGACACGTACGAGACCGGCTGTCCGCACGAGTCCAGCGTGAGGATGAACACAGGCCGTAGCTTGGATGCAAAACGAGGGTAATAATAGCCCCTAGAGTTTAAGCAGTGATCGTCAAATAAATAGATAAATATCCCATAATGCATGTGGTTATACCTCCCCTGTCTTCTCCCTGGTCTCTTTTGGGAGTCGCTTGGCTACTACCTACACTATCCAGATCTTGCCAGTTGCCTCACTCTCTGCCTCTCCCCTCTCCCCCTTAGGCTTCTCCCATCAGATCTCAACCGGTGGTCGACCCAGCGTTGATTGACTTTCGGAGACTACCTGGCCAGCTACTTCTTTTTTGCCTCGTCACGGACCATTTCTCCAGCGATTGAGCTGCCGGTGACGCTCTGCCGCGCCACTCCCAGGGCAGACACGCTCAGAATCCCCCCTCCTCGACCGACGCGAGAGAGACTTCCAAACCTCCATCAGCACGCCCTTGATCTATCGATTCGGCATCCAACTCCACCTCCCAAAGACGTCTCCTGTCCCGACGTCTTGACCACCTCCTGCCACTGCGTCTGAGCGCACCGTTTGGGTCCTGTCGGAGCTTGCTGATCGCCCCGTTGCCTAGCCGCCTCAGGACTTCCTGACAGGGTCCTAAAGCTTGACTCTGCATCGGCCAGGAGACTTTGGGGATCTCGTTATCGTCAGTATTGGGATTTTCCCTCCTTCCTCCCTCCTTCTATTCGGTCTCCGTGTGTGCTCACCAAGTGGCAAGTTCCCTCCCTCCCTCTCTCTTCCTCTCTCTCTCTCTCTGCTTGTCCGACCGGTCTCGACGGCCCCGCAGCGGATTCCTGGCCAGAAGCTCTTCGTCGCATTTTGCCCCCCTCCGTCTCCTTCTCTCCCCGCCGACTGGTTCCGCATTGTGTGTGTGTGACCGTGTGTGTGCTTGGGCGCTGGGGAATAATCCATTCGCACAGTCTAGCCCTTCACTCACAGGTCCTCCTGTTTTTTTTTTTTTTTTTTTTTTTTTTTTTTTTTCTATCCCTGATAGGGCTGCAAAGGCGCCCATGTTGAGTGCAAGGCGCTGGCTACAGGAGCTTCTGTTGCGCATCATCTCCGCCGTCCGCCGACTGGAAGAACTGTGAGATTCGACCTGGCGCTTTGCATCGTGGAGGGGGAAAAGATCGTGGGAAAGACACATATCCATACAATGGCGAATACGGCCCCGCCCCGAAGTGTGCGCCCGGGTGATTTCTTGGTGGTTGTCCGTAAGTTACTGTTTCGTCTCTCATAGTAGGATTTTTGTGGGAAAAAAAAACGGCCTTTGACACGAATGGTTCTACAGATGATTTTGAGGCCCGCGGCACCGACGAGCTGACCCTTCGTCGAGGTGATAAGGTTCAGCTGGTAGAGCTGGATGAAGGGTTTGGGGATGGCTGGTATCTTGGAAAAGACATCAAGACGGGGGCGACAGGGCTGTTCCCGGGAGGTAAGAGCTTGCTCACAAAAAAAAAAAAAACAAATTGTAACGTACATGGACTGACAGATGATCGTGTATCCATCTAGTGTACACTGCGGTAACTCCTAAGATCCCTGTCCGGCAGCAGATCCAACCGCTTGTCTCGTCTAGCCCCGAGTCGCGAGAAGAAGACGAGGAGGAGCAGGCCGCCGAGAGCCTCACGGACAGAGACGCCCCTGTCATGTCGCCGATCAGTGAAGATGGCACACCGCATGCCTCCCGCCACGTGAGCGCCTCTGATATGCAGCTCCCGGCCACGACGGCGAATCCCGCCGCAGCGACGCCGTCGCCGAAACAGCCGCAGAGATCCAGCTCCTCGCCGCTGCCGGCCAAGTCGCTGGCGGCCGATATCCAACAGACGATCAGACAGTCGATCGATAGCCAGATGAACGGCGAGGACAGCCCTGTCATGAACGAGACGCTGAGCGTCATCGACGAACATATCACCAACCTCAGCACCCCTCGCCACAGCATCGCTACCCAGGACCTGAAACCGGTCAATGATTCCGCCAGCGAGTACAGCAGCCACATAAGTCACCGCCTCTCCTATATCAATGGCCACGAGACAGAGGAGGAAGAGGAAAATCAGCCGACGGAAGAGACGGTCCGCAATTGGAGTCAGGCCGAAACCGCCAAACAACTGCGGAGCTGGGGCATCGAACCCAAGCACTGCGACATCTTCGAGGAACAGGAGATCACCGGCGATGTGCTCCTCGACATGGACCAGGATTTCATCTTCATGAAGGAGTTCGACTTTGGAGTCATGGGCCGCAGGCTAAAAACCTGGCACCGCATCAAGGCCTTCCAGGAAGAGATCAAAGGGCTCAAGACCCCGCCGCCGCGCGGATCGATTGCGGGCTTGCCGGGCGCCGCGGCCTTCCCTTCGGACGAGCGTGCAGCCAGCCGCGCCGGTCACACCGGTCCTCTATTCCCGCGGATCCCAAGCCTGTCAGAGAAGTCCCCGTCAAGCTACCACCAACACCGGACGTCAAGTATCTCGATCCAGCATCCTCGGCTCGTCAGCTCGACGATGACCAGCAGCAGTAGCAACAACAACACGGCCGCTAGCTCCCCGATGACTCCGCAGACTCCATCCTATGGTCGGGACTCACTACGGCGACCGTCAGCCGCCTCCATCCGGGAGATCAACCACTCCCGCCGCCATTCCTCTATTGACGCTACGGGTCGATCCCCCTTGCTCACGGATACGCCATCGACAACCCATCGCAAGAAGCCGTCGTTTGATCGGAATTGGACCATGTCGGCCGGTGCTCAGGGGCTGCCGCCTCGTCCTGGAACCTCTTCGGGGGCAACGGCAGATGGCATGCTTCCTCAGCATATCTTTCGGGGTGCTGCTGAGACCAACGGGGCGGCAGCAGATTCCGCCGTGACTGCTGGTGACCGGTACGACGAACTGGACCGGGGCTATTTCTCAGGTACCGAGGTCGACAGTCGGAGAAGCCGACGGCTGCTGCAGAAGCGCACCAGTACCAATGGAAGCCTAGGCCACTCGCAAAAACCCAGCTATACGGATGACCAGGGGCGCGCTAACCTACGCCACTCGCGCATCGGCAGCGCCGAATCGATCCGAGACCAGGTGAAACCCATCTCTGCCGCTGCCACCATCTATCACAAAGATGCTCCTCCCAAGGGTCGGTTCCGAAGCCTCAGCACGCGTCTTGTCGAACGATCGTCAGGTCAGCAGCCATCCCAGTCCTCTACATTCACCAACCCCGAGGAGAAGAGCTCCGGCGGCCTGAGTTTTCTGGCCTCGCTTGCCCCCCTTGTTGGGAAGACGGACCCAGAGATGCCTGCTCGCTCCAACACCACGGCTCCGTTGCAGGTGAACAAGGGCGCGGGTCCGAGATTCCGACGCACCATCGGTCTGCGGAATATTTCAGACGTGATCGGAAAGGGAACCCCAACCAACAGCGACAGCGCTGCGACCCCCGCCTCGCCCAGCAAAGACCAGGATCCTTCTTCCTCTCGGGCCGGATCGACCACCCCCTCTGGAACCTCGTTCAGGAGCTCCGAGCGTCTCAGCACCGATGGCTCAAATAAAGCCACCACTACCGATAGCAGTGTGACCGCTCTTCCACGCCCGAGAACCTCTGTCAAAGGCGGGGTCAAATCCAAGAAGGACACGAGCGCCTACACGCGGGGGTTGGAGAAGAAGACCCCACAGGAACAGATCGAGGGATGCGACTACTATGGGTGGATGAAGAAGCGGTCTTCGAACCTCATGACCACCTGGAAGCCGCGTCTCTTCGTTCTCCGGGGCCGCCGGCTATCTTATTACTATTCCGAGAACGACACAGAGGAACGCGGCCTGATCGATATCACTGCACATCGCGTCCTGCGCGCGGATAACGACCCGATCATTCAGCTGCACGCGACGCTCACGGGAGCGACCTCGTCCCCGACCTCGCCACCCAATGCGAGCAGCCCAGATGCCACATCGTCGTCGCCCACGGCGGCTTCCACCTCATCCAAGACCAAGGCCTTGGGTGCCGAGTCCCCCTTCTTTTTCAAGCTGGTGCCCCCCAAGAGCGGGTCGTCACGCACGGTGCAGTTCACCAAGCCCGCCATCCATTACTTCCAGGTCGACAACGTGCAGCAGGGCCGCCTGTGGATGGCGGCGCTGATGAAAGCAACCATCGAGCGCGACCTAACCCTCCCCGTCGAGACGACGAACAAACAAAAGACCATCAGCCTCAAGCAGGCTCGGTTGATGAACCAGCGGCCCCCAGCGCTCATGACGACCCTCGGCCAGGAGCCGCCCGCCGCCGCCGCCGCCGCCTCCAGCAGCAGCACCAAGAGCCCCCTCCAGGACGAAGACCACCATGGCCTGATGATCCAGGGCCTCAACCTGGACAAATCGTCACCGGCTGAGGACGATTTCATCTCCTCGCCCGTCTTTGGCTCGCTCGACACAGGGCCCATCTCGTTGCTCCCTGACTCGCCCGCCGAGTCTACCTGAAGTGTCTAGAACTCTTTTTTTCTTCCTGTCTTCATGACCCAATGATTGACCTGACCTGATCCCCTACTCTCTATCATGTAGCACCACGGCGTTTAATACGATATACCCCTCGTTTTTTACATCTTACACTGTTCCCCCCCCCCCCCTTTCTTTTCTTTTCTTTCTCTTATCGTTTTTTCCATATATTTCTAGGGTTTTACTTTGTAATAACTATAACTTGGATACTTCTGTGAGCTAGTTCTACAATAATATCAGTATTTTAGATCCTTTATAACAACTACTGACTATGTGGTCATTACTCTGTCCCCCTTGTATTTGGTAGTCTATCAGGGGAATCTTTTCCGCCTTGGCCACTGTTATTTGTGCCGTCCTGTCTCCTAGTTAACTTAATGCTTTCCCTTCTCCAAGTCGCTCCTTGTCATCTGATTGATAGTTGTATATTATTTTGATGTATTTTATTATTTTTTCCTTCTAGGTTTATACCCTTCATGTTCGAGTAATTCCACATGTCCATCCGCTCGCTCTTCGCCCGCGCCCTTGTCCTGCTTCTCCCGCTCGCCATCGCGTCCCTCATCTCCCTCTACCTCTACCCAGCGGTCCAGGGCTGCGCGTTTCCCGTCCCGAAATCGTCGTCCTCGCGTCGCGGCCATGATCCTGCGCCAGCTGTTTTCAGACTACTAGTCCTCGCGGATCCCCAGTTGGAGGGCGACAGCTCGCTGCCGAGCGCGGAGGATGAGCTCCTCCCGCGTCTAGGAGCGCGGTGGACGACAGTCAGGGAGTCTATTGAGACACAAGATGATAAGGAGAAGAAGAGAGATGTCTTTCGCCAGGGAACTAGCATCTTTTCTACGATTTCTAACGAGCTGCGCCTGTTCGTCACGGAGGACCTGCCTCGCTCGCTGGGTGCGACGCGCAAACGTATCGATCTGTGGGGTAACGATCACTACCTCGCTCACATCTACCGCACGTTACACTGGTGGACGCAGCCGACGCATGTGACCGTTCTGGGCGATTTGATCGGCAGTCAGTGGGTGACGGACGAGGAGTTTGACCGGCGCAGTGGGCGATACTGGAACCGGGTGTTTCGCGGGGGGGTCAGAGTGAGCGATGAGATTACCTCTCATGCCGGTGTGGACGTGGACCATACAGGATGGTCGAACAGGATCATCAACGTCGCGGGGAATCATGATATCGGGTACTCCGGGGACGTGAGCCAGGCGCGGCTCGACCGTTTCGAGCGAGCGTTTGGCCGTGCGGACTGGGACGTGCGGTTCTCTTACGAAATCGAGAACAACGATACCGATACTGATGCTGATCCTGATACTCGCTCGACAACTACCCTTACGCCCACCATCCACTTGATCAATCTCAACTCGTTGACTCTCGATTCCCCCCCGTTCTCGGAAGACATCCAGGGCCAAGGATACGCTTACCTCAACGATGTGATCTCCCACCGCAGCTACCCGGTCGAGGACCGGACGACCTTCACCCTGTTGCTCACACATCTACCCCTGCACAAGGCCGACGGGATCTGTACGGATGGACCGCTTTTCACTTTCCACGACCACGACGACGAGGACGGCCCGGACGGCATCCCGCGCTTCAAAGCCGACGGCCTGAAAGAACAGAACCACCTCAGCGACCATGTCAGCTTCGTCGGCGTTCTGCAGGGCATCTTCGGCATGAGTGGTGACGAGCAGGTTCCCGGACATGGCCGCGGGCGCAACGGTCTGATCCTAACGGGCCACGACCACACAGGGTGTGACGTCGTGCATTATGTGAATCGGACGGGAAACAACCCTGATGGCGATGCCGACAGTGATCAGCCGTCGTGGTCCTGGGCTGCTAAACGGTTTGGCCCGTCCGCTTCCTCCCACCAGGATATGCCGAACACGCCGTCTATCCGCGAAGTGACGCTTCGGTCCATGATGGGGGAGTTTGGCGGCAACGCTGGCCTGCTCTCCGTCTGGTTTGATACCGACCCGGCTGTGCGCGAGTGGCGGTACGAGATCGTCATGTGTCCTGTCGGGGTGCAGCATATCTGGTGGGCTGTTCATATCGGCGCAGTCCTCACTCTGGGGGTGATGGCGGCATGGGCTGTAAGTTTTCTAGTAGGTAGAAAGGAGCAGCCGCGGAGGGAGACAAACGGCATGACAAGTCATGAGCAATAGATATTAATTAATATAATCACCACTTGGATATACTAGCTACATTGTCTGTAGCATAACAATCTAGATTGGTTGTCTACGTAGCCAGCCACCGGTTCAAGTTCAATTGACAGGATAAGAGCCAGACACCAACGAGTAACTCCGGAGTATCATCAAGGTTATGGACCACTGTGTAGGATTCAGGTGTGCATTTTTGAAATTTTTTAATATTTCCGAAGGTCGCCAGATAGAAAGGATATTTCGGCTAAGAGAGATTTAGATTTAGAGAAAAAACTGGAAAACTTTCGTTATGCACCCGTATCCCGCCTGGTATTCGTTCCGTTCCTGCTCCCTGCTTTTTGTATTCTTTTTACATAACAACACCGGAGTTGGAAGCGATACGCTGTACATCGGATTAGCTTTGGGTCTGAGAAGACACTTGGATCATTCAAGGGGATGACCTACAGGCCAGAGCTCGGCGGCCTCCTTTCCGACGGGGCCGGTGATGGCGGAACCCTTCATTTCACCCTTGGCGTTGACAATCTAGAATATATCAGCATGATTCATATATATATATATATATATATATCCCTGCTGGAGGACAAGGGCCACTCACAACACCAGCGTTGTCCTCGAAGTAAAGGTAGATACCATCGGCTCTTCTCCAGGGCTTGCTCTGGCGGACGACAACGGCGGGCATGACCTTCTTACGGAGCTCGGGCTTTCCCTTCTTGACGGTGGCCATAACCATGTCACCGACACCGGCGGCGGGGAGACGGTTCAGGCGGGCACCGATTCCCTTGACGGAGATGATGTACAGGTTGCGGGCACCGGAGTTATCGCAGCAGTTCATCACGGCGCCACTATATGATCGAAAAAGAAGGCCGTTAGCCAATTCGTCCATTTTTCTTTTTTTTCCCCATCGCATTTCGAGATCGCATTGATTTCGTTGACAAAGATATCGATCGGTTTGGTTGACTTTTTCATAAAGTATCGAAGTTTCTTTGCACCGAGGGTTCTAGCGAGAGAGAAGAAGGAAAAAAACGTACCAAGGCAGACCGAGAGTCATCTTGAGCTTGTTGCCGGCGGCACCGCCACGACTATATAGAAAAATCACGTTAGCAAAGGAATTCCATCACTCTGTTTTCCTTTAATCGCCTCCATCTGTTCGCCTCTCAATTCTCCTCATCCTTCTCTTTCGTTGACCGATTCTCTTTGGTATCCCGCTCCCTCCCAACAGAACCTCCCAATATTGCAAACGCATCCCCGTCGAGAAAAAACAATTGTTCGCATTGGTGTGTAGACTCACCCTCTCTTAGACATTTTGGCTGTGTATCTCGTGAACGGTCTCGGATACTGGGAAAGGGCGAAGAGGTGGGCTCAGAAGGTCGACGACGTCCAAGGGAATGCGGGTTTCGAATTGCCCTCTCGCTTAGTGTTCGTGGTGTGCAAAATCTTGGCAGATGGCTACTATTGGCTGGGTGAGATCCGCCCTGGGCTGGACAGTGTGCCCTAGCGCTATCCCTATTCGGGATGGAATCTCTCCCGCTGAAGAGTTTACTACTTGTGGTACAGGCCTCTTTTAAGGGTGTACCCGAGTCGTTTTACAAAGCTGATCTGCAGAAAAGGATACATTCGATCAATCGATGCGATTAAGCGGTTATCTAGTTATTACACTTTACCTTTCCGTACTCCGCCAAGCTCAGCCAAGTTCGACTACTTCATGGTATACCTAACTTATAAGAAAAATTACTCTAATCAGAAATATGATATTTTGATTTAACCTTCAAGTATAAACGCAATGTAAGAGAGAAAAAAAGAAAATCATGAACCTTCGGGTAGTAGCATAATACAAAGAAGTTGCCGACCGAAACACCAAACCTGCCGTTGCGCCAGTGACCTGCACGAAAGAGGAAGCAGAGGTCACTGCAGTCAGTGAGGAAGCTGTTCTTCGCTCTTGGGAGGTTCTGTAGCCTCCTCGGAATGAGTTTCCTTGGAGGGTTCTTCCTCTTTTATCAATGAGACAGGCTCCTCTGTTGAACGCTCAACGGTCGCTTCCGCGTCAGTAGTCTCTGCAGGCTCAGTGGTCTCCTTGGAAGGGGTCTGTCTCTTGGCCGGCGACGGTTGTCTTTCAACCGCTTGACCCTGGACGGATGTTTCTTCGGAGGTCTCTCCTTGTTCCGGTGCGGCGCTGGGGGATTCTCCAGCCTTCTCGACCTCCGAGGGCGGCACAGCGGCCGCGTCTTCCATCGCAATATCGTCATCTTGAGGGGCAGGGGTAGGTTGTACAGACACCGAAGCAGAAGGAATCTTGTCCTGTCCATCAACCGTCAGGCCTGTCGCTTCCTCCGCAGTGGGGGTCTCTTTGGGCTTTGAGGCCAGTTCAGTAGCGGATTGAGAGCGGCGATCTTCAATATCTTGCTCTAGTGGTTCGCCCATTTTAACGTCAGCAGTGATATCCATTTCATCATCGGCAACCGAGGAGGCATCACGAGGGGTGGCGAGGCCGCTGTCAAGGCCAGACTCCTCGGGGTTGCGATAATTCACTTGGTTCCTGCGCTTCAAGGCACCGGGCTGGCGACGGATGCCATTTGCAGCGTTTTCTTGCTCATCTTCGCTGTCGCTTAACTCTCCGGGCTTCTCAACAAACTTGTCAAATCGTCGCTGCGTGAAGCGCTTGTCCTTGTTCTCATCTTCGTCGAGGTCATCAAGAATTGCATCAGCTTCATCATCCAGGCCTTCCACCAGCGGCTCTCGGGGCACATCGGTCATCTGAACGGACGGTGCAAATGCAGTACGCTTCAAATTCTCAACGACCTGAGTGCGAATTTTGTCAAGATAATCCTTCGTGTTCGCATTGTCCATATTCGACGGACGGACATCAAGCTGGTAGTCAGGGCCGAAGTACTAAAGAAAGTTAGACGTATATAAGAGGACACCTGCAAGAAAGGCGTCTTACCTCATAGTAGTCGTTGTAAGGAAGTTCGGGTCCAAGCCCGTCGCCCACAAGTATACCAGTCTCGAACGCCCAAGTTCGTGCAACATTGCGCATTGTATAGCCACCGCCTCCGAGAATCATAGTGGGGAGGTTGAAGGACTTGACAAATTTAACACAATTGGCATGGCCACGCATGCTCAGGTTGAAGCAACCCAGTCGGTCACCTGACAAACTGTCGCCTCCACACTGCAGGACAACAGCTTCGGGACGGTACCATTCCATGACACTTTTGATGACAGGCTCAAAGATACTCTTGTAGGAGACATCATCGATCCCATCCCGGAGAGGAAAATTGACAGCATAGTATTTGCCCTGTCCGACACCGATATCACGGAGTTCACCGGTTCCAGGGAAATATTCACCATACTTATGGAAGGAGACGGTCATAACGCGGTCCGTAGTATAGAATGCTTCCTCCACTCCGTCACCGTGGTGAACATCAATATCCACATATAGGACTCGCTGCTTGAACCGCAGCAGCTCTAAGATACCTAGAACGATATCTGAAGACGGGGGAGGCAAGAGATTAGTCCACCTGCAGTCATCATGAAAGGGTAGGTGGTTACGAACCATTCACGTAGCAGAAACCACTAGCTTCGCTTTTCTTCGCGTGGTGGAGGCCACCAGCCCAGTTGACTGCAATATCACACTTGTTCCTATTGAGGCGCGCTGCACCCTCCATGCTTCCACCAGCACTGATGCCACAGAACTCAAAGAGGCCGTCGAAAACAGGGCAGTCGTCACCGACGTTGTACTTGCTTTGCTCTTTCGAAAATTGGTCCATATTGTCAGGAGTAACCTTTGAGAGGAAATCGATGTATTCATCTGTATGGAATTGCGTCATCTCGTACTTGGAGGCTGGCTTCGCGCGCTGTGGTGAAATGACTGTTAGTGAGCTAAGAGGCGCGACAAAGCAATAGGACTTACATAAATCTCCATTTTTTTGTACAGACCATAGTTCATGACCAGACTGTGTGTCATCCTTATACGATGAGGTTTCATCGGATGACCGGAAACGTAGGCATAGTTGCCCACATCCGAGTCGTAGAAGTAAGCGACCTTCTTATTGCGATCAGAGGCGCCATTGAGATTGAGCCCGTCGAGCGGGGGCAACGTAGACATTTTGACGACAGGCTATGCCACTGTGCACTGAATTGAGGACTGAAAGGCCTTCGATTCTTGGTACAGCTATTTTTCCGCGGCGAAAGAAGCTGGTTTGCCCAGCGGGCCTTCTATCAGAAGGTTTCGAGAGACAATTGAGAGCAGCCAGGAAAACTCACACCGATACACTCAGAACCCGCGATCAACAAGCAGAAAGCATGTCTCTCGGTCTCGAGCAGATACCAACAACAGATGAAGACAATCAAGTGCAGGCCGAGAAGAGGCCAGCAGCAGTCCTGTCTAGCAAAAGAAGATCGGAGGGGAGGAGAGCACACGGGGATGGATAACAGCGGCGCGGGCCAGGTGCTCTCACCGCCTTCGTCAAGCAGGACCTAGCTTGGATAGCCATGATTACCCTCTCAACTCGATCGATCTCCTGCTTCTGAGAAGAGCATACCTGCCTATTCTCATACCTCCCAGCAGCACCCCTGAGTATTTCATTTGCTTTCTATTCGGATTGTGCAACACAATAAATCCGTCTTCCTTGTGCTCCCACTGCTTGAATACTTGGTTTCAGCTATTACCTGTGAAGCTTCCATTTAGGAGGCTGCTCTTCTCTCCGTCCCTGCCTATATCTTCACAGTTTTCAGAGCTCCCTAATAGCTATGGATCGTCTCAACCGAATGCTCCAGGCTGCCCAGGGCATGGGCATGGGTGGTGGTGCCCCTGGTGGTGTAGGTCATCCTCCGACTCGTGCTTTATGTGGCGGTAACCATTCTCTTGACTGGTTACGATTTCTCGATATGCATATTTCATATGGGACTAGGAAGAGATGCTGACGTTTGACTTTCCACTAGGACACTCCCAACCTGATTGATAACTCTGAAACCGTCCATATTTCTTCGCTTGCCTTACTGAAGATGTTAAAACACGGCCGCGCAGGTGTGCCTATGGAGGTCATGGGTCTTATGCTGGGTGATTTCGTGGATGAATACACAGTCAGGGTGGTGGATGTCTTTGCCATGCCTCAGAGCGGAACCGGCGTTAGTGTTGAGGCTGTCGACCCTGTATTTCAGACAAAGATGATGGAGATGCTCAGGCAGACGGGACGGTGAGTACATGGCAAATCTCTAGAGGTTTCAAGGGTAACCAATACTGATGGGTTTTCGATCTAGCCAAGAGACCGTCGTTGGTTGGTACCATTCTCACCCCGGTTTCGGATGCTGGCTGTCGTCTGTGGATATCAACACCCAACAGTCGTTCGAACAGCTCACACCCCGTGCTGTTGCTGTCGTCGTTGACCCAATTCAGTCGGTCAAGGGCAAAGTAGTCATCGACGCTTTCCGACTCATCCAACCACAGACTGTTGTCATGGGCCAGGAGCCCCGGCAGACAACATCCAATCTGGGCCACCTGAACAAGCCTTCTATTCAAGCATTGATCCACGGTCTCAATCGCCACTACTACAGCATTGCAATCAACTATCGCAAGACTGGGCTGGAAGAAAACATGCTCATGAACCTGCACAAGCATGTCTGGACGGAAGCCCTGCAGATGAATGACTTCCGGGAGGAGGCATCGCACAACGTTGAGAGGATGAAGCAGCTGGTCGGCTTGGCCGAGGGCTATGAGAAACGGGTCAAGGAAGAAACAGAGTTGACCAAGGAGCAGCTGAAGACAAGATATGTTGGCAAGGTTGATCCGAAGAAACGTAAGTCTTTGACGCTCAACCTGGATGTATCTGGCTATGTATGAAACTGACTTGCTACTGCAGACATCGAGGATGTGAGCCAACAACTCATTGAAGACAACATTGTGGCGGTTTCGAGACAGATGATCGATAAGGAGGCCTCGTTAGCACGCGTAACAGGAACCAATGGATCCCAACCCGGAGCTGGCATGGAAGTGGATGATGAGTTATAGAAAACGACGACCAGCGAGCTTGAGCAAGTTAGTCAGTCGGTATCTTATGTGTCCTTGATCAAATAAGATATTTTGAAGGTCATTACGGCCCGAACTTCGATTCGATCTACGAGACGTGATCAGCGAAATCTACGATTGATGCATAAATAACATGAAATGAGTGTGTTTCTAGGACAGATCCCTTCCATGGTAAAGTAGCCACGATGTTTCGAGGTATTCACAAGTGCAGTTCCAAGTAAACTCTCAAAAGTCCTTCTCGTTCTTTTCGCCATATAGATACAAACTCCAGGGCACCGTCCATGGGATGGATACTCTGCAAGTCTGGGGGTGAGTAATAATGTTGCTTTACACTCAGCAGCATTGCACTCCCTTTTGAATAAGTATATTGTCTATAATTATGAAAGATTTCTACTATCAGTTAAGGCTACTCGGGTTAGGCAAAAGAACACCCTGGTAGTATTGAAGAGAGTAGTTGTTCGTTAGTGGGACGCAAAATATATAACTGGAGCGGAAGATGAAGAGTGAAAAGAGTAAGGAGCAGACAAGCAAACACAGTACTCGACCTAATAATATATATAATCTACTTATACCCACACGCGTATCTCTGCATAAAGATTGCAGAAACCAAATAGAATAAAAGAAAAGTGTATCCATAGAAGCAAAATCTATACAAAAGCAGCCACCACAGAGGTGACACCACAGATGGGAACAAACGTAAATCCACAATCTCCTGATCTATGTGCCACTCGCCATCTAAACAATTCCACGGAGCTGATATAAAGTACTACCATTCTGTAACTGGTTATGTGGCTTCTCAGTAGCAGCCGAAGCAGTCAAAGTACTGGTGTGCTCTTCCTCATTGAAATCCGTCCACCCTCTCTCAGGACCCCAAAGAATCTTCTTTCCCGCCGTCTTAGCCTCGGAGATCAAACGATGCATCAATGGACCGTTTCTCTGGACGGAAGGAAACCCATCAAATTCCACCTGGACCAGACTCGGCAGGTTCAGCAGTATCTTCCGGACCAACTCGCCGGCAAAGTCAGTATAGAACCCCTTGGAGACGCGGAAGCCTTCGAATACTGGATGTGACGGGTCGCACTGGATGAAAACCTTGAGCGTGCGCACGTACTTCATATGCTGCAGCCCGAGGCTTTTGTTCACCGTCCATGACCGAGGTGGCGCGGTCCAACTCGAGCCTAGGATCAACTCTACGGTATGTATGCACGGCCGGTACAGCGGAGAGAGGGCCCGAATGGTCGGCAGCCGCGAGTAGTCTTGGATGGGAAATAAACGAAACGTTTGCGTCGAGTAGAAGAGGTACGTCGCCTCGTCGTGGATGCGCCGCGAGGCTAGAAACAGTGCCACCCGATGTGACGCGGGCGCCAGCGGGCTGTTTTTCGACGAGGCACCGACGTTGCCATGACTTCGCAGTGCCCTGCTGCGGCGTGGCGTGAAGAGAACGACCGAGTAGATACGTTCGCGAATTTCTGATGGGAGGTCGAAGAAGCGGAACGGCGGTCTGGTCTTTTGAATAACAATACTCTGCGTTCCCTCTCTGTCCGTCTCTCTAACTCCATCGGCTGCTCCTGGCACCGTAGACTCCTCCTTGCCATTTATTTGCACGAGTTTGCCTTCGTCTTCGAGGGCCACCCGTTGCAGGGCCGCCGCAAGAGAGGCCATAGTTATCGAACGTCTAAGTGGGAGAGGCAAGAGAAGAATTCTGGCTTTAAAAAATCATTCATACATTGATTCATTCATTATTCCATACTGGAGGCTCAGAAACATCAGTCAACACAGCATGACCCGTTCAGAAGAACGAGGGGGCAGGTACAGTGCTAGAGGGGAAAAAAAAATTGTATCCCACGAACGGGGCTACAGCTTCACAGTTGACCTTAGCTGCGGCTCTTGGGAGTGGAATCGAAGAGAACAAGCTCCTCATCAGTCTCCCCAGCTAATACAACCCGGCATGCATTGAAAAGAGGCGTGATGGGTCAAATTATCGACTGGGTTTCAACTTTCATAATTGAGAAAAGAAAAAGAGAAAAGGAGAAAGGGACAAAAGCGGAGGCCTTTTAAAGAAATCTCGGGCTGCGCAAATGGTTTGTTCGGCGACCCGTAGTAGCCATCCAACTTTTATCGTGCTTGAGCTTCAGCGACATAGATCAGACCCGCTGGTTGACTCCGCCTCAACGTCTGTCGAGAAGACTGCTCTTCAGGGCATGTATGCTGACCTTTTCTATTTTACCATTTAATGATAAAGCCATAATGCTGAGCCGTACTGTTCTGCCTTTGGCGAGGCACCGGGTCCTGACCTCGACGGTCCGGGCGTCGTCTCTCTCTATCCAGCACTCGCGTCTGTACGCGAAGAACGTCAAACCGAAGGCTCCTTATAAGCTTCCTTCATCCCCCAAGCCATCCCAACCCGAAGCGCCAAAGGTGACTCCTAGTGCCCAACAACCAGAGTACTCGGCAGAGCAGCCCGAGTTTGAGACGAATGCCGAACCCGAGACCAACACCGCGCCTCAGGCTGTGAGTTTAGGATTTACATGATGGCCCTCGATGTTACTGACACACGGATTCAGCCCAAGTCGGACCCCACGGTGACGGATAAGGTCGCACAGAAACCACTTCCAGATCTTACACAAGGCATTCCATCCACCCTCGCTGCGGAGATGGATGCTCGCTCGAAAAAGCGTAGCGGACCCTTGAACCTGACAGAGGATCCGTCTCGTGGGGAAGAATACGAGGGCGACGGCGGGCGTGGCGACCACCCCAAGGATGCCTACGAGTCTTCCCTCGACCGCCGGAGAGCGCGGATGGCGAATGTCATGTCTGCCATCATGCTTACGGCTGCGATTGGAGGAACCGTTTACATGGGCCGCAACTGGGATACGGAGGAGGAAGAGAACGCCCATAAAGTGGATGCTCCGTCGGGATGGGGACTTGGCCTCTTCTACAACCGTATCAAGGCCCGTCTGGGCGATTTTACCAGCTACTACAAGGACCCAGCGTTCCCCAAGCTGCTCCCCGACGAGGACCCGAAACTCCGCCAACCATACACCCTGGTGCTGAGTCTGGAGGATCTTCTGGTGCACAGTGAATGGAGCCGTGAGCACGGCTGGCGTGTGGCTAAACGTCCCGGCGTCGACTATTTCCTCCGCTATCTCAACCAGTACTACGAGCTTGTCCTGTTTACCAGTGTGCCCAGTATGATGGCCGACCAGGTTCTCCGCAAGCTGGACCCTTACCGGATCATCCGCTGGCCATTGTTCAGAGAGGCGACCCGATACAAGGACGGAGAGTACATCAAGGTATGCCCAGAGCTGGAGGTTGAACTGGCAACGCGATAAATGCTGACTTCATCAGGATCTGTCGTACCTTAACCGTGACCTTTCCAAGGTGATCCTGATTGACACCAAGGAAGAACATGCCCGCCTGCAACCCGATAATGCCATCATCCTCGACAAGTGGAACGGCGACCCCAAGGACAAGACGCTGGTAGCCCTGATCCCATTCCTGGAGTACATGGCCGGTATGGGTGTGGAGGATGTCCGCACGGTGATCCAGTCATTCGAGGGCTCTTCGATCCCCGTTGAGTTTGCCAAGCGTGAGAAGCTCATGCGCGAGCGCTTCGAGAATGAGCTCGCCGAGGAGAAGAAGAAGCGCCCCCGCCGCGGCGGCCTGGGAAGCCTGGCCTCGGCGCTGGGCGTCAAGCCGCAGACGGTGACGGGTGAGCCGAGCGCTTCGGAGGGCTTGGCCGAGGGCAAGATGCTCTGGGACCAGATCCGTGAGCGCGGCCAGAAGAACTACGAGCTGATCGAGAAGGAGATCCAAGAGAATGGCGAGAAGTGGCTGGCTGAGATGGCTGCCGAGGAGGAGAAGGCTAGACAGGAGCAGATGAAGAGCATGAAGGGCTCCTTCACCGGCATGTTTGGTAGTGGTGATAAGCAATAAACCCACATAACATCCACATGCTTTTTTTTGAGCCCTTCTCGGAGATCCCGCTATAGATTTCTTGACATCTCTCTCTCTCTCTCTCTCTCTTTCTCCCCTTCTTCGGGACTGGCATCGGGCCTGGTCGGTTTGTAACATAGCAGTATGATTGTTATCCTCGTTTTTTTTTGCCGTGTGTATAAAATCCATATCATGTTTTTTAATGCTTTCTTTTTTACCCTTTTCATCTCAGGGCGCGCCTACAGATTGGTTTTTGATATGGGAGCTGGCACTGGCATGCTTCAATATATGAAGAAAAGAAGAAATCTCACAACTCTTATAATTCACATATACAACATATACAAATAAGGCCTCTTCAGTTGAATGTATAGGGTCATCTCAAAACCAAAGATAATTCATTTCAGCAAGTAGATCCATCAAGGGATATATCTATATCGAGAGTTGTCTGCAGACGTCACCCTGTCTACCGCCTTGAACCTGTATCAGCTATCATACATAGACCAGCGTTGAGTAGGTATGTACTGGATACTCCAGAATTGACCTAGAGAAACCTATCCTTATGTTAAAATCCCCAAGCCCCATGACAAGAGGGCCACGTTAGTGTGGGTATTTCAATGAACAGTTTCCACTTTTTCTAGGGAGACTTGTTCTGGACACGATAGTTAAAAGTCATTGAAATATTGTTAGTAGTAAGACTCCTTCGGAGAAACCTTGGTTGTGAATGCATTTGGCCATGGCATCTCATGTTAAATTGACGTCTTGGAACACAGACACATCCCATATGCCTGTCATATCGAACGGAAAGCCGTCCATAGTACCGAACGCTCCAGAGATGGACATCATGTCGTCAACGATATCGTTGTTTGTTTGCGTCTCGGGTAGTGAGATCGCAGCTGGATTTACCAAGCGCGGCATATTCATTATGCCGTCGACCATGCCCTCGTTAGTATTGGTGTTCACTCGAGGGAGTCTGCTTAGGATCCGTTCGCAGTGGTCTATACACATGTCTGCAACATCCCAGTCCTCTTCATCTCGGACACGACGGAGAACGGAGCGCAGGTTTTCAACATGTGCGATGCATGATTGGGCGACCTCGCTATCGGTTGTCTCAAGGGCGCATCGGACAAGTAGAGTAGCGGTGGATGTCAGGTGGAAGGCGCTATCTGAAGAGAAAAACAAGTCAGATCATGATTCACGAAAGGCTCTTTGATACTGAGAGCAACGCACAGGGAAGCCAGAACTCATGGAAGTTTTCCTTCCGTAATGATGAGATGAACTGAACTATGTCTTCTGCCGATCTTCGACATTCGGTTTGGAAGTAGCGACGGGCTTCAGGATTATCAGTTTCAGCGTTATTAACCTCCTGTATCCCCGTCAGCTAAAACGCTTTCACTTGTATAGTCATCAAGTAAAGCTTATATGGACCTACATTTAATTCAACCCTGCTGACAAGCATTTTCACTGCGAGGAATGAAAGCTTTAAACTGCTGCTGGAGCCCCATATTTGTTCTGAGGAGCCAGTGGGTGATTTGAACCAGTCTGGCAAACAGTCCTCCCACATGTCTAAATCATTTCTGATTTGTCTGATGGTTTGCCGGACCTTTTTAACAGTGTCCGAAGTGAATTTATGCTGTAGTCCGTAGACTAACGGGAGCAATTCACCCAATATTTCAGTGAGCCGACATAGGGCAATATGGCACTGGGCGGCTCTCACACGCTCTGTCGTACGAAAGGCCGGAGGAACAAGTACATCAATTGTTGGAATTGGTACATCATACTGATTTTTTGAAATTTGAGAAGGAACGCCGTGTCCGAAACTTCCCCTATTCAAAGTATTAATAATGAAATCATTATCTGAACTGGGCCTGGACCTTACCAACGGTCATGAATGACAACGCCCCACCATAGGCGAATGCGGAGATTTTTTTCCAGCCGAGACAGCTTCCAGTTGCTGGGATCGCGATTGAGACCGAGGCAATGGGCAAGGGATACGGTTCTCCCGCAGCTAATAGCGTTCCCAGTCATTGAGAAGATCGGGCGCCCGGTTAGGTCGATGAGCGCACAGCTGATAGTGGATAGACCCGGTGCCGAAAAGTCTTCGTGGAGAGCAGCTACGGTCTGATTTATTGCATACCGAACGTCTGGTTTTGGATGGCAGGCGAGTTTAGGCGTGTGCTTCCAGTAGACGAGCGACATCGAATACACTTGACAGAGCAGTGACGCCGGAGGGTCGGTGGGATCTTCTGAGATGAAAGACTCCCAGAATGCTTCGCCATCAAGAATCGGAAACGCGATATTGAACCTGTCGAGGAACCTAGACCAGAGCAAAGATTAGAGATTTGGATATTCGGATTTTTTATGTCAGGAGAGAAAACGTACAGCCTCACAAGGTCGTGCTTGAAGGGTCCGAGGATCTGCTCAAGGACTTCCTTCTGGTTCTCCCCTGGAGGGATGCCCCTTCGTACGCCCTGCCTTCGTCTGGTGACTGTAGTGTACAAAATGGGCTTCTTGGGATCACTCGAATAGACATTGTATGGATGACTATCGGGTTCGGGGGACTGGGTTGAGTGTTCTGGAGGCATGAATTTCTCAATGACCTGCGCATCTTCAGCAACAAGAGGGCCCACCACCAGCACCGATTTGTTTTGCGGATCGTCGTCAAACCGCTGGCGTCTCGATTCACCTTCTTGGATTTGGCCCGTACTGTTGGAGCGACGGAATCCAGGCATCTCTGGAGGCTGATAGGGATGAACACGTTTGTCAGAAGCCGACGCCGGGTCCGGGGTGTGCTTTCTTTTTCTTCCCAGCACCGTGTCTTCTAGATTCTGACCAGCCACCGACCATCTCTTGGTATCCGCACCACCCTCGGGAGCGACATCTAAATTGCTATCATCTTGATAGTGGCAATCCGCGCCCTGAACCCGACACAGCACACATGACTTCCCAGGAATATCGACCGTGCACCGCGACTTGCGCTTCCTACACAAATCGCAGGCTCTGACCTTATGGGATCGGTATGGCCGCGCTCCAGCGCTAAAGCCAGGTGAGGGAACCTTTGCAGCTGTGGTCCCTGACAGCACAGTCCCTGGCGCCATTTTATGCCCCTGTTTCCCAGGATTGCGTCGAGAAGTTCGATCTCTTCGCCCTGGGCCAATCGCAGGCTGTCAGCTGTCGGCTCTAGAGTAAGAGGGGAAAACCAAGCACACGTGCGTAGCCCCCACGCGAAGAGGCAGGAGACGGTCGAATAGGGAACCACAGCACAGAAAACCCTCCAAGATAGGCTCCACTGCTTGTCATGGCCCTTAGAGGGAGGGAGCGTCGTCAGGGTCGTCCGTCTGGCCCTCAACGGTGGTTATCAGGTCGACGTTCCATTCAAGGTTCTTTCTTATCGCGGCCAATGTGGGGGACGCTGAGTCATCCACACAGACCAACCACGTGCCCCCGATTTACACCGCCCGACCGATCGCGTCTTGCTCTATTTATATTCTCCGAGGCAGCAAGAGGCAGCAAGATGAAGAGCCAGTCGAATCACCTCGGCCAGGGCATCGAGTCTGTGGAACTGGCTGTGGGCAGCCTCATTGATGACACGTCGACTGATGTGCAGTCTCTGCTTCCCTTGGCGTTCGATTCGTAACGGCAGGACGCGCGACGATTGTCACATCCGGGGGTGAGACACAGCCACAAGCTTCGCTCCTTCAATCTGCAGCAGCGATCTGTCGTCTTTTCGACCGCAAGCCGATGAAGACGGCCTTCTAGCTGCTGGAAGGTGGTGATTTATGCTTGGATAATCCATAGAATGGGGTTTCATGGCGCATTCGCTATATGAAGATGGCAAAAGACGGACCGTCAACGCATGGGGGTGATGAAGACCGCAGATCAGTGTCCGAAGGGAGTGATAATAACACTGCGGGCGCCTCTACTGATAACCACACAGCGCAACAGCATGCAAGTGTGGAGGACAGCCAATATCCAACCAATGTGCCACTATTCAACCAGCTACCTCGCAAAGTTATTGAACTGTGAGTCCTCATCCATCTATGATGCTCTTTGTACCCTCTCGGGGGGCGGGGGCTTGTTCCGGCTCCTCGGTGGGAGGGGAGGGAAAGAAAAAGAAAAGGAGCATTGTGTATATCCACAAAAGAATACGCACTGAACATAGTCATACAGCATCCTCTATGCCGTTGATGCGAACTCCTTCGCATCACTGACTCTACTGAACCGAGAATGGAGACAGGCATCCGAGTCGCCCCTGCTCTATGCGCACCACTTGTCTCGATGCCCGTCTTTTTCGCTCACCACCGACCTAATCGCGGCTCCTGTGGGATACAATGACCTAGCGTCCTTGAAACGCAAGTTCTTGAAGGAGATCCGACGAAACGCGTTCGATGTACTCCTCAGACCGCGCAGAACCTTGCTCAAGCTGATCTCAACCTCCATGAGCTCCTCAACCGCGTTTCCGCAAGGAGAGGCCTTTCACTTTGCTTTTTCGGCTAATGGCAGGCGACTTTTGTGCTTGAGCTCTTCAAGAATTGTTGTCCTCGACACGACTCTCGATACCGCCGTGGTAACCCATGAGCTGCAGACCGTTCGGCGGCCACTGGGAGCCGCAATCCTCGACGATGGATCGTTGGTGGCAGTTATTTCCTCTAAACATCAAGTGAACATTTACAATTTGACGGACGATGACGCAAAACACACACAGACGATACCCCTCAACGATGTACCAGGGACGCTGGCCCTCTCCCCTACTGGCAGTGTGCTTGCGTTAGCGTCTGACGACGGTATAGAGGTATACGCTCTGGGCGAAGGGGCGCTGGTAACGGAACGAAGAGCTGTGCGGTGCTCTGGCGTGGATTCGCTGTCCTTTTCCTCGGATGGGTCCATGCTCCTTGGTTCCTGCTCCGGGGACCAACAACGCAGTATTGTGACAATTACTGCCCCATTCATGACCGAGTCAGGGCTCGAATCTCCTCAAGAACTAGAGGTCCGGATGTGGACCACCCAGATCATGTTCCCCGACGTCATTAATGGCTATAGCCATGCTTGTCTGCTGCCTCCACACCCGGATAGAGAAGATAATTGGGTCTTGGGCTATGATCCCAACATTTCAGCATTTAAAGCAGTGAATGTCAATAACGCCAAGACCGGTGGTACCTACTTTGCAACCCCTCTATCGTCGAGTGACAATAATTTCGAAGCATTGCCGATCACTGTACCTACAACTGATCCCCGAGGCGAGCTATTTGCATTGGGGTTTCAAGGCCGTGGTCTGTGGTTGTATGGTGTTCCAGATCGACTGGACCTTGCTCCTATCGGAAACCCAGTTGTGGGAGTGCCCGATCTATCAGTTACAAGCCCGACGAATGCCCATTCTCCCATTGTGTGCCCAAAAGATAACTCACCACATCTGCGGCTGATTCTTAGTCAACCAAAGACTGTCATCAGTGGGCATGAGATCACTGATATGGAAGGCATTACTGCAGCCCGATGGGTTCAGGTCAACCATTCCACACACGATGATGGTGAGCAAAGAAGACCGCTGAGGTTAATCGCTGCGGCTCCCGGAGGTGTCAGTCCGCCAACATTCGGTGAAGAAGACGTTCCTATCGACGGTGGAAGGGTACTACTATTAGATTTCGACCGAACTACCCGGGATGGGGAGATGACAGAGATGAGCATCGAGATTGGGGAGGCAGAACCAAAGATACTACGGGAACCCAGCCCGAGCATGGACACGGAGGTCGAGCTGGAAAGGAGAAGAACTCGCTTGCAGCGTGGAGACACGGCGTCCCAGCGGCTCAACCGCCGGCCTTGGCTGGAAAGAAATGCCACCGTCGCTGGAGTGTCGCGCAGTGCCGTGAATCCGGACTCGCCGAAAGCTAGGTCGGTTTTACGCAGAGCCAACTCGGTCTTGTCTGGTGCTTCCAATGACATAGATGCCGGCGATACTCTCAATGTCCCGGACCTACCGTATGACAATACGCAACCTCGGTCGCAGGATACACTTCACCGTGCTGCTACCGCTGCGGCCACAACCCGCGGTCGCTACAACCCACGGTATCGCAATCCAAGTCATTTCGAGCGCCACCTGCCTCATGAAAGCGACGCTGACAACTGGGTCCCTCCGCCGCCGCCATATAGCCGCAACCCTGAGGTTCCGCTCCCTGAGCATCTCCAGCTGTCGCTCCTTCCTAGGATAATGGAACCTGTACCCCAACGTGGTAATCTCCGAAGATCATATACCACGCGCCTAGAAACAATGACGCAGGGGGCTATGGCACGATCTCAGACCGTTATCCAGAGGTTAAATACCATCACGAGCCCAAGGCGCGGTAATCGACTGAGAAGAACATCCAGTGCGTCTCTACCTTCCAGGCATATCTCGGAACCAAGGCACACAGATGCAACTGAACCGCCACAACCGTTTCCTAGCCAAGACAACGAACCGTCGATTTCAATTCCATCTCCCACCCTCAATGCACCTGATGCAGAAAGTCGCCCTTCCTCCCCATCGAGTCCTGACGGCTCGATTAGACCAGCGGAGGATTCGCCACCAATAGGCCCGGAATCCGAGCAAGCCGAAGACTATCCGACAGTAAACGACCTCGTCGAATGGGACTTTGCCGTTTCTCTCAACCCAGCCAATCTCACGGCGAGAAACTATCATTCCTTTTCCTTCTCCTCGCCAAACCTGCACATCCCGGTCCTGCCGTCAGACGGCCTACCCGACCGCTCACCGCAGGATACTTACCCTCGAGCAGCGCACGATGTCCAGACGCTGACACCAGCAAACCGCCAAGTAGAGGATGCCTCGCGAATCATGCCGCTGGGCCGTCGAGTGTCGACGGATCCTACAAGCACGACTTTCCCGCCCAGTGCGGCTAACCAGGAATGGCGGCAACGGATCGAGGCGTGGAATGAACAGACTATCCACGAGAGGAATAAACGGAATCGGATGAAATGCGTGGTAATGTGAATAGGGTTGGGGGTTTACTTTAAATGGAGGGCTTATTTAAATGGCGTGTGACTTATCTTTATTTCATCTCCTTTTCATATATCTATATATACATGTGTTGGGATTGCCATTGACCTGTTGGATATGATATTTTGTTAGATGTATAATTATATTATTCTCTTGGATCTTGTACATCTTGTACCATCATGGAGTAAAAAAAAAAAGCTACTGGCATATAACTTATAAGCGTCTTTGTCTTCTATGTAAGGTGCTTATGGTACCGCTCAGGATATAAGTAGAGAGGAAAGTACAGCATGAAGGTTTGAAAAGGCAGCTCTTTATATCCTTATTCAGCAGGGCAAGAATTACTGCTGTATCACTCTGCAGACAGGGGGTCTCATATTTGTAGTGTCGTCGTGTTTATCAACATCCACCTATTCCATCAACCATGTCAGCCAATCCATCCCCCAAAAGAAAAAGAATGTAGATATAGAAGTACTTACCACCACCACCACCACAGCCACCACCTCCTCCACCACCACCACAACCTCCTCCGCCTCCTCCGCCACAACCTCCCACGCCTCCACCAGCACAACCCCCTCCCATCCCTGAACAGCCGCCGCCGACTCCTCCACAGGCACCCGCGGCGACGCTCGCTCCACACGTACCGGCTGCACAGTTGCCCGCTGCCCCGGGGTCACAGTTCATGCAGCTTGGGTTGCACGCGTATGCCGACGCGGTGACGGCCGGATCGCTCATGTACGGACCGTACATGGGGACCAAGGCCGGATACCCCCAGACCATGGGATATGCGTACGTCCCATCAGCAGACGCAGAAACGGAAGGTTTCCGGCTATGAGTCGCCTCTTTGGGGTTAGATTTGCGGTCCTGTTTCTCGATGCGGCGGCGGGCCTTTTCGTAGTTGTTCTTCAGCTGTAGGAACTTGATATTGCGTGCGGCTAGACCCCCGGAAAGCGGCTGGGCGAGATGGACAGCATTGTGGGCGGAGATGTGCGGGTTTTTCTCCGGGTCGGATGAAATGTCAGGGCGATTGTGCAGGTCTGCGGCGGCCTGGCGCGCTTTCGCCGTGCTTGACGAGGCGAAGAGCCCGCCGTGCAGGTCTGGGACGCGGATGGCCTCGCAGTACCAGCAGGTGCATTCGCTGTAGATCTCACCGTTGGTGGCCTTTTTGTACATCTTGCTGGTCCATTCAAAACCGTCCGACAGCTTACCCTCCTCGACTTTGTCGTCATGGTCGATGAAAGTCTTCAAGGCAGTGGTGCCGGTCTGGTACAGCGAGTAGTGGAAGTATCGCGCGGGGCTCAGCTGGTGTGTGTGCCAGGCCAGATCTACGTCCAGGGTGGGGACAGCCATGTGCTTGGGGTTTTTAGCCATGATCTGGAAGAAGATCTGATACTTCCTGATGAGCCGATCAACTGTCGCTTCCAATGCGGGCGAGTGAAGCCAGTTGATGTTGTCCATCTTCTGAACAAAAGTCCCCTGGCGAATGACAGCCCCGACAAGATCCAGCGCAAAGGGGCTCGCATTATCCCAGTAGCGAGACATCATTCTGCGAAACGCAACCCTTTCCTCTGGTTGTATGTTGGGAGTCAAAATGCCTCGACTGGCTTGTCGCAGGACGTCACGGTTCTTGAGTTTGGTTTCAAGCTCTCCTCGTAGATCGCTGATGCTGCTGCACCGGCTCAACCTCGCGTCAGTGAAAGCAAGCAGATCACGGCCCACGATTTCAAGAAGACGATTGGGGAAACAGTACGGATGTCGTGTAGGGTTTCGTTTTGGAAACTGCGGTATCCCCCTTAGATCATAGAAAGTACCAGGCATGGGCAAACTCTCTGTCAATAGCCCGAGAAGATCATTTCGGAATTTAGCCACTTTCAGTCGTTCGTGGTCGACAGAAAATGCACACCGAGGGCAGATAGCTTGAAAGTCGTTATCTGCAAGGCCACGAAATCCTTCAAAGGCGTTTTCCGGAGACCATCCCAGTTTACCGGCGGCTTCTGTCCAGGGGACTGAGATCGATACTCCACAGCTGGGGCAAGTGATCTCTGTGTTTGGGGGATCCTGAAGATTATCCCACTGGAGACCCGTCAACTTCTCAAAGGAGCTCTTGGCTTTCTCACCAGGGAAGTAATCCAACTTGCTGTCGATACATGCACTGACGACTTCCCAGGGGAACCCAGTTGCCCAGAAGCTCATCTTGGCGTTTCGGATACAGTCTTCAAGGAATGCTCGGGGATTCAGCATATAGGCGTGCCATACCATCAAGACATCTGGAGAGTGGAGTGTCAGCAAGTTGTAGATCTCGAATTTATATATTGTCATATAGTAGTGCTTACCCAACGGCGGCATCCTCTCTGCAGACCACGCAAGTTTGATCTTACAATCAGTGATCTCTTCGTAACGAGCGTCAAGGAGATTCTCGAGACGTGGGGTGAGGCCCAAGACCGGTACACACTTCTGCCACCAGACTCGAAAGCGCTCGACAGCTCTCGTTGTATATATAGCCCAACGTTTCTCGCGAATACGAACGCGTCCCTCGTTCCCTTCCGATGAGATCTTGTCTCCTTGAGCATCTTCGAGACCGAAGAGGCCGTCGTCAAGCCCGATAGCCTCACGCAAGTCTGCCAGCGCAGCCAGGAATTTGAGATGCGCGATGCACTGGTGGTTGGTCACTGTTGTACTCTGCTGCGGACCGGCGTCTTTGCTCAGATCAAGCTGTGGGAGTTCTAGGGAAGTTGGCTCCAGCTGTTCATAAGCAGGCAGGCGGCTATTATCATCGACAGTATCGCTACCATTATCGGAGACGACCTGAGTCTTTGGGAGTTTGCCAGTCGCCATCATAAGGAATTAGTCGGTTGGTTGGAAAGAGAGTGAGAGAGAGAGCAGGTAGTAGATATATCCAAGGTAGGTAGGTACAGTTACTAGGGGTATCTAAGTCATCAGGCGACTGTTGCTAATGTGCATTGTGCAACACCCACTTTTCTCGCAACCAACAGGCCTTGGATATAGCTATGTACCAGTCATTACCAAGTGGTGTCTCCCATGGCTTTATACTCAATTTATAAATCCACCTTTATGGCGGTCTCCGGGTTAGGCGTTCCGAGTTCCTACGGTATCAACGCTATCTGACAGCTATAGGCTAATGAGAGGGTCCCAAGAGAGCAAAATACGAACTCATCCACGGGTGAGACTTCAGGGCGCTGATTCACGAGTCTCCGGTTCGACACAGCCTTCTAGGGTGACGCCCGGGGCGCCTGATGATTTGCAGCTGCGCCTATGCGGGGATTCCTGCCGATCATTTGGAGGAGCGCCAGGCCACCAGTGGAGTAGATACGTTCTCTGGGTGTTTGGTATGGCCTGGGACATGGAAATATTGGGTCCGGGACTCCGATAAGAGAGTGAGACAAGACTGTTAGAGACTGAGATAAGACTGGAATGAGAAAGCAGGACGGAGTACCCCATTATACTCCGTAATGGGGAGTGTGGAATCCTTACGCTGGAATCGATATACGCTGACTAAGGTCCAGGGCGAGTCACGTGGTGAGCTGCGTCCCCAAATTCAATTTCTCTGGCCTCGAACAGCTGGAAAACTGCCATTGCAAGATGGTTTAACACCAGCAGCCAGTCAGATTGTTTCCTAGTCGTATAATTAGCATTTTAGTCAGTAACTATACAGTGTCTAAGCATCATAAATAGATATAAATGTCGAGTACCCTGTGCCTTTCTTCTACTCCGTACGGAATCCGGCGGGATCTGGAAATTTCACATGTCACGTGTTTGCATCACGTGCTACAGCGAAATCGGACGATCCCCACTGTTACTCATCCTGTCTCCTCCCGTATGCAAATGAGGGGTCTCTAATGCAGTCACAGAAGTTTTATCACGGAGTACACAGAGAACCGGCCAAGTCCATCGTCTGCCACTTGTCCCTGGGGTGATTTTTCTGCCGCTGCCTCTAGAAGTGCAGCCCCGCCCTCCTTTTTTTGTTCTGTTCGATTTGCTGAAGACCCCCGGGGTCGCTGGATTCGCAACGTACCCAGCCTGGCGTCGCTCGGAGGATTGTCGACCGGAATCGGAGGCGGCGGAGGAAAGGCTGACAATCTGGAGCCGGGCGCAGGGTCGGATAATGCATCTGCTGCCACCAGTCCCGTAATGGGAGGCGTCAGCCATGCGACGGTCATAGGGCCCGAGGGCCTGGGCCAGATCAGGAAGCGCAATGTGGTGGTGGCAGGGCTGGACAGCTCGCCGGGTAGCATTGACGATGTGGAGGACATCGATGGTCGCGAGGAGAAGCGCCGACAGCCGGTGAAGCGAGCGTGCAATGAGTGCCGCCAACAAAAGGTTTGTCGTGTGATGCTGTGTGGGCTTTCCTTTGCGAGAAGGGGGGTAGTAGGCCTTGGCGGGATGGGGATCGGAAGAGGGCTTGCCATCTTTTATCTAATAAGTATGAGACCGGCTAATTCGTTGCTGTGTGTAGCTCCGATGCGATGTGGTTCAGGATCCTTACACGGCTTGCTCTCGGTGCCGTCGCCTGAAGCTGGATTGCAAGATTGAATCCAACTTCAAACGGATCGGGAAACGGAGTCGCAACGCAGAGATGGAACGGGAGATTATCGAGTTGCGGAAGCAGATCGCAAATGTGCAGGCGACCTCGACTGCCGTGAGCCCGCAGCAGCAGCAAGGTCTGCCTGCCAAGCAGGATGCGAGCCAGATTAGTCCCGCGGGCGTCTATCCAACACCGTCGGCCATGTCTGCCGACCAGTACATGGGTTCCCATGAAGCTGTGGCGTCCCTTCTGGATCTGCGATCTGGCTTCGACGGTGCAGGTTATATGAGAAACGGCAATCATCAGCTGAAGCGCATCGAAGATGTTGCCGTTGGTCCGGAGAAAGTCACAGAGCTGTTCAATCTCTTCTTTATGTTCTATCATCCCTTCCTATCGTTCCTCGATCGCGACCAGACTCCCGAAGAATACTATACAGCTTGTCCACTCCTGTTCTGGACCGTCATCAGCGTGGGAGCCAGGCGATATCAGACAGACACGCATCTTCTCAATTCCTTGGCCGGGCCAGTCACACGCCTTGTCTGGAGCACCTTGGCTGATGTTCCACAAAGTCATCATGTCGTGAAAGCTCTCTGTCTGCTGTGCACCTGGCCTTTCCCTACAAGCAGCACCTCTACTGATCCCACTTTTATGCTGTGTGGGATGATGATGCAAGTTTCCATGCAGCTTGGTCTCCATCGACCGTCCCATGTTCAGGACTTTAGCAAATACCGCGTCGAACTGATCGAGGATGAGCTCCGGGATAAGATCAGGACCTGGGCAATCTGTAATATCGTGTCACAGAGGTTCGTTATTCTATCTTCTTTTTTTTATCTCCCGCGAATTCAGGCTCCTGACGTACCTCCCAAAGAGTTGCAACTGGTTATGGCCAACCACCGTCGACTATCTACGACTGGACTTTGTGTTCGGGCGAGTCGGTGGACTTGAACTTCAAACTACCCGCAGACCTGAAAGCAAGATTAGAAATCGAAAAGTTCTGCGATAAGGTCACCAAAGCGTTATATACCAACCGCCGGGATCCAGTTGGGCTGTCTGCCGACCAAGAGCGGCCCTCATTGATCTCATTTCTGTCGCGAGACTTTGATGAACTTGAAGGACAGTTCAAACTTGAAAATGACTGTAAGCAGCAACATCCAAGGTTTTATTTTTTTTATTTACAAAAGGTTTGTGTGGGTTCTGATACCTTGTAGGCATCACCGATCTGTATTTACGTGCCTCAAATCTGCATCTACATCTTTCAGCATTCTTCGATGATCCAATCTCCAAGGACTACCGCGAGCGCCTTCTCTCTCTATATGTTGCCACGACATCCTTCCTAGAAGCGGCGATGAACTTGGAAACCGAGGTTGGCCCTGTGTTGTCGTACACACCATACTACATCTATCAAATGCTGGTTGCAGGAGGATGTACTCTCCTCAAACTCTGCAAGAGCTTTTTTGCCGCCCACATTGATATGGAATATACCAAGAATCTCTTTAACCGAACCATTTGGGCAATCCGGGGGGTCTCCGTCTCTAGCAACGATTTGCCCGAGCGTCTAGCCGAAGTACTTGCCCAGATGTGGAGACTCAACGGTACGCCGACATCATCTGCAAGCAATGCAGAGGTGGATGGCTCTCTCCGGCTAAAGGTTCGGTGTCGGATGAGCATGTCTCTCCTCTACGATTCGATTTGGCGGTGGCGCGAAGATGCGCGGACTAAGGGTAGGAATATTGAAGGTATGCAACCAACACTTACCGGAACTCCTTAGCAAGAAACAAATGACTAATTGAAACCATAGCATATCTTAAGAACCCGACTAACCCGGACTCTGCCGCAGAGTCCTCGGCAGCCTCCTCTGTTGGACCGGCCCGGGCCTCGTCAACAACACCTGGGGTCGCCGGGGGGGATCCCAGTCTGGCTCCTCCCTTGCTATCCCAGGCAGCCTTGGGTGTACAGTCGTCGGGCAATGGCGCCAATGCACTTCCTAGTGGGTTCATGGAGCCCAACTATGAGGTCTTCGACCCCCTGAACTGGCTGCTCGACGGACTGGTCGAATTTCCGTACTCATACCCTACGGTTCCGGGAATGGAGACACCCGGCATTGTGTAAAGACTCCCTGCGGCCTTTCTTCTCTTCTCTCTCTTCTCGATTACCCCGCGTCTGCAGAGACGGCTTCTGATGACTTTCTATGTGTTTATGCAAGCGACCTTGTATCATTATTATACCAGCAGGGTGTGGGGAGGCAATTGCCAGTGGTCAATCACCCGGCGGCGTCGTGGCCTTCATGTCCTTTTTGTGTTTCTCTCACTTGAAGTTTTTTTGGTGATCACCGTGTACTTATTTTCTTTTTTTTTTTGCCGTCTCCTTTCTTCTTCTCTTAGATTCTGTACCTTGACAGACTGCATTCACATACATACAATTACCATATCTGAATCAACTCGAAGAAACCCAAGCATATGCCTACTTTGTCTGATAAATTTTATTGATGAAGACGATCTGTAGTCCAGGTGAAAGTGAGAGCTCTTGATCCTTCACTTGCCCTCTTGCCTCAGGCTCTCTCTCACCCCTCCCCTGGGTGGATTCCAGCATTCACTCACTTTCTTTGGCATTCACTGAAAATATACCAGCCTCCTGAAAAGCTGTCAATAGGGAGTCAAGTGAACTGTTTCCCTGTTGTGTTCCTCTGGTACCTGAAGATATCTCTCTCCCCTATCCTTCCCCTCTTCTCATCTTTCTCTCCCTCAACACCCTCTCTGTATGCTCATCCAATTTCTCTAACTCCGCGTCGTCTCATCTATTAGCACTTGACTCGAACTATCTCGGTCTTTTCTTTGCATATTACTTCATTTCTAGTCCTTTCTTGCCCTCCAGCTCCTCCGTTCATCTGTCTGGGACGACGGTTAGCCGCACGTTTCGCTTCGAGCGACACTTGGGAGGGTTTGAAAAACCGAGACTCCTCTCTGAATCTACCGTTTCTATTTCCCTTCTCTCAACTCGCCTTGTCTGATCCAGTCTAGCCCTGGGTAAGTGTTCCTTTCGATATCCCGCTCTTCTCCCTTTCTCGAAGCCGCGAGCCTTGTCTGAACACCCTAGCCGGTGTGAGCCATACTCTCTATCCCCATGTCTCCCTTCCCCCTACAAATGTCCTGCCTCTGCTTGAAAAGAGTAGCTGCTACAGTTTTAGCCACTGGAGCCTAAACTTCCGAGACCCTCTTGTAATCTTGTTGTACTGGTTGGATGGCTGCTAGAAACCCTCCGCTGACCGAGGCACAGAAACACCCACCAGAAGAACCACGGGGAAGCAGGGGTCTTTCCACTGCTCAGGTTCTCAAAATAAATCTCCTCTACTTGTATTCTGCTCTAGATTCTCTTGGACTTTTTGTCTCTACAGGTCTCGTTGTTGCGTGCCCTTCCAACCCCCTGAAGGCAGCACAAGAAGAGAAAAAACCTCGAGCAAGAAACATTTCTATTCGAATACGTAGCAGATCGCTATCGACTGCTCTAAATCTCCGAATTCTACAGGCCCTTCAGTACCAAGAAGCGGTCTGTAACCGTGGTGGTGGACTATCTGCCCAGGCCAGCCCCCCTGGAGTGTGGCTCGAAAATCCGCTGCAGACTCCGCCTGTATTTCGTTCCTCCCCTTCCATCAACCCGCGGACAACGCGCGGGCTGACCACGACGACTGCGACCAGCCACGTCCAGTGTGCTCGTTGCGTCTTGTGCAAACCTGCCATTTGGGTGAGTCTATTCTACTGTTATTGTGACTAAAAAAAAAAAGAAAACGTTGTGCGCTGACAGGATTGTAGCCGGTCGTTGCGACCTGTGCGCGAAACCCTACCTCGATCTCCTACTTTCAAAGTCGCTGCGTTGGACCCCATGGCGCGCAGTCTACGAGCCAGAACCAAACCCAAAGCCGAAGACTCCCGGCCTACATCCCCTCAAACCGCGCCAGTGAGTGGGACACACACCCCCCCCTTCCCGGCAGAAACGACACGCCCTTCGAAGAGGCGCAGAACCGGCGCGAACTCGCGTGTCCCCAGTGAACCGCTGCCGGAACTCGCATCGCAGGACCTTGGGGAGAACACAGAGACCTCGGTGGCTACAGGGAGCAAGAGATCGCTACCCCCGGCGCCGACCGGGTGGGTTGAGCCTCCGCGGAGACCAGCGCAGCCCAGTTGGAAGGATACGCCCTGGTCTGCACTCTGCACACCGTCCAACCCGATTCTCTCGACCATGCGGCCGCTGGGCCAGATGCCTGCTGCAGCCGACTACCGCAAAGTGGGACTGGTCCCGCCCTCCAAAGCCCGTGCTGTGCCTGGCGAGCAGGTCTCCAAGGCGTTGTTGGGAAGCAATGGGGATTCAGCATCCGCCACCCGGCCGCCGTCACCACTTCTCGCGGCCGCAACCGCAGAGGAGTCAATGGCGCTGCCCAGCGAATTACCGCTGCCGGAGGCTTGGCTGGATGATGACCTCGCGGCCCTGGAGGCGCTGCCGCTTCCCATATCGGACGAGTTCGACATCGACAAGCTCAAGTCCGCCGTCGAGAATGCCATCCGCATGGCCGCCGAGTTGGAGAACCGCACCGTCGCTCGCGGTCTCCTCCGCCTGTGGAGCGACAGCTCGAGCGACCCTTTTCTACTCTCAGTGCTTGATGGTGTCATCCGCCAAAACCCGGACCCTCAGGAGAAGTCGGCCTTTCGCGCTCTGATGCGCGCCGCCTCCCGGAGCGCCCAGGCAGACCTGGAGCCCACCACTATCCTCGCGGCACCACCGATGGGTCGTGTCCGTTCCGCCACAAGCTCCTCGTCCCTCTCATCAGCCAAGTCCCTCGACCCGGAGATGTTTGCTCCAGGCATCGCCTCGGCCTCGGCCAAGGACACCCGCTCGCGCGCCAAGGGCAAGCTTGTCGCGCAAAAGGACAAGGAAAAAGCCAGAGCATCTGAACCTCCCGCCCGGCGATCAGTTTTCCCACCCCTTGACGCGGCCGCCCAGCGCAAGCGTGCCTACGCGGACGATCCCGAGTACTCGGAGGAGGCTCTAGAAACCAAACGCCGGCGCATGACCAAGTCCTTTGATGATGTCGTGGTCCGTGAGAGCGCCATCCGCTCCTCTCTATCGCTAGAACCGTCGAACCCTCCCTCGTTAGCTTCGGATGACAGCCCACCATCGCGTGACATGAGTGTCGCTCCTAACGGTACAGGGAGATCCGCCTCTCCGGATGGCACCCGCACATCGCGGATGAGTCGTCCGGCCACCCATTCGGAGTACGTATTTCTGTCTTGGTTTCTCTACATCTACTATCATTGACATTTACTGACACAACTCGCAGCGACGAAGATTCCGGTGTCAACAGCGACGCATGCCACGAATGCGATCAACGCGGCAACTTGGTGTGCTGTGACGGGTGTGTGGACTCCTACCACTTCACCTGTCTGAAACCGCCCCTCAACTCGAAAAAACCCCCCGAGGGCAAATGGTATTGTCCAAAATGCTCGGTTACGGGCCCCATGGACAAACTGCTCAAGAATCTCGAGCGGATGGAAGAGCAAGATTTCCAGCTGCCAGGGTACATTCGGGAATACTTTGCAGGCGCAACGACGGGTCGGGACGGCAAGTACATGCCTATCGCTACGAATAGCAAGAACAAAGAGAAACGATCCACCCGGACGGGCGTGTACCACGATCCCAACCTGCTCAAGATGTTTGACTCCAAGGGCAAGCTCATTGTCTGCGTCCGGTGCGGCCGTACCACCAACAACACGCGGCCAATCATCAGGTGCGATTACTGTCCCTGTTACTGGCACCTCGACTGCGTCGACCCGCCACTGGCCAACCCGCCCGTTCACAAAGCCGGCTGCAACAACCCCAGTTGGAACTGGATGTGTCCAAATCACGCTTCCCATGAGATGTATACTGTCGCTCCCGATGAGGAGGCTTTCGAGCGGGGCCTTGGCGACGATGAGACTTATGCCCGCGGTCGCGTGTTCCGCCACCGCCGACCTCGACGCCCTCGCATCATCGACGTCGATGTGCTCCTTGACGACTCGGAGACCGAGGAGATGGAGGAGGAAGAGCATGGTGGCGTGGTATATCGCCTCCCAGAGCATGGAATCAAGCTTGATTTTATCACACGTGTTAAAAGGTGGGCATTCCCTCTTCTTTTCTCTCTTGTCCTTCTCCTTCTATTCCCTCCTTCTATTTCCTTCTCTCATCTACCTCTGCGCCTTGTTTCTTTGCTGTTTTGCTAACACGGACACAGGGAAAACATGGAAGCCGAGATTCGTAATGAACGAGCGGCACAGTACAAAAAGCACGCTGAGAAGAAGCTCGACGAGCTCGTTGAAAAAGCCACAGCATACTATACCACTCCCCACGCGGCCGATGAAATGGACCAGGCGACTCGGGCCATTCTGAATTCACGGACGTCCGCCGAACGTGAGGCCATCGCGAACCTGGTAGAGTTTTCACAGCAACAACCAGCAGTATCACTGCAACCAGAAGAACAACAGCAGGAGCAACAACTTCCTCACTCCCCTGACAAGATCGGCCTACTGATCGACCATCTGCGCTCCAGCGCACCTCATCTTCCCCCTCCAGAAACGGAGATTGCATCCCTCCATGCCCTCCAGGCACTCATCGCCCGCCGCCTGCAGGCTCTCGGCGCCGTGTCTGCTGCACCTGCGGACATCCCTTCTTCCCCCCTGATGATCCCGACTCTTACCCCTACTCCCATTCCAACCGAGGTCCATGAAGTGGAATCCGAAAATAGATAGATACAGATAACTACGAAATGTCCTGTCGATGCATCGATGCATAGCTTAATGTAAACAAATACAATCAATAACTTAATGTCCGAGATCCATCCTTTCCTGTATTCCTGCTAATATACGGACCGCGGTATATTCCATTTCTGCGCTCCAGTAGTGCAAGCTCGTTGATTTTAGAAATAACCGAAATATGCTTGATAGATACATCATCTCTCGAAAAAAAGTTCATGGCACATTGACAGCAAGCAGCCTTTAGAATCTCAATGCTAGATATACAACCCCCCGTAGTTATCCAAATGCAGAATATTATCTCCAGCAACCGTAAGTCTGTTTGAAAAAGAAAAACACCGAAATAGACAGGGGACGCAATTCATCCATCTTCCAGCAAGGCCGACCCAGTATCGGGGAAACAAGGAAGAAAAAAAACTCCCGGATCAGAGAAATTTCTTCGGCATGTTGGCGCGCCGGCGTTTGTAGATGACGTACGAGATGACTAGGACAAGCTGGAAGGCGATGATCATGCAGATGAAGAATCCCATTCTAGGGCTCGCGGCCGTGATGACTAGGGAGATTAGACGGGTTTGTAAGATGTGTGGCGAGGACAGTTCCACTTACTGTTCCGAAGAGAATCATGGAGAGCTTCGTGCAGGCTGAGATGAGACGTTTTGAGGGTTTCGTGCAATTGGCTGAAGCTGCTGCTGTAGTCCTTGCGTTCGAGATCACGTTGGATGGCTGCCAGCGCCTGTTCGATCCGCTGGAGACGAGCATCAATGCTGGCCACCCGGTCCTTGGTCGCCATTTGCTGCATAGCTTCCGCATGGCGGTCTTCGAACTTGGAGGCCAGACCGGCGACATCGCGAACGAGGGTATTAGTAGCCTGGTCGACCAGCTGGAGACGGTTGCCAATGTCGACCAGTTGCTGGGGCGTAGCCTGTGAGTCCGTTGTCTGCACAACAGGTTCTTGGGCGTTTCGCACAACGATAGGCTGCTGGCTGCTCCCTTGCTGGTTGTTCCCCTGCTGACTGCTCTCCTGCAGGACTGGAATGCTCCCAGATGAACCGGAACTGGAAGATGACACGACGAATTTGAAGATTTCGAACGAGTCAGGGTTCTCTGGGGTTGCGCCTGTGATGCCAAACGTGTTTCCCTCAGGCAGAGCCACCTAGACCGGTTTTAGAAACTTCATTAGGACAGACAAAAAGTGACTCCACTTACCTTTGGGGTTTGAAAACACAGCTTGTCATCAACGGTGACCTCCAAAACCGATTGGGTGTACTTCACACGAAGAATAGAGGGGCGTCCCAGGTTCCGGTAGGGATAGGCACAGTGACCAAAAGCCAGACTGTCCACACTCCGGTGACTCTTATAGTCTGTTGTACCGTCGTTCAGGAAACCTCTGATGCTCCCACCCTATGCTTATATTAGTCTCCTTTCGACGGCGCCCATATAAATGGATCACGTACTCTGCCCCCATGCGAATCAATGACCAAAGCAAAGCCGTCGAACTGGCCCACAGTGTAGATACTAGAAGTACCAATCTTGTCTTGTCCATCCTTTGTGTACCATAGCTGGAGATTACCGCCTGCTCTTTCAGGGCCGCTGGCCCTAAATTGAAACTCTGCCGTCCACTCAGATTGTGAAACGCTTGTTGATAATCAGTACTGGATTTGATAGAAGACGCCAAGAGCTAATTGATGGATGTATGACAACTTACGGTGTTTGGGACCAGAGGAAACCCCTCGTGTTACCAGGATAAGGAGGCGTCAAGATGAGTTTGTCGGATAGCTAGAGTCTCGTTAGCTTGACAGTCACCATCGCAGCGACAGGAGAACAACACACAATCTGGGGAACATGACCCTCTCCTCCCGTTAACCAGCCGGGAAGGTAGTCGCTACTTGGCGATATGCTACACAGCCGTTATTAGCTCATTTTTCCTCACTGGACAGGAGAGCGACCTACCTCTGTCCATAGCCAAAGCTGGAGCTCTCAATCACCGATTGAGCACTGACAGCGGCCACCAGAGTCGCAAACGACGCTAGGACCCTCATTGTGCCACCGAATCAAGTACTCTGCGTTGCGTATACGTCTTCGCAACTTAACGATCCCCGGTTCGCCGGCGAGTTGACAGCTCGGAAACAACGCGAGTGGTGATCCACCCAACCACCACGGCAATGACGCAGTAGCGAACTTCGCGGGCAATTGAAACAGCTGTGGGAGATAGATCGACGATGTGATGGATATTAAGACTCGAAAGAGCAACCGAGTGGCGCACTGCGACGTCCGACATGTCCATACGGAGAGATGGCTGCAACTGCAGTGCCAACAAGCCACATTGGCACTTTCGCCAACACGCGGAGCGCCCGAGGCTACACGTAATCACGTGACCAAAGATTTCCCGCACCGGTTTCGGGTTCGCAGCCACCACGACTTGGTCTCTAGAACATCTATTGCGTTGCGTTGCGCCCACGGTGTTTCTGTCTGCCTGTTTCGGAGGCAGGAAATGATGCGCAGTCGCCTCGATGGCTGAAATATACCCTTCTTTGGCGCAATGCGCGATCCTCGCCGCCGCCTTCAAAGTGCTCCTATTCCCCGCATAGTATGGTACTCCTGAAGCTACTGCATGAGAGGATCTCTTTTTGGCTGACCGAGATTTCGTCTATGACACAGCAAATCCACTGATTTTGAAGTCCATCGCAATTGGCTCGCTATCACTCACTCTCTCCCGGTCAAAGAATGGTACTACGAGGTATGAGTGTGCAATGATTTCTGGACAAAAAAGTGTACGGAAGCTGAGACGGGAGAATTATACAGAAAACATCGGAATGGACACTTGACTACCCTCCGTTCTTTGCTGCCTTTGAGTGGTTTCTCTCACAGGCTGCAAAGTTGGCGGACCCGGCGATGTTGGTTGTGAACAATCTGAATCACGACTCCTGGCAAACGGTCTACTTTCAGCGGACGACTGTCATTGTGACGGAGCTGGTTCTGGTCTTTGCGCTGAGCCGGTAAGTTCTGACCGACTTATACTTGCCTCGAACATCGATTGACTGGAACTTCTTTCTTTTCAGGTTCATTAAATCTGCACCACAGCAGCATAAAACTCTCGCACACGTCGCCAGTCTTTCGGTCCTCCTATCTCCCGGCCTCCTGATCATCGACCACATTCATTTCCAATACAATGGATTTATGTACGGAGTTCTTATTCTCTCCCTTGTGCTTGCCCGGAAACAATCGACGCTGCTCTACAGCGGTATTACTTTCGCCATTCTCTTGTGCTTCAAGCATATCTACCTATACCTGTCGCTAGCCTACTTTGTCTTCTTGTTGCGGAGTTATTGTTTGGATCCCAAATCCATCCTGAAGCCGCGATTCGGAAATATTTTCAAACTGGGCATCAGCGTGCTAGGCATCTTTGGCCTGGCGTTCGGGCCCTTTGCGCACTGGAACCAACTTTTCCAGCTGAAGGATCGGCTTTTCCCTTTCTCCCGAGGCCTGTGCCATGCCTACTGGGCGCCGAATATTTGGGCCATGTATTCCTTTGCAGACAGAGTTTTGATTCCTTGTAAGTTCTATTAGTGTCTATTCAGCTAACCCTTGCTGTGCTAATCTTCTTTCGTCTTCCAGTGGCACCTCGTCTCGGCCTTACTGTCAACCACGATGCAATTAACAGCGTCACTCGGGGCCTTGTGGGCGACACCTCATTTGCTGTCTTGCCGGAGATTACAAAGGAGCAAACGTTTGCGCTGACATTCTTGTTTCAACTAGTAAGTGCTGACATATCCACACTGAAAACCCCGTCCCCCTTGCTAACGATGACATATAGCTCCCTCTAATCAAGCTCTGGCTGAATCCCGATTCATGGGAAACATTTATTGGCGCTGTGACACTTTGCGGCTATGCGTCCTTTTTATTCGGCTGGCATGTTCATGAGAAGGCGGTGCTCCTCATCATCATCCCCTTCAGTCTGATCGCGCTCAAGGACCGACGATACTTTGGTGCCTTCAGGCCTCTCGTAGTCGCAGGCCACGTCTCGCTCTTCCCCTTGCTCTTCACGGCGGCCGAGTTCCCCATCAAAACCACCTACACCGTCTTCTGGCTCATCCTCTTCCTTTTCGCCTTTGACCGCGTCGCCCCCGTCCCCGAACAGCCACGCGTCTTCCTCTTCGACCGCTTTTCCTTAATATACATTACTGTCGCCATCCCGCTGATCATATACTGTTCCATCGGTCACCAGCTTATCTTCGGGCTGGGCAGGTACGAGTTCCTTCCACTCATGTTCATGAGCAGTTATGCTGCTCTGGGAGTGGTAGGGAGCTGGGTTGGGTTCATGGTTGTATACTTTACTGCGTGATATAGAATTGCAGATATTCTTTTCTTCTATATACATTTTTACCTGTAATAATAGTATTTTTTCCCTCTAAAATGGCACTGTACTCCGTAATACCTACTCCCTAGGTACTAATGCACTGCATAAGGTGATGTAATGTTTGCACTGTTTATCTGACCACGTGTTTGGGACTTTGCCCCACTTGATCGGGCTTAGCAAAGTTTATCACTCAGTCTTTGACTAGTCCCTATTTGGATTAGTAGCACTTTAAAGCTACAGTGCATTGATCAAGTCGAAACTGGAAATACTGTAAGAGTAGGTAAGGTTACCGAGTATCCTTACCAAAGACCCTGGACTTTGGACTACCTTATTGTTGGCTGTCATTGATAACCCTTACTATATTCCGTCTGCGGTATTGGTTTAATTGGTTTTCGATCCTTCTGTTTCTCTTCTTTTTACTGGATGTCCAGTGACGTCAAGTTGCAGCAATTATAGGTAATATTGTTTGAGCCTACTAACGCAGCTATGTTGCATCAATGCTCGAATTTGACGGTATTTATATTTGTATTTTAGGTCGCCTTCTGGCTCTATGTTTGGATGTGTATCTGGATATTGTTTGTATATATACATATCTATATATAGTGTTGATTATTATGAACATGGAGCCTAAGACTGAGGTGTGAAGTTCTCTTTCAACCAACACTTGGTATAAGACAGTCCAAAAATAATACAAGGATACAATATGGTTTTATTAATGTATATTTATCATGCCAGGAATGTTCGAACGAAGAAGTAGATGTGTCGTATATGTTTGGCTATGCATAATACTCGAGCTCGACTGAGAATACCAGGCATTACTACCTATATTCATGGATACTAGGTAGTCTCCATGACGAATAGGTACCTAGTAGGCCAGATCCTTCATTTGACAGTAGCCTAAGTATTGGAGAATATCATATATGAAGGCCGTTGACCACCTAGTAATAGATTTGGTTCTGATTCATAGCCCAGGCTCTAGTCTCAAGAGATGTAGTCGGCAAGAAGCGCAGTCAGGGATCATAGGCGTGGTCAGACAAAATATCATATCATTCACCCCAGGAGAGTGGATTATATCTCATTTCTTTGTCCTCGAGATTGATGAACCTGTGTAAGAGTGGTTTTGAGCAGCCGACGGGGCAAGCAGCGCTGCATTCCAAGATCTGCCGGCAGATTGGTCATTCCGAACCAATTCAAAGAGCATCGAGAGATCTCATAAAGACTCCGCAAACAACCAGAAGCAAAGTCGGTCGGTGGTTGATCGGCGTTGGTTGTGGCGAAAGGTTCGTATCGGCTAGTCAGCCTAGGGCTCGACAACGCTAGAAGTATAAGTTTTGATGGCTGTCGGTCCGACGAGAAAAATAAAAAGATAGCATGATAGAAAAAGGACCACAGCTGGTGAAAGACAGGATCTGTGGATGAGAGACAATGCCTGTCGGTGAGAACAAAGACGTTGAGACGAGTCGCGGGGAGGGCGACTTTCTGGTCGTAGTGTGATAACTCGCCGCTCAGATGATCTCCGAGACCCGTCCGGTCTGAACGCGAGACAATGGCAGTAAATCGCGCAAATTTAGCGCAGCTAAACATTAACAGTAATCTGTGAATTCTGGCGAGCAAAATGAGTATAAAAACACCTACCTTCGTGGTGGTGGCCAGGAACCACGGGGCGGACACGTCCCCAGGGCAGACAAGAGGAGAAGTGGGAGGGGGGTTTTTTTCGCTGGAGGAGAACGCAGCCACGACGCGGTACCTGGTCCATGGCGGCCCCGGCGCAAGTCACTCGTCGCTCTTGGTCCGCTCGCCATTTTTCTGCTGCTTCTACTCCCCGTCTCCGCCAATCACCGCCTGCCATCCCTGGGCCCTCCACCACTTGCCGCAATGATCCTCCTGGGCCCGGTTCTGCCGCCCGTCTTGCTCTTTACGGCTACCGCTTCTTAGTTCTTCCTCCTCCTCTTCCTCCTCCTTGTCCCTTCGCCCCATTCTCGTGACCTCTGCCTTTCCTCCTTCCCTCCCCCTCGAACCACCGCCCATTCACCCAACACCCCCACCACGCTTTATCTGCGAGGGCTGTGCACTGAGTGTATGGTCTGTAGCTGCCAGTTCTTCCGTCCTTGACGCGTTTTTGGGCGCTTTTTTCTTTTTCTTTTTCTTTTTCTTTTCTTGGAACTGTACACCAAGCTCTCGCCGGATCTTGTCGCGTCCTTCGGCGGAGCGGATCGCATAGAGGCGTGAGGATTATTTGGCGACGCGTTGTGAATTAGTGAGTCTTCTTTAGCAGATATGGTCACCGTCGCTGCATACATCTTATGTTATCTTGCGGATGGGCTACTCCGTAAATATATGGAATTACCATGGCCCGCTCAAAAACCTACCCTTTCAATTCCCTGCCAGAAACAAATCCTCCCCTTCTGTTTCTTCTCTTTTTATATGGAATCCTCGCTAATATATTTTTTTTTCTGGATTTAGAGAGGTTCTTGACAGGTCTTTATTCCCTATGCTTAGTCGCCACGGTGACCTATGGTAGACCGCACTTTGGGTTGGTAGAGGATCATGGTACGCTGGCCTGCGCGGGATGAGTCGTCGGTACAATTGCCCATATTGATCGTATGACCCAGGTGTTGTTCAAGCGGAAACCTGTCCAGTATCTTCCACGACCCGTGATCGAAGATGATAGCTCGGAGGCATGTTCCCTGACTATCCAATCAATACAAACGGTTCTCGGCGACAATATTTCTGACCATAAGTGTGTAGGTCTGGGTGATTCCGGAGACAAACGAAGTTTTTACCAGCTACGAGCCCTACCTCCAGCGGATGGACTTTTACAAACAAAGACGATTTATTTGCGAAATTACTGGTCATTCAGGATTGACTTTTTTCGAAGCACAACGAAGCGAAGTACGGCCACGAGATTACCTGCACAATTCTTTGTTCGAGTACTGAAAGCTTGCAGATGGAGGAGTCGCGAGAGGTCAACAGTTCCTTTCCGGATGCCCTGAGGGAGCCGATACTCCGCAGAATCCAATTCTCGACCGTTTCGAGAATTGACAACTTGGGTAGGCAATCTGATGCTCCATAGGGAAATTACCTGGTAGCTAATTATTTCACCGTCTTCAGTCGATGAGATCTTTGAAGTGAGCCGAATACGACCTAACCGATCTAATCCCCGTTGATTCGACCTAACAAGACATTTTTTTTTTAGGAATTCAAACAGGACTTTTACCCCGGCGAGCAGGTACTAATCTTGCTTGAAGATAATACGCGTCTCCACGGCATGATCAGAGACAAGGCCAATTTTCCCGAGCAGACCAACCCCGATGGCACAGTCAAGGCTCCAGCTTATGCCAGATATCTGGTGAAAATACTCGACCGTCCTAATGAAGAGGCTCTGCTCGACCAGGAGCACATTACTCGTGACCGGAAGATGTTCACGAAACAGATGTTGCGTGCATTCATCAAGAACACGGTGACTCGCGAATCCTGGAATGGTGCGCCCTGGCTGGTTAAAACCAGCATAGCAGACGAGTACAAGATCCCAACCGAAGTCCCGAAACACCTGCAATATGGCGCCAAGGTTGCCGAGAAGAAGGCAATGAAGAAGGGGGATCAAGAAGGGTTTTTCGGGTTTTTCGCCTCTCAACGGCTTCCGGAATTAAAACCTGCAGTCAAGGTCCAGAAGTCAACGAAACCGTCCATCAACGATTTACTTCGGGCGAAAGAAGAACAATTCCAGGAATACCAGCGCTCATTGACTGGGAACCCTACCTTTGTGGTCCCCAGCCCCTCTGTTGTAGCGGCGACATCATCTCGACCGGTCAAACCTCCGGATATTGGGAAAAAACCGCAGACGGCACCACCCGCACCTCCTTCGCCTTCGGTGGTCATCAAGACCGAAACCCCTAAGCCGACGCCGCCTCCGCCTCCGCCGCCCATCAAATATCCCATCGAAGATCTCGAGATCCCGCCCAATCGTGAAAGCGCTCCGCGCCCAGCCCTGAAATTTGTGCAAGATGACCAGGGCAATGATGACGATGATGAGTCCGATGTACTTTCCGGCAACATCAAACCTGAATCGGTTGGCCCTTTACTTGAGACTTGGAATACTCTTAACGTGTTCTGTGAAGTCTTTCAACTAGATTCTTTTACATTCGACGATTTTCTCCAAGCTATGTCTTTCTCGTCCGATGATATAGACTGTGAGCTTTTTGTGGAGATTCATTGTGCAGTGCTGAAAAAACTGGTCAACGCGGAGAAAGATCAAGACGGGGCCGTACAAATTTCTCTCCCTGATCTTCCCATTGAGGAGTCAGATGACTCGGAAGAAGAAGAAGATGAGGAAGAAGAGGCGGTCATAGAACCGGAGCCAGTGTTTACTCGAATGACGACTCGAAGTAGCCTGGCCAAGGCTGAAGCCGAGAATCTGCGAAAAGCCCAAGAGAACGAAAATATTGAAAATCCGGAAGAAGTCAAACTGCATCGAGCGGCGGAGATGTTTGGAGACTACGGCTGGATCGATCGTTTGCGGAAACGCGACTTTCGCAATGGTGGGTGGGAGATGGTAATGATCGGCCTCTTGCATCAACTTTCCGTTCGCCCCCGGGTGGAAAAGGTCTGCAATGAAATCCTCAAAATACTAGCTCCTCTCGATGCGGAGCCGACGAAGGAAACGGCAAGACTCCAATATGCGACCATGGACATCAATCTGCGCATTCAGGCCCTTGAGATCATCTGCATGTTGAGCCTAGAAACAAAGGCAGTCAAAAACTACCTAGAAGAATGTAGCAATCAGATGACTGAGTTTCGGAAAGAGAAGATCGAATATCAGCGGGAGCGCAAGGCAGCGTAAGTATCCATTCGTTTCCCTAGATGAAAGGCACAAAGATCTGACTGACTTTAACTGATATGAACTGCAGTCTTGAGGAGCTTCGCCGGCTACATGAAGAAAAGAAAGAGCTACAACCAGAACGGGGGAAATCGCCGTCCCCAGTGCCGGAGCTGGATAATCTTGAGGATTCCAAGATGACTGGACTGGATGATGAAACAGACCAGGTTATGGATACGGAAGATGATGAGCCGCAAGCACGCTCTCTCCGGGGCGGTGCCGATCGAATCATGGAACGCAAACGAAAGCTGGAGGAGGAGCGCGAGAGAAAGGAGCAACAGGCCAAGCAACCTAAGGGATCGAAGCAATACCAACGAGTTGTGAAGAAGATTGAGGACCAGAAGGCCCGGGTCACGAAACTGGAGCAGAAAATCGCAGACGTGGACAACGACTTGAGAGAGGCGGATTGTCCCCGGACAAGATGTCTGGGAAAAGACCGATTCTGCAATCGCTACTGGTGGTTTGAACGCAACGCTATGCCATACAATGGAATGCCCCAAAGCTCCACGGCCGACGCCGGCTACGCGAATGGCCGCGTTTGGGTCCAAGGACCAGACGATATGGAGCGGTTGGGTTTCATCGATGTTTCCGAGGAGCAGAAGATGCACTACATGAAGGAGTTTAAAATGACCCCTGCTGAGCGGAGGGAGCTGGAGGAAGGGACCAGCGTGCCGAATGCTCAACAGTGGGGCTACTACGACGACCCCGAATCGATCGAGAAGCTCATCAGCTGGCTGGACGGGCGCGGAAACCGCGAGCTCAAGCTGCGCAAGGAGCTGTTAGTTTGGCGCGGCACCATCTCCGAGTATATGGGACGTCGTCAGGCGTACTTGGAGCAGAGTGCCGATCGCGCAGAGTCCGAGGAGCCTCCGACGAAACGGGTGAGCACGCGCAACAAGACATATGTGGACGACCACAAGCACCGTTGCATGCGCTGGCGCAATTCGACTGCTCTCTCCGAGAATGGTCATCTTCATGTGGACGCTGGCCGGCCGACCAAGCGGACGAAACGAGCCACCGACGACCCCAAGGAACTCAAGGCGACCAATCGCCAGGGTAAGCCGCTGACCCGACAAGGTTCCCGGTATAAATTTTGAGAACCCCGTTCTATTTTGAGGCGGGCGGCACTGTGCGACTATTCTCATTCTTGGATTGATCTGGTCCAGAGGGTTGGTGTCATATTGCTTTGGGGCGTTTTGCTCCGTGCTGTGGAGATAACGCGACCACGACCTATTTGAAATCCCCCCCCCTCTTTGCCTTCCGTATATATATATATATCATATATATAGCCACAGGCTGCTAAAGCCCCGGGAGAAGCATTTGCATTAGAACGGAGCAGTATGAGATTTGGAAAGGTGACTTTTGTTGTCATGGGTTGCATGGTGTGGTTTTGAATGAATCTTCTTTCTGGTGTTTTTGACTGGCGGTTGTCTGGCATACTCAATCCCCTGCTTCTCATCAGATGACTTCTGAATCTAGCGCTTTGCTGCCTCTCTTCTTCTTAATGTCTGACAATGCTCCCTGGCTGCTCCCTGGGCTGCTCACTGTTGACCGGCATGCTAGCCGATGGTACCCATCGTGTGTCCATCTTGCAAAAAAGAATCCCAACTGGACCCAAGGCTTCATAATTCTCTAGACAAGACCATAGTACTTGACTAATATCTCTAATTCTCAATGGATCTGTGCCGTCTATTCTCATCTTCCCCGTCTATCTCTGTAGTTCTTACTAATTCTCCCTCTGCCAGTCGCTGGGCCAGACAGACCCGCCGCTATCCGCCTGCCGCGGTCGTAATCGACGCGTAATGGAACCGTAACCCGACCGCCGTTTCGCGGGGCACCGCGCGGTATCGGCTCGTCAGCAGCGTCACAGTACGGTTTTTCGGAAGCCGATGCGAGTAAGCAACGGCTCTCTCCGCCCTGCAGACCGATCGACGTCAGGGCGGTGCGCAGAAATCGTCTCCAGCCCTTTTCCACACCCACGCTGACTTTTGTTTGACCTCACGCGATCAACCCGAGGAGGTTCTTGGTTTATTGGACGGTTGTAATTATCCGTTTCACTGCCTACTGCTACCTTCCATCTGTTTTCTTCTTTCGAAATTTTCACACCCAAGTCTACGCTTTCCCACGTGCGCTCAATGGCCACCCTCTTCCGCTAGCCCGTGAACCTTGGCCGCGACCACGACCACGACCACGACCACGCCCATGTCGACGACCTTTCCGGACCATGCTCATACTCGTTCGGCAGCTTTTGCAGACTCGGCGACATATGTGCCTTCGGTTTCGATGACTTCAGAGACTCTCAAGCATCAGATGGTGATGGAGGATATCAGCCCTCGAGGGGCGGTGACGGCGAGTAGTCTGAACCGGACGACAATAGCCAACACCGGGACACGTGGCAATGTAGTGGACAATCGATCGGCGGATGCTACTCTCAGCTCAGAGACGAGTCGTGAAGTTGGCGGGGTGAATAAGCGGAGTCTGGATTATGTCCTGCGAAGCGGGTTGGCGGGAGGACTGGCGGGGTGCGCGGTAGGTTTTTGTTGTTTCGCCTGCACACATATAACTTTATTGGTACGATGGACTGATTTACCTAGGCAAAAACAGTCGTGGCTCCGCTAGACCGCGTGAAGATTCTCTTCCAGGCGTCGAACCCGCAATTCGCAAAATATAGCGGTAGTTGGTTCGGCCTGGCGGCGGCGATGAAGGATATCAATCGGCTCGAGGGCGCCCGGGGCCTGTACAAGGGCCACTCGGCCACGCTGCTGCGTATTTTCCCTTATGCCGCGATCAAGTTCCTTGCATATGAGCAGATTCGCGCCACGATAATCCCGTCGCGAGACAAGGAAACGCACTTCCGCCGGTTGATTTCTGGCAGCCTGGCGGGCATCACCTCGGTGTTCTTCACATACCCCCTCGAACTGGTTCGTGTGCGACTAGCCTTCGAGACGAAGCAGTCGGCCCGCTCGTCGTTGTTGGATATCTGTCGACAGATCTACCATGAGCGGGTCCCCTCGCCTGCGGTCCCGAACCCTTCTTCCTCTACATCTGCGGCGGCGGCTGCCGTCGTTAGCAAAGCTGTTCCGAGCTACGGCCTGACCAACTTTTATCGTGGATTCGCCCCGACGCTGCTGGGAATGCTCCCCTACGCGGGCATGTCCTTTCTCACCCACGACACGATCGGTGACTGGCTCCGGCTTCCCTCGATAGCCCCCTATACGACAATCCCGGGGTCCGATTTGACACACAAAGACAAACAAGGTTCCCATCGGCTCCAGCTCACCGCGGCCGCGGAACTGTTCTCCGGCGCGCTGGCAGGCCTCGTGTCGCAGACCTCCTCCTACCCACTCGAAGTCATCCGTCGCCGGATGCAGGTTGGCGGCGTCGTCGGCGACGGCCGCCGACTCGGTATCATCGAGACCGCCCGCACGATCATGCGTGAGAGAGGCTTCCGTGGCTTCTGGGTTGGTCTGACAATCGGGTACCTGAAGATCGTGCCCATGGTGGCCACGGGCTTCTTCGTCTACGAGCGCTTGAAATGGTCGTTCGGGATATGAAAACAAGACGAAAACATACCTCCGCCCTCCTCTTCTCCTCGCTTTACCATTTGCATATACCCATTCCGAGCCGAGTCTCTGTACTACGTGCATATTCTTTTTTTTTTTTTTTTTATTTCTAGTTCTTTCAACCCGCTATACATTTCATACATAGACGAGCTATAGATGGCTCTCCGGACTGATATCGTTCCTCTACAATGTGTTGGACCCTTGAATATCTGTTGCATACGCACATGGTTATTAGACATCTCCATACGATATGAATATGATAGTAACCTTAGATCAAATGATTTCTTACTGTAATTACCATCTGGTTGAATATTGAATGCTTCGACGCACGGACCACACGATAAAAAAAAGTTCATTGAACCGCCCATCCCATCTTGACGCAAGTAACAACTACAAAGCATTTAACAGAGTGTCTTCAAAAAAAAAACATACCAGAGCATTTACAATAATATTTCGCAATTATGGCATCTCGGAAACGAAATGATTTCCTCGACATTGTCTCCGACGACGAAGAGGGCAGCGACCGCGGCTATGATTCCGAAGCCGCGGAGGAGAGCAAAGGCCGATCGTCCAAACGGAGGAAGGTCGATACGATCGATAACTCGGATGAGGAGGTTGAAGATTTCAGCGATGAAGAGGAGCGAAAGACATCTAATGAGAATGACGGCGACGACGACGAGGAGGTAGAGGAGGAGGACAGCCACAGTTTGAGAGATGAGGATGACGAACGAGAAGAAGAAGAGGGAACAATGTGGACGGCCGAAGAGAAGGCGGGTTCAAAGAACAAGAAAGAAGCGAACAAACCAGTCAAGCCGACGAAGAAGAACAAGACGGGGGTGATCTACCTGTCGTCGCTGCCACCGTATCTGAAGCCGTTTGCGCTCAAGTCGCTGATCGAGGCGCGCGGTTTCGAACCCATCACACGAGTATTCCTGACTCCTGCGGTACCGTCTGCGTCGGCGCCGAAGCGGCGCTCATCGAACAAGCGCAAGACCTACACGGACGGCTGGGTGGAGTTCCAGTCGAAGAAGACGGCCAAGATCTGCGCGGAGACGCTGAACGCCTCGATTGTCGGCGGAAGGAAGGGCGGCTGGTACCACGACGACGTGTGGAATATGAAGTATCTGAAGGGGTTCAAATGGGCGGATCTGATGGAGCAGGTGCAGCGGGAGCGGTCGGAGAGAGAGGCAAAACGCCGCATCGAGGATGCCCGGGCCCGCAGAGAGGAGAAGGTCTTCCTGGCGGGGGTGGAGAAGGGCAAGGCCCTGGCGGGGATGATCAAGAAGAATGAGGAGAAGATGAAGAAACGAGCGCAGCAGGAGACTGGTGGTGGCGCCTCTGATCAAGCGCCTGACGAGATGGCCCGCGTTCGGAGACTGTTCAGGCAGAATGAAGCAATGCGCAGGAAGGATGCGAACGATGAGAGTGCCCTTGGCGAGGACACGAGACGGCTTTTAGGGAAGATCTTCTAGAACTCTTCTCGTTGTTGGGCGTTCATTAACTTACCTTACCTTACTCTATAAAGATATCCATATGATAGACGGTTTGTACAACTAATACGCATCGGAGCTCAAGTTATGTAGCTCTTTGTACATCACTCGACCTTGGATTTAGCTTCGCTAGATCAATTTTGCTAGACTTTAGCTATAGATAGTGAATACTATATAGTAATATCTACTATCTACTACTATCTGGGGAATATCTCAATATATGCATAGATGGTTGGTTTGCTGAGTCATGTTTGCATGTTTGCATCATGATGCTTTTATCTTCGCTGGGGATTTCTTGATCTTTGCATTCTGCTGTCTTCTCCAAACAAAGAACTCATATCCACCATGAATCGCGCTGTGCTGAAAGGGATATGGTGCCAGTCATGTCGCCATGAAGTCGTCCGATCATTTGTCTCGCTGACTGGTGTCTCGGTGCCTCGCTATGCGACGTGTCGCTCGTTAGTCTCCAAAAACTATCCGATGAGGACCTTTTCAGCTGTATCTGGCTGGAGATCGGACAATACATCGTCAAGCCTTGCAGATACCCAGGTTGAAGCGGCCGAGAATTCGAAAGAACATGTTCCGTGGTATTTGCGAGAAGGAACGGCCAATGCCGAGTTGTCGACCCGGTCTTTCCGGCAGCAGGAGCTCCCAGAGCTCCCAGAGAACTCTCCCGCAATTCTATCGGAGATTTTGACATACTCATACAAGGATCTGGGTCTGGATGACCTGAAATTGATAGATCTACGAGGCCTTGACACACCTCCTGCCATCGGCGCCAACGTCATCATGGTCATTGGCACCGCTCGGAGTATCAAACATCTCAACGTCTCCGCCGACCGTCTGTGTCGCTGGCTCCGAAACACATATAGACTTGCGCCGTATGCGGATGGCTTACTGGGTCGAAATGAGCTGAAGATCAAGCTTCGCAGGAAAGCAAAGCGCGCTAGGATCGCAAGTCAGGCGGGACTCACCATTGACGACAAGGATGATGGGATCACAACCGGGTGGATCTGTGTCAATTCGGGCGTCATAAAGGAGGAAGAATCCGAGCAGAAACAACCAGAAGCTAGAGCCTTCGAGGGCTTTGGTGACGTTGATGCGGGATCCAGGATTGTCGTCCAGATGTTTATTGAAGAGAAACGAGAGGAGGTTGATCTTGAAGGCTTGTGGACGGCTACCCTCGAGCGAGAGAACCGCCGGAAATTGAAGGCATCCAAGTCAACCTCGCCCCCCGTGCCTCCCACCGATGAGGTTCGTTCTTCTTCCGCCGCTGTGAAATCATTATATTCTGACCATGGACCTTCACGCTTTTTCAGACTCCCGGGGGAGACGCTACCCAATCATAGGAGACAACTACATACGACACGCCGGCTTATGACGCCCACTCACGAGGCGCCTTTTGCGGAGACATCCTTGAGAGATGCCGTGGTAGATCAAGTGGATTCGCGAGCGTCTGTATCTCGGGGTCTGGATGCCAAGGTCACGATTTCTTCTCTTTTTCGATCATTATCCTCCCTATCGGACGACAAGGCTCGAGAGCAGCTTGGCACTGGCCCAGACGACCGTAACTCTACACTCTTCCTTCAACTATTCTACGATCAGCCTTCTGATCTCCCAGTGGACGAAGTGGCGCTGGCAAAACTTGAGCTGTTCTGTAGAGCTGTGAGTCTACAGCACCATGCATACAGCAAACCGGCGCTCTGGGAACATTTTGTCGGCTTTGCATCTCTTGGATCTCCTATCTCGTTTGATCTTGGCATGCAGGTCGTTTCTGCCATGTTAACTGAGAGACCGAGCGATCCTTCAGCCTCTGGTTCTGTGATATCTCTGCCGGACACGGACATTGAACTTGCCTTACGTGTTCTTGATCTTCTGAGTTTCCACGGTACGGATATTCTGAATATGGATGTATTCATTCTGCTGTACCAAGCGGCCGGTCGGTCACATCGTGGAGATGCAGATGAACGGAGACGGTCGCTTGCGAGGATTTCCAAGATAATCGATGTTCTCGATCTCGAGTTCGATCCAGAGCAAGCCCGTCGGCTGATGGAACTCATGTTCTTGAACCAAGACTACGACGGTTTTTGGAAGCTCTGGCGCAAACTCCCTCTCTACGGTTTTGAACGGACAACCAAAGACTACAAGATGCTCTTCAAGTTACACATCGATCTAGGCGATGCGCACCGAGCAAGAGACTGTGTCCTGACCTGGGTGCCCATGATGAACAGGGAGGCCCCTCCTATACCCATGCAGGGGACACTGCTCAAGCGCGTCATGTCCTGTATCCAGCTTGCAGAGCCTGGTATTACCGCTGCGTCGCAGAATGGATCCTCCAGCAGTCTTTCCAGAATCTGGAACCAATGCCAGGCGACTCGAGAGTCGGGACGTCACTAGCACGGAAGTCTTGTGTAAATCAGTGTATTATATAGCATATAGCATGTATATCAGTAAACAACCCATTTTTTATAGTTCACTATAAGTCTTGACATTGAAACAATAAATGTATTGTAGTGGCCACTCTAGGCTTGCTGTGCTGTGGACCTCGGCTTCTGCGCCGCAGAACATCAACCACCTGCTTGGAAATCCGGACGTGAACATTTATCACCACCTCACACGCGCAGACCCCGGCTGGTCGAGGATGCGAGGCTTTCACCCAGCGAGATGGAATACCTGCCGAGTCTTCAACGCGAATTTGATGAGCTGAAGCCGTCCCTTTTCGGTGAGTTCCCCCCAAACTTCCCCCTCCACACGACAGCTGGGCGTGTGTCATGAGCTGAACCCCCTGCCGATAGAGCTCCTCGCGGAGCAACAGCTGTCAGACCTCCTCCCTCCATCGATCCGATACCTGCTGGCTGTCGCTACCCATCGGCATCCGCGCTACTTGCTACGGATTCTCAACTCGTACGATGAGATCTACGCTTTGCTCTCTCTGGTGGTCGAGCGGTACTACCTCCGCACCTTTGGCGGGTCGTTCACGGAGAACTTCTACTCGCTCAAACGCGAGCGCGTCCTACTCACGAAGCATGGCGAGATCCCTCGAGCACAGCTGGGCGCTCCGGGCCCTGTCCGCGATGCCCTGAAGCTCCGGACGCGCGATGTCTGGAAGAACCTGATGGTCATGGTCGGGATCCCGTACCTGAAACGCAAGCTCGACGAAAGCTACGACATCCACGCTGCTCCTCAGGCGTCTCTGATATCCGGTGGAGGGCCACGATACCATCCAGGCGACGAGCTGCCTGACCGTCCGACTCTGCGCCAACGCCTTCTGCACTACTACAAGTGGTTCCTGCGGAACGTGTACCCGTCCGTGAATGCGGCGTACTACTTCTCCATCCTCGCTTTCAACCTAGCGTACCTCTTCGACAACACGAAATACTCCTCCCCGTTTCTCTGGCTGATCGGCACCCGGATTCGCCGTCTGGGAGCCGCAGACCATCGCACCATCGCAGCCGTCTTGGATGGCAAGCCTGGTAGCAGCTCTGCTCGATCGCGCCCCGGCTCAGGCATGCTGGGTCTGCTGAGTGTCCAGAATCTCTACCCACAACTCCTCACCTCCCTCCGCTACTTCCTGCCCGCGTCGATCTTTGCCCTCAAGTTCCTCGAGTGGTGGCATGCTAGCGATTTCTCACGGCAGCTCGCGCGCAAAGCCACCGAGGTTCTCGACCTCCCTGCTCCGATCGTGTCCGGACTTGCCACGGCGGTGACGAAAGGACAGACGCAGAACCATGCCGCCAAGGTCAAGGCGGAGTCTATGAAAGAACTCAAATCGGCGCTCAAATCTACCCCTCGCCGCCCCAAGCCCCCTATCTCCGCAACATCGTACCTGCCTATCTTCACGGTGCCCATGCTCCCGGCTGACCCGGCAAGCGCCAACACCTGTCCGGTCTGCCTGAACACTCTTACCAACCCTACCGCGTGCCAGACCGGCTATGTCTTCTGCTACGTGTGTATCTTCCACTGGCTGAACGGTGAGCACCAGCGCCAGCTCGACTTTATGAGCGGGGACGGGGCGGGTGCGGCCTGGGAAGACGATGCCAGTGATGACGAGAATAATAGTAATACCGCTAATAACGACAAGGACGCCGCAGCCGCGGAACAAGGGGAATCAAAGACTCGTCGTAGTCGGCGTGGGAAATGGGAGAGCGGCAAGGGCCGCTGTCCAATAACGGGGAGGAGGGTACTAGGCGGGACAGAGGGGTTGAGGAGGGTATTGATTTGAACCCCCCATTTTGTATTTGTTGCTTGGAGTGTTTCTAAGTGTCCACTGTCTACACTGTATGGCATAGTAAGAATAATATATATCTATTATTTCTGTTTCAAAAGGATAAGGGTAAAAACTAAAGAGTATAAGGCGACGCTCCCGGTCCAAAAATCAACCAAGGCTTCTCCGCGGCGATCTTCAGGATGGTCTGCGCAAAAACGGAATTGGCCCACGCGAACCACGGCCGGGTGTAGTCTTTGATGTTGTTGACGTTGATGGACTCGTGGACGAGGCCGAGCAGGCTCGAGTCGCGGACGAGATTGATAGAGTCCATGATTTCCGTTTCGGAGTTGCTTGTTTGAGCTTGCACCAGGAGAGACATGGGCCAGGCATACTGGAAACCGACTGTTCCAGCCGTTAGTTCTCATTCCGATACCCGGCTTGAAAAAAAGAAAGAAAGAAAGAAAGAAAGAAAGAAAAGAAAGAAAGTACTCACTATGAGGTCCTCCGATACCGTGAAAGGCAGAGCCACTCAGGTAGTACGGATTCCCTGTCGGGTCGAGGATCATCTTCCGGGTGTTCTGGTAAGTCGGATCGTTCTGGTCGAGAAAGCCGAGCAGTGGTAAGGACAGCAGGGACGGGACGTTGGCGTCGTCCATCATGATTTGGGACCCATACCCGTCAACCTCAAAGGCAAAGACCTTGCCGAACTTAGGGTGATCAACGACGCCATGTTCCCAGACGGCCTTTTCTAGGTCCTGCCCCCGCTGGCGCAACTGTGAGGCAAGGGATGCATCCCCTCCAGCGGCTTCGATCACTATGGCAGTCTTCTGTAACTGCACAGCCATCATCGCATTGGCCGGAATGAAAAACCCGAGAATCGTAGCATCGTCGCTGGGGCGAAAAGCGCTTCGGATCAGCCCCGTGCCGCGGTTTAGGGGGTTGCCCACACCCTTCAGGCTGAGCGTTTCGGTCCCCAGCGTTGTCTCTCGCTGGAAGGTATACTCGTTGACCACGAATTGCTGATTCGAGTCGAAGGTTGGGGTGGACTGGGCATCCAGGACGTGCAATAGGGTGTCCAAGGCCTTGTACCATCTGTTCGTCAGGAATTCCACGGAGTCTGTGTTCTCGTAAAACTGCGTGCCCAGGGCGAGGAAATGGGCCAGCGAGTCAAGCTCGTACTTGCATTCAAAGACAAATGAGGACTCATACGCCGGGTGTACCGTGTCCTTCACTCCGTTAGAGCTTGGGTTGATGCCACTCGGCGGGGGAGGTTGAAACGCATTGCAATATGGCGACTGAATCACATATTCGGCCTGGGTGTTGATCGCGCCCAGAATCAGCGTGTAGAGAGACTTGTCCTTCTTTGCCAACGCTTGATAGCCCGCCAGTTGGTTTGTAGAATCGCGCAACCATTCCGCATTAATATCTCCCGTTACAATGAACGAGTGCGCTCCCTCCCACTGAGAACCATTCAGCTTTGCCTTCTTATGCTTTTTGTTTGTCGTGTTCGGCGTCGAGCCGTTCGTGTGCCACCGAACCGTGGTATCGAGCGTGTTGGGGAAAGCATTTCGGAACAGCTGCGCTAGGTCCTTGTCCACCATTCGCGATGTCACATCTTCAATCACTTGTTCCACCGCCGATGACGAGAAGGTCCTGCATTCTGTTGCCGGGCGTTGGAAGGGGAGGTTGAGCGGCCCGCCGCTATATGGAGCACTGGAAGCGGGGGGAATCAGCTTGGTGATTACAGGTATTGTCGCCCGGCGTCTGGAGAAATAGCTTACTGTGACACTGCGGAATAAGACGTGTAGTCTGGACAGGCATCGAGGAGAACCTCCTGTGTTTTCCCATACGCGCCCCTGTTCCCGACGCTAATCGCGATAGCGAGCGCGGTGACCAGCGATGTCAACGGCGTCATGACGGAGATGATTTAGCAAGTGTAATCCCCCCGAGGCAGTTGTAAGAATAAAGGGGGAAAAAAGGATATGGACCACTGTCCAGAAAGAAGCAAGGTCAGGTCTGATCTAAAGCTCCTCGTGGTGCATCGCGTACTACGGGCCGAAAGATTGGAAGTTGTGTCCCACAGGGGATTAGGGGAGTCAGTAGAATGAAGAGAGGAGACAAACCAAAAGGCTTGTCGATCACTGCATTAGTGTCGCACTCTTATAAGAAAAATACCCCGGAGTACACGAGTCAAGACGCTTCGCTCTGCAGGAATGCAGGATCGGCCAAAACGCGTGGGCGACAAAACTCCAGGATCCATCGCTTAGGCGGTACTGTTGCATTCCTCATATTTACTATCGGCCTCAGTATCAACAAAGGACAATCTAACTCCCTCGATTTTGGAGGGTTCTTGGATAAGCAGCCAAAGAGGTAGTAGCAACGGTAGCAGGATGAAGGATGATTATGGTAACAGGGATATGATCTTTAGGTTATAGTTAACTATAAGTCAAGTATTGGTAAATAAGGCGCTCGTTTGTCCTGGAACCCAGACAGCGCTGGCTATTTCTTTGAGAAAAATGACATAATGCTGCCTTGGCCAGCCTTTGCAGGTGGCTTTCCCTTTGGAGCGCTCACTGCTGGCTTCTTCTTTGGAGGCGGTGCCTCGCTTTCTGAGAACGATTCCCAGACGGGCTCCTCGACAGTGACTGAGGACAGGACAGTCAGACCCAGTGGGACAAGATGCAAAAGAATAGAAAAGCCCGATCTGCATACCTAGATATCCTTCTTCGTCCTTCATTGTCTTCTTCTTCATGACTTGACGGCGACCCCTTCGCCGGCCGCCCTGCACTGAGGCTTGCTCTTTCAGCTCGGGCTCCTTAGGTGGCTGCTCAATTGGTGGTGTCGGTTCTCTGGGCGTTTCTGCTGCATCGGGCATTTCCTCGTCGTCTTGTAGTATTTGAGTTAGTACATCGTCAGTCAAACGCAGGTGGCAGCGTCGCATACCGTCATCTTCCATCATCTGCCTGAGCTTCTCCTCGCGTTCCTTTCTCGTCTCACGATCGGTTGGAGAAGCTCGTTTGTCTGTGTCGGGGAAGAGTTGTTCGGCTTCTTCTTCAGAGGCATCGTCCAAGACAACTGCAATATTGATTAGTCAAGGCGAAACTATGTATGTAAGATAGGCGAATCTACCATCTTCTCCACCACTGGGTTCGGCCTGTGAATCTGAAGTAAGCCTCTTTCCGCAGCGTCTTTTCATGGAAACTGACTGCACTGACCGATTCAGTATTTGAGATGGCTGGTGTAGCTGAAACTTCTTTCTTTTCCCTCGGCTTCGCCTTGGCGAACGAAGTGAACAAGTTGCTCTTCTCGCGTTTTACTGGCGCGGTCTTTTCTGTCGCTTTCGAGGGTTGTGATGTGGTCTTGGACGCCGGAATTGTTGTCTCTGGTGCTGCCTCCTTTTGGAAAGGTGGTTTGACAGGTGCTGTAGTAGTACTTGATGAGGTCTTTGGAAGTTGAGCGGCTGGCGGTGCTGCCGGACGGACACCTGTCCGTCGCTGTAGATCAATCAAAATTAGCCCTTCCTCCGGCAGAAAGATGTCACAGAGCCAGAATATTCTACCTTGACATTCTTATTCAATATCATGCCCCATTGTGATCCGCACTCTAAGGGGTCATCGTTAGGAAATGTAAGTGCTAATTCCCTGCTAACGTCTGTCAAGACATTGAGATCCGGCAGTACCGCGGGCTGTAAGCTGTATATATGAATCGAGGCGATGAACTGGAACGTCGATTTGGCATCTATTTAGGTGAGACTGGGGATCGCAAGTCTCTGAAAATAGGGCTCTGTTACCTTCCAAGTCCTCCTCTCGGACCAACGTGATTGACGTAGTTGAAACCTGCTCCTGTGCAGCATCCTGCTGGGGCATAGAGCTGCTCAAATACGGGCTGCTCTGCATAATGGCATCTCCATCCTCCTTTACATGAAACCCATTCGTCTCTGACTTCTCGGGCAGCTTCGGAGTGCCCACAATAACATATGTCGCATTCACACTCTGGGGTTTCTTCGCGTTCTCGTGCCGGTGAAATTCATAGAGCATCCTTCCAAAACAGGTCAGCACCACATTTGATACACGATGAGCCTTGACTCTTGGTATCGACTCACTGCTTAGCCAGATTGGTATGGACCTTCAAAGCCCGACTGAGAGAGCGATGTGTGACCTGCCATAAGAACCAATTGATCAGCACTTCACCCAAAACAAGCTCAATAAATTAGAAAGACAAACTGTGCGATGTTCATTGAGAACATTCTCGGCCAAATATCTTGAGTAATCAACTGCCATTATGACCTTGTCATATATGATCTGCTGCCGGTTTTTCCTCTCTGCAAATAACTGCAGGCTCGCTCTGTTCTTTTCCCCGAGAGTCAACGCGTGCCAAACCACTTTACGCGTATAAGTCAGCGGGTCTTGGCGGTCAGCGGTTCGTGATCGACGCTCTTCATGAGATAGGAAATTCAGAGTCTACAAGAACCTCGTCAGAGCTGCCCAGTGCGCTTCTCTCTCTTACAGACACAGTGCCTTCAATCTCATACAGCGCTACGCATATTCCTTCCATGCTCTGAGAGAAGAAAATATTCCGATGGACCCCTCTTTTGACCTCCCCGACTCTACAGATTGGCTCAACACGCCGTTGTCCCTGTTGGCACCGCTCGAGTCTTCGCTGCGATGTCAGGTGTGCAAGGACTTTTTCAATAACCCTGTGATCACCTCGTGTAGCCACACCTTCTGCTCGCTCTGCATCCGCCGCTGTCTGAGTAAAGAAGGCAAATGTCCCGCCTGCCGGACCTCCGACCAGGAACTGAAGCTGCGGCGTAATTGGGCGGTGCAGGAGTTTGTCGAGGCGTTCACAAATGCTCGTCCCGGCGTACTCGATCTGGCGAAGAAAGCGGCGCGGGGTGATGTTGGTCTGGAGCAACCGGCGTCCAAGAAACGAAAGGTGGAACATGGCGAGGATCGCGAGTCTGATTCTGTTGGTGCGGACGGTGTGCGAACGCGGTCTCGGAGCAGACGCTTGGATCCCCAGCCTGAAACAGGGATAGTCGAAGCCGTGGAGGACAGTCAGGATGAGGACTTTATTCCAGGTATGTTTTACGGCGCTCCCGCTTGTTCAAGGCTGGAAACTGAGAACTCGACAGAAGATGGATTGGTCGCGTGTCCGATATGTAATAAGAGAATGAAGAACGAGGCAGTTTTCAGACACCTTGATGCTTGCACTGGTAGTGCGAGCCCTAACAAGTCCAGAAATCTTGGGTAAGGCTTGCCTATAGCTCTGAACACCCCAGGTTGTTTCTAATATGCTCAATAACTGGTCAGACCGCTACAGGTATCGCAGACTTCACGCAGTCCAGGTAACAATACGACAGAAAAGCCCCCCGGGCGGCTCCCGACTCTCAATTATTCTATACTCAAGGAAGGTGTGCTTCGCAGAAAACTTCGAGATTTGGGTATCCCGGATTGGGGTGCCAAACAACTCTTGCAAAAACGGCATACCGAATGGATGAACCTGTGGAATGCGAACTGCGACTCAAAAACACCAAAGTCTATGAAGGATTTGCTCAGGGAGTTAGACATCTGGGAGCGGACTCAGGGCGGCCACGCTGCAGCTGCGTCGGCATTCGCCCCCCCGAGTGTCATGCGGAAAGAATTCGATAAGGAGGCATGGTCTGCAACCCACGATGACGATTTCAAGCGTTTGATCGCCAAGGCACGGAAGAAGAGTGAGGAGCAGGTCCGAACGACGATTCCGAAAATGGAGGAGCTTCCCTCAGAGTCAAGCAAGGCTGCTGCTGATGGCCCCGTCACCAATGGTGATAAACCCGAATCACCAAGGCTACCTTCGGCTTTCCTAGGTCCAGCAGAGGTAGCTAGCAACAGCGCTCCTAGTTTGGGCCCAAGCCCTAACCCTGAGATGTAATATATATTCCCGGTGATAGTTTGTTCATATCTTTTTGCGTGAGAAAGATACCCTAAAGAGTACCCATATGATGGCCGTTTCCCTTGTTTGATTCTATTTGGCCGGCAAAGGGACCGTTCCATTTCCTTCTTCTGAGGCGTCTTCAACAGACATCTGGGAGAGTCGATCAATGCTCTCTGCCAATGCGGCATCTGTGCTTTGTTCTGTCGCTGCTTTCTTAGCAGCTTCCTTGGTGGCTGGTCGGAGAAGATCGCTGTCAAGTTCCGCAAGTCTCTTCCGGGTTTCTTGCGCCTTTGCCTCTTCGATCGCCTCCGTCTCTCTCTTCTCCAGCGCTTCCAGCTCTTCGTCGATTTCTCCCTCGTCAATAATGGGTCCAGCCTCATTGAGGATACTTCCGACTTCGTCTACCTTCATCATCTCTTCTCGCAGCTCCTCAACCACGTCTTCAACACGCTCAATGCCGCCAAGTTGGCTATGGAGCCCGCGGAGAACGCCGGTACTGGCCTCCATGACCTTCATGACCTCGACTTGATCGGCAGCCTGCTCGATTTTGGTATATACCTCTTCCAATTGCGCGAGTGTATCCAATCTTTGTTTCAGATTATGTTCTATAAGCTTCTTCGAGCGCAATGAGGACAGAGCCGATATGCGATTCTTGCTGTTAAGTGCGGCTTTCGCGGCTGTGGTAAGCCCTTCGATCTTGGCCTCGAGTTCTCCGACTTGTTTCGACATGGTTGATATGAGCGTTCTTATACTTGCGATAGTTGTATCCTGCTGGGTAATTTGTGTGCGGGTATCATCCGAGGACATGAATTTGATGGTCTATTGGAAAATCAGTGGCTGATCCAGAACGAAGGTGCATATAATAGAAAATGAGGCTTCGCAGACCTTGCCGTCATAAGCGATAGCACCGGTGTCACGGGATAGGTAGAGAAGCAGGACATCAAAATCAAGATCAGATAGAGAGCTTTCTCCATCCAGTATCGATTTGAACTCATTTATGAATCCTTCCTTTGAGTAGATCAAATCAATCTTTGAAGAGCTCCGGCTTAAAGCTTCTTTCGTAATCTTGCTTGCTGCTTCCTTCAAAATCTATTAGCAGATTGTCACAGACTGCAAATGTCTAATGCTTACCTGAAGGTTCTCAACAATAACCAGGTCTTGCGTCTGCAATCGAGGTGATGCCTCAAGACTGTCAGCACCTAAAACGATTCCTTTCAACTGTCTAGCCCCCCAACTCATGATACTCCAGGGACTTAACGCCGAGGTATCCAAGACCGACCACTGTTTCTTGTGTAAACTCGTCGCACTCGCTCTATACGCCTGCAGCGGTACCATTGCCTGGTTCCGAATGGCTTCTTCCTGTAGACACGAATTAGTATCAATATGACTGTGGGGATTTCACCCTGATTCATAATAGCCATAATCGAACATACGAAAACAGCGCCCAGAGCAACCGGTCGACCCAAATCAGGCAACTCCAACTGTCGTAGCAGCGCATCACTTGTTCTCAGAACTAAGTGATCTCCTTTCCGGTCGCTAGCAATGAGTCCCTTCCTCGCTGCGCAACTGATCGCTCGCTCCCACGCAGCAATGTTGATGGCGTATCCATCTGGATTTGTGGTCTTTTGCAATGCGAAATCCGAATAGAGTGAGGGTAAACGGTTCCTATGAGTAGAGAACATTTAGCAGTGTTTCTCGAGGTGAATATTATAGGCAGTATACCTTCGAAACGCATCCTCATGCTTGAGGATGTAGTCAATGAGGTCGCTCATGCTGTGTCGGTGAAATAGAACCGACTGTTATTCCTTGACTATATCGTGGCCGGTGTTTATATTCTAGTGTTTGTATGCTAAGCAAGGAGACTCAATGAAGTTATACCAGAAGTTTCGAATCGCGCCGGGTCCAAGACTCGCACGTCAATAACAATCAATCCAAGCTGGTCTTTGGTCGGGAGTCTGGACAACACTTTATCGATAAGGCTGCCCTGGTGATGATGTCACGTGATGATTGCTATACCATATGGCATAAAGAGATCATTGGTAGATGATAACTATGTTACAAAAGAGGGCTAGATCTTTTAAAACCTTTGATTACTTCCATTATGGCATTCCTATGTATCTAAGCTCGTTCAAAATCGTCATGCGCTGCCTGCTCCGGATCTTTGGCCAGTTGGACGGGGCTGTGAGGAGTAGTGGTGTCTAGGGAAGCAGAGAGTCCAATCAGCGACCTGCGATGGTTGGGCTTGATATCCAGCTGCTCGCTTGTCTCGTCGGTTCCCAAGAGATCTGTGGTGACGCTTTGATTCCTAGTATCCAGACCTCTGACCTCGAGGTACTCCACCTTCACGTTATGCTTGAGATTATCGATGAAGGATTGGACCTGTGGCATCGGGAAGACACCATCTTGTTGGAGAACATCGGCATGGAGCCGTTCTGCCTCCTCTAAGCAAACGGAGGCCAGCGTCGGCTTGCCCAACTTGAGCCAGAGGTCTGCCGAGAGGATACTCCACATCCCAGCCTTCCGCCGTCGACCTCCCCATCGAGCGCCGCTCAAAGTAGTCTTGGATGCGTAGCAGGCGGAGACCCTCTCGCTGAAAAGGACCTGGCCGATTGAGCCAACCAGGCCCAAGTCCATGACTCGCATGGCCCACCGTGCTGCACTCTCCGTGGCTGATCCACCACGCGACTTTAGGAGCTCCACAGCAAGGGAAAGGGTCCGCAGCGCGTCCAGTGAAGCCGAGCATCGCGTGAGGTAAGAATAGCACGCGGTCTCGATCATCTGGTCGATGCTTTCGAGTTTGGTCTTGGCAGGCATTGCGAGTGGGTTCAGAAGCGTGCTCATGGCGCACATCTCATGCGCGCCAGCATGATACCGCCAGGCTTTGTCGTTTCCATAATCCGAACGGAGAAGGTCGTACGTGGATGCCGACAATTTCCAATCGCGGAGCATGAATGCGAAATCGGCCATCTTTCGCAAAAGAGCCTCGGAGGTATCTGGCTTGTAATAACCGTAGGTTGAATCGTAGTTTCCGCTTGCTCCGCCTGACCCAGAGGAGGTACCAGAGCGAGAGCCAGAGCCAAAGCCAGCCCAGCGGCGAGACATTGACATGAAGCGGCCACTCAGGCCACGTCGTCGTGAAGCAACTTGATCATTCCACACGGCTACTCGATTTTCCATGTATGGTATCACAGACTGCGCGACTAACTCTCGAACAAAGGTTTTTATCGCCATTACGTCGGATTCAAACAGATATGGAACACCTTCTGTCCCCAAATCTACTAGAGTCTCTGGTAAAAAGGTCAGCACAGTCTTTTTTTGGAGAGGAAATCAATGCATCGCATACGTGTCTCGCCCATCTTGTAGAGGTGTTCGGATGGTGATAGCCATTCGCACTGCGGTACCTGAACACTATCGTCATCTGTCACCACGCATTGATGACTCCGCAGTCGGAGAAGATGGCAATGCAACCCGAAATGCCGCTTCATCTGGTCATATAGTTTCGTAGATTCGGTGATGTCATCACGGTCTTCATCGTGGACCAAAACATAGTATCGTAGATACTCTGGGTTCACCCAGTCCGCCAGCCTTCTGCCTCCGCTGCTAGTATCCGCATAAAGCTGTCTTAGGGTCTCAAGAGGGGCCACGTTGCGCGAACTGATGGCAATGACACTTGCCACCGGATGGTTGAAGGTTTCATGCGGGGTCAACGTCGCTGCAGAGAGCAGCTGGCGAAGGAAGAACTTGTACAAGGGCGAGGTTGCCGGCAAGCTGCCGGCCACCAAATCCCTGGAGCGCAACAGTCCGCCCAGCGGATCATCTGCGGAATCAAGTTGTCCCTCCAAAACGTCCTCCAATTGCGAAACGGCCGAGTCTTGCGTAGCAGCACTTGCCGTGGGTGTCTGTCCTCTAAGGTCCATAAACCGAACACCAAAGTCCTCCCAGCTATGACTGGACCCGATACTATCGCGAACAACGACTCTTCCCGCCACATTCTCGCCAAAAGGGCGGATAAGCTCCCAGAAACCCCCGCGGAATCCCTTCTCCCTAATCAGCTCATCCGTGTCGGCAGAAGCGTAGATGCCGACAGTTGGTGAAAATGACCGTATGACCAGGGACCGGATATCTTCTGAGCCTTCTAACCATCCATCGACCGGCGAACCCAGCGATGACCGCGCAAGCTGCGGCGTCAACCTCGCCGTCTGCGAGTTCCGCGAGGAAGGCCTGATCGGCAGATCCGCCGTCGTCGCGGCGGACAGGGGCGGGGTTGGCGAGGCAGTGATCCTCGACTCCACTAAATCAGACTCCAGCGAAGGTGATGCCGCGCGCTCGCCCGGATATCTGGGCTTGGAGATGACCAGGGGAGACCCGGAAAAGGACGGCGGAGGTTTCACCGGGGCAGCATCTCCGGGCGATGTCATGGACACCGGGTTTAGTTCAGTTCGTCTCGAATCGAAGTGTTTGCTAATCCCATCGACAGACCAGCGTCTTCCGTATATACTGCTGTCGGGACTTCCCAATAGCACTCGGTAGTAGGGGGGAGGGTTCTCGTTCGGTCGGGAGGTGAGATTAGAGCCAAAAGCAAATCAAGGTGTGCAACGTCAGAAAGGGCGGCGGTGCTGGGCGCCCAGTAGTCCGCCCCGCGATTCGGGATTCATTGATCCTTCTCGAGCACAGAGGAATCCAGAACAGATACTTTGGTTCCCAGGAGACTAAAACCTCGTCTTCTTCCTTATCCTTGGACTCAACTGCTGCTGTGATGGTCCTTAGCTACGTCAGTCGGAGCTCTTCGTCAAGGCGGTGGGTACAAGAAATCCAGCGATCAGTTGTTTTCGAGTCTTCCTTTTTTTGTGACTCACTGTTGCGGATGAGCTGTGAGGCTGACACCTGGAATTAATAGAGGATAATGTCTCATGCCTGTATTTGTTCTTTATTCACCTCTTCCTAAGGCTTCCTGTCTATGGGCGTCCTTGTTCTGCCCTACCAGACATCGCTTGTTCCCCGCCAACCGCTTTGTTTTCAGTCCAACCCACACTGCTCTACGACGAGGAATAGCTCTTCATTCCATGCGTGACTGCGAGACTGGAGAGGATTGCTGCGAGAGAGCGACGAAACGAAGACGTCTTTCGACAGCTGCCGCTTTGCGCGAGAACACTCCGGTCGCAATGAGTCACGCAACCATAGCCAACACCGCGAAGCAGACGCCTCAGCTGCACATGGATATCGCGCTGACACCTTTGGAAAACACTCTTAAGGAGTTATTACTGGATGTAGCGCAATATATTCGGGAGAATGATGTGGTGGCTGGTGGAAGCGATGTGGTCGACCGTCCAGAGACCGTCTTGCGGTTCACCGGGGGCTGGGTGCGAGACAAGCTACTCGGTGTCGACAGCCATGATATCGACGTGGGGATTAGCAGTATGACTGGGTATCAATTTGGAATGGCCCTCAAACAGTATTTGGACGTCCCGGAAAACCTCAAGAAGTACAAGGAGAATCACCCGGACGGGGCGCTGAAGGAAGCGATTGTCAGTCTTCATAAAATCGATGCGAACCCGGAAAAATCGAAGCACCTTGAAACGGTAACGACTAAGATTTTTGGGTTGGATATCGATTTGGTCAATCTGCGCAAGGAGACATACTCGGAGGACAGTCGGAACCCGCAGATGGAGTTTGGCACCGCCGAGGAGGATGCACTGCGTCGAGACGCCACAATAAATGCGCTCTTTTACAATCTGAACGAGTCGAAACTGGAAGACCTGACAGGAAGTGGCATTGAAGATATGAAGGCCAAACTCATTCGAACTCCACTAGAGCCCTATCAGACCTTCAAGGACGATCCGCTGCGTGTGCTGCGACTGATCCGGTTCGCGAGCCGCTTGGGGTATCGCATTGACGCAGACACTGAGAAGGCGATGCAGAACAGTGATATCCGAGATGCGCTCCGTTTAAAAATCAGTAAGGAACGGGTCGGCAAGGAGCTCGAGAGCATGTTGCGAGGTGAGCCCCTCCTCGGATTATTTTTCGGGTTGAATCAGTACTTATATCATCCATTCAGGTCCTGATCCGTGGCACTCACTGCAACTCATTGATCGACTTGAATTATATACAACTATTTTCGCTAACCATCAGGACGACGTCATCGTTGATCTATCTTCATGGTCTTTAGCCTATGAAGCACTCGAACGGTTACTTCGCCCTGTAGGTGAAGGAGACGAGAATATCGTAGATCGTGTGTGCGCGGTTCTCGTCCGTGACGCCAATGAACGTTTTTATGCATGGTTGATCGCTGCTTTTGCTCCTTGGTCATTGGTACCAGGACGGATAGCCCAAGGCCCCAAAGCAAAGCCGCTCCCTCCTCGCACAGTGGAAGTTGCAAGGGACAGTCTCCGTTCTGGCAATAATATCATTACCGTTCTACGTGATTCTACTACTGCTGCTGAGAGTATCATCGACACCAAGTTTGCTTATCTACAGAACAACCTGACTGGCTCTCCCGCCGAGATTCGGCAGCACATCGGTCTCTGCATCAGATCCTGGAAAAAGGACTGGAGGCTGTGTACTATGTTAGCCATTCTACAGGAAGTCATGGGAGGACACGACTTTCTCGAAGGTCAGCGCCCATTGGTGTCTTTTTCTTTCCATTCACTCCGTCTCTCCCAAATGCTGACTTTGCTCCCTTGCAGTTGTCGGACAGTATGACAAGTTCCTTTCCTATATCGTTGAAAATAACCTGGAGGACGTATGCGACATGAAGCCTATTGTGAATGGCGGAGAAATCCTAGAAGCCTTACAGGGCCGGAAGGGCCCATGGATGGCCAGGGCCCAGGATATGGTGGTGCACTGGCAGCTCTTGCATCCAGAAATCACAGACAAAAAGCAGGCATTAGATGAACTCATTAGTAGAAGAGATGAGTTAGGCTTGCCTGCAACATCTTAGCCTTAGAATAATTAAATGAAGGGAAAAAACTGTGTTGAAGGCGCTTCGTTGCGAAGATGAGTCTCCAAACCAAACCACCAAAAAGAGCACAAAAACTTCTGTAGCCGGCGGGCACTTTCCGTCGTCCTCTTCCACTCTCCACGCTGCATCGAAGCCATGAACATGCTTTAACGAATCCGTATGGGATGATCTAATTAGTATATTTTCTACAACCTTTGAACTGATTACCGTCATGGAAGAACTTCGCGCAGCAGCCCATGCGTACTTGCAAGGACAGGCATCGCAGGAGACACGCCCAGAATTCGCTCCCGACGGCCTCAAACTAGATGTATCACTAGAATCGCTGTGGCAAGACATTTCATTACATTCTTTATCAAAAGACATAGAGGTAACCTATCATTTCTTTCGGAAGCAAATGATTGTGAGCTAATCTTGGTTTGGTAGAGACTGGAAAGTCTGCTCGTCGCCCAAGGGTATCTCAGAACGCGGGGCCCACAGGCTCTGGCAAAGTCTGATGAGGATGCAGCCAACAGGTTGTATGAATGGGTTAGCAGTGCTGCTCTTCCTTCTGTGGAATTTGCAAAGCTACTGAGTCCCTATGAATCCTTGGATGGTACGCCGTTTGTGTCTAGTCGGAGATCTCTCAGAGTGCTGACTTACGCGCTATAGCGCCGGAGAAAAAAGTTATAAAACAAGCGGTCTTGCGTGTGTCGACTGCTGTATCTATCATTGCCTATCTACATGATATTTTGCCGATTGAAAAGGCCTCAAATACGGCCGATATAATTGTGGCATTGGCTAGCTGTTCTTCTGAAAAGGACCCTTGGACTACCTTGGAAACTCGCTCGAAGGCCACCGCCTTACTCAGGTCATATGTTGACAGAGAGCGTGCCAAACCAAATCCTGATTTATGGACAGTCGTTGAGAAGACCTTGAGACAGAGAATCAGACCCCTGTTTGCAAAGACCCAGAATCCGGCCATCACCGCTGCTGGGAGGAAGAACTTCCATCCTGTGCCACTGCCTCGATTCGATACAAGCACCTTGGATCCGGAAACGAAACCATGGAAGATCCATGATGTTTACTCTACTACTGTTTTCGCGTGGTTGGTTGCGCAGTATCTTGTAAGTTTATTTGATCGTCGGCATACAACGCCCAGCAGTCTAACTTGGTTATTCCAACAGCCCGCCGATTATGAACACCTGGAGAGACACTTTCCCCTCCTAGTCCCCCCAATGCTCACTCTGATCGACGATGATAACATCTCTTTCAAAACCCGGGGATGTGATATTCTCTCGCAGCTCCTTTGGCCAATCAAAGAGAGCAAATCGAGTATCCTCCAACGAACTAACCTGTCCTCTGTTTTTGAGGAAGCCATCGTGCCATGTCTTCTGTCTCTGCCTACAATAACGCCCGAAGACGAATCCATCCAGCTTCTTGCCGCAGCTTACCCAGCGCTTCTCTCGCTCTTCAAGACCAGTTACCAGAACAGTCCAGCTGGGAAACAGCTTGAGAAGGACAAAGAGAAATATATATCTAGCGTGACCAAAATCCTTCGCGACAATGTCATCTCGTCTTTCCACCATATCAGCTCTATGAACCCCACATCCACGTCTTCGTTTGCATCATTTCCTCATCCGCGCTTATCAACATTACTCGTTGATCAGATAACTATTATAGTCACTGAGTTACAGATTCATACCACCAAGTATCTCCAGGAGATTATACCTCTGGTGTATAGCACACTCACCAACCCATTCGGGACGGCTTATTTGCCATTACTCCTGTCCGCTGTTTCGACGGCGCGAGCAGTGATTCTGAACGCCCATCCGCGAATATGGCGATGGAGAGGCGAGCTTCTCGGCGGTGTATGCTCGTGCTGGATTCATGTGCTGGAGGAAGAGACTCAGATTGCAGAACGGAAGAGCAGGGGCCAGACTATAAAAGAACCAGCCGAAACTCTTACCGTTGAAACCCTGGGACGACTTAAGAAGCAGTTGAAGGGCGCTGTCTACCTGCTGAAGTTTGTGTTGGAGAATCCGGGTGAAAGCGACCTGGTTGAACCCGGACAGAAGGAGGCGAAGGAAAGCATTTCAGACGAGTTTCAGACTCTCGTCAATGCAGATGAACGGCTGAGAGACCTCCTCGCTCTGGAAATTGATATGACTGACGTCGAGATGTTCGGCATGAAGACTACGACGAACGAGGACCGATCTGTTTAAAATATTTTCTGGTATCTAGATACCTCTCAATGATATTACGATGGCCAGAGATATATGGCATTATTTAAGGAATCCTTTTCTCCAGCCAGAAAAATGCATATTCAATCATAATATTAAGAATAACTCACAAGACAGCAAGACCGACCATCCATGCGATTCCAACGAACATCCGTTAAGTTTAATAGCTTATCTAGTATATAACCCAGAAACCTTAACCACTCCATGTGCTTGTCCCATTCAGGTCAAGCAGAACTTGCCAAAACTCTTGGTCTAACTCAATAGGCACGAACGATGATTCTTGCAGAGACTGGTCTAGATCCATGGCTTGATTCGTTGATAAAGATGTTGGAGCCGTGTTTGTGCGGTCATCGGCTAGGGACGTTTTTGCTGTGTACCACTCTCGAATCCACTGGACCTTCATACAGGTTGAGTAAAGGACCGATTTCCCAGCGTCATCGAATTTTCTTCTCCCCCCAACCACCTGTGCCAACCGGTCAGCCTCGTAGAGGCGGTCACTCAAGCTCTGACACGCAGTAGCGAAGTCAAAGGTCTTGCGAGCCAGATGGGCACTCCAGTCTGAATCGTCAAGCAAAAGGATCCTGCTTGAAGTCACAAAGGCGAAGGACAGGTATGTGGTAGGCATCAATGGCATCGAGCCCAACTTTGCAAGGGGGATTGCGGTGTACGCGACGAAAAAGTCTTTGGCTGCTTGTAGGCAGCCCCAGAGGGCCTCGGTGCGGTGTGTTGACTCGAGCGGATTGCCCGATGTGAGCAAAGGCTGCATATGAATAGCTGGCTCATAGAGCCTGATGAGGACTCCATAGTAGTGGATCCAAAAGAGAGCTGTGCAGATGGTTCGCATTAGCTGATGGTTCTCATCTTCCCGTAACATGAAAAGATTCCGTTCCCACAGTATCAGAACTATGACCTTACCGTTATTTTTAACCTCTGGGGGCTGGCTCTGAACTAGAGCATCTATTTCCTTCCTGGTGGTCGCCATGACCATGTGGAGAGGTGCATCGAGGAAAGGTCCTGGAGTCTCGTCGACATCGGGTCCAGGAAAGGAGTCAGAGATGCGCGCGAGAAGGCGTTGCATGCGAACAAGAGAGACAAGAAGTTGATCTGATTCATACTCCTGTGCTTCTAAAACAGCTTCACAGCAGCGTGTGAGGTAAGGCGTGTTTCCGAAACATCGTATCCTCCGGAACAAGGTCGCTATTCTGTGGTCTTATTAGCGGCTCTGGACATTGAAAACTACATATCCGCGACGACATATCAAAAGCAAGTCCATACAACGAGTTGATATAGTAGCATCCCAACATGGTCCGCTTGTCATCAAGATTGTGACTTTCCCTCTTGTGCCCAAGTCGCAGCTTCCGGGTCGCTTCTGGGACGAAGGATAGCCGCACTGCGCCGCCTAGTGACCCAGGAGGCCTGTTCAAACCGAGGTCGAGCATAATTGCCTCAGAGAGCTGAAGTAAGTCAGTTGCTTGAGGCTCAATGTAGAATTGGAAATCGCCCCTAGAAGGAACATTAGCCGTTCTCCGCGCGCTTGTTGACTGACTCTCCCATGTTGGCATTCACCATGCAACAAACACTATAATGGCTTGTAAGACTTCCAGCCGTCTCTCACCCTCTACTAACACATGCTGTGCAATGTGCTCCCGAAACCAAGTCTGAACCTTTTTCTGTATCGTATGATTCACCGGCGCTGTTACCTGTAGAATGGTACGGAGCAGGAACGGAGTTTCGCTATCCATCTCTAATGCTGTCATTGTGACGGGGATAGGGACGAAGGGGAAGTATGAAGTATAGAAAGATCGGTACAGATTGAGGGCTTTATCAGCCTCGTTAAGGGTCATCCTGAACCCCGGAACAATCTCGATATATTGACCCGGTGTTGATTCTGTGTGATCGAAGACTGGAGAAAACGATGACACAGCTCTCGCAGGTGCCTGAGAATCCATTTCTTTCTGTTTGATGGCTTCCAAACTAGAACGTGATTTTAATCGGATATTTTTAGGATCCTTGGGGGAGCTCGGACTATTCTGCTGTATGAATTGCTGGCCCATCTGGCTTCCATTTAGCAGCGACAGGATTCCATCAAGCTTCTCCTCGAGTTGTCCTACTCTCCTGAAAGAACCGCCAATCGTGAGACTCTAATAAAAATTCTGGAGGTATCTTATTCGCCGCAATATACTCACTTAGATGGTCCTCTTCGCCTACGAGGATGCAGCTCCGGCAAGATGCAACGTATGCCACTCTGAACGCATCTGGCGAGCAAATCAGTAATAAAATCACTAGATAGCTACACATTCAATCCTTTTCCTTTCGCCAGACAAACCTTCGGCACGGACTGGCGCCCGGTTTCAAAGACCAGACGCATCTCATCTTGGACCGCGCGCAACTCTGGCACGCACGCGGCCGGTCCTTCACTGTTTCGGGCCCGGCGTGAGAGACTCCTCCGGCAGCCGGAGCGGACATGATTGTGATGAAGATTACAAAATGATTAGAGACAGGAAAATTTGTCAGGTCACTGATCTGGGGTCACTAAGAGATGGAGTCTAGAGGAAGGCCGGCCTCGGGGATCTAAATGACTCCCGGCCCCGGGGGGTTGCTTCCAGCCAGCCAATCACAGCGCAGAAATCTACACCTGACGAGACACCTTCTGCCTTCGGACCTCCTGACGGAATCTTGAGCCTGAGAAGGGAGTCGACAGATCTTTATCAAGGCTTTCTGTCGAATATGGAGTCTCTATATTGTGTTTTATTTGTCTCTGTCATTTGTTTAGTGAGGTTTTGACTCCTCATGACCTATCCTGAATCCCTAGAAGAGTGAGTGCTCACCTGGTTTACCGTTTGTGTGCAGTTATATACTGACCAGACCAAAACAGGCTTGTACCCAACTCAGAGTCTATCGATATGTCTGAAACCACTTGCCATAAACAACAGAAAGACGGAGGTGATGTCGATCTTGCTTCTCGATCTGCGCCGGCAAGCGAGGAGCATATGCCACCGTACCCTGCTGGTATCAAACTCTTCTCAATAGGAATCGGTCTGGTTCTTGCCGTTATTTGCAGCAATCTGGTAAGTGCCATATTTTACAGAACAAAGTGCGGTTCACTGATATCGCATCTCATCTGCTAGGACCGTTCTATTCTCAGCGTTGCTATCCCAAAGATCACAAGCGAGTTCAATTCGCTGGACGACATGGCGTGGTACGGGTCTGCATATCTACTGACATCGTGTTGTTCGCAGTTGATGTTTGGGAAGCTGTACGCCGCATATAAAATCCAGTGGATCTTCTTGGGCGCTCTGGGTGTCTTCGAACTTGGCTCCATTTTATGTGCTGCTGCTCCCAACTCTAACTGCCTGATTATCGGTCGAGCAATTGCTGGGCTAGGTGCAACCGGGATCTCTACCGGAGCTCTCCTAGTACGTATAACTATTGAAGTTTTAGTTCCACGGTTGGGGTTTGAGTGTCTCACGTGTTAGATCATTTCCCATAGTATGCCCGTCCATCAGAGACCCAAGTACACTGCTATGATTGGGGCATGTGTGGGTATTACGATTGTCATTGCACCCTTCTTAGGAGGAATTTTCACCGACAAGCTCAGTTGGAGTAGGTCGCTCTTCTCTACAACTAGGATCCATATGCTGATTAGCTACTAAGGATGGTGTTTTTGGATCAATCTCCCCTTGGGAGGTCTGACTTTTATCACCATCTTCTTCCTAGTTCAACTTCCCAACCCACCCAAGAAGCAGACAACAGGCTGGAGAGGCCTTCTGGATATTATCGATATTCAGGGCACCGCTCTTCTTCTGCCATCCACCGTTTGCCTTCTTTTGGCGCTCCAATGGGGCGGTACTGACTACGCCTGGAACAGCTGGAGATGCATTCTTCTCTTCTGTGTTTTCGGCTTCTGTGGTCTCATTTGGTGCTACGTCCAAGTGCGAGAGGGTGATAAGGCCACCGTTCCGATGCGCCTCCTAAGAATGAGATCTATCCTGGCAGCCATGGTGTTTGGATTTGCCTTGTTTGGAGTAATGTTCCTGCAATCATACTACATGTCTATCTGGTTCCAGGCTGTCAAGGGCGTTTCAGCCTATCGAGCAGGTGTCTATTCACTTGCCAGCACAGGCGCAATGACAGTGGCATTCCCTGTGACAGGCATCCTGGTGAGGCCCCTGAATTACCTCACCTCTAATTCATTATGTGGCTACTGGCTAACATTAAATTCCCCAGACGAGTAAAACCGGCTACTACGTGCCCGGCATGATTGCCGGCTCCATCCTGAATATCATCGCCAGCGGACTCATGACCCGGTACGGTGTCCACACCAGCACAGGCTACTGGATCGCTGGCTCCATCCTCTCCGGACTCGGCTTCGGCTTCGGCGGCCAGCAGTGTATGATGGTACCCCAGACCATTCTTGAGGGCGAAGATATCGCCCTTGGGACGGCGGTCATCATGTTCGCCGAGACCATCTCCGGCACCATCTTCCTGGCTGTCGGCGAGAGCATCTTCGAGAACAAGTTAGTCAGCGAGCTGCGCGACCATGCGCCCACCGTCGATCCGAGCATTGTCATCGCTAACGGTGCCTCGGGCCTACGCGCTGCTATGGGCGAGATCTACGGCGTGCAGGTCGTCGAAGAGATCCTGGTCTCGTATGCAGACGCTCTGCAGCCCATCTGGATCATCACTGTGGCCCTCGGGGCGTTGAGTCTGGTGGGTGCTGTCTGCACCGAGTGGGTGAGTGTGAAGAAGGGTAAGGATAGTAGGGTCGCCGTGGAAATGGATGCAATCAAGTCTGAGGCTTAATACATCTATTATTATTTTGATTGTAGCTTCTCTCTCTTCCAACTGACTGCAGTTGTGTCCTATCTCATTAGTTTCCTATGATCGCTCATTTATAACGTTCATTTATACTCGACCATCTTCCCATAGTATGCATAAGTAAACCTATCAGCTATATATTCATCAATTCGTACAGTCGTGGTAGTAGACCAAAAAGTAGGGGGGGAAAATCAGGGATCAACTCGTTGTTTGAAAAGACTCTTCCCTCGCAACCACTGCCGATACCGTTTGTAACGCTTCTTCTCATAGTCTTCGGAGACAACCGTCAAGCCTTCCTCCGAAACATCCAGGAACTCGGCATAGTCGGCCAGATTCTGCGCAGCGAGGGCTTCTAGCCGCGTATCATGGATGGCGCCCTTGTTGACGTATTCGAACAAGTCGAGGCTTGCCGAGCCATGTGCCTGCAAGGAGTCGGCCTGGATCTGGTTTTCTGAAGTCACGACCAGCGGAACCTTGAGCGGGTGGTTGATATACCGTTCGTACTCCTCTGCCTCGTTGGCGGTTACAGAAGGGTTCAGTGAGTCCGAAACCAGCTGCCCGAGAGTCCATTGCGCAATTTGAGCCTTGCTCGGGGTGGAAGGCGTCATAGGGGTGCTAATATTATTGATTTTGCTGTTCTTGTTGGATTCGGTAGGTAGTAGGTGCGAGTCTTGGGTTAACTCAAATATGGCCGGTTCCTTCATAATCCCCGACGAGGGAGGCCGCCGTTCAGACGAGTGAGGCTGGTTCAACCAGGCTCGGTTGGCCTTGGACATTGGTGAGGAGTCGACGGCGTATTCGCTCACTGTGTTTGATGGTTCGTGGATTCGAACACCCTTAGGCCGCGGGGGTTGTTGTCGTTCCCGACTCCCCTGTTCGTGTTGGATACGAGGCACGAATGGGCTGAGGTCATACGGGTGCCCGTGTGCGGTTCGAAATGGCAAGTACTGGAGAGTCGAGTTCATCTTAAAGGAGAAGATCTTGGAAAAGGACGAAACGGCGAGCGGCCGGTAGTATTCGAGCCAGTAGTCATCGAAATGGGACAAGGCTTCCATCGGTCGTTGGGGCAGGGGAGGAAATTCTCGCTTCTTGAGAAACTCTGGCGTATACCATTGCACGTAGTTAGGCCTCTTCTGGCTCAACCACTGTCGCGGATCGCCGTGGTGCAGGTAGTAGTCCGTCGATAGGTCCCACAGCATCGGCTGTCCCTGGGTAAAGATGTAGTTGCCAAGAAAGAGATTGTATGCTTCCTGGCGTTGCGCATCCAAGAATGAGTTGTTGTAATATCGCTTGAAGCTCTCCACCATGTCACGGGATTGGCTGCTCCACTGGTTGATTTTACGATATGTCGCCATCGTATTGACCAGGTGGGAACCCCCGTACTGAATCGCGATCGTATCACCGTGGTCGTGCCACATATCAGTAAAGAGATTAACGACATCAGTGTCATATTCCACCGTGGTTACATCGATAATGCCCAGGGCGTGGAGCTGGTGGCCCAGGGCTCGCTTACCGATCACAAACTGCGCGGCGTTCGTACGGTCCAAGCAATCGATGCAATTTGTTCGAGCCACCCCATTCTGGAGCTGCAGCCCAGATTCTACATCATCGCCGTTCCTGAAGAACCCCGTCTCTGGGATGATGTCTCCGGCAATCTCTTCCAGCGTGCCAATGACATCCTGGTCACGGCTTTTGGCCGCACGACTCATGTCCCAAGCTTTGTAGATGATCTTGTTGTCTTCAGGCAGGAACTGGTTCAGGTAATTGACAGCGTCTCCATATTCCTTGAGGAGTTTAGACTCGCGGGGAGTGCGTTCTCTAGCTTTGATGAGGTTCAAGACGTAGATGGGAGCGCCGTAACGCTCAAAGAGGTTGTCAAAATGGAGAGCCGCCGCCGAATAGAATGGATCGATCAGGTTCAACTCAATATCTGGTTTGGGAGTCACACCGGTGCTTTCTTGGGTCCAGTATAGCGGAATGCTCCCACGATGCTGAACGTACGAAGTGTAGTTGGGGTTCGAGTAAAGATACGGCCCGGCAGAATGGAATGAGGTCGTGATTTGCTCCGACACAATCTGCTCGGTCTCGACATCGTTCGCGACGTAGCCCAGGTCGTTGGCCCCCCGTTTGAGAAAGCGGGCGCCGGCGAAGAAACGAGACCGACGAGCAATGATAGTGATGTAGACTAGTCGTCCATACACAGACATCTTGGCCTGGTCGACGTAGCCGTGGATGATCGGCAAACACCATTTATAAGGGTTTTTAAGGTTTTCCAGAGCAGGGGTCAGCAGGTGCTGATTCCAAATAAACATTGTGTTGTAGTCCTGCTCAATGCGATGCGGGTATCCATCAGAAAAGAGCTTGCGTTCCCGGGCGATATTGTGCTGAAGCGTCTGGGTAATATCATAGGAGTAACTGAAATAAAAAGATCGCGACAGATCCAAGTTGTTCAGAATGCCAATGTATCGTGCTTCTTCCGGGTTCTTCTCGGGTTTCAGCCGCGACGACGCCGCAGTCGTCAGGGAAATAAGCTCCGTCCCGTCAATCTGGTACACATAGTGCCCTCCCAACATCGCAACTTGACTCCTCTTCGTGACCAGGAGCATGTAGTAGGCGCCTGTGAACCGGATAAACCCCAGCAACGCCCAAGCACTGCACTTGAGCTTCAGGCCACCGGAACTCTTGTTCCCATCATCAATCGCATCCAGCAGCTGGCTCATCTCGCGCTTGGTGTACACGATATCATCCTCCGAGACAGTCAGATCCCCCGTATCAGAAGTCCGGTCGATCTTGAGAATCCGGAATCGGGTGTCCGACAGGTCCATCCCCACCATGTAAAACCTCGTGGCGGTTTCATAGAGCGAGAACTTGTGCATGCGACTCACGCCTTCGTCGGTGAAGCTGTCCTGCAGAGCCGCCTTCTGTTTCTGGGAAGAGGAGGGCATTGAGTCTCGTTCAAATGACGTCGCAACTTGCGGCTCCTCGTCCTCGTTCTCGCCTTCATCTTCACTGATCTGCACGCTAGACGAGATCGGCGCGTTGTAAGCTCCCTCCTTTTGTTTGTCGCGGGAACCAGTCGCCTGGGCAGCTTCTGGCGTCTCTCCAGCCATATAAATACTCGACGCCGGGGTCACTGAGACCGTGGAATCGGCCGTGGGGGTCGGCTGGGAGGAAGAAGCCTGCTGCGCGGGGACGACCTTCGGCCGGGGCACATGATCGTCTTCATCGTCAAAGGCATCCATGGGCTCGGAAAGGTAAGACACCTCATCAAAGCTCTCCAGAAGGGGAATGTGTTGGGACATGGCTGGTCTGGATACTGCGAAACAAATAAACACTTCTCTGCCACTCGACGACCGATCCTCTACTTCTCATTAAACAGATAAATATGGCCACTAAGACTAGCGCCGTCCAGAACGGCCTCCAGTGGCGTCATTAAGATGTCCAAAGAGCCAGCCTTGGTTTTCAATAAAGTGTCTTCCTAGCCTCAGGTAGGTGGTGATAGCTTTGGCATCTCTTCTTGAGGTTATCTAACTAGGAAGCTACGTATTAGGCGTGATACGCATTTGCGCACTATCCCTAATACAGAGTAGCGGGGAAATCTCCAGGCTAGTGCTAATCTGTACTAGCTGATATGCGATAATGGAGCCATCCATATTAGGTTAGAGACTATGATATCCCTATGAGTATGACAATTTAGCCTGTCGAGTACCTTGATTTTTTTCAATATAGGACCAGAAAGGCTTCTTTCTTCTATAATATATGTGTTCATTGAATGGTCGTTTCTCTCACCATCTACACATTTTGATCAGTAAGCGACAGAATATCATATTCTCTTCAAACTATGGTTGGACTACAAATTAGTAGTTAGACTCCAGGGTTTGACATCACAACTCGAACTCCCCTTGGTCACCTGCTCATTTCGCCTATTCAGGTACTTACCCAGGATCCCACAGGTGACAGCACCCATAGTCTCGATTTTCCCACTGTCTCATCCGTCCAGTGTCCAGTCCTGCACCCACCTTGTTACCGTGACTCGTGAACCCTTCAATCTTTTGTCTCGGCCCTCTAATTTATCATGCTGAGCATATTGTCGGCCTCTAGTCATATCCGAACCATAATTGCAGAATAAAGAGAGAGGGAGAATGGCATCAACCAGTGGACCCTGGGCCGGATTTGATGACCTAGAGCGACGCACACTCATCACGAACATCCTCAATTCGCTCAAGGCTTATGAACTGCAATGGGGCTTTGCTCCCGGGTCCATGGCTATCAACTCTCCGGTTTGGTTTGCCTTGTGGCTGGCAGATTTGTCTAATTTGGAAAAAATTGCGGCTGCATTTGCTGAGAATCCAAACGGCACACGGTTAGAGCATAATGAGGTGGTTCCTCATCTTCTTACTCTATGTATGTATGCTGTCAAGACTGGAGACAAAAGCAGTTGGCTGATTAACAAATAATAGGGTTACCCACCTCTGGTATAGGGAGCAGGTTCCCTAAATCGCGACCTGGAAGTAGCACACCAACAAGTCCTGTTGATGATAACCCTAGCAACTCTGCGCCCAACAGCCCAACAGGCCCTCGCACACCTACAGGCAGAGCCCTTATGAGCTTCACGCCTGCAAAGAGTTCACCGTTGATGCCGATGGGTAAGAAGCGAAAACTGGACATGGAAGCGTCTCCGGGCTCGCCCAAACCCAAGGCCTCCGAACCCTCCCAGAAAGATCTGTCCGATAAAGTTCGAGCTCGAGACGACGTCTGCATCATAACGAAGGCAACAGAGCCTTTGGAAGCTGCTCATATTCTTCCGTCTCAGCTTTGTAAGAATGCCCACTCCGGCGAATCTAAATTTTCAAAGTTCCTCGCTTTGCTCGCCTATTTCTGGTCCCCGGAAAAAATAAATAAGTGGCTGAGCCACAAGGAGGACGTCTTCAATTCCGTTGCCAATCGTCTGGCATTGGCCCCGAGCTGTCACGCATACTGGGATAATGGGTTGTTTGGGTTACTTCCTATCCGGGTGGCCCCCGACGAGATGTCCATGCAAGTCCAGTTCTACTGGCTGCGTGGTGAAAACCTTCCTGCCACAGGCCACAGCCTTTTGCTCGAAAACGACGACGAGAACTTCATCATTCCGCCGATTGTGCTGCCTAGTGACCTGCGAAAAGGTGGACGAAAATATAACCCAGACACCCACAACGCCCCTAACCTCATCTTAGTCAACAATGACACTGAGTGTGTCATTTCCTCGGGGGACGTGATCGAGCTGACAACCCCCGATCCAGAGTCACTGCCTCTGCCCAACGAGGATCTCCTGGAACTACAATGGACCCTGCACCGACTTTCGGCCTTGTGTGCCGCCGCAGGCTGGCAGCCGCCTGATTACGATGACGATGATGACGATGACAACACTGACGAAGCGGCTGCGGTCAACACTCCGCCTTACCATGAACTCAAAGATTTGTCTGAGATGACAGAGTCAAAGCGCGCGTATCTGCAAGAAAGATTCGCATCCGGTACCAATAGGAACTGTGATTTGAAATGAGAGAGTGGACTCTACAATCTCAGCCTGGTAATGTTCAATGGGTCACTTTCGAGGCAAATTAGCTATCTTTGAATGGAAGCGTGAGGGCCCCGAACTACAGATGAGACCAAGACACTTCATACTGATGGGGAAAATGTTAAGACCCGGTTTCTGCCGGTGGTCACTGCCTTTCTGCTGCGTCCTCTAGTTAGGTAATTACTCTTCATTAATAGTACCCTTTCTTTCCCTCTTAGCTAGATCATACTACTGTTAGTTACAAATCAATTATATTGCTTCATCATCTCCATCCTCTCTCTTGGTACATGGTTTGTCTATGATTGCAACAATGCTTCCCTAGAGTCTATCCAGAGTGATCTAGAAAGGGGTTTCGATTAAGTATATTAGGACTGCATAGCACCTTTATTATTAAAACTTGACATTTTTTATATCATATGTGGATACACCTAGATCACAGCATATATAACAAAGTAAACCCCTAATTATATCAGTGTCCATCTATTTTCTATACCCTATTAGTTAATTGAGAGGAGAGATCCGTCAAAGGTTTGTTGTCCCATCCACAACCTTCCAAAACAGTGACTCTTTGGTCTGACTCAAATGAAGGAAAAGGCAGGCTAGACAGAATCAGCAGCACCGAGAACGTCGACCAATGTCTTCTTGACATCCTGACAGGACCATCGCGAAGATGGACTTGGGTCTAGCATGCCTCTCAGACATTTTATAAGAGCTTCGTTGATCGACGAGTCATCTTTGAATCGGACGTGTCCCTGGTCAATCTTCTGTGTGAAATCCAGGGGGAATTGAACCGGCTCCTTGCTGTTCCCTGGGTTCTTCGCTGCGCGGCTAAGGTCAGACAAGACCATCTGCCGCTCCATTTTGGTATTCAGTCGATAGAGCAGTTCGAAGAGAATCACACCCAGAGCATAGACGTCCAGTTTCTCGTCGATCGTATAGGTACAGTGATCCTTCTTTTCGACGTTATTATCTGCTGCTGAGACTAAAAGTGGGGGGCGGTAGAATTCCGTCCCAACCACACGGTCGATATGGAGGCCGGTGCTGAGTGTCGACGACGCATCAGGGCCACCACCGGGCGAGCAGTCGTTCAGATGGGAGATATCCGCCACCAAACCGAAATCTCCAATCCGAGGGTGACAATATTGAGGTCCTTCGCCCTTCTCGGTTGAACAGGTCGGACATGGTGAACAGTCCTTCCTCTCAGAAGGCGAGAGGAAGATATTGGCGGGTTTCAAATCGCGATGCACAATGCCCATGGAATGCAGATATTCCACACCAGAGATTATATTAAGCATCAGCCGCAGAGAAGGGACGAGATGAAAGCAATGCCGTCGTAGAGGTCGGTTCTCATCTCGAATTCCCCTTTCAGGCTGTGGGTTAAGGTACGAACTTAACGAGATCGGATGCAGAGACATTTGGATGTGAAGGACAACAGCAGGTGTGTGTAGTACACTTCGGGATCTCCGTTGGATCTGCAACTGCGATCGATCTTGACTGAGCCCGTCAGTGAAGATATCGTCATCAGACGCTCCGATGGTCGACAATGGACCATGCGTCGGGATACTGAACTCTCGAGGGATCGATTCGACATCTTCATCTTCAAGACTACGGCTCAGAAAACTCTTCTTGGAACGAAACGAGGACGCCATTGTTCCAAGGCTGCTTCGGCGCCGCTGTTTGTGACTCAATGAGCTCACGTCGGATTCCGAGGCATGGGCTGAATGAGTTGAAGCTGTCGCTTCTGGCGCGGAGCTTTCCGAATGCTCGAATACAATCCCAAAACTCTGCTCATCCAAGGGATCATCAGTGGTCATTTCTTCTTGCGATTCATCGTGTTGTGTTGATGGATATCGAGCATGTTGGCCGAGAGAAAATGCATTCGGCGGATGTGCCTGTTCGATCCAAGCTCCGTAGTACCGCACGATATTCGTGTGCTCTAAGCGAGCAAGGGTTCGGATCTCCTTCATGATAGTCTCTAGTTGATTCTCACCGCCACGCTGCAGTTGCTCGAGCCTCTTCCGGCTGAGAGGGATCTTCTTGACAGCATAGCTTTGGCCGTCGATGTGATTCTGCACGTGGTAGACCTCTCCGAACGAGCCACGACCAAGGATTCTCATCTCGGAGAATTCCACCGCATAACGAGACATGCGATTGCCGTGGTGCACAGGGTGCGTGCCTAGTATAGGAACGCTGACTGGTGAGCTCGCAAAGAGAGGAAGGGCCGGGCTGAGCAGGTTTCCCATGTTGATCTGGGCATCTTGCACGGTTCGAACATTCTCTGTGCTTGGCAGCCGTTTGAAGTTCCACATTCTGCCTTTTGGTTGTGTAGGTCCCCCTGCCTCTGCATAATCCTTGCTAGCGGCCACCTGTCTGTTCGCTGAGGGCTTGAAGACTAGAGCTAAACTATCAATACCCTCCACCGGTGGCTTCCAGTCCTCTGCCGCCATGTCGATATTCAGCTCCTCCAGCGCTGTCATCCCCAGATAGTCGAGATTGTCTCGGTAATACTGCCTTGTTGGCTGAAATTCTTCCGTCTCAATTCCACCGGCTACCAGACCATGCGAAGACAGGAATTTGGACTTATACGCATACATCCTCTTGCCCAGATACTGGACTTCCGGCGAGTCGCGCGTGAACTGCCCATGAGATCCAGGTTGGGCGTTGAGAATATCCGCTGCCCGGCTGAGACAGTAGAACTCCAACAGCGCCGCCGTCATCAGGTTCGCGTGGCCGCCAGCATCCGGATCGACGACTTCCCGTGAATCCACAGGTGTCTCATTAACTGAGGCCTCCTTTGAGAAGTCTTCTTGTCGCAGTCTCGGAGCCGTCGATGTAGTAGGAGTTTGGCTTCCCCCCGTCGCCGTCTTTCGCCGGGAAGCAAACATCACGCTTGAGTTCTCTCCATCAGAGCTAGACTCTGACGATGACGAGATCTCTGCAGCCGAACGGAATAGCGACATGATGGCTTTGCTCTGAATTGTTGATCATATAGTTCACCGTAGTCTTCAAGATGGATCACCCATCCCACCCACCGAGAGAAGGAGGGGCAGACAGCAATTGAGAGGTAATGACCGTCAGGATTTTGTATCCTATTGCATGCACCAGTGAATAGCACTTGTATGCCAGGGTTCAAATCCTATACTTGGAAAATGACATGGATATTCTCATATCAGGTCGCACAAGTGTGGCCTTGTCGTTCCCTGCACCCTCACCAGTTTCCATCAGATTCTACTGTCGCGTGTCCATTGCAGGGCGTGTTTCTTCAAGCAGTAGTAGACCCACTCAGATAATCACCATATTGGCTTCTAAGAAAAAGAATTTGATGAAATCGACGTTTGGTTACGACAAATTGATAGCCTCTTTTCTTCTAATTCCAGGACATGAAGATGAAGAGTGGCGGGGGTCAGAATCAGTGTGGTGGAGCTTTGGATGCCTGAGGCCATCATTCTGTACGTTGAGCCATATTGATACACGATCTATTTAGTTGCCTACCACTAGATATTTAGTTGATATTGATAAAATGTGGAGGTTGAGAAATAGGATCTCATATATGGAATGTCGATCTTGTTTTAAAACTTCCGAGTAGATGCTTATATGGCTGTATATAAGATTCGCCAGCTGGGTTATGCCTCAAGAGAGACACTAGACAGGAGACATCTGCTTCGTCAAGGAGCATGAAACACTTCTATCTTGCGTCTGAATAGGCATTTTTTAGCATATATCTCTCTCTATTGACTATAACTTGTTCTAAAAAAAGTCATATCAACCTCATAATAAAAGATCCTGGCTATGGTAAGAAGGCTGGTCACATCCCTGCGGTATTAAACACCACGTATACCCAGCACTCACCCTAAAATTACTTCGATATATGCTGATATTCTCTCAAATGGAGGTCATAACGTAACATTGAATCAGCTACGCAGTACAGAGTACTATCTTGAATTACGGAGTAGCACTGGACGACTGACGTTGATTATGTCATCTGATCTAAACACGTGACTTCAATTAACGCGTGAGGCGGTCACGTCAAGGGCGCGAACGAGACACGCTCGAGTCGGCTTGCCTATTATGGCGCTTACTTATTCGCGTCGTGTTTGGTCAACCCCGTTGTTGATGCAGATTGACCCTGCGGCCTCTTGAAAACAAGCCATATCATCCGCTGTCGAGTAGCAGATCTTGAACAGCGTTCTGCTTGTCTGTTTCTATGAACCGGCCAAAATGACGGAAGCCATCGCGATGCCTCAGAAGCGGGTTCTAGGCGAGGCAACGAACAACGTGCAAAACGGTGTTAATTCGCCCAACGCCCTGAAGAAGCGCAAGCTCGATACGGATACAAAGACTGTCAGCTCTCCTTACCGGAATGGGCCTCCCAAAGCGTTTGGCTCCAGCCAGGCGCCACAGAAAAGCCAGTTCGAGGAAGAGGTGCTGGAAAAACTGACCCAGGATATCAACGGCCTCAAAGAGAACAACTCAGAAAAGGATCAGCAGTGGGAGAGACCGCCGTTGGGTGATTTTGATGAGAAGAAAGACAGCATTTGCTTCCAGCAGATTGACGTGGAAGAGGGAACTTTGATGGGAGGCAAGACAGCGGTTAAGCTTTTCGGTGTCACAGAGGTGAGGACCGCGGTCTACTTGGAGATCAGGAAGAGCTCTTTTCTAATCTGGATTGCTTGAATAGGCTGGCCAGTCGGTTCTACTCCATGTCACGGGCTTCCAACATTATCTCTATATCGCCGCGCCAGTCGGTTTCACGAAAGAAGATTGCGAACCGTACCGGGCTTTCCTGGAGAGCAAGCTGGGTCAATTCCAACCTGTGATTCAGTCCGTCCAGATTACCATGCGGGAAAACCTTTACGGCTTCCAGGGCAACCAGAAAAGTTACTACCTGAAGATTACCGTCACGGAGCCAAAATTCATCAGCAAATTGAGAGGCGCACTAGAGAACACCGCCTCGGCGGTCAACTACAAGGGCATGTGGGCTAACACTGAGAGTGGTATCCTTACATTCGATAGCATTCAATATGTCCTGCGATTCTTGATTGACACGGGGGTAAGGCTTCCGCTTTTCCATTATCCCTCAGTGCAATCTTCTCTGACAACTGCTGGCTTAGATTTCTGGTATGTCATGGGTGGAAGCAAAAGCTGGGAAATACCGTCTTCTGCCTCCCAGGGAGAGACAGTCCAACTGTCAAATTGAAGCTTCCGTCGATTACCAGGACCTGATCGCCCATGCTCCTACTGGGGAATGGGCAAAGATGGCACCCTTGCGCATTCTGTCTGTTGATATTGAGTGTGCAGGCCGAAAGGGAATCTTTCCTGAACCCAACCAGGACCCTGTGATTCAGATCGCCAATGTCGTGACTCGATATGGAGAGTCCAAGCCCTTTGTTCGAAACGTGTTTGTGTTGGATACATGCAGTTTGATTGTCAATACGCAAATTCTCGAGTTTGAGAAGGAAGAGAAAATGCTCATGGCATGGCGGGATTTCGTGGAGAAGGTTGATCCCGATGTAATCATCGGGTACAATATTGCGAACTTCGACTTTCCTTATCTTCTTGACCGAGCGAAACATCTAAAGTGCACTGGGTTTCCGTACTGGACCCGGTTAAAAGGTGTCCAGTCTCAGGCAAAGGAGGCGAACTTTTCCAGCAAGCAAATGGGTAACCGTGAGAGCAAGTCGACAAACACAAATGGTCGAATCCAACTTGATCTTCTTCAATTAGTCCAACGAGACCATCATCTGCGAAGCTATACACTGAATTCCGTGTCTGCCGAATTCCTGGGGGAGCAGAAAGAAGATGTCCACCACACCATGATCACGGAACTCTTCAATGGAACACCGGACTCGAGAAGACGTCTTGCCGTCTACTGTCTCAAGGATGCGTATCTCCCTCAAAGACTGATGGATAAGCTGATGTGTCTCGTGAACTATACCGAGATGGCAAGAGTCACGGGTGTGCCGTTCAACTACCTGCTCGCACGTGGCCAACAGGTCAAGTTTATCAGCCAGCTGTTTCGAAAAGCCCTTGAACAACAGCTTGTCATTCCCAATATAAAATCCTCAGATGAGCAGGATTATGAAGGTGCCACCGTTATCGAACCCATTCGAGGCTATTACGGTGTACCCGTTGCGACCCTCGATTTCGCATCTCTTTACCCTTCTATTATCCAAGCGCACAACCTCTGCTACACGACTTTACTGAATAAGAATAGCGTCGAGAAGCTTAACTTGAAGAAGGATGAGGATTATATCGTGACACCAAACGGAGATATGTTCTGTACCGCCAAGGTCCGCAAGGGCCTACTTACTCAGATTCTTGAGGAGCTGTTGGGTGCAAGAAAGCGTGCGAAGAAGGAGTTGGCAGTCGAAACCGATCCATTCAAGAAGGCCGTGCTGAACGGAAGACAGTTGGCTCTCAAGATCAGTGCCAACAGTGTGTATGGTATTACCGGCGCGACCGTCGGAAAGCTGCCGTGTCTTGCCATTGCTAGTAGCACAACCAGTTACGGACGTCAGATGATCGAGAAGACCAAGCAAGAAGTGGAGGCTCGCTACACCATTGCCAATGGATATTCCCATGATGCCAAGGTCATCTACGGTGATACCGATTCTGTCATGGTCAAGTTCGGCGTGACCGAGCTCGAAGATGCCATGAAGCTTGGCCAGGAAGCCGCGGATTATGTTTCCTCGAAGTTCATCAAGCCGATCAAGCTCGAGTTCGAAAAGGTTTATTTCCCTTACTTGTTGATCAACAAGAAGCGATACGCTGGTCTATACTGGACGAATCCTAAGAAATACGACAAGATGGATAGCAAGGGTATTGAGACTGTCCGTCGTGACAACTGCCGGCTTGTCCAAACTGTCATTGAAACCGTCCTGCATAAGATTCTCATTGACCGAGATCTAGATGGTGCCCAAAGGTGAGATTTTTCCCTCTATTTACTTCGCATTTTGAGGAGCTTGCGGTTGATTCCTGACCCTGGGTTTGCAGTTACGTGAAAGACACCATCTCCGACCTTCTGCAGAACAAGATCGACATGTCTAAGCTTGTGATTACAAAGGCTCTTTCCAAGTCCGACTATACCGCCAAGCAGGCTCATGTTGAACTCGCGGAGCGCATGCGAAAGCGTGATGCAGGTTCTGCTCCTACCTTAGGTGATCGTGTGGCCTATGTCATCGTCAAGGGTGCCGGAGGCTCCAAGAACTACGAAAAGTCCGAGGATCCGATCTATGTCCTAGAAAACAACATCCCCATCGATACCAAGTACTACCTGGATAACCAACTTGCGAATCCTCTGGGCCGTATCTTTGAACCTATTCTAGGAGAAAAGAAGGCGAGCCAGCTGCTCACTGGCGAGCACACGCGCTCCATCTCCGTCGCGGCACCGACAATGGGTGGCCTCATGAAGTTCGCCAAGAAGACACAGACTTGCATGGGCTGTAAAAAGCCTTTGTCGGGCAAGGAGGAAATGGCCGGCGCCGTCTGCGAGCACTGCCGCCCGCGACTGGGCGAGCTGTACACCAAGACATTGAACAAGGTCTCGGATCTGGAAGTCCGGTTCGGGCGCCTGTGGACCCAGTGCCAGCGGTGTCAGGGCAGTCTGCACTGTGAAGTCATCTGCTCCTCTCGCGATTGTCCTATCTTCTATATGCGCATGAAAGCCAAGAAAGACGTGGAAGATTCGCAAAAGGAGCTGTCTCGCTTCGACTTTGACCCTGGCGCCTGGTAGATTACGCCTGGTGTTTCTATTATTTTCCTTTCTTTATCTCTTGATGGCACGGCGTTTGGAGGCTTGGGCGGCCTATAAGCCATGGATGAAAACCGACTAGTTAGTATGCAGTCATGTAGTTTAGCAGTTTTCTATAGATACGAGCTCGTATCATGAGACGAATAGCGTAATTGGCAGAATGAAGTCTTGGAACCATTTCTTTCGAATTTCTCCTCTTTGACACTTGGTAGACCATAGCAGATAGTTATTGATAGCAGATAACTAGTTGAGATAATGATAGCTGTTTATGGCCCCACATCATGTGAAAGGATCTGCGGAGTCGGAAGCTCCCCTTGACGCGGAGAAGGAAAAGAAAACAAGAGAGCTTCAAAGTAGACGATTACACGATTCCTCTTGCTCCCAGTCACCATGTCGTCTAGTTATCCGGATGCGCCGAAGAATCCCACCGTGGAAGACGTGGATGAGCAGCCTGGAACAGACAACAATGAGGCCATACCTTCGTGGCTAGAGGTGAGCTCATGCGGACAGAGAGGGGAGGAATTCTTCTCGAGTGAATGATGTTAGAGAGTACGCTCTACATTGTACTAAGGCTATATACTGCTAGATCTGTTCTCGACATGAATACGTCCTAAACTCTCATTTGGAGATGCTTCTGTCCGTGAAAGGCCGGGTTGGTGCGGACGGCGATGTGTTTCGCGCAGTCTCCTCGATGGCCGAAAGAACACAGAAATTAATGACCCAGTACAAGGTACTGAAGAAACATTTGGTATGTCGAATTCGAAATTGATTTTGTTTGTGCAATAAGCGCTCCAATTTGCTAACCCCTCTTTCTCTAGTCAAACAGTGAGTCCACCCACTTTCTCCGGTTCGATCTTACGAGCGCATCGATTGAAGTTTGCCGAGCAAGGTGTTAATTGAGCAGAAAACGCAACAGGGAAATCCTCAAATCCGTTTGCCATGCCTGACGGACAAAATCGTACCGAAAACTCGACGTCATCGTCCACCGCGAGCAGCTCGAAACATGGTAAAAAGAGAGCATGGGAGGAAGAAGAGGCAACAAAGACGGAATGCCAGCATGTGGAATCAGAATATATTCAATCTCAGTCTCCTCAAAAGCGCATGAGAACGGGACTCGTCATACCTGGGAACAGCGAGGATCTGAGCAGCGCAACACCAGTTTCATGGGACACAGAAGATATATCAGAGGAGGTTCAGCGACGACTAAAGATCAAGGAGGAACGACGCAAGCAAAGGAACTCGAAATCAGAGAAGAGAAAACGCGAAAGCTTGACATCGAACGGTAGTGTCGCTTCCTCTGTAGGGCCAAGCAAGCCCAAAAAGAAGAAAGCGAGAACCGAGGTTTCACAATTGACAGGCAGCAGCAGGGACAACACGAACCCTGAGCCACCCAAAGGGAAAGCAAAGAGACATTCTACAGAGAAAGCATCAGATGCAGAGCATGATCACCCAGGGCAAATGAAAAAGCAAAGGAAGGAGCAACTCTCTACCACGTCTTGATTCCTCAGGCATCTGATGTACATCAATATTATCAGTACAAAAGACTCATCGCTGCCTTGAGAGAATCCCATCCTCGGAATTGCTTCAAGGCAGAAGTTGACCTTACCCTGGGTACTCTGGGCATGAAGGCTCGCTCGATCTCGCCAGGTTTAAGGCCTGATCAGGGCGATGCAGGTGTATTCTGGAGGGCAGCTATCAGACAATTGAGATGATGATTTATCGATAAGATAAAGCAAGTGGTCTCGTGCGAATCCTCCATCCGGCTCCATCTGCATGTCTATATCGACAATATGCCATTCTATATACCTTGTGCAAGGAATTTCAAGGCAGCTATCATTCTTATTATGGTAGCTTTCGTGCCTAGAAGTCTTCCGTGGTATCGAATGACTTGTCCTTGACTCCAAATATGGTTCGGCGCCTGCAATACCCTTCGATCGAGATGCAGAGAGCCATCAACAGCGCTTCAACTACAAGAATTGGCATTCAGATCTCTATTTCCTGCCATTTCTATTCCATGGTCCTCATATAGGCAGCTGCTCTGACTCGAAACGATGATGCTCACTGTGCTCATCTTTCAACGATGGTACTTCTGCCTGGCCAGGATTATAACCCCCCGGGCCTCTCGTCCTTTCTCTTCTTCTTCTTTTCTCTCTCTCATCTAACATCACTGTCCCCAGCAGGCGATGAGAAGATACTCTCTACTACCACATCTCACTGTGATACATCATACCGGTTACCTTCATCGTGAAGTCGACGTCCAAAAACTTATCGAGCCAGAAAGAAAACAGCCTAAATCGTTTAATTGTTCAATCGTTTTAAAAACCTAAAAACATCATAATAAATCCGAAAAAAAAACCCTCAATCTCTAAAAAAACCGAAAATCGTTTAAATTGTTTAATCGTTTAATTGCTTTAAAAGTGCTGAAACCTCTGAACGCTCTAAGAAAAGGCCAGTCTTGATATCGCCCGCTTGATACCAACCGAAGAAAACCTCTGCTTAAGATCAAGTCACATACGAACAATCATCATGTTCTACTCTACAACAGAGTCCTGGGGCCCTTCTCTGAACCAGGCTAAGATCGAACCCGTCAAAATGGCATCGACCGGTCTCGAAGACGCAATGAGAGGTCTTCGTTTTTCCAAACCTGCGCCGAGACCGAATATTCCGCAATCTGGGAGTTACTATAAAGGCGGCGGCCGTTATAAGAATAAAGTAAGCTCGAGCTTCTTCGTGTCTGTTTGATGCAGAATACAGCTAACACTTGTGACAGGGCGAAGCTCGCAACGCACGAAATGTATCTACTCAAACAGTTGATATCCAGTACTTCCCATCATACAAAGCTAACTCTCTTTCAGAACCAATCTCCTCTCCCTTTCGAACGAGTCAGAGCTCCTGCGCAGAATCCTCCGCGGCAGCATCCTCGTTCGAGACAGCCAAACCATCAGTCAAATCCAAATGGCGCCCCTCGGAGACGTTGCCGACTTCCCAATAACAATCCTCCGCGACAGCCACGGCCATCAATGGTAAGCCGAGATATCCTTGTCCCTATTTTGATGCCTCTGTATGCTAACGATTCATCCAGTCGCCTAGTAAACCTAGGACTACCATCGCTCGTCGGCGGAGACGTCGCACCCCGTTCGAGCCCCGGGATGGTGACATTGAAATGATTGACGCACCACCTACTTCTCTTTCAAATCCAATTGACACGGACGTCATCATGAAGGATGCCCCTCGTCTACGTACACGTTCATATACCCGCAAGAATGTGAGTGTCCCTCGAGCAGTAGCTGCCTGGTCAATTTAGAACTGACTTTTCCTCTGAAGAAGGGTTTCAATATGTCCTGGGGAGCCGTAGCACTGCAGAGTCAGGTAGGTGTCCACTTCCAAACCGACTGATGATAAGGTATCCTGTTCTAACATATATCCAGACTACCGCATTCATCCAACCTGCCAACTTTGGCAGTCAGAGCATCGAAGACGTCGAAATGACGGATGCTCCCCCTCTGTGAACGCCGATGGGAGCCAACACACGCCATCCACCTCATTCCTCGCATTTATTCTTCCAACAATGCGTTGTGCCTCTTGGCCCATCAGGGGATTCGGCAAGTACCAGAGTCGACCATTCAGAACACCAAGCTGCGCGGCCCTTTCTTCCGAGAAAAATCTCATCTTGCACACTCAAAATTATGCACATATCATTTCCCAAAGTCCAAAAGGGGATAAACAGAATCCAAACTCGCTCGGCAGTCCTTAAAGCCCGGATTCAGAGTATCAAGAGACAAGATTCCAGAACAACCAAAAGCGCGGCCATGGCCCCCGGTGACTGGAATACCCTGAGAAAGGTTTTGACTCTCGACGAGGCCCGGGCCGTGCAGTGGACGCATTGCTACGGTTTTCGATGGTGCACCATTCGATCAATCCGGCCAACCTCCGCGAGACTCTCGTAAAAGCCCGGCTTGGACCAGTTCTGATAAAATTTCACTCGAAACACGCTCGTTACATATATATTCATCTATGTGTTTCAACGAAATCCACTTCAATCGAATAATCGAACGAACCTCACGCCACTACATGATCATCTCTCAAGGGAAACAAAAAAACTTCAGCTCTATCCATCATTGAGCATTTCATCCCATGGTCATTACCTGAATATACATTTATCACGGCGTTACCACGAATCGATTCAACGGCACACACACTCGCTACACGATACACGAGCAAAACGAGCACGGTCACATCACAAGATATACATGCCAATCAAATACATGGCACCTCTGCATTGACATCGAGTCATGCATCAACAATGACATTATTGAGTCATCAGCATTGGCACTGAGCCATACATCGCCAACCACACCGTCGAAACCATCGACGACATGCATCTATATGCACCACTGCGGTTCAAATGGAACCATATATTCGCAAACAGGGGGCCCCCTGGGTATACTCAAATGAAGTATATTTGAAGGAGATTTTGGAGAAGATTTGTATTGAAGAAGAACAATGTCATGTTGAGAGTTATATCATGTATCTTTGGAGAGGATTTGTATTGAAGAAAGAAGAACAATTTCATGTGGAGAAGTATATCATGTACTTTTGGGGAAGATTTGGATGGGAGAAGAACAGTTTCATTTCGAGAGTATATCATGTATCAAGCTTGATTTCTTTTGTAACAGAGATGAGAGAGATTTGGGTTGGAACGATCATGTCGAGAGCACATCATGTATCGGGCCATTGAGCCAGGGAAGCAGAGAGAATCGGGTCATGTACTGTGCAGAGAGAGATCGGGCATGTATTTATGATAACCATCGTCCCAGGCAAGGTTTTTACCTCTACACAGAAAAAAAACTGTGGGGGATGTTTCCCTTGTCTCATTGCTCGAATGGGGGGACAACCACTGGATGAAGTCTCTATGCAGTCAATATATTCATCAATGAAACAGATATCACATAAATTAAGTATCCCAGCGTCTTGGAGACGAATATTGTACAGACATTGACCGAGCCAGGCAATGTATAAATAAACCAGCAGAGAACCGGTCCGCTGCTCAAGAGAAAAACGAGAAGGGAGAGGAAGAGAGTTACTTGGTCTCCGGTTGTTGACCAGTTGTACTCGATTGATCCGTCGTTGTCTGGCCCGACTGGCCCCTCCAGACATCCTGGAAATGCTTTTTGATCAAGTATCCGTACCCTTTCCCTTCATCGAGCGCCTGCTGTTCCTCCTGCAGCCGCCTCTCCTTCCATCCCTCCTGTTCCCCTCCCATCCATAACCGCTGCATGACGCCCTTCTCCTGCGCCTGCCGGGCCTTGAGCCGCTCGAGGTCCTCCCCAGTCACCTGCCCGGAGCTGATCTGCGCGTCTCGCTCCGCGCGCAGCTGGGCCTGCAGCTTCTCCGCCTTCTCGGTGGGCATGTCGCGCAGGATCTGCAGCTGCGGCCGGGCAAGCTTGCCCTCGATCCGCTCGACGATGCTGCGGCCTGTATGCTCGCGCACGAGGTAGTTTGTTGAGAAGGCGAAGGCGCCAATGTTCAACACGGCGAGGTGGTCGAGTTTGCGCGGCGGGAGGGCCAGCAGAATGGGCGAGGCGATCACAAAGGCGACGGCGGCGCCATGCTTGAATCGGAGGTAGTCTTTTTCGCGGTCTATGTCGGCCATTTCAGTTCGTATTTAACTGATCACTCTTGTAGATGGTTTTCTTATTCTTTCTGTTGTTATTCACAAGTTGGTTGTTGGTGAGAAAAATTTACGGGGAGCCGTTCGGCTGTTTGTGCAGTTTGCCTTGATATTCAGGCATCAATCAGGCATCACATTATCTACCGATTTATTTCTATATTTATTTCTGTACTGCTGTCACTCTGCTATTGCTTCTTCTATTCTATCTAAAAGCTCTAATATACCTAAGTAGACAGCGAAATCGGACAACAAGATGTCCAACTACTTGACAGAAATACAATTGTATCATTGTGCATGACACCACGCCAGTGGCGCGAGAAGGATTTAAAATACCTGATTCTTGGATCTATATATGAAAGATAACAGCCCAACTCTATGGCCATGCCGCGCGACACGTAATGATCAGCGACCTGGATTAACAAGAGCTTATGATGTCACAGATGACATTATGGAAGAAGTAGTACTTATATGTAGATGAGAGGACTAGACTGGACCCTGAATCGATTCAAAAGAGCACAGAGTACAGAGCTTATATCCATTTCACCGATTCAATACCTCAGATTCATCTTCTATTATCTATTTCATATACATACTTCACCGAATATGCCTTTCTTCGATATCTTCAAGTCCTCCCCCAAGGAACAGCAACACCAAACATGGGTCCCTGAGACACTCACCATGCAACAACCCTCCAGTCCCGGGGCGCCGACGACGGAGCGTGTTGTGACAGAGCAGCCTGTGTGTCTCCTTTTGATGTTTTCGTCGAAAAATGAAGGGGGGGGGAAAACTAACATGGATATAGGCATCCCAGGAGTCGATGAATAGTACTATGCGCCTGCGTGGTGGTGAAGCCGGTGATATTTGCTGCGGAATGTAAGTCATGTCACCTGTCTCACGTTAAGGATACAGGAACTAGACACTAACCTGATGATCTACAGTTGCGCTGGTTTGTGCTGTTTTGAGTGCTGCGAGGATTGCTGCTAGATCGTGTGGACCGATCGCCTTCGTCTACATAGTCATAGCGTATACCCGAGTCAATCAATAGTTAACACCAAGTATAATAGTATGGAAGATTCAATTCAGATGACCTAGTTGGACTAAGTAAGGGTGCACTGTAACCTCATGAATGCATGATCAGCGGCCACATTGTGTTCGTATAGGAACAAGTACCAGTGCAATCCATCGTTACCACTTGATTTTCTCCAGGTCGACCCCGATAGTCGTTGTCTTCTGCAATTCCAGCTGGCCAGCCTCGTACTTGATGGTTCCATCCATGTTGTAGCCATTTGCCTGGATCACACCCCCAGTGAGCTCGTCGATGATCTGTCCGTACTGCTGCGAACCGTTGATCTCGCAGCGGGTGGTTGGCGCTTCACAATGAGCAACAAGGGCGGCAGTGGTTTTGAAGTACTTGAAGCACCCGGGACATCTAGAAGAAAAGCACCGTTAGAGACTTCTAGGTATCTATCTTGAGCTAGAGATGATACTGACTGCACCACGTTTCTGCCATGGCTCTTGCTCAAGAAGTGCTGCTCAAACTCTCTCATGGTCTTGAATTCCTCACTGCATCCGGGACACTGGTACAGCCCACTGTAAGAGTTGAAGAATTTGGTCGCGTCCCAGTTTGGTTTGAGCATGCGGAGGGTTTGGCCAGGATCAGGCAGGTCGACACCAAATGCACCGAGACCACGAGGGGCGGCAGTGGCATCCCAATTGTCACCACCCTGGACGACAGAGGGAGCTCCTTCCTGGTCCTCAACCTTCACACTGACTGTAGAGGTATTGGCCCGGCCAACCTCGGAGAATGCCATCAAGTCGCTTCGAGCAGAAGAGACAGGTGCCGGAGTCTTCCCATACAGCTTCGGCCAATCTTCCATGGGGATCTTAGCTGGTCCAAGGCGCGTAGAGTCCTTATTAGCCAGCTGGTTGGGCAGACGGTTTGGCTCGTTGATCTTGACGCCACCATCGATATCATCGAGATCTGTCGGGTCCAGAATGGCTGATTTTGGAAATGTTTCACCACCTTTCAGAGCCTGTTTGATCATCATCTTCTTCGACTGCTCTTGCAACAGGCGGGTGCTGCTGATCTCGGGGCATTCGTTTTCTTCAATATGCCGCATCAGTCCCGTCGCGCTCTTGAAGGTGTCCTGGCAGCCTACGCACACCATGTTCTGTTCAGCACGATGATTCTGCAATGTCAGTCCCAGAATTCAAGTATGAGAGAGGAGCCCTCAGGGTTACCTGGCGGATGTGGACATTTCGGCCTCCCTCGCTGCGAAAATCCAGACCGCAAATTGGACAGATGATGTGCTTGTTGCTCTTGATCTTGTGGATGAGAAGGCGCTCTTCATCCGCAAATTCTTCGTCGCATCGGCCGCAGTAGTGATGGCTTGGATCCTGCATCTGGTGCGCTCTCATGTCTTGAACAGAATCGAAGGTCTGATGACACTGTGGCAGAGTGCATTGCACCTTGACCTGTGAGGACGAGGTAGGCATCTTTGGAGGCTGTTTCCTGTAGCTCGTAAGGGGAAGAGTGAGGATTGATGCTGGTAAAATACCTGGGAGAAAAGAATCTGGTGGTTGACTAGTCAATCCTCTTAACGGTCGGTCTCATTCACCCCCTCAGTCACTGAGAAGCTGAAGAGACCATTGGTTGAAGAAGGCAGAATTCCAAAGCAAGCCTAGTAGGTGGGAAGAAGAGATAAATAGGGGTGAGAAGAACAGCAACAGCCTCCCTATTTAGGCAGCAAAACCTGGTTCTCAGTTACCTTCATAATGTCGATGAAGAAAAATGTGTTAGATTTGCCATTGTAGAATAGAAGATTATAAAGGTGATTATAGAAGGGAATAATGCCACTATATCAATTGCTATAGACTAATAATAGATACAGTATCACCTTTCTTTCCTTACTTTATTGTATGCATACAATACATATAATTATGATTTCTCTCATTGATCAAAACCTTGAAAATGGCAGCCTGTATCTTCAATTAGTTGGAGTGTTTTTATATACCATGAGGCCGATAATATAGCATCACTCACCATTTACCACGCAGAGTGATGACAGCCCAATTGTTGCCATCCTTGTCAGTTTCCTTCTCTACCTTGGTCGAGAAGGAGATGGCACTCATAATGCCGTCGCCAAACTTCTCGTTGAGAACCGCCTTGTATGCGTAGCCGTAATTCTGGACAATCTCGTATAGCCGGTAGATGAGGGGCTCCTTTGGCGGCATCTCCACTGAGCGGCCACGGTCCGGGAACCCACTCAGCTGGTCTTCGAGCAGTTCCTGCGAAATACTAAGGAGTGATGCCAACTTCTCGATATCTTCCGGTGATGCCTTGGCCTGGCCATAGAATATCGCAGCCGTGGCAACCTCGTTGCGGCCGATATGCTGGGCGATCTGCTCGAAGCTCAGCTTCTTGGACGCCTTCGCTTTGAACAGAGTCTGCGCCGAAGCCGGAAGACTCGGATGTTGGGAGGCCTAGTAGCCTCTCGGTTAGCTATCATCATTGTTTCCTGTAAAACCATCCTAAACAACTAGCGGAGGGGTATACATCAAGGGTGGCGAGCGACATGGTGTGCGGGCGTTCTGGAACGGATCTCTCTTTCTTTGATCAAGTAAACAGTGCGAAAACCGAGGGCTTCTCTAGTCAAAGACTGCAGATTAGACAAATTGCAAGATTCGAGCGCCGATTTCGTCCTGATATAAGGCTGTGTGCTCCAACCTTCTCCAACTGTCGAGCGGGGAGCGCGTCACTTTCCCGATTCGGTAAGCAGCGCTGCGGGGTCCGCAAACAGGCGGTGAGCTCTTTCTGCCTATCACGTGTGCGGGGCTCGTCAACACTCAACGCTCAACAGACTCAACACTCCTCTATCAAGTACCTGTCTCCCCCCCCCAAATCCTCGCTGAGACTCCCATGGACCATTTCAGAAAGTTAAATATATATTCTACTACCTGTACCCAAGAATAAATTCAATGCCGGTGGCTCAAGCTACGGACTGTGGCAGCCAACTCTCTCAGCTCGTCAGAAAAGACCACGACGCGATCTGCCAGTGCACAGCCACAGCCCGAGTGAAGACCCATGCTTCGGCTTAGCCAATGTCTGAAGAGCTATCCAGCCAAATGAAACGCCATCTCAGTGCCCACCTATCATGCTCCGCAAATGCTGCAGCCTATGGAGTATGACAGTGGCCGGGATGACGGAGCTGAGATGGGGCCATTCAGTGGCATTCACTCACTCGCCCAGAAACACACGCGTTCCATCAGGACTAGGGTCTCTTGGGCTGCGGGGCTGAAGCGGTGTTGCGGAATCTTCGGTGGGATGAGATGAGCTGGCTGACCCAGACCGATGATGGCTTTACCATCTGATAGTTAAATAGTGATCGACCGTCCTCTCCAGTGTTTCGCCTCGATTTTTTGTCTTTCCTACTCGAACGTCTGTCACAATTATTGTTGTCGTTGCGGACGTTCTTCTCGTCTACTTCGACCACGTATCCCTCTTGAGCCGTGTGTGCTATGTCGGACCAAGAAAATCCGCTGGCCTATGGCCGGTACTATGAGAATTCCGGTCGTGGGGGAAATGGGGAGAGCACCAGGGGGTTTATTGATGACACCTTCAAGATGTTGAAGGAGACCTACAAAACCCATCACTCTCAGTCCCAACAGCAGCAGCAGCAGCAGCAGCAGCAGTCAGGCCAGGCCTCCCAGCAGTACTCCTACGGTTCTGGAAATTATGGGGTTAGCTCAACTGAACAATATTGTCAAACATGACATTTTTGTATTTACTAACCGACGGCTTCTGTAGAATGAGCCTCCTCAGCCTTTCCAGCAACATCAAGGTCAGCCCAACCAATACTCGCAGAACTATTCCTATGGGTCTCAGGGCCAGCAGTCTGCTCCCGGCTACCAGCAGCCTCAGCCTCAGTATCAAGAGAAGCCTCAGAAGCAAGACAAACTCTCCGGCCTTTTCGACAAAATCCAAGGCGCTGTTACCGATCTAGGCACAGATGTCGCTCAGCGACTGGGCACAGCTATTGATCCAAAGGCGTATGCGGAATATGGTACAGAGAAGCCCAATGCACAGCAGAACAACAGATTCGGTAGCTTCGCTCCTACGCGCGAAGGCAACGATGTCAAGTGGTATGTTGATGGTTGCAACTATTTCTGGGCCGTCTCCCGAGCGATCGAAAACGCTCGGGAGTCGATCTGGATCCTGGACTGTAAGTGTTTGCCGCAGCCCTTCGAAGAAAGACTTTCTTCATATCATTAACATGCATTATAAAGGGTGGCTTTCTCCAGAACTATATCTGAGACGCCCTCCTGCCAAGAATGAACAGTATCGTTTGGACCGCATGCTCCAAGCTGCCGCCCAGCGTGGGGTTCGCATCAACGTCATCGTGTACAAGGAGGTTACTCAGGCGTTGACCTGTAAGTGCGAAACATTCGAAGATTTCACGAGCTTAGCTCACCAGTATCGTCTTATAGTGTCCTCGGCACACACAAAACACGTGTTGGAAGGCCTTCATCCAAATATCTCTGTTTTCCGTCATCCCGATCACATCCCTGACGGGAAAGAAATAGAGGCCAGTATCGCTTCTTCGTTCCAAAACCTTTTACTTGACACGACCTCTCTCGCAAAACTGCCCGGAGATGCCCTCAAGAGTCTATACGGCATGAAAGACGACGCTATTCTGTACTGGGCCCATCATGAAAAGCTTTGCTTGATTGATGGCGCAGTTGCATTCATGGGAGGTCTGGACTTGTGCTTCGGCCGCTGGGATACTCACCAGCACTCTATTGCCGACGTCCACCCGACAGACCTCAACGAAATCGTCTTTCCAGGCCAGGACTACAACAATGCCCGTGTCCTTGATTTCCATGATGTCTCTCACTGGGAAAACAATCAATTGGACCGGAAGGCCACGTCGCGTATGGGCTGGTCTGACATCTCCGTGAGTTTGCATGGTCCAGTTGTTGAGGATCTGCGTCGCCACTTTGTGCAGCGTTGGAACTTCATCTACGAGACGAAGTATAAAGCTCGCAATCAGCAGAGGTATACCAATTTGGTGCTTTACGGGCGTCCTACCTCCTCTACTGGCCAGCAACAATATCAGCAAAGGCCTCCTCAGCAGCAAGCAGCACCTGGTCAGCAGCAGCAGCAGCAGCAGCCTCCTCAACAGCCTCCAGCACCCGGCTATCAAGCAAACACTCCATCCACATATTCTGGGGCCCAAGGAGCAGCAGCCTATCAACCATCAAACCCCAGCTCGCCGCATCCGCCCCAGTCTCAAGGTCAAGGACCTTCGGGATACCAGCAACCGTACGCTGGCGCGACACCTCCGCCCCAGTCCCAGGGAACACCGGGCTACCAGCAATCCTACACCGGCAGTCCGAACCCCACCCAGCCCCAAGGCCAAGGAGCATCGGCTTACCAGCAACCATACTCTGGTTCCCCGCACCCGCCGCCATCCCAGAGCCAAGGTCCATCGGCTTACACTAGTACTCCGCCACCTCAGTCCCAAGGCCAAGGAGCATCGGCTTACCAGCAACCATCCCCGCACCCGCCACCGTCCCAGGGCCAAGGAACATCGGGCTACCAGCAACCGTACACCGGCTCGCCGAACCCAACCCAGACCCAGGGCACTCAGGGGGCGGCAGGCTATCAACAACCATACGCCGGATCTCCGAACCCGTCCCAAGCTCAAGGCACTCAAGGCGCGCAGGGAGCATCAGGCTATCACCAGCCATACTCGGGCTCGCCGGATCTATCTCAGCCTCACGCTAGCCAAACATACACTTATACTGGCGATTCTTTCCCACCACCTCCTCCTGGACACCCGAGCCAGCCCTCCGCCGCGCCGTATCAGCAAACCCCGACGCCTCCAGCCCAGGCTCCCTACTTCCCACCTCCGCCCACGCAAGATCAACAGCACAGCCAGACCCGCGGCATTGATGAATACTACCACGCCGGAGGATACGGTGAAGGCGATCATGAGCGAGGCTCTGGATCGGGCTCAGGGTCCAGTACCCGTCGGTTCCGCGAGGAGTTTACCGAATACAGCAGTGTCATTCGCAGTCAGCTGGCGGGCCAGATGCACCACTACCAGGACCGCTTGAACACGTATGGCCGTCCTCAACAGCAAGTGCGTGGAGGCATGACTTGTCAAATTGTGCGAAGCTGCTCGAATTGGAGCCACGGTATTCCCACAGAACACTCCATTGCCGATGCCTACGCCGCCGTCATCCGCAACAGCCAGCATTTCGTTTATATCGAAAACCAGTTCTTCATCACCGCGACGGGCGATTCTCAGAAGCCTGTTCACAACCAGATTGGTGCTGCGATTGTCGAGCGGATCCTGCGCGCGGCTCGGGCAGGCGAGAAGTACAAGATTATTGTTGTCATCCCGTCTGTTCCTGGTTTCGCGGGCGACCTGCGAGACGACTCGGCCCTCGGCACACGTGCGATCATGGAATTCCAATACAACTCGATCAACCGTGGAGGACACAGTATCATGGAGTTGATCGCCAAGGAAGGCTTCAATCCTATGGACTACATCCGCTTCTACAACCTTCGTAACTATGACCGTCTCAACGTCAGCGATACGATTCACCAAGTCGAACAGCGGAGCGGTGTCAACTACGAAGAGGCGCGCAGAGAGCACGATGTCACTACCGGCGGACAAGGTGGCTATGGACCTGGTGCTCCCCGGGCTGCGTTCGACACCACGGCGCCCTACCAGCAGTATCAACAAGCCGCGCAGCAAGTCTATGGTTCGAAGCCGGTGACTTCCGGGCGGTGGGACAGCGTTAGCGAGTGCTACATGTTGAATGGCGAGGATATCCGTAACGTGCCTTGGGACGGATCACCCGAGGCTGAGATTCACGCTTTCGTTAGCGAAGAGCTATACATCCATTCTAAGGTCTGATTTACTCACACTTGTGAAATGTCGAGGGAAAAAAAAAAACTAACAGAAATAGGTCATGATTGCCGATGACAGGGTAGTGATCTGCGGCTCTGCCAACCTGAACGACCGATCTCAGCTGGGAGACCATGACTCCGAGATTGCGATTGTGATTGAGGATTTCACACCTGTACACAGCACTATGAATGGCAAGCCCTTTACGGTGGGTCGATTCGCGACCTCACTCAGACGGGAGCTGTTCCGCAAGCACCTGGGCCTGCTCCCTGCACAGAACTACCAGCAGCCGACTGCCAGCTCCGAGCCCGTCGGTATCCCCAGCCACTTGGACCTCGAGTCCCCGGAAAGCCAGATCGTGGCGGATCCCCTGGCGGACACGTTCCAGAGCCTGTGGAACACCCGGGCGCGCACCAACACCCAAGTGTTCAACAAGGTGTTCCATGCCGTACCCGACGACTCTGTGCGCAACTGGGCAACATACAAGGAGTTCTACGAGTATTTCTTCCGCGCGGCCGACAAGGACGCTGCCGATGGCTCCAAGGAGCGTCACCCGGCGCGCTACCAGTGGGGCCATGTGGTTCGCGAGGAGTTTGCTCCTGGACCCGAGGGCGTCCAGCAGGTCAAAGAACAGCTCAGCCAGGTCAAGGGCACCTTGGTCGAGATGCCTTTGATGTTTTTGATCGAGGAGGACATTGCCAAGGAGGGCCTGTCGCTCAATGACTTGACTGAGCCGATTTACACCTAGTTAGCCTGTCACATTTATGCTTTTTCGCCCCCCCCTGTCATGATCCAGATTGCCAATTATCCATAAACATGATTATTCAGAAACGGTGATTACTGCTTTTATCTAAGAAAATTCCTCGGAATGGCTGTAGACACTCAACTTGTAGTAAATAGATACTAGTTAACCAGTTACCTAGTGTGTGCATTGTAATAAATTTGACAAAATCTGGCTTATATAACTAAATCCGGGACTCGCTCAACGCTGACACGGCTGCCTGGCTCAATGGTAGAGCGTTGCTCTCCTACTGCAACTCATTAAGCAAAGGTTGGGGGTTCGAGTCCCCCGGTGGTCGCTTCACTTTTTTTTTTTTTTCTTTTTACAAAGCTCTCAGATCAGACCAATCATAGGGGAGAGCCGTATTCTCATTTTTGCTCAAAGGATTTTTATTAGTTCAAATGGTGTTCAATGGCTTACCTAGGTAGCGAGGTCTAGTAACCAGCTTGATATTGTTCTGCGAGAACAATATCTATCCGAAAAGGGCTAGCGTGGGCTCTCACCTACAACAATACGAACAGACGAGACGATCCAACAACAACATCTCGCCACGGAGAACATGGATGAATGCTGCGTCTCCACGGGTTCGACTGCACAGCCGATACGAACAAACCAGATAGTAGGAAAAGTGGTCCTTCGAGTCTTTCAGATGATAGAGTACTCCAATGCTCTATCTCAGAACAATGAAGAAGAGGTGAGACGGCTCCATCCTGAGGCCCCATTACCCAGGTAGGCAGCTCATTCACGGCTGAAACTCGACCGCCTCGAATTCAAGATCTCTTTCAATATGCGGGTCTGGGGGCTTGTCTGATATTGTGTCTCCATTGATCCTGTCCACGAAGTAGAGCGGATTGGCTCACTGGTCAGGAACAATATCAACATCTGAATTGGCAGTAGTATTCACGAGTATTCAGGTTATGCTCTCTGGAGGAGCAGACTCAAGGTATAAATAACGGCTGTCATCCATCTCGACGTTCTCTTTTCTCCTTCTCATCACCACTCCAGTCAATCTCTTAAACACACTCTGTACTTTCAAATCTCGGTCTGTGACCATCAATCCAATCACTTACAATGGCTTCTAAGGGTGCGTTTACAACTTCCAAATACTAGCTCAATACTCTCTCAATGTCAGTCTAACGGGTCTATTGTATAGCTTCTCCTGGCGGCGGCTGCGTCCTCATGGCTTCTCCCGGCGGCGGTTGTGTCCTCATGGCCTCCCCCGGTGGCGGATGTGTCTTGATGGCCTCCCCCGGCGGTGGCTGCGTCATCATGTAAAGAACGCAATGCATGAATCGATCGATTCGAAACGACAGACAAGACAAGACGGAATTTTCTTCTAGGGGAAACGTTGGGGGGTCATAAATGCTATGCACACTGAATACTTACCGGGTCATTGCTCGAACCTCGTCAAAGCAAAGAACTGGACTGGACTGGATTTGCGTGTCCTATTCCTCTCTTCTCGACATGATCCCATTCTCTCGTTTATTTTCATCTTTCTCTGGTGCTTTTTTTTTTCTCGAAAGGTATATACATACGACTTGCCTTTTTTTTCTCTCTTATCCTTGTACCTAGATAAGCTGCGGCGGTGTCTGGACCTGTCAAATTACCAGATGTCGTTGGGAGAGAGGAAAGAATGAATGAACAAACTGTAGTATATCTAGCAGTCATTGCGTGTATCAGAAAACTAGGTACTATGTTTTTATATACAGCTAAAGTAATGTGTCTTTCCGGATGGCGTCCACGCGAGCAATATCATCCATGCTGGGCTCCTGCATCTCTGCCTCCGCCCCGGCAAACGCTTCGTTGACTGCCTCGTCGACCTGCCCGACGATATGGGTGATGATACCCACGGAACGGGCCATGCCGATGCGGACGAGGTCCTCGCCGACGGCAGCTTCAAGGCGGCCGTCGCCGCCGTTGGCTACGAGATCACACTCGAAGGCGTGGCAGATGGATTTCAGAGGCTCTAGAAACCGGCCCCGGAAGTACAGATAGGTCTTCTCGAGCTGCAGTTCGGTGCGAAGACGCGCCGAGGAGACAAGGATATAGTACAGGTTCAGGGCGGCATGAATGGTGGGCGTCAGGGTCTGCGAGAAGCGTAGCCACGAGGCCACAATCTCCGTATGAACGTCCAGAAGGATCTCGGACGGATTGAACAGGAACGGGAACAGTACGGAGAAGTAGTGCGGGTTAAGGAAGATTTTGTTGTCGTTGTCGGCCTCTTGGCCTTTCGCCGCAGTCAAAATCTCATCTTTGAGCCAGCCAACGGCCGTCTCGCGCGCAGAATGGAGTCTGTCTGTCTCGAAGATATGTCGCAGGACCTTAAACCGCACCAACTCCGACGGATGGCTGTGGAAGATGGCGGCCGGGATCCGTCTGACGGTCGTGTAGCTTTGCCGTGAGGAACAGGCCGTCACCCGTATGAGAAAGTCCTTGAACTCTTTCGGGTCTGCGGGCGCCTCGACTGACTGTCGCGCCGTTGAAAGAACCGTCAGTGCCAAAAGTGAGTCCAGAAGCACTTGTGGCTGTCCAAATGCCACTTCATCTAGGGACTCGATGTCCCCGATAAAATTCACAAAGAGGCGCGGCAGGTCGGGCAACATGACTGCCTCCGAACCGGACGAAAACAGCACCGTGGTCGCAGCCCGTGCGGTCAAGAGCAGAAGGGCCCCATGTCTCTCGAATGGAACCCCGTCCGGCGTTTTTGGCAGGTCATCAAAATCCAACGGCGAAGGCTGGTCTCCCGGCGGGAGCGAGACAACCGAAAGAAGCTGTTCATTGCTGAGACCTAAGTCTCGGGATAGAGCCTTTTTGTAAAAGCGTAGAGTTAGCACGAGCTATACACGGGGGTTTTCAGTCTTTTTTTTCTCGGGCGTACCATTACTTTCCCAATAATCATATCTCTTTCCCTCAACTCTTTAGTACTGGCGTAAAGATCCGTCTGCGACTGCTTGTTGGCAATCTGCGACTCAGGATGCAACTTCTCCAGCACACGACCTGTCCACGACATCCCCGGGTCTGTCGGACCCGAGAGACTCAACAGGAACGACTTAAGCAACTCCATGAGGCCGAACTGGAGATACTTCTTCACAAGCTCCTTCTCGTTGTCCGTGTTGGGCGAGGGGGACTGCGCTTCCGCCTCCGGGTCCGGAGCCGATGCCTGTGAGACGCGCACGACGCTGGACTCGCTGGCGGCCCGCGGGGGTGGTGCCGGTCGCTTCGACGGCGAGACGTCGCGGAAGAACTCGACCAACGCGGTAGTGGTCTCGTTGGTGGGGAACAGCGTGTACGCCTCCAGTGCAGCCTGCAGCGACGTCGCAATAAACCGGCTTGGATATTTGGTCTGAATACGGGAATGCAGCGTTGATAGCATCGCCACGAGGCAGTTGAACTGTCTGACGTGTCGTGGAAGAACTGGGGATGCTTCCGATCCGTCATCAGCGTTGTGTTCATCATCGTCGTCGTCGTCGTCGTCGTCGTCGCTCGGTTGAAGCTGCATCAGAGCCTCGGAGACCCGCAGAATCACCTCGCGGGGATTGCCGAGCCGCGCAATATCCTGAAGACAATCAAGGGACTGTGGCAGCATAGGCAGCAGCAGGTGAACCAGGTCCCAGCCGATGTTGGTGGTGAGGGTCTCATCCTGCAGCAGTTTGTGGAGGAGCGGCAGCCGGGCGGGGGTTAATTGATACTCGAGCAAGGTGAGATAGGTGAGATAGTCGGTCGCAGGCGGCAGTGCCTGGACGAGAGGGTCTTCCTCGGCCATGGTTGTCTCGTTGTTCTCGCGGGTGCCGGAGCTGGCTGGTTGTTGTTCTGGCCAGGGCGGGGTTGTGGGAAGGCTTCCATTAAAACACCCGATATGACATCACTGGAATACCCTATTATTTATCTCTATTTTAAGGGGTTTGGGCTTTTGCCTACAGTTTTATACACTTCTACAGGACTTATGAATGGAATCAGGTTTTTCTATGTACTGAACCTAGAAAATATCAACCTAGTGCTAGTTCTCAGCCATCAGCTGCCTGTACAGAAATTGACAAACATCATTTAAAGCAAGCATAGAGAGAGCGACACACACAGAGAGAGAGAGAGAGAAGAGAAAGAGAGAAACAACAATTCAAGCATCCAGATAGATTTCTACCCAACCCCTCCCCCCTTAAGAAAAGTAAGGTGCGCTGACAAAAGTTATAGGCGCAGTAAAAATACAGAACCGCTAGAAACACAGAAAGGACTGAGAGAGAGAGAGAGAGAGAGAGAGAGGGAGAGAAAGAGAAGACACAGGGCATCCTGAAAGGGAAATTCCTGGGAGAAGAGAAGCATAACTGAGCTCAGCTCATGAGTGAGGCTGGACGGCCTTGTTCTCATTGACGAGGTCTCGCCATCCCTCACCGCTAGGATTCTGCGGGGGTTGGTTCCCCGGTGTCTCCTGCTGCTGTTGTGGTTGCTGCGATTGTGGCTGCTGCTGCTGCGATGGCCGTTGACCTTGTTGCTGATAGACAGTGGATGTGCTCTCGCTGAGATCCGAGAGATGGTAGGGCCCGTTAGGGTCTTTTACGTCGAGAAACGAAGCGTCCGAGCCGCGTCGTGAGGAGGCGGGATAGAAGTCGTCATGACGATTCGCGGCCTTGTTTCCCGGTTGTCTATACGTCGGCTCCAAGTCCTCTACGTCTTCATCGCGCGCGTAGTAGCCGATGCCTTGCGCCCGTTCTTCACGATCCTCCCTGTCATCCCTGTTGCGGCGTTTGTAGTAGAGGTAGGTAAGGACGGCGAAGGCGGTAACAACGAGACTGTTGGAGCCAGCTGTCGGTTAGTTTCGTCTGTGGTGTCAAAGAATCAACTATACACAGTCGGAGTCACACACGTTGAACTGATAATGAGGGGCACCCCCATGGTCAGCATCTGGCTGGTGGGCTTTTCACACTCATTAGCGCTGCCGTCGCAGCTGCTCCTGCGAAGAAACGACAGCATCTTGCGGTAGATGAGACTGGTGTGTGTGTGGGATGATGACCGAGACGCGACGACTGAGATACAGAAAAAAATAATTGTTGATATATTGGATTCTAAACAAACGAGTGTCTCAATAATAATCAATAAGGAACGACAGGAAGAGCAACAGTTAACGGCCTGGAGATGAAGGGACTGCTGGGATAGATGATCTAAGGGGTAGCCGGACTTAAGGCTGAAACCGTTCGTATCCATCCATACCGCCTCGCGTACGAGGAGTTGGTGGGGGCAGGGTTTAAATCTGGGGAGAACAGGATAGTGAGTTACAGAACAGTTAGATAAGTGGGTATTATTGGGATTAAGGATGTAGATAAACTAATTAGTACTGTTATGATCTAAGATATTCTATAAGATGGTTCTCTACCTAGAGTCAGGTACCCTTCCACCCTCTTATTGGTTAGTATTCTTGGACCAGAGGCAATTTACAGGTACCTACTACCTAGGTACTGTACCAGCAACTTTAGTTGACAGTGGACTCTATAAGTATTTCTACATCTCCACTGTCTATGGAATATAATAACTTGACGAAGAATTACATCGGCCATATCTCTACAAGGCTTCTTCCTCACCAACAGACAACTATTAGCAGCACGGCAGATACCATAATCTCGGCCGTCGCTTCAGCGGCAGTTCCTTGGCTAACGATCTCACTCTCACTGTGCACAGAATGATCTTCGAGGCTCGCGATAGCAAAGCAAAATGAATACATACATATCGCCTCGGATGCCAGAATACCACTTCTTCGACCAGGCAATAAGATTGGTGGAGGGAGGGGAGATCTGCGCAGATTCCAAAGGAATAACGCCGTTCAATATGATCAACTGCAGCGACACATCTTATTGTTCAAGGAGGCAACTGAAAAATTTATTGAAAGATATCTTCCCTTGGAGATCCATCCAGAAATTCTATTAGCCGCTGACGAACCCAGACCACGCGACGCTTATAGACGTTCCCCAAGGAACTATCCACTTGACCAAATGAAAGACGAATCTCCATCAAGCGATATCTGGCGATATGCTCTGGTCATGGCGCAGCCTTGGCTATCATTCACTGGTGGAAGAGGTGAGCGTCCTAGCACCCCGAAAAGACAAGAACTATAAGTGATTACTTCAGATATCCTCAGGGAGAACTGCACGTGGGTCCTCATCTTTAAAGTCTGCCGATCGATGTCTATCTTGTTGATCACTCGAATACCCTACCGTCGACAGCAGCAGAAGACAGACAGTTCAGCCGGAGAGCTCTACTCTCATATTCGTCTATAATCTCAACGTTTTGTCGGCTGTCACATCAGTCTTGAGTCGCCTTAGCCTTCCTGCTTCATGTTCGTGGTAAATACTCGTCATAGAATGGGATCACAACAGAGAATGAAAACAAAATTTGGCGACACGGAGAGCTGAGGGTAGGTTATTATTAATTCTCGATTATCAATAATAAGCAAGGTGCCTAAGATAAGCTGAGTAAGAATAATGCCATGTAAATTAGTTTTGGCTGTATTGAACAATTTTCAGTAAATTAGAAATCATGCCGAAATATCCCTAATGAATGAGCTGCTACTATACCACCACTAACCTGTACTACTACATAGCAGTTATAGTAATTCTCAAGTAATAATGGGTGTAGAGTAGGTGACTACTAGGTACTAAGTAGGGATAATCTTGCTGTCAGAATACCATGCAAGGATCAAGACCTGTTTTATTCCACTGCTTGATACGGAGTACTACGGAGTAACTACATAAACCACTAATTCACTTGGGAAGAGCATAAAATCAACATAGAAGGGATTCTACTACATAAGGCGACAAGAGCCGAGGGTTTCCGTTTCCAGCTTCCTGACTCCGCCGTGGGTTCCATGTTCCTCCATTCGGAGAGCCACAGTTCGGCTTCAGATCCGTGCTACTCCGTAAATCCTCAATAATACCAGTTGCCGTGAAGCCGTGACGCCCTGCTTTAAATTCTCAGGCTTGCCTTGGCTGCAGTGACGAGCGGGTCTGCCCCGATTTTCATCTTATGATCGGAGGACGAGCCACACAAATTGGCCGCTTTGCTAGCCAGAGGCAGTTAGTGCGTAGTAAGCAGGCTAGAAGTGGATTTCGAGGAAGTAGATTCGTCTGACTCGTCGTTACGTAGGAGGGAGTTCGGAGTATGTAGTAGAAGTTCGGAGTATAGGCAAGGAACTAGGTTGGTTGGTGAAGAGTTGCTGTGCCGGTAAATCCGGCAGGATTCGATTTTGGCACGCCCTCGATCGACATCCGCGCCGCTTTCGTTTTCTTCTATACATATCTCTCTACTCCGTCTGTTTCTCCTGCTCTTTTTTTTTCAAGTTGTAGCGTACAGAGTACATTCTCAAGCATCCAACGGCGCTGGGTGACTAACTATTGTTATTCGTATTCCCTGTTCCTATCGACTGCCTCAATCCACTCGCATCCCTGCCATAAAAGCTGTGTTTGTGTCGTCTGTACAGAATATCCGCGGCGTTCCGGACCAGCGCCACGAGGAGAAGAAATCCATTTCATCACCGAGTACACGCGCTGTTCCCCTTCTCGAGACTTTTTGTCAACCAGCTCGCGCGGGGCAATTGCGTCTCGCGGGGTTGAAGGAAACCAAAAAAAAAAAAAAAAAAAAAAAACATCCTCAGTGCAGGAAGGAGGGACAAGGCCCAACCCTAGATTGACTGCATAACGACTGCCGACCGACTGACTGGCTACCCAGGCCATCACTCTCTATATAACATCCACAATGGCTACTACAGTCCAGTCGTGCTATACCTCGACAGCCCCGTCTCCGGCAGTCGAAGAGCTGGTCGCCAAATACTCGGTCGCCATGTCGGCCACCTCGAGTAGCCAGAGGGTCAGCCAGGTGCTCCTCCACCAGCGCCGGAACCTGGTCCAGCGCACCCTCGACCAGGTCCGGCTCAAGTACTACCAGTACGAGGTCACCTTTGGCCTGTACGTCATGACGCCCGGGGAGAAGTTCGCCGCCAACACCTTTGTCTTCGTCGTGCTGTCGTTGCTCTGCTGGGCCCTGCTCCTCTATTTCCCCTCGCTGCTCTACCAGAAGCTCAGCCGCCTCGTATGGCTGCTGACCGGCCACAGCGGCGAAGAAATGGGCGCCGTCTTGCGCAGCCTCGACGCGAGACCGGAGACCGTCGCCTCTGCCTTTGAAAGCCACCGCTCGCTAGGCCTATAAGACCTTTTTGTTTTTCTGCCTTCTCTCTTCCCCTGTACGATCCTATGACTTCTTTTCTGATTATTACCCGAGTGATGCTACAGTAAGTCTTCTACCTTGTCTTGTTCTAACTTCTAAGCGTACCCAGGCTAATTGGTTCCTATCTAGCCTACCATTTCATACCAACCATTAATCGGCGTTTTTATTTCTGGAGTCCAGGGCCGGTTTTCCTTCATGCGACTGACTACCCATCCTCGTTTTTAGAGACCTCTAATGAATTCTTACCAGCGGTCTTAATGTGCGCATGAGCTTCCGGGAAACGACACTTGATGTTTTTACACCACGCTCGAGTCATCAGAACGCTTATATACATATATACAGCCTGCTGGAACTCGGAGGCGTCTGATCACGATCTTTTCCTTTTTTCCGCTTTTTTTTCCCTTATCTTTTTGGCTGTTTTGGGTATGCGATACCCTCTGGCTAGCTGTACAGCGAATATTGTTACCTCTAGCTAATCCTAATGTCCGTCACTGACCACTACCCACGTAATCCCTGTATCTGATCTTATAAACCCGGCAACCGCCAGCAAATAGCATCATCTGAAGCTCCATACTCCCATAGTTAAGGTTGTTGATAGCTGATTCCCATGGATACCTCGCGTGGCTGAGCTGGCCCATTGGGTGTTTGCGTTGCACCGCCCGCTGTCAAAAATAACTGCACACTAATAATCGCTGCCAAATTATTATCTGACAACTATCCGGCTTGCTTTCTTCTTTTTTTCTCCTAGAATTTACTCACCTTGCTTGCTTCATTCTAATATATATTAATTTATCAACACTCCCTTTGCTAAAGGTCCAGCTCTGTCTGTCGTTAAGCCTCGTTGAAACTTACTACTCGTCAGGCCAAGAGGCCAAGAGCCAAGTCTTGCGTGGCGCGGCTTTGTTGATCGCGTTTCAGCCCTGTTCGAGCAGACGTCAACCCTTCGCCTCGAGACGTCCATCGTTCATTAATACGAGACCCCTCCGTCGTTATTGAATTTTGATCGTTCTTTGCAACTCTCTCTTTCTCTGCAGTTTGTTGTGCTCGACACGAGTGTGCTGTCACCATGGCAGCCAACGAGTACTACCACCAGGCAACCACCACCAACCCCCCCGGTCGATACAACCCAGACCCCCCCAGCTACGATCAAGTCAATCCTGCTCCAGGCGCATACCAGCAGCAGTCCTATAACCCTCAGGCCGGCAACGTCGCACGTCCGTATCCTGGCGACCCGTACAGCCAAAGCTCGTTAGCCTCGGACAACAACGGGGTCGCCTATGGGGGGAGGCTGAACCAGAACGACCAGTATGCAGAGAATATCCCGCTGAAGACGAATAATAACGCTCCTCCGTTTCCGAATAATGGCCCGCCGCCAAGTTGGATGCAGCAGCAAACACGGTACTCCCCGTCGATGGAGGGCGGGCAGATGAACCCAACCATCATCCCTGGGCGACGCAGAAAGCAGGCGTTCTTCTGGCGAAGCGGGAAGAAAATTCCATGGGTCACATACTTGATGACGACTATTCAGATTGCGGTTTTTATTGCCGAGCTGGTGAGAAATGGTAGGAAGAGAATCATTACATCCTTGGCTTCTAGCATGTGGTGAATTGTATGCTGACAAACAGCCCAATTGACCGGAACGCCCATCGAGATCCATCCTTCGTTTAACCCGATGATCGGTCCGTCCCCCTACGTGCAAATCTATATGGGTTCGCGGTTTGTGCCATGCATGAAGAACATCAACGGGGTACAGAACGCCAACGAGACGGTCTACTGGAACTGTCCGAACACGACCACCTCGGACTCGAGCGCGGCCAGCAATCACTGCACGCTGTCAGAGCTGTGCGGTTTCGACGGGGTGCCCAATCCGCACCCCGGGGGCTCGCTCAGCGACCGACCGGAGCCCAACCAGTGGTTCCGCTTCATCATCCCCATGTTCATCCACGCCGGTTTTATCCACATCGGCTTCAACCTGCTGACCCAGCTGACCGTCGGCTCCGCCATGGAGCGCTTGATCGGCTGGTGGCGCTACGCCATCGTCTATCTGGCCAGCGGTATCTTCGGCTTCGTCATGGGCGGCAACTACGCCGCTCAGGGTATCTCGTCCTGCGGCTGCTCTGGCTGTCTCTTTGGCATCCTCGCCCTCGAGCTACTCGACCTCCTCTATACATGGAAGCAGCGGCCCTCTCCCTGGGTGGAGCTGGTCATCATGCTGGTCGGTGTCGCCGTCTCTTTCTTCCTCGGCCTGCTTCCGGGTCTTGACAACTTCTCGCACATCGGGGGTTTCCTCATGGGCCTCGCGCTCGGCCTGTGCCTCATGCGCTCGCCCAGCTCCTTACAGGAGCGCATCGGCCTGGCTGGAAACCCCTACGTTGCCATGAGCGGTGGGGCTGGCCCTGGCGCGAGCGACGACGACAACAATAGCACCAACAACAATGGGAACAACAACAACAACAACAACAGGAACGCGAACAAAGCCACCCGCCCAGCCACCAGCATCACCGACTTCCTCAAGGGTCGCCGCGCCCCCGAAGGACCCAGCTCACTTCTCGACGTCTTCCGTGGCCGCAAACCCCTCTGGTGGGCGTGGTGGCTTGTCCGCATCGGCTCCCTCGTCGCCATCCTCATCGGTTTCATCCTCCTCATCGTCGACTTTTACAAGTACGCCAGTTCGACTTGTTCGTGGTGCTATCGGCTCAGTTGCTTGGTGTGTCTCCTTTTTTTCTCTTTTGACTTCTACCGTGTATGCCTATGTACTGACTTTTCTAGCCGATCAAAAACTGGTGCGATGAGGGAAACCTGGAGTTAACGCAGACGTCGTGATTTTTTTTTCCTTTCATTTTCCATCCTCGAATATACTGATGTTTCAGTCTGCACTTGGGTGATACCTGGGCGTTTATTTTTTTTGGATATATAGAGCTGCACTGGGCGTATATTTCTAGCGTAGATGAGCATTTCATTTGACTCTCTCCTGACTTTCTCGCTGGTTTTGTTGTTTCTGTAGACCTTATGGAATACTCCTGCTTAAATGATGTTGAGGGGTATTCTTGTATGGGTGATATCCCTGTTTCTTGTATATATGAGGGGGGGGTTGTGGGCAACAGTCATATGGAATGTTCTTTGACGCTTACATGGCTCTAGGATTTAGGTTGGATGTTGGTTTATATGGTTGCATCCGATCAAGTATATATATTCAGCAACCAAGATTGTACTTATGTACCCACGGTAGATAGAAACATGGAAAGAAAACAATAGGTAGGTATTTGTGGTTAACAGTATAGTTAGAATGATAATTAAATATATATAAATCATACAAGTGTAGATTACAAAGACAGAAATACTTTATGCTTAACTATTGCTTTATTGAGTGTATACAACAAGGAGAATATCTCATACAACCTGTGTGATAATATCCTTCCTGGAAAGGAAAGTCACCAATGGCAAGATGGCCGAGCGGTCTAAGGCGCATGGGTCAGGCTACCTGATCTGACTTCTTCAGTTGAAGAATCATTCCATGTCTCGAAAGGGGCGTGGGTTCGAATCCCACTCTTGTCACTTCTTTTTTTCTTTTGTCATCATATTTTTTTGGCATCATAATCCCTCTCCTAGACCACCATTGTCAACCAACCTTTTCTTTCCTTTATCCTACCTACCCTACCCCTTTCTGCTAACCGTCAATGAAAACAACACTATAATGTACTCAGTTGAAGAACCAGTGCCAAATCCATGCGTAACTAGCAAGTACATAACGAGGCCTGCGGCCCGCGCCTTTCCGCTATTACCATTACTACGACAAGAACCAACAACACTTCATTTTGCAAGTGTCCTTTTTTTTTTGTCTTTGCCATAAACACTAGCATCAACGCTAAGCAATAAAAATGTGTCATCCGAGGCGCAAAGCTCGAGAGTCAATCTATATGATATTTCACTACAAAGGACTCTTCACCAATGGCTGATACTCCCATAGCAGCCAAGCTGCGACCTCTCACGATAGAAGCAGCAGCAGCCGCTGTCACAGTCACCAGGTTTCAGTTGCTTCAGCTTCGTCGTCGTCGGCAACTAGATCGAGCACGTCGAATCAGGAACCAGCCTTTCATCGCGAGACTATTGGCGGCTTGATGACTGGGATGATGGGTGGATTATGCAAAGACCCCGGCATCTTGTCCTTTCGAATCCATATGAGATCCCAGTACTAATATCACAAAGAGGTTCGGAAGATTGCCCTATATCCAACCATTGACGATTTTGAATTCGACAACCGATATACCACAGACCATTAGCCGCTTAGTGCCTCGATATCGGTACGGAGTTGTTGGCTTTAGGTCGACTGCAAGTGTATACTCCTAAACTGATTTATAACTGGTTACCTGTTAGGGAAGAAGAAAGGATCAGATATTCTCATACCTTAAAGCAGCGATAAATCAATAATTCGTATCATACCGTCACTATGATCCAACTTTGTAAACGTTCTTCTCCCTGTAACTATACGGAGTAGCTTGGCTTCAATTATACAGTATTAGGCTGATAGAGCCAAAGATGAGACCTCCAAACATCAATCGGGCAAGATGGCCGAGCGGTCTAAGGCGCATGGTTCAGGTTACCTGATCAATTGAAGCTTCATCACGAAGTATCATTCCATGTCTC